CGTGGTTTTCACACATGGGGAATACAAAGGGAGCTCGATCACCATTGTCGGAAGAAATCCGATTTATGATGAAGTAAGACAGCTCTCCATTGTTGGAGGCACCGGCGCCTTCCAGTTGGTGTGGGCTACATCTTAGTTAAGACTTATTATATCGTCGACCCTGGGGCTTATTTTGTTACCAAATATGAGGCAGTTGTGGATAATGCTACGTTCACGGTTTAGGCTGTGTTCGCCTGAGACTCTTCTTCGATAAATGTTATCATTGCGAATTAAACATGAAAAACAAAATACTCCCTCCGTCCCAAATACAGTGTCTGCTACACTATAGACAAGGTATTTTAGGAGGGTGTAATTAGTAGATAATTAAGAATGTATCATTGAAAATAATTATAAATTAACATTAAGATAACTAATTAGTTTAATTAAAATTAAAAAAATTTAAAATTTAAAATGAGATTAAAGTGTGTTATCATTTTAAAAAAAAAGGAAAGTGACATGATATATGGGACGGATAGAAACGGAAACGTAGACATGGTATCCGGGACGGAGGGAGTAAAATAAAAGCTGGAATGAAGTTATAAAATTGTCAGACTACAATAATGAAAGTGTTGGCATCGGTTTTTGTTGTTGTTTTGTCATTTCCAGCCTGATTATTAGACTACCTACAAATTAGGCACGGTAAGACAAGTCACACTAAGCGAATCATGTGTGGCAAGCAAGACCTAGAGGCATCTCTCGGCCACGAGTTCACCCCATATCACCAAAGCATCCCTAATAAGAAGTCTCGGAATTTCTAAACCTATCCGAGACTAAAAGTCTCAAAATTTTCGAGACTAATCAAAATAAGTTCGGAAATTCCGAAACTAATCAATATAATAAATTGTATATTTAATATAGTTTCGAAAATTCATACGCAAAAAATAAATAAATAAATAAAATAATTAAGATTTATTTGATAGTCTCGGAATTGATTCCGAGGCTAATTGAGAATAAACAAATTTTTGGTAGTGGGTGTGGTTTACAAAACTTGCACATGCATATGCCGCAAATAGGGACGGTTAGCCAGGCTCTGATACCATGTCGAATGCTGAATGACACGTCTCACCTAAAAACTCAAACTGTTAGGAAAACGTAGCCATTAATTATTTATCCGCAAATGGAAGTCCCAACATAAGTCTTTTACAAATTATATAAGGAGGTGACAAAAGATATGACAAGTGAACAAAAAGATGCTAAAAATGGCAACCTTAAAGTTGTCCTTTCCCGATGAAGGTGAGTGTGTGGCAACCTCTACTGGTCATGTTATTGGCGATCCATGAGTTGAAAGAACTACAAGGGGTAAATCTATAAATTTTTGTGAACTTAATGAACTGAGCTATTTTATTTCAAAAATGGAGATATGGAACATCAATGAAGTTCTAGATGATATAAATATTGGACAGCCACTGTGCAAGATGATCAACTATTGCAGTTTTGGCGAAATGAGATCTGGGAGTTATGCAGACCGCATGGCCGACTCTTAGGAGGAGCATAGAATTGTCGGCCTCTCGCCTAAGAGGCTAATATTTTTAGGTCTTAGTCCATTATTATTTATAGATATATTAGGTTTTAAAATTACTTGAGACATGCATCATGACTAAATTTCTTCTTAACAATTGCCTCTAGCCCAAGAGGGCTGATAATAATTTTGTTATTATTATTAGATTATTAGTTTTATAATAATCGAGATATTATTTGTTTTTTTATTTGTGATACACTTTGTGCGTATGCTCTTTATTGGATATATGATTAAAATAATTTTTATTAGATAATTTATATGTTGTGGAATTCATTATTATATTTGTTGATATCAAATAATTCTTCACATTCAAATATTTACTATTCAAAAATACAAACTTCAAATCCAAATCCGCAAACAAACGCGGATCCCTTACAAATTTGCCAAAGGATATGACAAGGGCGATCATTTTTATGAAGGTGAGTACATGTTTGTTAAATTGAATGATCTAATTTTATTAATGAAATAGTATATATTTATGGTTAAAATACAAATGTTTTAATTAAATAAATATAGTAATATCTTAATTACATCTAAAGTAGTACAATTTTTTTATGTAGTACGAATTTTGACCGTTTCAAAAAGTTGCAACACAAATAGACTTTTTTTTGTTGCAGCGAAAGATTAGATACTAAAAATATTAGGAAAAAGATCATATACATTGTTTTCCAAGGTGATCGGAAATCTACCGGAAGAAAGAGAAAATAGAGATCCAATCAGAGATATTAACCTCGAAGATAGTTTTACTCTCATCTAGAGATAGAATATCTATTGGTGTTATTATTGCGGTGTGACAATCATCAATTATCTGTACATAAGTTTGCAATGTAAGCAATAGGAAAGACTGATTGTGTTGGATGATTGTTGCTGTTTTTAGTCCTTGACCTTGTAACCTGATGAAATATGGTAGTAGACTAACTTCTCGATTGGTATTCTTCAGAAGTAGATTTTGATAACAAAAATTGGTTAACAACCTTGTTGCGACCGATTAGAGTTAATGATCGAAGAACAAATAGAAAACGTAAAGAATACAAAAATTTAAGTGGTTCACAAAAATGAGTTGGCTACTTCCACGAATATAAATGAAAAACAGATTTTATTGCAGGATTTGAACTGATTGGCCACATGGCCCAGCCATATGGCAACCTGTTAGAATGGGAATACATGTTTATATCTCTAAGATATATACCTAATATCCAAATTATATCTCTAAATTCAAAGTATATCAATGAATTTCCGCCTTGATTTGAATCTCAAATCCATATGCATCATTACAATGTCAGATGAACAAATTCTTCTATTCTGCCTCAAATTTGCTCCTCCTCTGACAACTACCAGGATACATCATTAGTATGACAGATGAACAAGTGACAAACTAGTTTAAAAGTATATCAACAAAATACAAAATAAATAAGATAAACTACATCACTTTAGTAAGTTGTATGTTTTCTAAATATTCCTAGCACTTGATGAATTCATATTTGTCCAATTACAACTTTTAGTGCATAATAATGGATTATGTTCCAAACCATTTTTTATTGATTTGAAGATCATAAGCACAAACCAAATCTATAATAAGAAAGTTGTATGGATACGTACACATCTATAATATTCATTCTAAATTAATATTCCCAAATCATTATGGACTAATTAATAATATATTATATATGTGAGTCCATGTCGATGTGAATTATTTAGCTAGGGCCCCTCCAATCGTCATGCTTGTCGACCACCACATCCAATATATATATATATATATATATATATATATATGTCTATCTGTCAGGGCAAATTTCATATGGGCAATTTAGAAATGATCAAAACATACCTATTTTGGACGATGTCGACAAGAACCTCGTGAATCACTCTCCTTACATAACTTGTCCATTCTCGGTTTCGTGCTGTCATAAGCTCAGAATTCTTTTTTTATAATGTATCCATCTCCTATAACCCTTCTAAAGAGGGCTATCATATATACAAACATATAGACATATATATTACTTAGATTCTTAGTATATATTTTATTACATAATATCTATGAACATATCTATGGAGATATTGTGTATTTATGTTGTGATTTGTGTACAAATGAGTTTGTTTACTTTTTTACCATTTTATTATTATTATTATTATTATTATTATTATTATTATTATTATTATTATTATTATTATTTTAAAGTGAAATAATATATAGATATTTGCATAGATATTATGTATTTATGGTGTGATTATATTTGTGACTCAATTCGAGATATATAATTCGATCATACTCTCATAATATTTTTCACAATTTATTGCAAGTCACAATTCAAACACTCATAATATATTTGTGACTTATATCGAAACAATTTCCACTCTTGGTGGTGTTTTGAGGCAAATATGGAACTATCCATTATCATGAAATAAAGGTTCAGATTCCCGTCAAGAAAATTTGTCATAGTTATGTCTTAACAACATTAATTTGTCTTGAAGAAATATTTTGTGTTTTGAACAATTGACAATTTCTTGGGAGGATGTATATAGTAGTGGTTGGAAAATGTACATATTTAGCAACCAAATATCATTTTTATAGTCTTGGAATTTCGTGATGATTTTGTGACATATGGAACTTTCTTAGAAATTTGAGACATCCCTACTCTCGGCTAATCGTGATAAATTTCGTAGCAAATGGAAATTTTCTCGATAATTTGACACATTACTATACAAACTCATACTCTTGATTAATGTCATGGAATACTCCTCAAGACAATGATACTCACGAATTTCGGCAACCTCAACTTTCATTCAGACAAAATCATGCATCTTTGATGACATGTCACAATTCCTTCTCTCGAATTATTTTCAGGACAAATCTCAAGGGAATTTCAAGACAAATATGCAAAAAAACATTGACACGAAAAAAATTTTTATATAGGAAATTTACTTATAATCCACTTATAGCTTAAAAAGTTCACACTATTTTCTTCTCACGATTTAGAAACTACATAAGCTTCTTAGTATTCTAAAAATCATTACACGAAAAGGAATCTCTCGTGTTTTTTGAAAATATTGAATAAAATTCCCTTAAAAAAATGATTTAATCATGGAGTTTTCAAATCATGAATGACAATGATACAGATTTTTAAAACTATCAATAAGTTATGAGCAATTTTACTTTTAAAATAATAGCCGAGACAAATGATAACGGTAAAAATGATTTTTTATCTGGGAGAAGAATTCCGTTACATAATATTATCTTAAAAAAATTGGTACACTATCATGATTTGATCTTTTGTAGCAGTCGAACTTCCTTAACAAAAACTCTAACTTTCATCCAAACTACCGTTTTGTGTTGAACTTGCTACGAATTTTGACAGCTTCGAAAAAATTGCAACACAAATAGACCTTTTTGTTGCAGCTAAAGATTAGATAATAAAAAATTATAAGGACAAGAAAGCCAACAGTAAGAAGATAAACTTAAACCAGATCTTATATATTATTTTCACCATCACAAAGTGAGCAATTTGAGTATAATGTAGATACCAATAAATGCTATTCCATATATCCAAATGTATCGACTTTACTGATCAATAGGGTTAAAAAGCAGAGATGGAATCCTGTTCTTGATCTGAGGCTGTTTCTGAGTTCCATGGCCATCTCCATGTTGGTACATATACTGCGCCATTCGCCCGAGATCCATTGCGCATCGCACAAAAGCTCGAGGAAATTGTGGAGAGTCCCCCTGTTGTGTTCTTGCAACTTCTTCATTCATATGTTTCCATGTCTCCGCAATCATTGCCATGATATGCTCCTTCGCCTCTTCTCGACTAGCGCCCCTTTCATTCATGTAACACTCGATCGATTTTGGCACATCACCTCTCGCCATCTCATCCTTACAACATATTTATTGAAAATTAGAAGGAATTGAAGATGCGTCGCAAATTTTTTACCCCCTTCATCTCCAAAAAAATACACTCATACTTTTGGACACAGGTTTTAATGTGATGTATATTGTTTTTAATTTTTCGTTAGTTTTTGTATTTTATAGTAAAAAAAAAATAGAAAAAATAGTAAGATTTTTTACTAATAAAGAAATGAAAGACGTTTTTAAGAGACATGCAAAAAAATAAAAGTGAGCATATTTTTAAAAGACAGATGGAGTATTTATTAGTGTTTCGTAGAGAATTACCGGCGACGTTCCCATATCATTGGCAAGTCGTAAGAGCATCCCGGAAAAACGAACTAGGTTGTGATACTTGCACACTTCTTCCATGGCTTCCTTCTCTATTGGATCGCCGGTGGTGAAATATATGTTTGTAAGTATCGTAATTGCGGATATTGACATCCATGCGTTGGCTATGTATTCCTCGAGTGTTGGTGTGTGTCCCGCGGAAAACCACTCAGCTTCTTGTAGATAACTTCGAGATAAGTCCCGCCACTGCCACCAAAGAGGTATATAAAAAATTTACGACTCATCAACAAAGTTATACAATGTATAAAGGCTAGTGTAAATGGATAAACATACTGATTTTCTTAAATGTTCGATGACGAGGAGTCGTTGTTCTTTGAGGACGCCGTATGCGATTTCGTCAATGAGGCTATTGAGTACAAGATGACACATTTTCATATAGTGTGGGAGCTTCTCAATCGCTTTGACATCGCCTCTGATGAAGATCGTCTTAGAATTATTACTCGAGAAAATTAACGGTAAGATATGGTAGGTAAGAAAGATAAAAATTTAGTCATTTATCTATAATCAATTATCAAAGTTGTTAGGTTGGTTTTTCATCTATGTTTTGATCATAAACGTTGCAAAGAAAAAAAAAAAAAAAAAATCCTATTTATAGAGGAGGGGGAAAAGTAACTTTTTACGATGAATTCAAAGGTTAAAAGGACAATATATATATATATATATATATATTGTGTGCTACAAGATAAAATCCAATTGATGAAATATGGGAGAGATAATGGTAATAGTTGATGAATAAATGATTTTTAGTCTCGAATGTGTTACCTTCTCATTTTATTCCTTATCTAGAAATAATCCTCTATGTCTAGTCCATATCAACCTTCAATGCTGAAAATGGTCACGCGACTAATTTATATCAAGGTGGCGGTTGGTACAATCTATTAGATCGAACACGGATTTTAAGAAAAATTAATAAAAATATAATTTTTTTATGATAAAAAAAATAAAAAAATAGTATTTCTTTTTACTAAAAATAAAAACGAGAATAAATTTAAATTACAATAAAAATAATAATAATAAAACACACCTACAAATCTAAACAGAAATCAAATAATTTTATTTTGCACTGCATGTGATATCTATTTATTCTATATGTAGTATATGATTGTTTTATGTGTGTTGATTGGAAAAATCAGCATGTTGTATAATAAATATTCACGTATCAATACATGTAACAATATTTCAATATAAAGATATTTTAAGGGATTGCATTAAATAATGTAAAATTATCTATAGGTGAATTTTACTTTAATAACTAAAATAATAAAAAGGTGTCACGTACCATATTTAAAAACACTTTAACTATAGATAGATATGAATGAACTTTGCAAGTTTTCCTTATTTCTTTAACTTACCTTTCGAAGGCTTCATCGAAGAGTTTTAGCTCTTCCAAGGTTCCGTACACATCGAATATATCGTCGATCACCGTAATCAAAGTATTGACCTTGGTAATTTGCATTCTTGTGTAGCCATACTCCGGCCGGAAAAGTCCTCCGAGCGTCCAGAAGTAGCACTCCACCAATCTATCCCGCGCAAACGGCAGCACCTCCGCTAGCTCAGTTTGTTTCCACCACCTACATGCATCGCAATATCGAATAAATTAACAATTTTATAAAATTACAAAAAAAAAAAAAATACAATTTTGATCGCGTAAATAACACTTATTTTTAAGTAAACCTATTTGAAAATTGTATTGTATATATCTCGCTCGTGTTCGCTCTAATGATCATAATGACCACATGACTAATTAGGACCATTAGAGCGACGACGAGTGACATATATGCAAAACAAAATTAATAAAAGAAGACATATATATATATAGATATATTTGGAAATTTTAATATGTCCGAATATGTACATTGAAACATGTTTCAACTCTTGTTGATGTTTTGCTTGGAGGATGTTGAAATTGGTTTTCGCAAGTTCTAGCAAAACCGGGTTCATGTCGAGTCTCCGGCCGTATGCGTCGATAAACCATCTCGCATTCGGCCATTGAATCCTCCAATGAATGGGGAGCTCCAAAGCACTGCGAACCGATATTACACGATTCTCATCAACCCCAAGTGATCCATCATCGAGCTTTTCCTCGAGCAAACCTTTGGAAAATCTTGTCGCCTCCTCCAACTTCCATTCGCCCGGTCTCAACAAGAAAGAAGCTTCATAGAGTTGCAACAACCCCAAAGTATCGTTGCCTAGGCTCGGGTTGAAATCTCCCATTTCATTCTTGAAGCAATCGAATACATCTACAACAAGATCAACCACCTTAAACGCAACAAACATATATACACTATAAAAAATAGTATATTTGTAACAAAATTATGTCTCTAAAGTTTACGTGTTAATGTAATTTCTCCCTAATTACGTCTCTAATATCATTAGTAACTGAAAAATTAAAGTGGATTTGAGACGAGAAAATCCCGTTAAAAATATGACTTTTTCTTGTAGTGGTACTGAATTTGTGACCGTAAGATCATGATTTTCAAATACTGACGCTAGGTCTTTCCTGTCAAATGAAATTTTTCTGGTGTGACTTTCCTTGACCAGTACACGCTCGAAAAATATAAATAAATAGATAAAAGGGTAGAATTTCCTTAACAACCTTGACCAACAATAAATCCATGTTGTCTAAAGAGTCTGAATTCGAGAGCCGTCGAGTAAAGCGACCTCTTTTCTTCATCCTTACAGAATCTTTCGGCATACAAACGATCCAAGATTCGATGGATTTCATCCTCCATGAGATAAGATACTCCGAGTCTCTGCAAATCATCGATCAACTCCAACTTTTGAACTGTGTCGATTTCTTCATTCAACGCCATCTTAACTTGTTTCACCAGCTCAGAAGCCCTTTCCAAGTGCCTATTCTCCTATACATACACAATAAATCGAAATTAATTTCTTCGATCGCGATGCAATTCAATCCAATCCAATTTAAAAATACATACCCCATACTCGCTGCTTAACGACTGAATATAATCGAAATTATACAACGGGGGGTTGTAGTTTCCCGATCGCCGTTCCGCCGGCATCTGAACACGTGTCTCCACGCCGCCGACGCCGACATGTGCCGTTAAAGAAACACAGATGGGTTTCGAAGCTTTCCTTACAGCATAGGCTTGAACAGGGCAATAAATTTGCCTGTGAAGAAAACAAGAAAAACGCATAGCCATGGTTTCAGACAGTTATTTCAATAACGAAAAACTGTCCAATATATATATATATATATATGAATCGAATATCTTCTAAATGACAAAATAATGTGGCTTCGATATATACTGCAATCAATATGTCTGCAGGTATATATATATATATCACGTGTATGTTGCAGCCTTGCAGGTATGGTACTCATGTCCGAATTCATGTGATGGCATAATTTATCATAATGCATTCAGCACAAGTTAAGTGTTGACTTAAAACAAGCACCTAATCCACATTTTTTAATTTTTCTAAATTAAAGTGGAACTACATTGTTATTTTTAGAGTAATTAACACTACTTTTGGAGTAACTATTCTGAGTTTGTTTACCCAATTAATTTTTTTTCTAACTTGATTTCTGTTGAAAATTTTGGTTATTCGAGGTCTAACTCGAGAAGTTCCTCGATAGCCCACTCCATAGCCCGACCACTGAATTGGCCGAATCCTTTAACCCAAATCCAATTCTCATACCCATACCTCAAACCCTATGCCCATTTGCCCACTTGGTTATAACCATGTGTGTGTGATTTTTTAGCTAGAGGAAGTTATTTTTAGGGTTATATTAGATGGAGTTTCTTGGGAATGGTTAGTGAGTTAAGAACCAAAACGGATAGAGAGTTAGAGAGTGAAGGAAAGGGAGAGAAACCGATAGTGTTCCGATGAGTGATTCCGGTGAGGGTTGAACCTTTTCCGATGGTCAATTCTGGTGGGTGTCGAGGTTTAGAGTGATGCGCCGACCTCCACTTTGAGGTGTGGTTACCTCGGCCGTTCTCGCACCATGGGGCTGAGCCGAGAACAGCCGTCCCTTAGCCGGTGTGATAGATCGGAGTAGATCGGGAAGGAATTGCTGGACTGGACGCTTTCTTGAGAAAAGGATTGTCGCTGGAATGGTTGGACGTTGCCGCTGCCGGACATGGTGCAGACGCCACGGATCTGTTCTGAAGAAGGTCGCGCGCCGCCGGAGCTGCTTGAAACTGCGCTGGGTCTGTCGTGGGTTCGTCGGAGAGGCATGACAGAAGCGCGTTGCCAGAAGGAGCTGCCGCTGGTCGCGCACTGCCGGAGAAGATGACCGGATTCGCTGAACGCATCGTCGCCAGACGCTTGAGGAAGATGACCGGAGCTGCCAGACGCAACTAGAAGTCCGTCGTCTATCGCCGCGGCCTGGATCCCAGAACGAAGCAGATTGCTGCTTGCTTCATTCAACTTGTCAATCCATGTCGTCTTCAACCTTGGAGGATGAGGGACGCTACGAAATTGAGATTAATTTCAGAGACTGACAGATAAGAAATCAACGAATTGATTTCCCGTAGTCGGTTGCAGACACTGGAAAGTGTTTCGATATAATCAATTCAATTTAAGGGTACTGTTTGCTTTTGATTTTCTGAAATTCCTTTTTGTTTTGCCTGATTAATTTCATTTCGATTCTGTATTTATTTTATTTGAATTCGCTTCCTAATTCATTGTTGTATATTGATATACGAAATTTGTTCGACAAATTCAAAAAATCCAAAAATAAATTTACAATAATTTCAATATATATAATATTTATATTTATATTCTCACAAAATTTAATAATTTAATATAAATATTACAGTATTTTTTATATTATTGACACTAAACTAGTTCACATATCTCACACCAAAAAAAAAAAAGAAAAAAAAATATTCCACACTAAAACATTAAACAAGAAAACTATATAATTTTTTATATAAATACTAATTTATACAATTTTTAAAATTTATTGTAATTAAAATTAATATACGTAATAATTTGTAGTAATATTTTTACTTCATCCATATATAATAAATTATACTATATGTTTGGATGATAATATAAAAAATAAATACATTTAAAATTTGATGTTATAGTATAGTAGTATTGTTTGTTTCTTTTGATTTTTTATTTAACTTTAAATTTTGAATAAAATAATAACTTGATTTAATATTTTGTAGATATATATATATATATATTATAGTAAAAATTAAAGTACTAAATAGTTAGAGTGGATTAAGTACATAAATACTTTATTGGCAATATATTTGGAATTATCGAAATTTAGCCTCTAACTTCAAGAAATCAACCTTGATCACAAGAGTGGACAATGATGAAATTTAGCCTCTTACAAATATATTTGGAATTATTGAAATTTAGCCTCTAACTCTATTAGATTTCAAAAGATGAATGGCATGCGTGTGTTCAATATATTTCATTCGTCTCAACTCAAAGTATTATTTTTATTATTTTTGCGTGTTTCACTTCAAAGTATATATTTCTTATTTTAATAGAAGTAATTATACACTAATACCAAAATACCTTTAACTTTGACCTAAATTACAAATATATTATTACACATACAATTACTTTATATATATATATATAAAGTCAAGGGACAAAAATTTCAAATTTCTTACACACTTCCACGTATCAATAAAATATTATTATTTTTAGTCTATTCTAAAACTTCAAATAATACTTTGATTTGAGACAGATGAAGTACTTCATACTAGAATTATAATTATGGCGTATTTCCCTAACTAGTGCATTTTTCTTTTGGAATTAAAAAGAGTGGACAATAGAATTGGTGGTATAAAATGAGCCACGTCCATAATTTGTTTGTCCATGAAATGGTTGCACCTAATTAGATGCATAATTTTATTATTTGAGTGATGACATATATAGCTTTAATTGTATAATAATGCGATATTAAAAGAAATCAATAGGTGTAATCCCTATGAATTGTTCTAAATAGGAGGGAAAAAAACTATTTTCCCACCCTACACAATAATTTTTTTTAGCGACATAACTGTTAAAATATATAATATATTTTATTCTTTTATAAAAAATAAATAAAAAATCATTATTATTTATATTATCAATATAAATTTTCATATATTGTATAAAGAAAATAATTATTATATCCCAAACTAAATCACTTAAAAAACCGGAGACTCAAAATAAATCTTAAAATTGTTATTTTAAATTTAATTGAAAATTTGACCTGAAAAGTTTGTTCACCTGTGTTTGCATGTTTGTTATATACAATGTGTTTTTTTGAAAAATTAGCACGGTATCCTTCCTATTATCTAAAATGTATCAAATCTTTTCTTTTTCCATCTACTTTATCCATTTAAATTTATACAATCTACTTATTTCTTGCCTTTCTTTCATTATACTTTCCTTCTTTATATATTTTTTTTGTCAAAAATTTATTTTTATTTTTATTGTTCATCCATCTTTGAGCCCGTCGGGAAATCCTAACTTTTAGCCTTTCGACGGGCCTAACACAATTTGGCTGTTCGAAAGCTGTAGTCAATTCAGTGATAACAAATTGGCACGCTCAATGGGACACGGCGTGTCTCGCTTCGTTTACTCATTTTTCGAAGTCAAATGTTGGAGAATCTGATGTTGTCCGGAAGAAGAATTCTGTGACATAATATATATTTTTTTTTGTAAAGATAACTTGTTAAGACAAATGGACTTTCTTTTGTGGTAATGAAAGATTAGATAATAAATAAATAAAAAAGAAAGAAAAAGAACACCACCGGTGAACAAACTCAAACCAGTTCTTATACATTATTTTCACTATCACAAAGTGAACTATCGAGTAAAATGTAGATACCAATAAATGATATTCCCTATATCCAAATGTACTGTGTCGAATTTACTGATCAATAGGGTGAAAAAGCAGAGATGAAATCCTGTTCTTGATCTGAGGCTGTTTCTGGATTCCATGGCCATCTCCATGTTGGTACATATACTGCGCCATTCGCCCGAGATCCATCGCGCATCGCGCGAAAGCTCGAGGAAATCGTGAAGAGCACTACCCCTGCTGTATTCTTGCAACTTCTTTATTCATTTGTTTCCACGTCTCCACGAGCATAGCCCGGATATGCTCCTTAGCCCCTTCTCGACTAGCACCCGTTTCATTCATGTAACACTCGATTGATTTTGGCACATCACCTCTCGCCATCTTGTCCTTGCAATTTATTTAATTGAATTGGGTTCGACAATGTATCTAATTGAATTAAGGAAGTCTGCAAGTCTTCTATTGTTTAAGTCATTGATTAAATAATTCTTGTGTGCAACTATTGATACGTTGATTGACTAATACGTCTATGATGCATATATATTTAGAATATGATGTTTAGAAAATAGGTATATAATGTAATAAAAATTCGTCAATTTACTTGCGCGATCCATAAAAAAACTTACCACATTCTATAATTTCTAAAACGTTATTTTCGTCCACAACACACTCGAACTGACCGAAATCCACATCATTTTGCTTCATCTTGTTCTACGTACCAACTTCTTTACAATTTATTTTCTTAGATGGATGTGGGTGAAACAAAATGTAGTTATTTTTTCTTATGTGAACCGACTAAAATTATGAATACCACCTGCATCCCCTTCATTTATGCTAAAACAAAGTATTAACTTATTGAAATCAAATTACATATCTACCCCTAACTACAATTTCATCCGTTGCTTAAGATTTTGATCGAACGGCTGACATTTATTCAGGATGGTCCTGAATACCCGGATTGCATTGTTATATTCTAATTTATTTTAGGAAACGTTGGATTTAAATTTTAATTAGTCTTGTGTTTTAGTCTGTATTGAATAAATATCGTTGATCACTTTTATATATTCGGTCAAATCAACACTCTACTGACTTGACTTGACCATGCACAACTGAAACATAAACAAATATTTGAAAATTGAAAAGAATAAAGATCAAAACGAAAAACTAAAAAATAAAAATCTACGGACGATGAAAATTCACTAGATGAATCGAATGGATGCAATAATTACAATCAATGATTCTCACTCTCGGAACTTCAAAAACGTTCCCTACATCATAATCGATCCAAAGGAAAAGTTTAGACCTTCTAAAATTGAAGGTATATCAAATCAATAATAATCCACAATATATGAAAGATTGTAGATGTAATATCTATGAGTATCGCTTCTAGATCGTGTCCATGATGTTAAGTTAAACTTGACATCTTTGTAATGCCCATGATTATCATCTCCGAGATCTTCTAGATTTGGCACAATTCATAAATTCAATTCTAAAACGAGAAAGTCCACTTAGTTATGGTTATGACTAACCGTCAAGAGCTTTTGAAAAAATTTCGCCATAAGGAGAAGTTGAGTCATATTCCCAACGAACTCCACCTTGGCACTCGAATTGGATTAATAAATTTGCGGGTCATGAAATGTAGAAACATCACTAGCGGGTTTGTACATCATCGGAAACTTCACTTTCTCCCCACCTTTCTACTGGTCATTAAAAGATGATGTCGAACCAACAGCTGAATCATTTTATAGAAGACAACATAAAATTTTCATCAAATATAATATCTCAATTCAAAACCACATTATGTGATTCCCCATCCACGTTCTACAAACGATAATCATTCGACTCAACTGAATATTCGAGAAAATACACTTCACAGCTCATGAGCTAATTTTTCATCGTCAACATACATGTACGCGCGACATCTAAAATGCGCAAGGATGAGCAGTCGATAAAGTTACTTGACCAAATTTCTTCTAAAATTTTAAAGTAAATATGGGAGTGTAGACATCAATTTACCACGTAGCAAAATATCGAAATAGCTTTAGCCCCCAAATAACACCGATGTCATAATCCTGCATTCAAAACCATACGCCGAGCTCTCCAATAAGGTTCGATTAATATTGTTATACTACACCATTCTGTTGGGGCTTTCTTGGAAATGTTTGATGTCTCATTACCATGTGATTCGTCGAACTCGTTGAATTTACCATTGCAAAACTCTAAGCCACAATCAGTTTTAAAAATTTTTATTTTTCTTACCTATAAGATTATCTATAAGAGCATTCCACTTCTTGAAAGTGCCAAATGTTTTATCCTTTCGCCTCAAGAAATATATCCAAATTTTTCAGAAAAAGACATCAATCAATGTTATAAAGATACATTTTCCACGGTAAATGACGAACCTTCAACGCCCCTCACAAATCTGAGTGAATATAATCGAGCACGTCGTATGTAGGATGCGAGGTTGTAAAGAAATCGACCTTCGTTTGCTTTTAAAAATTGCAATGTTCAAAAATTCCAATGTGGTGATGCTTTGATCACCGAAAAGACTTCGAGAAATTAATATCTTCCTTCATTTTTTTACTCATATGATCCAAACGCAATTGCCATAATAAAGTGAAATCTGAATCACTCATTGATGATAAAACCACTATTGTCAAACCCAATACAGTATGGCCTTGTAGAATGTATAAACATCCGACCCAATTTACCTTCATAATTGTTTAGAGATTGTAGAAACTTTTAATACTTCACCTTCAACCGAGAACTTATAACCTAGCGAGCAAAAATACTGAAATATATAAAATTATTTTTACATAAGAAGCATATTGAACATTTGTAAGATTACAGATACAACCGTCGTGAATTTTTATTTTAACTGAACCAATGCTAAAAACCGAGCATTAGGCATCATTTTCCATAAGTACTACATTGTCGTTCTTTGATTCATATGTAGTAAACCAATTTTGGTTGAGACAAATATATTCATATGTAGTAAACCAATTTCGGTTGAGACAAATATAAAATGTGCATCCGAAGTTTAAAATCCATGCATTCATAACACGTGATTCTAATATCACTATCAAAACTATAATACCATTTGAATCGAAGTACACGACATCAACTTCTGTTGCCTCTACAAGTTTCTTTCATTTCTAGAAATTTTCTTTTTTATTTTTCAACTTCCAGCATTCACAACAACATGGAGTCATTCCGACTCTTATTTGCATTTGGTCCCCTCAACTTATATCGAGATTTTTATTTTATTTTATTTTTTTCTCACCGCCATTACCTTTATGCATTAACCTTACACCTCACAATCAAACATTCATCCAGGTTATTCGATTGACAACAAAAACTAAAATTTTCTTTCAATAACAAATTTAATTTAACTTCGTCAAATTGAAGAGATTCTCTAGAACCATAAAGTATTGTTTCTCCAAAATGTTTGTAAATGAGATAACAGACAATCAACAACACGATTTTATCTTCATCATCAATTGTAACATCCAAAATTTCTAAATTCATAATGATTGAATTAAATTCATGTAGGTGGGATTGAATGGGAGTACCTTCAGGCATTCAAATTGTATAAAAGTATTCATTCAAACAAGTTTGTTTGCAAGAGACTTTGTCATTTACTGCATCTACAGCTTCAACCACAACTCTTGTAGGTAGTCTCATGAGCAACTTTACGTAGAACTTCTTTCGACAATATTAATTGTATTGCAGTCAACACCTTCTTGTCTATATTAGCCCCCTTCTTGTCTATATTAGCCCAAGCAACATCACCGCGCGCATCTGAATTTTCCAAAGAGCAAATAAAATCTTGCCATCAAACTTCTCAATTTTGAAATTTGTGATCGACATCTTGTTGAACGCTCTGATACCAATTGTTAAGGATTATGTGCCTAAAAGTGTGTTAAAATTTTGGAAACGGGTTGAAGCACAACTAAAACATAAACAAATATTGCAAATTATGTAAAGGACAGAAAATCCAAAAAATAAAAATAAAAAAACACTACATGAGGTGAGAAATCCACTAGATGAATCAAATTGTTACGATAGAATGATTCTCACTCTCACGCCAGGTCTACAAATTTGATGTCAACTCAAACTTGTCTTCTTTGTCATGCCGTAATTAACGCCTCTGATATATATGAATTTGGCACAATCCACAAAATTAATTCTACAACGAGAATACTTATGTATTAAGTTGGAGCCATGGAGATTTTCATTTGTTGCTACTTCGCTGGAAGATCGAAGGGATCATACAAGCCTAAACAAGAACCATAGTCAACTAACTCGAGCTTTATTTCCTAAAGCAATTTGACTCAAATCTTCCAAATAAAGCCCTAAGCAATAGGTTTGAGAGATCGAAGGCAAGATGGTCAACAAAGTAATAATCATGGCAGATTTAAACATGGTGTCATAATAATGATAAGGGATCATACAAATCCTCGAACTAGCTCAATGAGGAACAAAAGAAAATTTACAAAACTTAATGTCACCGATGCGACAAAGGGGGCCTAGATTGTATGCCTACCGAACAGTCAAATAAATACCATGTTGATTTGTACCAACCTTCATTGAAAGAAAAGAAAGTCTACGAAAGTAAATCTCACTAATCAAATATTCTTCTATTCTTCATCAATCCAGAGGCATAACATTTATTGAATGAGAACCCAAATCAAGCAAATAAATAAACAAAGAACATCTAAATGAGAACTAGTAGCATAAGCAAAAACCAAAACAAAAGAACACCAAAACATGTTTATAGTCAAAAGAAAATGCCATAGTGATTAGATCAAGGAGATACTACAAGAGAACGGCAGTACGTACAGCACATAATATTAGAACAAAAACCACAAGTTACCAGCTCACTTCTTAACAGTGGCAAATATCAATCTGTATGAAACTTAAGTAACAAACACAAACTAAACTAAGGCTTAATACAAAATTCCAGGTGAATATAAACAATATATGTATACAAAACTACAGTAAAGTCACAAGAATATGAAAGTAATCTGGTGGTATTGTAATGGATGGAATACGTTGGATTAGGATTTACCGAGAGGACCTGCGCATTTGCCTGTGTTACAAGATCTCAACAGCCGACAACAGCCAAGGATCCAAGTTATGAACTATGTCTCCCCTGAACTCAAATGGTTAAAGATAAAAATAGATAAACCAAAAAGATGTGGAGAACTGTTCAGATCACACAATTAATGGAGATTTACAAAGACCCCAAATTCTGGTCAGCCTCTAATATTAATAGGACGTAGGCTTACAATTCAGGATTTAGGCTTTAGCAGAAAGTGATTCTCTTCCACCAAGTGTCTGAATTATAGCTTCCAGAAGTTTTATCTCTTCATCTTTCTTAAAGATCTCATCTTGCTTTGCACGTAACTCTTCCATGTGCAGTTGAAATACTTCTGCAAAAGAAAAGATGGCTTTAAGTGCGACATACTTGCAAAGCCCAAGAATCCAGCTCCATTTAGATACCAATTTTGAATTTTTTTGGCACTACTCATCTACAATACCTTTTAAAATAAACATCAAATCAAATGTCAATTTTCATTTAAAATATTACATCAAATACATATTTACATTATATCAAAACTTTTTACTATTCCAAAATATTTTTAAAACTCTAATAGCTTCAGGGATCAGAATGATCAATGCATAATCCCTCAAATCTAAAGGTTACTTGTGAGACTGACATACCACATTCAGCTATAGCTCCTCCTCAGGTTGACAATCTACCGGCCTCAATATAAAGAAGACATGACACTAGATACGATAATCATTTTAGTTTAGTATAAGCTGTAGAATGGGAAGCTATTGTTGCTCGCATGATCATATACTACTATAAATGGAATGATTCGATACACTGATTCAGATAGATTCAATTCTATACAAGTTAAATCACCATGAATCCAAAAATAATACAAAACAAAAAATCCTCAAATTAAGAAAATGCACAACAAGCACAATAAACAAAGAAAGCACCTAAAATTTTCTGCGAAAATCAACTATAGCAGAAAGTTTGACTAAATCCCAAAAACAACTAAGAATTTAGCAGAAAGTTTGATTAATCCTTGAACCGAAAGGAAGAAGAGAAAATGAGAAGCAAAGATGCTGGAAGTCCATACACATAAATGCCGAAACCATAGCTTATATAGAATGAGGCTACACAAAAATTTGGAGCTGCATAGATTGGACCAGGATTTGCCTATACTAAATGCCATGGCCAACTCAATAAATGGAATCATTCCATATCTTGTTCCAATTCTAGCACTTAACTAAATTTGTGTAGAGACCTGGTCATGTCAATGCCTTCACTCCTCCTTTACAATGGATTATTTTAGAAACTTTCTGTTTATCAACCAGGGTTTTTTTTTGTATGCACATTAGGTTGTTTTCTATCTAACAATCATCGCTTCACATCTTGTGTCCTATTATTGTGATCATGTTTGTCAAATTCAAGTTTCAATGTTAGCACAGAAGTGGGGTCAAATCATAGGATCGTGACACGATTCATAAGAATTAACAATAATGTAATTTATTTTATAAATTCAACTGGAATATAATACAAACTCTTCAAATTTTCATCCAATTGTTAAATACTAATTATCTAATCATAAGACAAAGTAATGCAATTTTATAAAAATCAATCTTTTCAAACCATTTAAGCTATCATTATTTTCTACAGGTTGTTTTTAACACGTCAGGAGTTTGATGCACCTTCCACTACATTCTGCTGAAATAAAGTTCTGGTTGTTATTTTTGATGTAGTGGTAATACAATGAACTGCAAAATTGTAAGTTTCAACTAAGTTGGAACGAGATATTTAACAACACTGATTGCAATTATTCTCTGTAAATCAAGTATTTTATGTAGGGCCGCATATATCATTCATTATTTCAAAGCTAGAATCACCCTTGTCGCCCTCTCCTACTGCCTCTTTCCAGCAATCCTCAGCTTATCATTCCCCAATGACTTTCCATCGTGCTTAGCCTAACATCTCAAATGGTCCCTTTCTAGTGGTGCTCCTCCAACACCAACATTAGCTCCATATAACATAATATCACATGTCTTCCTTTTACTCTTCTACTTCACTCACCCATTCAAGCCACCAATATGCATATCTACATTAATTTGCTCATGGATTTTCTTTAGCATAATTGTTCTAGAGGTTATTAACCTTGGTGCCATGGTTGTTATGTGATGTACTTTTAGTTTGTTCTGTGATGCTTGTGATGCATCGCTTAGTCAAAAATAAGTGTGGACTGTGTGGGGTACTAGATTACCATTTGTGCTGTATCAAAGATTTGCAATAATATTTTCCTATCTGTATTTTCTACTTTAAAATAATGGTAGAATTACGATCTAATTCTCTTTTCCAGTTACTATAGGTACTAAAATGTTCCATCAAACATAATGATCTTAATTTCTAACAAGCTGAAGAAAGGATATGCTTTTACTAGGCCACAGTGGTCCTAATCATAGCTAATTAACTTTCGGCTCAATTCTAACCCATTCACTAGAATTAGAAATTTGAAAGAACTAAAAACAAAAAATGTATGCATGATATTTTTCTATTCCACATGCTCTGTGGATTAGGCTATCAAAGAGAGAATAATCAAGAACTGAAAACAGCATACAACAATTTGATTATCATTATTCTATGAACTGCAGGAAATAACCTGTCAATACTCACTGGCAAAGAATTCAAGTAGACGAAAATGGTTGTATGAGAATATATAACATACTTGAAGTGTTCTCTAGTTCTTTTGTAATTTCTAGAGCACGTAGTTCTGCTGCTTTCTGTGCTGCTTCAGCATGGCGTTTTTCGGTACGTGCACGGGCAGCAGCTGAAATCGCATTATCCAGTTCTTTTTCTAAAGTCTCCACCCTTTGCTCAAGAACCTATTGTTATCAAACTGTCAGGATCATGAAATGCCAATACCACTCATGCCTGCTGAGTAGTTAAAGACAGCATTACGCAATTACAAGCTATAAAGTGCACTAGATGGATGAGTTAGCATTATAATTCTACAAACTTCAAAGAGAAACTATATAATCAAAGAGAAACTAAAGAGTGGATCAACTATATATATATATATAATATATATATATATATAGGAAAGAAAAACTTTCGAACTGCAGCTTTCAAACGATGTAAAGAAAACCGATCGTGACCACCTTCTAATTGACCATAACTATGAGCATCCATCACTACGGTTCAATCCATCACAAAGAAGCTTCTCTCCCCAGATCAATATCAAGTATAATCAGAAACACAGAAGAGATTGTATGTTTCGTATCAGGACCTCGCCACTGAAAGCTGATAATGGCGCAACATTTTTATGTTACACATGACAACGCACACGGAAAATCCAATTATCAAAAATCCCTAGAAATCGAACTCAATCAAAACCACCCGCAGAGCGAATCTCAAAACATCAAGCATAGCAAGGAATTAGCGCAGCACTTTGGAGGCAGTTAACCGATGGTAAATCCGAAACATATATAAGCAGAGGTATACGACCTTGATTGCCCGAGCTTGTTCGGAGCTGAGGGAGGCCTTGGCGAATGTATCGTCGTCAACATAAACAGCTTTCTTTATCAGTAGCTTCTGTAAAGAATCGAGATTTGACGACATCTCGGTGAGATTGGCGATCGCTGCCGGCCATCTGTCGCCCCCTTTCCCCTTTTCTTTGGCTCTGTCCTCCTCCATTTTCCCTTGATTTCTCCTGTTCTTTTTTTCTTAAAAGATACCAACAAGAAGAAGCAAGCAAATGTGCATAGTTACCACTAAAAGCGTGCTTCTTCTTTAGTTCGACAATACTAAAATCGTTGTTTAGGCACTAGTCAGTACTCGCTGTCGTAGATCAATTATTTAAATAATATTAATATAAATAATACGGCAAAAATAGCCTTAAACTTTGGGTTTCTTTGATTATTATTTTATTGATACAAAATTGATTTTTTTTTAAGTATAATATAAAAAGTATAAAATATAAATGTTCTGATTGAATAATTTTGAAGAATAAATGAAATGAATAATATTTATTAAATATGTGATTGAATTAAGGTAAATTGTTTTATTTGAAAATAAAAAACAAACACAACACAGTCGGGTTATGTATTTTGCAAAAACGCACCACACGGTCAAATCACTGGCCACGCCGCTGCTTCGATGCTTCTCACCATCTCCGCCGTCGCCGGCGCTGCTGTGTAAACTGTAATTGTGTAAGTTTAGAATTTACTTTGCTCCATTAGTTCTATTTATTGTCGATCTTCTGTTTCTGGGTTTGATGCCTATAATGTGTTCGATGAAATGCCTCTTTGAATTTTATCTTTTACTTATTTGTTATTGTTTGTGATATAAATAGAGCTATCCATTGAAAGCTTCTTTTACGATATTATTGTAAGTTTGCTACTTCACTGCCGAGCTTTTTTGTTGAATTGCTAATTAAGGAACACATTAGTATTTTAAAAACTCTCCAAAAAAGAAGTATTTTAATTTCCACATACTATTGTTCTAGCTTATTCTACATATTATAGAACTTTTTCAGCTTACTATTAATTTGCAGCATTCATGGTGCACTACTCTTTTAGTACACCGTTAACTGAAATAATGCTTTCCTCCGAATATGTTCACTTGTGCTTTCCTGAGGTTGCTATGATTTCTTTTTACAGGAACTCTTGGTTTTTAGTTATAAATCTAGATTCTTGTTTTCATATGTTTTCTTGATGCTGGTATTATTTGATGTTGTTCGGTCAATTTGACAAAATTATATATCAGCGAGTGGAAATTCGAACTGAAACAGTGAGTGATGTTATGTTTTGCTTTTAAGATGAAATAGCATATTTCAAATGAAAAATAAATTTTGGATGAGATGTTTTTTTAGAGAGAATTGAGTGATTGCACATGCTTCTTATTACCAAATAAAAGTGAATACATTTTGTTAACAAAGTTGTGCTATCAATCCCATTTGCAGCACGGCCACAGAGGAAAGCCCCCTAACACAAGTGGCGTACAGTTAGCCGCAACCCACAAAAATTACTCACAGTTTCACATTAGTTTAGCATTTCCCAACTACCTGCCTATCCACTGGAAAAGGGGTGCACAGCTAAGTTTTCATATGCCCAATCCATTAATATCAGGTTTATGGAAGATAATTTCCGGGAGTGCCACCACTAGAAGGTAAGCAAGACGTTATCAATATTGGCACTGGTGCAGGATTTAAGTTTATTTCCCTTGATTGTTTCAGCTTTAAATCCAAGCTTTTAAAGTGAATTAGGGTGGAAAAAACTCCTGTTCTGTTACAGTTATATTTAAATTTTTTGAATACCGTTATTTATGTATACATGCCCGCTCTGTAATGAGCATTACTTACAATGTTGGTGAATTTTGTTGCTTCAAAGGATGTGTATTTATGTGATGAAGTGGATTTTCAATGCCAAAAATGTGTTTCTGGTGCTTTGAAATCAGAATTATTTGTGAAAACTTTGTACTTGTATTTGTATTTGTATTTGCATTTGTGTTTGGTTTTGCTGTTCTATTAGGTCAAATAGTTTTTGGTTGTGATATTATGAACAGAAAATGGATTTATTTTTATTAGGAACAGTGAAATTCCATTGAAAAATTATATATATATATCCATATTCAAAATTATTCTGAAAAAATGGATGTGATGTGATTGCAGTGTCTCCTACAGGGAATCTCCACATTGTTACAAATGGCTGGTGAGAAGAATTTCAAATCCTGCTTACTCAGTAGAAACGGCTTTGCCTGTTCGTTGTAAGGGTTGCTTTGGGTTTAGGAACCATGGAATGATCATGTATAGATCAAGTTTACTGGGTGCTCAGCCTGATCGAAGATCATGTATGTTTGAAGTTCGAAGTATGATAAGAGGATATGCTAAAGCCACTGCGAATGCAGCTATTGTGCTGAACACCAATGAAGATGTTATCCGATTTGATGTTGGTAATGAGCCTGGTGGAAGAAGTTCTTTGAAGGAAGCGAATAAAACTGCAAGAAAGGCTGAGATGTCAAGGAAGGCAAAGTTGAATGAACTTCGATTTTATCGATTGAAAGCAAAGAAGAAAATGAATTCTCCTAACCCTGAAGTGAGAATAAGATACAAACTTGAAAAGGTTAGCAAACAGTCCTTTGGAAAATTCAATTCCTTTGGGGTGCATTTTCTCATACGCTAAGTTAGTTCTGCACATGGTTATCCCTTTTACATTGCTTATTTTCCGAGTATCTTTTATTCAGGCAAAAAGGAAGGAAACATGGTTGATCGAGAAATTGAGAAAATACGAGTTTCCGAAAGCACTGCCCGAAACCCATGATCCTGAAATACTGACTGAAGAGGAAAGGTTTTACCTGAAGCGTACTGGTGAAAAGAAGAAACATTATGTTCCGGTTGGGAGACGAGGTGTCTTCGGAGGTGTTGTTCTTAACATGCATCTCCACTGGAAAAGACACGAGACGGTCAAAGTCGTTTGCAAGCCTTGCAAACCTGGGCAAGTCAATCAATATGCCGAAGAACTTTCTAGGTTGAGCAAAGGCATAATTATTGACATAAAACCCAATAATATCATAATATTCTATCGGGGGAAGAATTACGTTCAGCCCGATATAATGTCGCCTCTCGATACTCTGTCTAAAGCAAAGGTATTATTTTTCTGACTGATTACGGGTTACCCATCTTGCATTTTGTGTGTAGTGTCAATGATGTTCAGATAAAAGTTTAGATCTTTAGCTACGGCTGCAACTATTGGGATTTGCTAGATATAATCGATACCTGAGATAGAACAATATTTTATAATTAAGTGGGAGATACTATTAGGAAATCTAGTTAGTCATTTAACGGCCATGACCTGTGTATATTGTGATTTGATTTCATTCACATATATTTATGGCATTTGCAGGCCCTGGAAAAGTATCGATACGAGCAGTCCTTAGAGCATACAAGTATGTTCATTGAAAAGTTGGAAAATGAACTCGAAGAATATTATAAACATCGTGAGAGATATAATAAAGCTAAAAGTTGATCGACATTGGGCTCCAAAAGTCTGCAGTAAGTATGTCAACATTTTGAGTGAAGCTACTTTACAGCGCGATCGATACTTGTGATCACTCATCAATGAAATAGAAGTCATATCTGGTTCGATTATTAAGGGATAAGATCAATCCTTACTAGCATCGTAATCTATGCTTGAAGCTTTTGCATTACAGATTCTTGTGGATTCCTAGCATTCAATTTTCATCTTACTCATAATCTTTGCTAGGTTCGCTCATTTCAGCCATTTTTATTCTCGAGAAGCTTTTAAGATTTCACAGAGATTGGATTGATGGCGCCAATTGTACCTGCTATCACTATCTTTGCAATCTTCTTGTTTCAACTCTGCTTGTGACAATTTTCTTGTACGTTCGATTCTCTATTTGTTCAGTGGATCTGTACATAGTGCATCTATGGTGATATAGGAATGAAAACTAGATTTTGACATCAGTCACCATTACAACAGTTCTTTACAGCAGCATATCTGTGTTCTTCTCTACATTCCCCTTTGTTGTAATGAAGTTAAGGGATGTTTTACTGTTAGTAGATTTCTTGTAATATCTGTTTGTTCTGGGGAGTCGCCTCATTTGTTGAGTTTAAACTCCGGTTCGATTTGTGCAAAAACCTTTTTACATATGTGCGGGTGAGAAAATTTTAGCACTTGAACAATGTACGGATAATGGCAAAATTGTATATGATAGTTGCAGTACTAAACCGAATGTACATTTTCAATTCAAGATACAGGGAGAGCTCAAGCACAAGCCCAGAAAAAAGACGGCAAAAATTGTGCGAGGGCGAGGACGTGTGCTATGATGTTAGTGGGCGCAGCTTTGATCACTGTTCTTCCACAAGTTAAGGTATCATCTGAGTTTTCCAATTATTTCCTTTTTCTTCCGTAACACCTTCTGCCCGTGGTAAAGGAAGGAATTTACAATCCCGGCAACCGTGAATACACCTGCGCGAAGGAATAAAAGGTCAGCAGCACGTAATTAGTGAACCTCTGAAAATGCACGCATCCATGCTCGTTTAGTGTAGTGTAGTGTTGTTTTGTGACCTCCGACTATGGCGCAGATATGCGTGACGAAGTGAAGGAACGGCGTCCGTGTCTCTGTGAAAGTCACCTGCGACGAACAAAACACAAACACAGACCTAATCTCAGCGGGCATCGATCAAATTGAGCTGTACAAAGGTTTCTTTAGGCTAAACCAAAATTATGTCGAACGAAGTATAAAATATGACTGAATGTTTCTGTTCACAGCTACAGGAAAACGTTAGCGCGAACCTGTATAGGGGAAAGATCGTAATAGAAGAAAACTCCCGGAGGTGACTCGAGACGGTCTTCAGAACTCATGTAGTGCTCAGTCACAGAGAACTGGATGAGCCGAATTGAATCGAACCGAATTGACATTAATATAAAACCAAAAATACATTTCCCATTAGTAGAAGGTACCAACCTGATTTGAGTGGATAGTATGGCCTATGATGTTGGTGTACACAGTTGGAACCACCTATATATATATAATATTAACGATTGACTGTGAATTTCTACGTCATAAAAAGAAAAATGGACTGCGAATTTCGTGGTCATAAAAGAAAAATGGATGAAGAGAGAATTCTCACCTTGGTGAAGTATTGATAAACTCCACTAGGTGTTGGTTGCTCCCATTGTGCCCTAAACAATAAAATTTATTAGATGATCAAAATAATTGTTTTATCTAAAAGTTTAAATTTTTAGAAATATGCATCATTAATTATTTTTCTAACATAAGGGAGTTTTTTTATAAGAATTCATCAAGAGAAGAGATAACATGATCGGGAAGACGAAGAACAAATAAACTAATACGACCATTGTTAAGAATGCCCTACCCATCCAAGGGATTTACGACTCCCGGAATGAAGTCGCCGAATGATAACTTGTTGATCCTATGGCTTATCTGCGCGAAATGTTGTGTTTAGATATACTTTGGAAGAGTTTCGATGTTTTGGGTTGCTTTGACAACAGTAAAAAGTTGAATAGAAAATAGATGACGAATAAAAATTGGGATCATAAGAAGATATATATTGTATCAAGAAAAGTAAAATTGGTAGTTTCTTACATTATAACTATCAGCTGGAAGAGCCGGCAAATTGAGCTCGATGGTACTTGGTTGGCGCAAGCTTTTACCGGGCACGAAATGGAAGTTTCCGGCCACTTTGTTAACCTCGAGAGTTCCATGTATGTTGCATCCTTCGCCGACTTCTTCCTTCAGTTTTTGCACGAAACCTTCTCTTACGCACTACAAGACATAAACCACGAGCGAGAAAAAGTACTTATTCGAATGCAGAAATGGAGGCGAAAGCAGAAGGCGAATGTTTAAATAAAAATGGCGTAATGTAAACCTGATCGATCATATTTGGATTTGCCAGCCACCAACCTTTGGTTCGATACGCTTCGCGGACATCATGGCATGAATTGCAACAGTCATCGTCAGACTGCAAAAGAGAAGTGTAAAAAAAATATTAGATGTTTAAGCAAAATCGTGCGCGAATATGATTATCTTTGGCTGCATAACAATGGCTGCGTGTCAATAGGCCCAAGTACCTGTTCTGCTCCATAACACGAACCACAGTATGTCTCGTTGTGCTCAAGCCGACCACCGTGTCTCTGCAATGGCCTCCCGATCTGGGATCAACACATTCGATCAAAACAACGAGTAAGGCAACAATTAGAACCAATATACTCATGAACACTTGTAATTCTCGACGAAAAATTATAAGCATAATTTAAAAGGTCTGCATAATTCTCCCTAATAATCATTCTCTTGTATCTTCGAAAATATTGCAAATAATTCTGTTTTTAGAAGATTATTTGCAATATTTCTTAAAGCATACAAAGAAGTCTCGTGAAATTTATAGGGCATTCTATATAATCTTTTCTAATATATAAGGAATTTCATACAGTTTTTAAATCATGGAAATACAAGGAAGCCTAACTGAATTTTTAAAACATTTTATACAATATTTTCTAAAATAAAAGAGTGTCATACAATTTCTAAATTATGAAAAATACAGAGACTCACGGAATCTTTGGTAAATTTTATGAATTAATTTTTTAATTACAAAGGAACCTCATACAATTTTTAAATTATGAACATGAAAAAGAGTCTTGTATAATTTTTAAATTATGAAAACACAAGAAAGCCTAATGGAAACAGAAGTATAAGATAATTTTACATGCAGTTTCTAAATCATGAAAAAATAGCGTATGATGTAAATTTTCCAAAATACAGGCTTTGATTATAAGCAATTTTGTCTTTATTATAATATTATTCATTAATCAAGTAAATCACAAAAAGAATATCAAAAGCAGCTCACGGTTGCGAACCTTGGGCGCGCCAATACCGTCTTGTCTCACTTCAATCGCATTCCCGTAGGAATCAATCCTTGTCTTGAATATATTATGCCTCTACAAGTTTCAAAACATGATGAATGCAATCAACAACAAAGGCACAATTTAGTATATGCACACGATCAAAATATTTCCTCGATCATTCAAAAACTCTGTATATGAAAAGATTCAAACATTAACATACTACGTCCCGATGCTCCTCTCCACTAACATCTTCGGCATCAACGCTGAGCAACGTACATGGAGTCGCCGGAAAGCTTATATCAAACTGCAAAGGTCAAAAATATATTAGTAAAAATAGCTATTAAAATATTCTTTTTAGTGATGATCGCGTGCTCGTAGAACACTAAGATCAAACGAGCTAATACTATTCAATGAATTTTTTTGGACTGTTTTTTTTTTTTTTTTTCTAAGAAAAAAACAAAGAAAGAACTTATGACAAATATGATGGAGAAGCTATATATATATATATATATCTTACATTGATTTGTAATTTGCCTCCTCGCGATGTATCTACGACGAGCTTTGTATCCGTAACTGTGTTGAGATACAACCCTGCAAATTAACCAGCAATGCACCAAATTAAAATTGAAAAGATGGAACAATTAAAGCATTGAAAGAGAGATCTATCCTTCAAAGTAGCAATCCAAATCAATATAATTGAAAATTGAAAACCTAAAAGTTGAAAGAAGGAATTAAGAAAGCCATAGACAAACACATGGACATACTGAGCTCAGAGACAAAAAGCAAAGCGATGAAGAGGGAAGAGACGATGGTGACGAGGCCACCAGTTAGGGTTCGGCTGTAGAAATCCTCATTCACTTTTGGGTACGCGTCGAGACTCCTCAGCTTTCTGAATAACCTATTCATCTTGGAATTCAATCGATTAATTAAGGCTGTAATTGGCTATTGCTAATTTGCAATTGGACACACACAGATCAGATCAGATGAAATCAAAATCAGATGAGATCAGACGACATGAATTGGATTATAAGTAAGGTCGAAGAGCCAGCCAGCCAGCCAACCAACCAGCAGGCACAGAATGAACGATTAATTCGATTCTTCTGCGTGGGAGGAAGGCTGGCAGCGAGGGAACTTAATTAGTTTTTCAAATTATTTTTTCGATTGATAGATATATATATATATATATATATATATATATTGATCTTCTTCTATGTGTGCAATATTTTGTTTCTTCCTAATTATTTATTAATCATCTTCTCATATCTGTTTACATATATATATGTATAGATATATATATATATATATATATATATATAGGGCTTCAAATTTCGATACCTCACTTTGTGCATTGCCATTAATTAATTCCCATCGTAGCATGCAAATTACGGTTATTCCGCTCAAGCGCTACCATGCAAACCCCCACCAAAAATATTCTTCTATAAACTTTCTTTCGAGTTTTCAACACAATTCTTCGTACCTTACATTACATTACGTATTTTTTCAACTCCCACTAGTTATCATTTTGTTTTTTTGTTTTTTTTTTCAATTTTTAAAATATATAATATTACATCCGTCCTGCTTTAATATTTCATTTACTTTTTGTTTATTGATCTTTGAATATTAATTATTATATCAAAACGTCGTAAAAATACATACAAAAATACAAAAATACTTCTATTAGTGTCTTATAATACTAATAAAAAGACATTTGTACAAAAAAATTTATACAAATATAAAAATATTTGTAATGTTAAATACAATAACGCAAAAAGTAAACGTAACACGGAGAGAGTATTAAACAATCTTTTTTCATTTATAATATTATATTAACTTCGTTATGGATATAATATTTCATACTTTTATAAACCATCACATCTAACAACTTTAGATAATTAATACTCCCTCCGTCTCATATCTATATATTCATTTGTTTTTTACACGGAGTTTTAGAAATATTAGTATTATATTGGGATAAAGTAGAAATAAAAGTAAAAATACTAGATTAACCCTATTAGTATTGTATGAAATAAAGGTAATGACATTTGTGTAATATATAGTAAATTGGAAGGGTATTTGTAATATTACGTAGGTAGTACAATTACTAAAAAAAATTGATACTTTGTTATAGGACAGACCAAAATGAAAAAATGAATAGATTGTTAAGGGACGGAGAGAGTATCATTTTTATTTGAAGTACAAATTTCTCAATTGGTATAGTGTTTCTTCTATTAAATTTGTTATTCAATTCCATTGCCAACAAAGTTTACAAGGTGTGTTTGTTTGAAGGATTTTGGAGGATTTCCACTATTCATCCAATTTTTTCCCCCCAAAAATATCAAATCAAACACTTATTTTTCATTTTTTATATTATACTAAAAATCAATTTTACATTCAAAACATCACATCAAACCCTATTTATATCACATCATACAACTATTCAAATTCAAAATTTTTACTATTCAAATCCCAATCCAAAATCCAAACCCCCAAACAAACACACCCAATCCAAGAAATTAACTCCACTGTGATTTAAGCAAGATCAAGCTGCAATACACCTCACAAAAATGAGTAAAAATATACACAACACTGAATTTGTTTTTCTAAATTTGGCCTCCATCAAAACCTACATTTGGGGTTTCAATTCAAGCAACTCCACTATGATTTCAGATAGGATCAAGCTACAATACATGCCGCAAACCTAATCGCCTGTAAAATTACTGTAGATCCTATGCTGATCCGGCCAAGTCAATATGGTGTTTATTTGATCGGATTATCATATATTATATAAATAACCAGTATATATTTATATATATATATATCTCAACATATATTGTTTTATAAAATAATGTATAATTCATATAAGTATATACTGACCAATCAGCCATGTTGATTTGACCTGATCAGCCGTTGATCCATGCCCCTGTAAAATATATTAGTACTATTATATATATATATATATATATAGCAAATAGTCCTATAGATTAGTATTGCTTAGAGTATGTTTTGAAACAATCTCATTGCTAGACATATATCTACATGCAACACAAGCATTCATTTTCAAACTGTGCTTTAAGCTTATTTGATTTACATAGGAACATTTTATACAATTTTCCTATATAGAGTGTATGGTAACAATTCATTCAAAATACAATGAATCTAATATACATTAATTTGATTTGGCTGGCAACACTTTTATAAAATTATTCTAAATTTCTATCTACCAATCACCAATTCAGATTCGTTTCATATTTGATCCTAGAAGCAGCAGTCATTATATAACATGTAATTATAATAGTGACAAATTTGATCTTAAAAGCAATTTTGACAATTTGGTAAGATATAATTACGAAATATTTGTCCAGAAAAAAAATATATATATATATATATATATATATATACAAAACAAGACAAAGACAATAGAGACTGGAGGAGTGAGTGCATGTGCAGCAGAACGCGTGCTTCTTAGAAACGCGCTTTTACTGAAATTTCAAACCTCAACTAATCTCCCCTCCCCTACCTAATAGCGTAACTACCTTTATATATTTTTCTCTTTTCTTTACCAGGTGGGAATCCGCAGTCGCTATCCGAAAGTGTGCACTGGGTCAACTACCTTTATATTGTGTTTTATATTGTGTTAATATATTTTTATCATGTAAATACGATTATACTTCCTCCGTCCACTTAATGAGCTTACATTTATATTTTACGTCGTTATATTTAAATTTAAAAATATCCTTATATTTGTATAATTTTTTATACAAATGTCATTATATTTGTATTACAAGATATTGTATTTTTATTTTTTTTCCTTAATTTGTACTTACGTTTTGATATAATAATTAATATTAAAAATCAGCATGCAAAAAGCAAATGTCAACCTTCTAAGTGGGTGAAGGGAGTATTATTTTATCTTATAAAATATTAAATCAAATTTTATTTAAATTAAAATTCAAACTCAAATACAAATCATGCATTGGATGAGCATATTTTACAGGGAATGATATTTTTCTATATCTAAAATTGTTAAGCTTTATTGTTTATATGTATTTATTTTTTATCTAGTGATATTTATAATCCGTGTTAAGCATGAATTATTTTTATATTAAATTATATACGGATTTAATATTTTTTATAAATAATACTTAGAATTTATAAATAATAATAATAATAAAGACGTTAATCACGTAGCTGCATGAGCCTCTAGAATCATTAATGGAGCCCCACCTGCCTGCATGCATGCTGAGACAAAATTAGTTCTGTATCAACCAACTATATATATATATATATGTATGTATAAGTCTACTGTCTATAACCATAACAATAATATATATATATTTTTTTTTTAATTAGTTATAATCCATATATACCTCCAAGCCGATTTTTCATACTCCTTAAATCCACCACTTCAATATTTCAATTCCATCTGTATAAAATTTGATCCTTAGCTTCATCAATTTTATATAAGGAAATATATAATTTGTAGTAGTTTCGTTCGGCTCGTTTATTTTTTGCGTGTTAATATTTGAATATTAATTATTATATAAAAACGTAACACAAATTAAGAAAAAATTGCAAAAATATTTTCATTAGTGTCTTATAATACTAATAAAAGAATATTTGTTCAAAAAATTGTACAAATATAAGGATATTTTTAATGTTAAGTACAATGACGCAAAAGATAAATATGACATTTAGAGGCTGACGGAGGGATTATAATTTATTACTTCCTCCATCGTCCAATTTCAGTATTCAAATATTTGGACAAGAGTTAAAAAAGAAAAAATATATATCTCTTACTATTATATTTTTTAAATGTAGGAAAACCATTAAACATTTTCAAATTTTCTTTGTTTACACAATATATTAAGATAAGTTATGATAAGACAAGTAGACGAACCATGTGTGGCCGATGATCTGAAGCATCGAGGGTTTGAACCATGACCCTACGATTACGAGTCCACCCCTACACCACCAAATCATCCCTTACGAGATAGCAAAGTACTATTTTATCTCTATAACTGGAATTCAAATTTCGAAGGCTGATCCGACGCCGTTTTATTCGATTCTCTGTATAAACAATTATAGTAGGCGAAGAAGAAATAAATAAAATAAAATAATAATTAAAAAAAAAGTAATATACTCCTTTTGTCCCATTGAAAAGTTTCTATTTTTCATTTTCGTCCGTTCTAAAATAAAGTTATAATTTCCTAATTTAGTATTCTTCCAATTTACACTATATTACACAAATGTCGTTTAATATTACACAATACTCACAGGGATATTTTGTCTTTTTCACTAGAATCCATTATAATACTAATATTCAAAAATATACATACAAAAAATAACAACAACTTTACACGGGGACGGATGGAGTAATTATATATATAATTATAAAAAAAAAATTAAAAAAAAGATGGAAGGCAAAGGCAGGCCCCCAAATGCATCCGCCACTGCCTATAAATACTCCAACTTGTCTTCCCTATTCCTCTCACACACACTCGATCATTTAATTATACACTCAATATCAATATATATATATGATATATCTCGATCGCTTAAGATTATTAACTTAATTAAAACCATAGCATCGATCAAATTAAAACTATGGATAGAGTGTGTGTTATTGCGGCGTTGCTAATAGCAACGGCGGCATCTTTGCCGGCGCCGTCATCGGGACAAGCCACAGCAGTGGCGACGAGGGTCGGATTCTACTCGACGTCATGCCCCCGTGCCGAGTCCATAGTTCAATCAACAGTCCGTTCCCATTTTGGCGCCGACCCTACGGTGGCGCCGGGCTTGCTCAGAATGCACTTCCACGACTGCTTCGTCCAGGGCTGCGACGCCTCCATTCTTATCGACGGCGCTGCCACCGAGAAGACCGCCGGCCCCAATCTGCTCCTCAGAGGGTACGAAGTCGTCGACGACGCCAAGCAGCAGCTCGAGACCGCCTGCCCCAGTGTTGTCTCCTGTGCCGACATCCTAGCATTGGCTGCTCGCGACTCTGTGGTTCTGGTTCGTCTAAATCAAATACTTATTTTTCATTTAATATATGATTTTTAAGGATAAATAGATTTTTTAGTTTCATAATTGGACTATTTATCATTTAGTCCCGTTGCAAACTAATCTCTTAAGTAAAAAAATTTCACAATTTTAATTCTCCGACGCTGGAGATGCCTACGTGGCACTCACGTGGCTCGCAGGGGACACGTATCCATCAAATCAGCAACATCTAACGGACATTTGAATTTTTATTTGTTTTACTTTCTTCATTTTTTAAAAAGATTTTAAATTAAAATTAATTAATTAATTAAATTTTTTTAAAAAAAAATCTACGCGTCAGCCGGGTGTAGCTGACCTGGCGGACACATATCTTCTGGCGAGCAAAGCTGGTGCCATGTAGGCATCTCCGGCACCGGATGACTAAAATTAAGGGTGTCAAAAGTAAACCCGACCCGAAAAACCGAACCCGTTCGACCTGAAATTTTTCAGGTTCGGGTTTGGGTATTTCGGGTTTAAAAAAATCGGGTCGACCCGAACCTGAAACCCAAAAAAAATTTGTGTCGTGTTCGGATCGTGTTTCGGGATGACTTGATAACCTGAAATATCAAAGTCAGGTTAGGTTTTCGGTTTCGTGTTTCGGGTTGACCTGAAATTTTTATTATTATTATTTTAATTTATAATATTTATATTATTTTATAATTAAAATAAAAATGATATTTTTTTAGGTCAATTTAATTTTTTTTAAATTTTCGGGTCTGTTTCGTATCGGGTTTGTTCGGATTTTGGGTGACCTGAAACTAATTCAGGTCAACCTGAACCCGACCTGAAAGAATTCGTGTCGTGTTCGGGTCTAGAATTTCAGGTCAGATTTCGGGTTCGGGTCGGGTTCGGGTTGATAGTTTTTTGTTATCCCCATGGCTCAACCCGACACGAATACGACCCAAAAATACGAATTAACACCCCTAACTAAAATTGAAAAAATAAAAATTCACTTACGGGACTAATTTGCGACAAGGTCTAGTTACAGGATTAAAATTTAAATTTTTTAGTGAATGGACATTGGTTCAGGCCGGCGGGGCGAGCTGGGCGGTGCCGACGGGCCGGCGCGACGGGCGGGTTTCGGTGGCAAGCGAAGCTGCGAACTTGCCAGGGTTCACGGAGTCGATAGCCTCGCAAACGCAGAAGTTTCTAGACAAGGGCCTCAACGTTCAGGACCTTGTCACCCTTGTTGGTATTTTATTTTAAAATTTTTAATAGTAATTTGAATGTATATTTTATAGGAAAAATAAAATTAATCTCTCTATTCTCAATCTACCAAGGTTTTTACTACACTTTTATTCCCTTTGCAAGAAATATGATTATTAATTGCATGATAAAAATTAAATTAAATTTAAGAAAACCTAATTTTATTAGAAAAATAAAAGAAAATTCATGAAAATCATGTGCTAATTCGGCCAAGCTGTGGTGTTAATTAAGTTGACCGAGTTAGCATATGTTATATGGACAATCAATATATATTTATGCATATGTTAGAACATATCATCTTATAAAATAGCATATGAATTATAATATAATATTTCTTTTCTTTCAAATCAAATGGATATTTTGAATTTTGTTAATAAATTAAAAAATAATGGTATTTTATTCGTTAATGAAAATAAGTAAAAATTTGACATTTTTACCATCTGATTTTATTTATTAACTGAGAAAATAATAAAAATGATATTTTGAATTAGTACGGATGAAGTATATGTTATTATAAATATGTTAAAATATAGGTTAGTCACTTTTACAACATATGTTGATCTAATTTAATTGTTGACGATATGGACACCAAATTAGGTGCACACACTATTGGGACGACGGCGTGTCAGTTCTTCAGCTACCGGCTATACAATTTCAACTCGACGGGCAGCCCGGACCCGTCTATCGACGCCACCTTCCTTCCGACGCTCCTGTCTCTCTGCCCGCAGGGCGGCGACTCGTCGCGGCGGGTGGCGCTCGACAGCGGCAGCGAGGCCCGGTTCGACACGTCCTTCTTGGGCAACCTGAGGGACGGCCGCGGGGTCCTGGAGTCCGATCAGAAGCTGTGGACCGACCCTTCGACGAGAGCCGTGGTGCAGCGGTACCTGGGCGTGAGGGGCCTCGCCGGGCTGACGTTCGGCGTCGAGTTCGGGAGGTCGATGGTGAAGATGAGCAACATAGAGCTCAAGACTGGGACTAATGGCGAAATCCGCAGGATTTGCTCGGCCATTAATTGATCGATTCATGATCCAGTTGATCCTACCTTATATATAAATTGAATTTTAAAAATTGTAATAATACATATATATATATATATATATATAACTGTATGTTGTGTTTGTTGTCTTTGTCATATTGTCTGTTGAATTTGTGGGTTCGGATATGAATCTAAGTGTTAAGTGTGTTGAAATGTTGGTCTTCTTTTGATTAATCTTTCTATCTACTGATTAATATTTTCAATTTTTTTTCATAAATATTTATTACTTATATAGGAAAAAATGAAAAAAAAAAAAAAAAAAAAAAAATGAGGGGGCGTGAGGAATATATATATTCTACTTTGGAAAAAAAATGTCGGAATTTTCTTAGTTTATAAAAGTGAATAGAAACTCCACTCGTCACCAACTACTTTTTCTAGTTTTTCTTTCTTCTAAAAGGTAAAATTTTATATTTTTACCTAATTTTTTAAAACTCGTGTCTATCAAATGAGCACTCAATTGAACGACGGAAAAAGTTTTTTTTGTTTAAAATATAGATAATTGTATTGATAATAAATATACATATATATTTGTTTTTTAATTGTTGATTTTTTATTTTTTTTTGTGAGAAAATATAATATATATATCGTATTTATATTATGTGAATATATATACCTATTATAATTTATATTAATACTCATTAGAAATCATGTAAAAAAAAAAATTATTTGGTGAACAAACCCGCCATTCTTTTTTTAAAAAAAGAAAAGTTTCTACCTCAAACATGAAATTTCATTATCTTCCATCCGGGCGGGAATCCTCAGCCTCATTTTCGTCTAGTTTCATCTATATTATGTATATATATCACTTTGCGTGAGTGAATTTGACGGGGCTAAGCAAAAACTGGGCCGGTGATCTTGTGCCCTTCCATCCAACATTCATTTATTTTAAAGATATATGTATACTTAGGTGTATTTGTTTGAAAGTTTGGATTTTGAGTTGGGATTTGAATAGTAAAAATTTTAAATTTGAATAATTATATGATGTGATATAAATAGGTATTGATGTGATGTTTCGAATGTAAAATTGATTTTTAATATTGATTTGATGTTTTTAGAGAAAAAAAATAGAATAAATAATGTATTTAAAATTCAATCTCCTAGTATAAAGAGAAGAACTATAGTATGTTTACTCGAACCATATTTAAAAAGTAGAGGTTGCATTCATGTCATAAATATATATATATATATATATAGAAACTATAGTGAAGAAAAAAAATTTCTAAATATCTCAAATTTAAATATTTTTTTCAAAGGAGAAATTTTATTATTTATTGATTTAAGAAAAATACAAAAATTAATATTTACAATATATAATTATTGAGGTTGTTGTAGTTAATTATTTTATAATATTTTCAAAATATGACAATAAAATGTGAGACCTAGTGTTGCAGAGTTTAATCTATAAGCTCACTGTCACGAATTTATTCGACACTATCATGTCGTTTCTTAGTGACTAACACTCATCTTCTTCATAATTTCACATACATGTGGCTTAAACATAATTTAATTAAAGAAAAACTGTTTTTTAGTCCCGTAACTGGACCGCTTTATCATTTTAGTCTCGTAAGTGGAGCTTGTCGCAAACTAGTCTTATAAGTGAAATTTTGTTGTTGTTTTAGTCCTCCGGCGCCGGAGACGTCCTCGTGGCTCGCCGGAGGTGACGTGTCCTCCAGATGTCCCGACACCTGGCGGACACATCGATTTATTTATTTTTTTCATTTTTTTAAATTTTTTTAATTGGACCAAATAAAAAAATAAAAAAAATACAAATAAAATTAAAAATAAGTTTTAGAAAAAAAAATTTAAAAATGAAAAAAAAATAAAAAAAATTCACGTGTCCGCCAGGTGTCGCTTACCTGGCGGACACGTCACCTCCGGCGCCGGAGGACTAAAACAGCGAAAATTTTCACTTATGAAACTAGTTTGCGACATGCTCCACTTACGGAACTAAAATGACAAGGAGTCAGTTAAGGACTAAAAAAACAGTTTAGCCTTTAATTAATTACCATATATGGGATTTAAAGCTCTTCTTAATGTGTTTTAATTATTAATATACCAAAAAGCATGAAATCTAAACATTCTTCATGTTTCCAATGTAACCTCCTTTCTATTCCTACTTTAAATGTCATTAAATTTTGTAAAAATAGTTATCACATTTCAATGAATTGAATGCCAAATGATAATACATATTCCCTCCGTCCCAATACAATAGTCTTGTTTACTATTTTTGTCCGTTCTAAAACAATAGTCTTATTTTCATAAATAACCATATCACCGTAAAACTATCCATACTTTTTCATTTTTATTATACAATTGTCACTACTTTTTATACTAATACACCCACATGGACAAAAAAAGTCTTTTATCCATACTTTTTATCCACTACTAGTATAATATCAATATTTCTTAAATCTCGTGCTCAACATGGGGACGGAGGGAGTATATAAATTTCTATTGGCAAAATAAAAAGAATATAAGTTAAGCATATAATATTGAGATAAAGTAGAAACACATATCTTAGAATTTATATACACCATATATATATATATATATATATGGAACATTTTCTTGTATATTCCGTTAAGAAAATCAACTTGTTCGATCGAATATTTACTGTAAGTAGATTGTTGATTTTTTTTTACTAATAAAAGTTGTCAAATTCGGTATAAAATATATTGAGTTTAGTAAAAAAAAAAAAAAAAATTAACTAAATCGCACAAGAAATTTATTAAATAACATAAGAAAAAAATAAACAATTTATATATAACCATCGAATAGTGTTGTTTAGCACATGATCGGAAAATAAAGGTTTTGTTTATTTAATATCTTTTGTTTGGCATTATTTTTCATAAATATTATTTAAAAAAATATAATAACATACTTTAACAACAAATTCTACTAATACTGAAATTAAATTAATACATCCAATTAACTGAAATGGCATAATAACAACATCGTGCATATATAATCTTTAAGAAATCTCACAAATTATTACCAACATAAATACATATATGGTCCAATCATAAAACTGTTATATATAATTCCAACAAATAAACTTCCATTAATTACACATAAATTTTTTATGTTTTTTCGATCAAAAATAGGCAATGCAGCTGTAGCCAAGATTGGGATTACCAGCAGAACCATTATTAGCAATACTATCCCTGTTACTATTATTATTATTATTGTTATTATTATTACCAAAATGATTAAGAACAAGCCCTACAGCAGGTTTATCCTCAAACTGATCAAAAATGGCAGCGCCGGTGAAAAAGGGGTTCGCCGGCGGCGAGGGGGCGATGAGGGTTGCAGTGTGGTGGCAGACGGTCTTCTTGAGGTCATCCATGGCGTCCCAGAGCTGGTGGAGCTCCTCCAGGCCCAATTTTCCGATGGGGGCCTCCCACCAGTACTGTCTCTGGCCGGTCTTGAGTAGGTTGTCGAGATTCTCACCTTTCGTCCTCTCCATGTCCAATTGGGTCAGAATTTGACCTAACTGGAGGTTGAGCTCTCGGACATTGACGTTGCGGTGGGCGTCGATGAGGTGGAAGGGGTCGTGCGGCGGCGAGGGGGTGCGGGAGAGGAGGCGGTCGACGACGGAGTCGACGTTGGGGTGCCCGAAGGAGAAGACTTTTCCGGCGGGGGAGAAGACGACGACGGCGATGTCGGCGCCGCAGAGAGTGCAGAGCTCGCTGGCCTTTTTGAAGAGCCCGGAGCGGCGCTTGGAGAAGGTCACCTGGAGGTGGTTTTTGACCACGATTTTCTCGATTTTGATTTTCCGGCGACCCATGCTCGGCTTCTTCGCCATGGCTGTCTGCTCTGGAGAAGAAGAAGAAGAAGAAGATGATTTTGGGAATTGATTTTGTTGGGGGAAGGGAGGTGGGATTGGGGTATTTATAGGGTTTGGAATGATGGGTATTGTCAATTAATTAATTTATTGATTATCAGGGCATTATAGTAATTTAATTATTGAGGGTATCAAGATTATATATGTGGGTTTCGATTTTTATTGTACTTGATTTGGGGGTTACAAAATCTTGATGACTTAATCAACGTGGAAACGTCTCTCAATATACATACATATATATATATATATATATAGATAGCTTTGATTAGCATAATAATTGGAAATTTATAAGTACTATTTTATTTCAATCAACAAGTAAAAATATTAAAAATAACATATAAAAATATAGGTTTAGTTCAACACAGTGTTTTAAAATGAATTTGATTTTTTTATGTTTGGTATAAGAATTGTGTGAAAAAGTATAAAATGTATTATTATTTTAAATTGAATATTGATTTTTTGTAATAAATATTTGAATTTATTTTTTTTGTAATAAATATTTAAAGTTTTTTTGACTTTGCGATTTTTGTGAAAAGAATAAAATTACTCCCTCCATCCCAGAAGCGTGGGTATAAAATAGAATCTAAAATGCTAAAATGTTCTTACTTTTTTAATGATGGGTTTTAAAAAGTAGGTTAGAGTAATAATTAGGGATAGTTTGGAAAAGTACGAATAATTTTGTTATAAAGTGGAGATCAGGATTACTAAATAAAGAAACAAGACAATTGTTTTAGGACGGACGAAAATAGAAACACAAAACAACTCTTTTGGGACGGAGGGAGTATATGTTTATTATTATTTTTTGAAAATTGTAATTGGGAAAATAAAGTTGGAAGAACAAAGTGTTACATGTACAATAAATGTCGTACTTTTTTTATTATAACTCAATATACTATATTCATCCGACTCTAAAGATTTTATTTACTTTTTTTTTCATATCGATAACTAAATAGTTTAATTAAGACTAAAAAAAATTATAAAAATTAAATTTTAAAATTAGATTAAGGTGTATAATTATATTTCAAAAAATGGAAATGACAAATTATGTGGGACGGACGAAAATAGAAAATAGAGACAAATTATGTGGTACGGTGGAGTAGTTATTAGAAATATTTTTCTGTTCTTTCTTATATGTTATATATATATATATATATATTAGTATATAATACTCCCTCCGTCCACTTACAAAGTTTACATTTACTTTTGACAGTAGTTAAAAGTAGTGTAATGACATTTTTATCTTTACTTTTTTTTTTGTGTAAAAGTAATGATGTGATGTAAAGTGAGAGTATTTGTGAAAAAAAAATAGAATATTTAATGAAATGTTAACTTTGTAATTGGACTTCCCAAAATAGAAATATGTAAACATTGTAAGTGGACGGAGGGAGTACTACGTTGTTATTTTAAACCATGAATGGGTACTTTTGTATTGGAAACGTAGGAACTTGCAACAATTTTGAGTGAATGTGAACTTTATCTATTTTATGATTATTATTATTATTATTATTATTATTATTATGATTATTATTATTATCAAGAAACGTAAGTATGATCCAAAATTTGATACTATTATAATCATTAGTTACCCAAATATACACGAGTTAAACAATTTCAATGCTTTATTTGTAACATAAAACTTTAAGATATCTTATATATATAAAAATATATAATTGTCCAGATAAACAATCGTTATCAATACGACCTCCGGTAAAGGTAAAAATTATAAAATTGAAATAAGTTTCTTGTAAAGACATCGATTGATTCGCTTCGATTCAATTATTTCTTTCCTTGGGTCCAAATCTTCTTCTTTTAACAATAAGCTCTTCTCCGTGTTACGAGTTTTATTTTAATTAATTTTATACATTCTAAAAAACATACATTGCAAAATTTTGAAATTAATCATTTAGAATCCTATTTAATTTTATTAAAATTTCAAGCATGTCAAAGAAAAGTTATAATAATGATAATTTTGCATATAAAATGTTATCATATTTTTTGATATATATAAAGAGATGGGCTTGTTATAATAATATATTCACATGTCACATACAATAATAATTCACAGCTTTAGATGAAATTATACATAATAAGAAAAATATCATAATTAAATGATGAATAATAACGTACTACTACTATTTATTAAAATACAAGTCAGGTGAAGTGTGTAAATTTTTAAGGCAAGTTGTGATTTTACCATATGGGGAACACAAGTACACCAATTATACCAAATTATAAATGTGTTGCTAAATAATTAATAAGATATTATTACCACTATTAAATAACAATATCAGTTACATGGTTTTATGAAATGATTTATTCATTTTTTATTTTTTTATTTTTTATTTACGATGTGAGAATTCGCAGCCGCTACCCGAAAATGTGCACTGGATAAACCCCCGGCCAAACTTAATATCCTGCAAACCAGGCCCGACGGAAAAGTCATACTAAGCGAACCATGTATGATACAAATCCAATCCCTACACCACCAGACCATCCCTTACGGAATATTTTCTATTTTTATTTTAAGTATATGAAAGAAAGAACTTGGTTGATTTGTGGTGAGAATTTTACTCTCTCGTATCAGCTCAAACTATCTCTTTTTTCTTTATCATTTTTGTCTATCAATTCAAAAATATTTCTTTCTATATTTTAATTAAAGTAATTATATACTAATATCAAAATACTTTTAAGAGAAATATATATTTATATATAAAATTTTGAATATGAAAATTTTAATCTGTATTTTGTATTTAACAATATTTGAATCTAAAATGCATGATTCAAATAATAAAATTTATAATATTATCTGTCAAACTAATAGTTTATAGAATTTATTTTATTTTTTTTAATAAATTAAAAAATAATAACATTTTATTAATTACTGTATAAAATAATTTTAATATTTTTACTTTTATAAATAGAAAAGAAACAAATATTTTATAAAAATTTAAAATATGTTGTATATATGCTTGGACAACTATGATATTTTCTAATGAAAATCAAATGGAACATATACAAAGTTTTTTAACCCAATTCTCCAACCCATTGCATGTAAGAAAATGGGGGGAGAGGAATATACAAGAAATATACTTTTTAGTTGAAGTTTATGGTTCCCGTAGATCATCTGCCATTTTGTCATTTTTATTGTAACAACTGCAGAAATAGAGTGGAAAGTTGGAACAAACTTGTACATTCCACAAATATCACATAGGAATTAACCAAAGTCTAACTAGGCTAATGCTTCATAACACACCTCCAAATCTAAGGATTATTACACCAACCTACAGTTCAAGTTGTCCTAACTGAGCATAGGGTGTCGATAATCGAGCCCGAAAGCCCTGAAGCAAGATACAGAGCCTCATTTTTTCGATACTAAAAGCGTTTATATAATTGAAATGAAAGGCGTATTCTTTTAATAGAATGTAGGATAACTCGAAAACAAAAAACTTCATTCGAGATTCGAATAATTAACCTTCAAAGGAAAACCATCCGCAAAAGATAACCGATTATCCCTGCCACGAAGCCGAAGCCCCTACTTAACCATTAACTCAATGAACTCCTTATGCATCTATAGTCCTATTTACATAGACTCATGACACTAAATTCAAAAACCCGAAAATAAAATAAAATAAATACAAAAACCGGCTATCGAGTCATTAACTCTGTGCTACTATCAAAACTAAACCTTAATATTATCGGATATCACATCATTTTTAACTTACCATTGCCACTTCGAAACCACTTCCAATGCAAGAGCATCAATGGCAACCCGAAAGGGCCGGTTTTGCATCTGAAAATGACAAGCAATCAAACCAAGTATACTGAAGTAGTTATAATCAAAATTTGAGAGAAATATCTCCAGATTCTGAAAAGAGAAGAAAATTTAATCAACATACCAGCCACAACGTTACTGACAATCCCCAAAGATTCAAAAACTGGCCTTGAAGCTTGAACATGTAACACATATTCTGAAGGTCAAAGGAACCAATACACACAGCCATGGCTCATGTGAAGAACAAAACCACAAATGTCCCGACACCAATGGTATAATAGATTTCTTGGGTTGACAACGGCCACAATTGTCCACACATTTTTGCAGTTGTTTAGGAAGATTGTCTCACAGTGCACTGGATCCCAATCAACTTGATCCAAATAACCACGAACATACAAAAGCATATGCAGTCTACTACCAAATTAGTTTACAACCCAAACATCGTAACTCATCTTTAGTTTCAATCTTTTTTCAAAGTTACAACACCTCTAATGTATATAAATTAGTTGCCCCGACAGAATGGAAGCAAGGAAGAGCCCAACTGAAACCTACAAGATCTACAAGGTTCTCATCTTTTTGTTGCTACATACAGTAGAGAGGCCATTGACTATTAAAGGATAATTCACTCGTAATTATCCTAAGGATAGCTATCATAACAAAAACAACAGTTTTCTGGTTTCTTTTACCCAAATATGAAGACAAATATATCCTTGCAATATGAACAAAAATATAAGGATCACATCATTTGGATTTGTAGTTCTCTGAGCAATGTATACGAGGTGATGATAGTCGTCATACATATAAGCATCAACATTGTAAGAAAGAAAATCTTACCGGTAGACAACTGCACTACATGATAGGCAAGTAAAAACACAAGTGAACGCTAGAAATACAGCTATTCCTCCCTCGATATTGGGCAGTAAAAATAGAAAAGAATACATTACTGGTTACAAGGTTCAAAAAGGACTTAGTCTCATTCATAAAGAATCGACAGAGAGCTGTAGCAAATCGCATAAAATAAGCAATTGAATGCACATGTTTTCAAGAAAAGAACCTAAAGAAAAAGCAATACCAACAAAAACAGGACATCACAGAAAAATAGCATTTCTTATCAAAAACAGCCAGAATCGAACTAATATTGATATACCTCTTTACAAGGAATCATGAGGGACATGTCTCTTCAATCCAACACATTCAAAGTCACAGACAAGATATAAATACAAACAGTTATACTCATAAATCTACAATAAAGCACATGCATTCTCCAAATGATTAAGCCGACAACAAGTTAACAAAAGCTTACACACTCATATAGCCTCTTCTTGATCACTTAGAAACCAATAGTATCTCAGGTTTCTTAGCCTTACTAGGAGTGTTGGCATTCGAACCTGAACCTGTAGCAGTAGCAGCAGCAACTGTAGCTGCTGCTTTCGCAGCTTCGCGTGTGCTTCTATCGAGTCGGATCAAGCTCCTCGTCGCCAGAATCGCTTGTGGATCTAAATCGTGTGATGCTCTAGCATACAATCGTCGCGCCGCAATGGCTGCAGCATCCTTCACCTCATCCACATTGAGAGGCCCCAGCAAACAATGCCCCAATATCCTCAAAACCGGCTGTAACAGTTCCCAGGGCAGCAGAATTCTCGCATCTTTGCCTCCCAATTTGGTTGAATTCTCATCGCCATGGATGTGTAAATCGTTGACTCTTTCAGCAACATTGTCAATCTCATCAGTCTCTACACTGATATCCTCCTCAAACCCATTGCTATTGCCATTGCCATTGCCATTCTCATGTCTGACATTTTCCTCGGAGAAATTCACTGGTTTTTGGTCGTCCAAATCTGAGGTGCAAGGGCAATCTTTCCCAGCCCATACCGTGGTGGACTTACAGAAATCGACCTTTGACCAGCTAGGCATCTGAGAGATCTGTTTGTAATAGCAATCTAAAGCAACGCCGACAATGCAAGCGCGTTTGGTGGACTTAACGGCGATCTGCGGCTCCAATGGAGGCGAAAGAACCCCAACCAGAGGCTTAGTAGGCTTTAAATTAGGGTTTGGAGATTTAACCGGGTTGCGCGGAGCGTGGTAAAGCGACGGCTGAGATAGATCCGGAATCGAAATTGTGATAGGCTTCCCATTCCGCGCTTTAGTCTCGGCGGAATAAATTGCGAGCAGGACGGCCTCGAAGCCGGAGAGGGAGACAGGCACATCCGCCGGCGGGTAGTGGATGCGGTGGAGGTAGATGGCGGAGATTAGAGGGATGAAGGAGAGTACGACGAGGCGCAAGTCGGGGTCGGAGGAGAGATAGGTGTCGTAAAGCCAGTGACAGAGCGGGTCGTCGCTGGAGCCGGAGGATTCGGCGGAGAGGGCAGCGGAGACGGCGGAGTAGGCGGCGGCGGAGAGTAGGAGTGAGCGAGCGGGGCGATCGGTGTCGGCTAGGGAGGAGAGAGGATCGTCGGGGGAGGAGGGGAGCAGCGAAGAGAGGAGATGGATGCGGGAGCGAGCCTTGGAGATGGACTCCCACCAGGAGTGCATAGGGTCGGAGGTGTGGCCGTTGGTGGGATGAAGCGAGGAATTGCGGTTGGGATCGGTGGAGGAAGCGGAGGAGGAGGAGGGAGAAGCGCCGTTGAGATGGAAATCCATGGCGGGCGACGGCGGCGGCGGTGAGGAGTAGGCGTTTCCGGTGAAGAAGGGATTGATAGATTGATTGACTGTCTACGGCGTTAAGTATGTGCTGTGGGTTGGTTGGACTTGGTATTTGCTTTTGAGTACACACTGGACCGGACCGGACCAGACCGGACCGGACCGGACCGGTGCTCCGTCTTTTGAGTATGGTGTTTGTATGGTTTTTATGAGAATTTATATGATTTATGAATTTTTGTTTTAAATATCAAATAAAATGAATACTCCTTCCCTCCTAAAATAATAGGGATATTTGAAATACGCATTTTAAGAAATAATAATATTATACAGATACTATGAGTGAAAGTGTTTTTAAAAAATTAAAATACTTTTATTTTATATAATTATTATAAAAAAATTTGAATAATTTTATAAAAATGCAAAGATAATTTTATAAAAAAATAATGGAAAATAATTCTATTGTTTTGATCAGGCAAAAATAACAAAATAAATTATTTTTTTAAATAAAAATAGCATTTTTATTTTTTATATTATAATAAATTTTATTTTTTAATTTTAAAATATTATATCAATATTTATTTTATAATATTAAATAATTATCAAATTTTAGAACTTAGTATTCAACATTCTAATTTACTCTAATATATTATACTCATTGTTTCAAAACAATAGAAATTTTTTGGATGAGTACCAGAATTAAGAAATAAGAATATTATATTGATTCTTAAATTACTGTGAATGATTTTATTATTTTAAAAATAAAAATCAATTTAAGGGGACTTTCGCAACAGGTGTTCTATCGTGTCCCCTCTGCATAGCAGCTTCGACACTTTGACAATATCGCAGAGTTAACGAGGCAACGAGGTCTCAGGCCGCGAGATACCTAACTCTTCGTTACGCAGTTATTTGATATTCGAATCGAATGGAATAAATATTCGAAATTATGAACTGTATTTGAATCGAAAATTTGGATTAACTGAATTTTCAATTAATGAAAAATATTTGCAAATAATTCGAATCGAATCAAAATTAAAAAAATATATATTAAAAAATAATTAAAATTCTAATTAAATAAAAATATTTACAAATATCCAAATTCAATCAAATATAATTATTAATATAAATTTTAAAATATAATAATATAAATATATAAATATATTCAATTTCGTTAACCTAATCGAATCAAACAAATACCATATATGCAGAATTGGTATTCGAATCGTATTTGTTCAATTAATCGAAAACTTAGTTTGACTAAATTTGATTTAGTTCAGTTCATAGTTTCGACTGTTGAATTCAATTTTTTTGTCCACTCTCCTGGTTATAAGTCATTTTTTTTATTATTATTGTTTTGGCTATTCTACATGCTCTTGTAAAGTGAATCCAGTCGTAACGTGATGATTTGACGTACAATTATGTCCATTTTCCATTAAAGTACAGTACAGCAGCGTTTACATCAAAAAACCAAAACTACAACGTGCGATAGCAGACAGGGCCGGGGTGGGGGGGATCGATGAGTTTGGTTTGGGAATTGGGATGGATATCCACACATGGCATGACATCACCGCACCATATTCCACCTCTCGAACCCACCCAATCATTCATCTTCTTCTTCCACAATTCATTCCCATTTCCCATATCACCCACCCGGCCATGGCCGATCATTTCTGCACCTTCCTGGATTTTCGCCCTCTCACCACGGAGTCCAACTTGAATCTGTTGTTTTTGCCTTCAAACCGCTGTTACGCTTCGGCCCTCGCTCGCTCCCACTGTGCTACTGTTAAGGGATTGAAAAGAAGCTCATTTCATCGCAGCCTGCTCTCCAGGGCTTCCGCCTCGAGCTCGAGGCCTTCGTCGTCTTCTTCCGATTTTGATGTCATTTCTACCCACGGTATGTATGCAGCGCAGCGCTGCACTCACAGTAGGAATGGCGTCACATTGTTCTTATTTCGTGTTGTCAGCAATTGATTTTCTTTCCGTCTGATACGATTGTTATTTTGTTTGTATGTTCTCTGAAAAATTAAACTTCAGTTTTGTAGCTTCTGCTTCGTGCAAATGTTCAGTCTCTGCGTTAGGGTTAGAATGGTGGATTTACAATTTTTCTCTTTGATGGTTATGCTGGCAGAGCATTCTGATGGCAGTCTATTGTTTCGGTTCGGAAACCCTAGCGAGGTTGCGGAGAATGTGAAAATTGAGGAGTCCAGTGCAGTAGTGGAGATGGAAACTGAAGGCACAGATGAATATAGTCAAGAAGATGAAATGTCGAATCATATGGAAAACAGTATTGAAGCCGAAACTAATTCAGCTCCTATCAACAGTAAAACCATTATTGCTGTTGAAGAAGAGAATATCTCGATTGAGGATTTATCCAAAGGTTCCGATGATTTTGAATTGCTTGTTTCAATTGCAAATGAAGAAGTTGAAGTTGGTGTTGAGGAAGAAGATGCTGGGGATTTGGAGAATGGAGCGGATGAAAAACATGTGGATTCATCTCCAGCAGACACTGCTGTTCTTGATAAGCATTCCGAAGAAGAGAATACAGTCTATGTTGAGGACTTTTCGAGAGATGAAACTGATGATGTAGCCAAATTGGATGTTGATGTTGCCGAAAATGATGTGTTTCCGGAAAGCCAGGAGAGCATTGTTAGTTTGGATAAATCTTCAAGTTCTGAGCTTAAAAATGCAGAAACTGTAATAATCAGTGAGTTCGATGAAGGCAGTACTGCAACGGCTGAAGGTGATCCAGTGCCTTCCGACCTGGATATGAATCCTTCTGACGTGATTGAGGAGCAGATTTTGCAATCCGGACAAGATTCAATAGCTGGGGAGGGTTCCGGAAGTGTCAAGATTGATCACATAAGTCCCAATGAGCAAAATGTGATGATTGATGGACCCAAAATTAACAAGGCTGAGGAAACTGAGCCTGTTTCAAACTCCATAGTTGCTGAGGATCAGGCTTCAGGAGCCGACACTGAGTTACCGAGTGTAATTGCTGAGGATATAACAGAGAATGGTGAATTACAGTCACCAGTTGTGCTTTCTCAAATGGAAGCTGTACCAATACTAGAAGACACCATGAACATGTCCACGGAAGACAATGGAGAAGAGAGCCACATATCGGTTGGTTGGATTATTTTTCCTTAAAATTATCATTCATATGTTTATGCGATAGTATAATCTTTCAGAAAGACTTAGAAATACATATATGAATAATAAAAAAAAATACTCCCTATCTTAAATTGGATAGGGAATGATAACCAAGATATGGTGGAAATAAGTGTCGAATTGATTAATGACTTCGGTAGTAACTAGTAAGGAATTTTTTGATAGTCTTGTTGAGCATATGCACATTCACAATAACCACTTTACGGCATTATTCAGAAATCAGAACCTTATCCTAGGAACAAGTACTGAAGTCTATAACAATTTGCAGAGGGATGATCTTGTAGAAGCGTCTGCATATGAAGGGACAGAGATAAAAGCAGCCGAATCTGCTCCAATGAGGTTATATACCTTATTAACATTTTACAGTCATTCTTTGCAGTTTTTATTTCTTGGTAGTATTCCCTTAATGTAATTACTTGGTGCTTTTGTTTGTTATATTGTGTTTGTTCGTTGTGGCGCGATATATTGTTTGTCAGCATTGGCAAAATCTTGTCTGTGTTTGTGTCAATCTTCATTTACAGAATAAGCATTTGAACTCATTTATAAAGTGTTCATTAAAAATGGTCTTGCTTGTGTACAATTAAATAGGCATTTAACTAACATTAATAATAGATTGATGTGTAATGAAACATAATCAAACCGTAAACAAATCGAAGATCGAAGACATCAACTAAATATATTATATCTACTTGTACAAGCATTAACTTCAACCAAGGAACAATATATGAATATATGCACTTGAAGAAAATACACATAATTAATTAATTTCAAGTTTGTTTAATAAATAAACAAATTTTTGTTTATACTTGCTTCATTGCTTAATCGAGTAATATAAACAAATCTCCACAGCTTATTGGCGTTACTGCTTATTTGAAAGTTTAGAGGCATAGAACCATTATTTCAAAAGAGTTTCATAATATGGTTGATTGTATTCTCTGTTGAAATTACAGCTTATGAGGTATGAGCGTACCTGATACATTTATTTTTTCTTAATCTACAGCGAGGAAGTCTTTGTGTCTGATCTTGCTCTGTTTTCTGGTGCTGCCCTCTTGCCACATCCTTCTAAGGTAATCAATCCACCAAACTTAACCGAGTTTCATAGTAGTTTATCACAAATTTCCACTTTTGTTGATTCCTCTTGACTGCAAGAAATGCTGTGTCATCTCAGTCTGAAATTTTGTCCTTGATATGATAGGCCTGCTAGTTATTCCCGTGAAGAATCAGATGTATTTCTGTCAAACATATACTAACCATAAACTAGTAGCCATGACGGTATTCCTCTAAGAGTTTTATCTTGCGCCTACAATGACAAGGCAGCCCTTACTGTACTGAAACCTTGTTACAACAGGAGTGATATGTGAATGTTGGTTGCCATTCATTTCTTTTTATTTCCTTCACCCGGTTAATAATTGGAGCCTCAGTTTCCTAGGAGAAACTTTTTAGTAATCGTTGATTTTTTGTAGATGTATCATACACAAAGATACAGTTTTTGGAACTTTGATGGCCACTTTATCGAGAAATTTAGTTGTGGCCATGTTTGAGTTTGTTTGGTGTAAGTTAAAGAGGAATTGAAAATCGGGAATTATTGAAGTTGTATCACCCAATTCTGGCGCCGATATCGGCTTCATCACAACAATAGTGGTTAGTAATTCATAAAATAATAAAATCCAGGTGTTGTCAGGTGGAGAGGATGCATATTTCATTGCCGGCCAAACATGGATGGGTGTAGCCGATGGAGTCGGCCTCTGGTCGCTTGAAGGTATTATTTGTTCACACCTTGAAAAAGTTTTCTTTGTTCTGTTTACGTTTTCCACATCACTTCCTCTGATGTCCTAAATGCTATGTAATGGACATTCTTACATTCAGGGACCCGTCCAGGGGTTTTCGCCAAGGAACTTACCCGAACATGTGAAAGACTTGTCTCTGTTGGCAACATAAACAATCCCGTGGAATTGCTTGATCTTAGCGCCTCCGAAACACACTGCCCTGGATCCTCGACAATTTTGATTGCTCATTTTGATGGTCAGGTACTGAAATTTTACAGAAATAGGATTCGAAAACGCGATAATTAGGACTGACAATGGTTGAGACTGATGTGAATTTTCTCACAGACTCTCAACGTGGCTAATGTCGGGAACTCAGGTTTTATCATTCTTCGGAACGGTACCGTTTACAAGAGATCTTCTCCAATGTTCCACGCGTTTTACTTCCCATTGCAGGTCGAAGGAGGTGAGGAGCCGTCTCGTATGGCAGAGGTACGCCGTGCATGTTAAGTTATTATACAGAACTGCATTCACGAAAAAGCTACGTATGTATACATTAGATGTATATTATTGTCACGTTGTGTTTTGTTCGACTTCAGCTCTACAGAGTCGATTTGGAAGACGACGATGTGATCGTCATTGCGACTGATGGGCTTCTCGACAACTTATACGATCTAGAAATTTCGTCTGTAGTTTCCAAATCACTTGCTGCTGATAAAAAGCTGGAGGTACAGAAGTTACATGATGATGGATCCCGACTGAATTTGACATATGTAAATTGTTTCGAAGAAGTTCATTCCTTATGGTTTGCAGGAAATAGCGAAGTTGTTGGCAGAATCGGCGCAGGAGAGAGGCAGATGTGCACACGGGAGAAGTCCATTTGCTGACGAAGCGCAGGCAGCCGGGTACACCGGGTGCACTGGCGGCAAGCTTGACGACGTGGCTGTGATTCTGTCGGTCGTTCGGCTACGGCGGCCGGAAGCCGGTGAGGGAATATATTTGTAGTTAGCATATGTATATGTATGTATGTGCATGTACATACTTGGTTCGTCCCCTCTCTCTCCATTCTCAATATTTTCAGCGTCTACAAATTGGTTGGCTTTACAATTCTATTATGTTTATTTTTAAGGTATAGATGTGGCTATGACTTTAGGGTCTATTTTTTTTTTTTTTCTTTTGAGATTTTCATTATTTAGTCCTTTTAAGTTTTCAATAAAAATATAAATAACCATGGTGCTGAAATTTAAAATTCAGCAGCTCATTATGTTATAATAAACAACACAATGTATTACTTCGGACAATATATTCTTTAGATTAATATAGTACAAGTACAACACATAAATTATTAGTACAATACATTGTATTATTTCTGGCAATATATAATACAAATATAGCGCATGCGCTAGTCATATACAATATGCTCTTATACAACACACATATAATTATGAGTACATATCAGTACATATGCTGTTTGTATATATTATAAATATTGATTTGAAAAATCACGGTGCTGAATTTTTTCAAATGAGTACCGTAACCATTCTATATATATATATATTTATACATACGTATGGCAAATCCAACGATCCAAATTCGGTCTATAAAAGGCACGGATTGGCTAGTCGGGCCGGACAGGTAAGTAAGCTAACAGCTCACCGGGTCATGGGCCACTTATTTTGGGCGAGTTTTTGTTTCCGTTGGATAAACATAATAAGATCCAAAATTAGTTGGACCACAAATACAACATACCCTCCGCCTCATTTTGGTCCAAGTAATCATCGCCTACTTTATTGTTTAAAATATTTTTCCTGCACAAGACCGCCACCATTAACATGTTGTTAAGACGTTAATGTGTTTATAAGACCTATAATTTAATAATGTCTTTACAAGATCCATAATTTATTTCAAAAAATATATTTTAATCATAGCGTTTAGAAGCCAGTAATTTATTTTTTATATATCACCCAAAAAGTCCGAAACAACCCTTACTAAATTTGAGAAGTATGGAATTTGCGAAGGATCCAAAGCAATCCATTAGGAGAGTTTAAGCTATACAAGAAAGTCAGTATACTCTCTGTTTTCATGTATATTAATAGAAAGCTTTGCCGAAAATAATTATTAGACAAATACAGCGAATTAGAGGCCCAAAATTTTTAATTCCAGGTTAAGAAAAAAAAAAAAAAAGAGAAATGAAATTTTCTCACGTAACTTTTAGAAGATTTTAAAAGCATAGATATTCCAATTATTTCGTAAATTGCAATCTTAAATAATACTCTCCCCCTCATTCAAATCTATGCTCACTTTCCTTTTTGGGTTGTCATTAAAAAATATTGTCGTTACCTTTAGAGTAAAAGATTATTATATTTTTTAATTAAAACTCGTGTTCGATCAAATAAGCACACATTTTACCTCACAGATGTAGCATATGGTTAGCTGTTTTAATTAATTTTAGAAAATCTCTTAATGAATCGCATTAAATGTATTCAAAATGCAAATTTTAATCAACAATTGTAATGTAATCTAAACAAATCTTTTTATTTTTTGCCTCTTTTGAAATTGGCATATAGGAATAATTACAATATTTAATTCAATAGGATTACGATTCCATAAATAATTTTATAATATTCAAAAACATATAATTAAAATAAATAGTAATTTCTCAAAATAAAAATTTATTTTATTTGTTTTACATGTAATATTTATTTTACTTTCAGAATTGTAGAAGTAGATTGACTTGTATTTTTTGAAAATATTAATTGGAGTTTTTTTTTTTAAAAATATATAATTATCAGAGTTAATATTTTTAATAAAAATAATATATGGAGTAATATTTTTTCGAAAATAAATATAAATTAAATAGTTTAAAATGAATAAAACAACACACATATATACAAAATTTTGATATTTAAAAAGGAAATAATTAATGGATGCAATAGCTGAAATAAAAAAAAAAATGATGCAAAATATAATAATTTAAGTAACATATAATATAATTAGTAGTAATTAAAAGTATATTAATAAAAATAATTATAAATTAAAATTAAAATTTAAAAATTTATATATTAAAATAAATGTATAATTATTTTTTAAAATAAAAAATGATAAATTATGTGTGAATATCTTTTTAACAAGGATGTAAGTAAAAGGAAAAGCAAGGAAATAAATGGTAAGAAATAATTATATATATAAAAAAAAGGAAAATTAATTAAAAATAACGGAATAAAATCTCCAATATGACAACAATGAAAATACAGCATTGCATCAGCAGAGTATCTGAAACGACAGAACGGGCGAAATCCGACCCTCCACGTGTCCCCGCACTCCATCTCTCAATCTCAGCCGTTCATCCATTCACGCGTCCCTTCAATATTACATACAAAACACATAACACTCACCGCTGCATATTTTGCCTTCCCCAAAATTCCAGCAAACGTTCGCCATTTTCGCCGCTTCCACTGCTCCACTGAAACTCCGCCTGCAGTCGATCTACGATGCTCTCGCGCAGCCGTCCGCCGCTCCTTCCTTCCATCTTCGCGCTTCTAGTCGCCGTCGCCGCGTCGGCGACTCCATCGGCGCCGCCTATTTCAGGTGACTGCAACGGCCTGATCGTTAATCTGGCCGAGTGCCTACCCTACGTGATGATCGGAGGAACCGCGACGAAGCCGGAGGCGAAGTGCTGCTCCAACCTGAAAACGGTTATCGATACAAACGCGAAGTGCCTGTGCGAGGGGTTTAGGAACAGCGCGCAGTTAGGCGTGAAGATTAATGTGACCAAAGCCTTGTCTCTGCCCGCTGCCTGCGATCTCAAATCGCCGCCGATCGGAGACTGTGGCCGTAAGTTTGGATATCCGATTCAGTTTTAGCGATTTCTTGGGTTTGTTGTTATTCAGTTACTGCTTTTTATTTATTTTTTGAATTTTATTTTAATTTATTTCTTTATCTTTTCCTACAGTGAGCAATGCTCCCGGAGGAAGTCCAGGTATAAATCATACATTCATTTAGTTCTTGCAGATTTCGTACGAAAGTGTGTTGTAAACTTGTATGGATTATTGTTGGTTGATTTCATCAGTTGTTCTGCTTTCGTTGTACACTGCATTACTTGCTTGTTGTTTTCTTTCCATGATTTATTTAGGATTCACTCTAGGAGAAGGTCTTTTTTGTTTGTATTTTGAACCTAAAAAGATATATATATATACATATAGTCTAGTCCTCAATTTTATCATCCCCTGGATGCGTCAAAAGACATTCCTGGATCATGTGATTAATTCCTGGTGATTCTGTTATATTGATGGTGTCTCTTTGTGTGATTTCTGTTGTGAACAGTAAAAAGTTAGATTATTTTATGTCATGTTTTGTGAGGAGAAAACTATTTGATGTAAAGTTTTTAAAAAAGTTATTGTTGATTCCATGAATAGTATCAAAAGTTGGTATATCTGTGTAAAAGTTTTGTTAAATCCTACATAACCCTTTTCCTTTATGTGATGGTATGATCTATTTTTATGTGGTGTTTGTGAATTTGGTGCAAAGAATTGAGCATTCTTCTGGAGAATGTTTCTTTAGGGAAAAATGCCAATGTTTGTACGTTTCGAATAAACAATCGAGCTTTGCTTTTGGAAGAATAGATGATAAATAGAATATATGTTCTTATGGTGTATGTCCTAATGCAATAAACTCTGTTGATTTTGAAGGGCTTCCACCATCGCCGACCTCTCACCATGGAGATTCTCCGGCAGCGGCACCAGCCCCCGGGCACGAAGGGCATTCGGAGTCTCCTCCGCGGGCGACATCAATGGAACTGCTGCTAAAAGGGTCTGTAATGGCAGGTGCAGCCATGTCATTTGTTCTGTTTTGAATGTTGTTCTAACATGAAGGAAAGGTGAGGTTGGTTGGTTGGTTGGTTCTGTTCTGTTCTGTTCTTATATGTAGTAGTAGTAGTAGTGTGTGTATCTATAGAGAGAGAGAGAGAGAGAGAGTATTTGGGTAGCAAGATATGATGATGATGATGATGGTTTGATGATGGATGATACATACACTACCAGCTACTACGTTTCTTGTCTTTTTTTCTTACCTGATAATAATAATATGATAGTAATGATAATGTGTGTGCATATATTGTTTGTTTGCATAGAGTTTTAGAATGTTGTACTGCTTCATGCTTTGCTGATTGTTGATAATAATTTTGTTAATACGTGGGCTTTTTTTGTAGGTAGTGAAGCATGTCGATAAAATAAAAAGGATTAATATTTTGTGTTGAATGATTAATTTTTTTAATTGATAATGTATGCAATTATCCATATTATGTATTTTATATGAATATGTAGATATATATTATATTTTTTATAATATTAACTGAGAAATATGTCAGAAATATTTTTGGTGGAAGAATACACATCTATAATTTTTGTAGGGAAAATGGTGTTGGATGTGTAGGTTTTCTTGAAGAAAAATTGTCTATTTTAGTTTATTATTATTAATTTTTTTGTGTTTCTGTTTGTTTGTGTATTTGATGATGTGGAAATTCACATATTCATTATTCTCGATTGAATTTAATAGTATGCAAACTATTAGGATTTACAAATTCTTCAAAACTTTTCTTATATAAACAAAGCTTTGCAAAACTCTAACATTGATCAAGTAATGAAATTCAAACTTTTAGCTAGCCGGGGCGAAGGCAAAGATGCCCGGCCCCGCCCCGCCCCAATACAAAACAAACGATCGATCAAAAGAAATGAAAATAAAACAAGGGAACCTAAGATAGATTCGACTAGCTAGATGATGTCTCCGTATGTACATCGCGTGCAAGCAGTCCGAATCGAAGATTAATTACACAAACTTAACATGATTTTTTCATCCCAAGATGGATGGATTGATTGATCAATCACTTGGAGATATCGGTAAGAACTAAGAAGAAGAAGATGATGACGACGACGACGACGACGACAAAGGAATGATGTAATGTGATGGACTTGTTCATGGCTCCAATTTAGGTGCCAAAGCTGTGACAGCATCTGCAACAGTGAGGAAAATCTTGTCTTCTCCGATTTCCCGGGCAAAGTCCGACGAATACAGCTTGTCCAGCACCACCTGCCCCGGGTTCGCTAGAACGAGCTGTCCCATTTCGACACAAAACCAACCATTAATTATAATCAAGAAGTTCGGATTTTGGTTTGAGATTCGAAAATAGTAAAAATTTGAAGGAAAAATAGTTTATTATATATAATACACATTTATTATTTAAAATTGTCACACTTAAATAATCTGTTTTCATTTAGTCTTTTCTACTCAATTATCAGTTTACTTTCATTCTTACTTCTATTTATTAGAACATAATCTCGCAATATACATTTTAAACCCACTAAATTTATAATACTTCATCAATCCAACAAATTTATGTCTATTTTTTTAATCTACAAAAAATAAGACATTTTATTTATTTACAAATATTCTATATCCATTTAAGCACTCCATTTATCTAAATTTTTAGGATGGAGAGTATTATTTTTACTTAATCTACTATAAAAAAAAGAAAAAATTCATTGAAACAATACATATGGTGAGACAATTAAATATTATTTAATATAATGTAAATAAACATAGGAAATTCTACTTTGAAACAAAAAATTAGTTTTTCTTTGTAATATATTAAATAAAAAATTTTAAAATTTGATTTGATAATTTTAGAAGAATAAACTATGAACATCGCAATAACTAAAATCAAATCTAAAATAAACAAATCAGTTTGATATTTTCGAATATGTATCATGAGTTCGTTACCTCCAAATCTTTCTTTTTTAAGCTCTTGTGTAGCTCTTCTAGCGCATGAATCCCGCTAGTGTCGATATCGGTCACAGCTGAAACACAAACCATCGAATTAACTACTACAAAACTTCCATATTCGATCCATTATGATAATTTTTAGCTAGTTCTTACGCGACATTTCGATTATCAAGTACTTGATTCCTTCTTTGCTGTGCTCCTTGAGTTGTTCCTCTTCCTCGCGAATCAATCTCAACACTCTACATCGTATATACGCAAAAAATGGCGATCAAGATCCTACACCCGAACCCCACTATTTATACGTAAATATATATTGATAGTAATACATACCTCTCGCGAATATAATTAGAGTTTGAAAAGTAGATCGCCGAGTCGACTCTCACAATCACAACGCCGGGAACCTTAGTGGCTTCCGGATATTGCATAACGTTTCTATAGACCGTCGTTCTTGGAATTCTACCGAGCACGGCTGTCCGAGGCCTCGTCACTTGGAGAAGAATTTTCGCGAAGGATATCACCACCTGTTTGAGTGATTGAAAATCATTAGGCCATTGAGTTTTTTTTTTTTTTTTTTTTTGAAAAATGAATGGATCGCAGCGACCATGATTATCTTATATATACGTACGGCGATTAGAAGGCCTATTTCAACGGAGGCGAAAATGACTCCAAAGAGGGCTCCCATACAAGCGAGGAAATCGAACTTGTCGATCTTCCATATAAGCATCATTGCTTCGTAGTCGAATAGCGGGATGACGGCAGAGATGATGATGGAGGCGAGGATGGCGTTGGGGGTGTAATGGAACAGTGGGGTGATCAGTTCCAGCGTTAGGAAGACGACGCAGGCCATCACGATGTTCGACACGGCCGTGTTGCACCCCGCCATGAAGTTCACAGCCGACCGAGAGAAGGATCCTGTTGTGATGCATTTTGCGGGGTGTTAATAGTTTATTAAACAAGTTGGATGCATCCTTAGCACGGGCGTGTTGGCCATTTCTAATCGACATATATGTAATTTAAAAATGTGACAGACAGTAAATGATTAAATTTAACAGTATTGAAGAAATAAAATATTTTTAGGCCCAGCATATATACTTCATTTGTCCGGAATCAATTTATTTTCATCATTTTTTGATCCATCTGAAATCAATTTATTTATTTTCATTTTTAATAATTTTATTTTCTATAAAATTTATTTTAGAAAAAATCTTATACCTTATATATTACTCCCCGTTACAAAATTATTATTATTATTATTATTATTATTATTATTATTAAAATATAGAATCCGCGGGCGCTACTCGTAGAATATCAAATATTAATATCAAAGCAATTTACATGCAAATTTTATGCTTATAAATACATATAGAATGAAAAGAGTATTATATATTGTATGTATAAATAATTTTATTTTAAAAAGTAATTGAACTAATTTTGCAGAGACCCCGTCGTATATTTTCATTTTTAGTAAATGTTACAAACTGCTCGTTCCTAATGAAAATCTTTTTTTTTTTTAAGTGAAAAAAAAAAAAATTCTATTAAAATTGTAACAAAAAGATCGTAAATTTGCATAAATAAATTCATTTAAAAAGAGAAAGAAAGGAAGAAAGAATTATATTACCGGTGGCTACGTAGCAAGAAGTCATAGAGCCGATGATGTTCATGGTGCCTAAGGCCACCATTTCCTTATTCCCATCCAACTGATAGTCCTTCATCGCTGCAAATGTTCTTCCGATCGCCACCGCTTCCTACAACACACATACACACACTCACTATACATACATATATACATATATATATAATGCTGATTGGGAGGTTTCTCCGGCGGTGGTGGCGTACCGTAAGGGCAATCATTCCGGCCACCACGCCGATTCGTAAGCCCTTGGTAAGGTAGCTCCCCGTGAAATGGATTTCGCTGAGCGACGGAGGATTGATCCCTTTATGAATTTCGCCGACCTTCCAAGTGCAAGAAATGTTCGTCAAGAGACTTATACTTCTTTCGTCATTCAAATTTATATTTATTTTTCTTTTTATATTGTTATAAAAAATATTTTCGTCTTTTTAGCGAAAAATACATTACTTTTTTTTTTTTTTTTATTTCTACTAATAACTCACTTTTATTAAAAGATGTGTCTGAACATTTAAGCACACACTTGGACGACAGAGAGAGTAGTTCGCTTGTATTTTTATTGTGTTTTGAATGAAAAATAATCGTCACATGTGATGTTTTATTTTTAGAGAAGATGGTAGATTGAATACTTCAAAAAAGAAGTATCGTATACTTACAATTTGCACGCCTTTCTTATCCGCGTGGAAGATGTAGACACAGAAAGTCGAAATGATGACTGAAATCAATGGAGTCATCGCCGGAACCCAGAAGTATTTCTTGTTTCTCTTCCCCTGATTTGTCGAAGTTATTAGGAAAAAAAAATAAAAATCGAGTACATAGGTATGGAATGCTTAAAAGATCGAGTTAGGCTTCTTACGATGTACTTGGCTAAGAGAAGCAAGATCAAGAATGAGACGCCTATTAGTACCGTTTGTATATTCCACTGTAATTCGACAAAAGGGGAAAAATGTTGGCATGTGATCGATCATGTCGAAAAAATTAGCAGAGAAAAAGGAAAGGAAACTCGATTATATATATTTGCTCCTCACCCCGTGATGCACGTGACTCCACACGGCGCGCATGACATGAATGATGTCGGTTTTCTTGGTGAATTTTTTTATGCCGAGCAAACCTTTGAGCTGTTGAAGGCCAATAGTTATGGCTGCGCCGGCCATGAATCCAACGATCGCGGCGTGGGACAAGAAGTCGATCAAGAACCCCAATCTGTGAAAATTTTATTAAGAGTGTGTTTACTAAGAATGATTATATCGGAATGTATAATATTATTTTATTCAATCTAATCGTACGTTTACTTTAAAAGATTAAGAATCGGGATTAATTAAAGCAATTGTAATAATACACTATTTAAGGATTATTAATCCCCTTAAAGGTGAGATTAATTTATTTCAATCAATAGTTGTAACTAAAGTCTATATTATCCTATATTTAATCAAACAAAAGTAAAAATGAAATTAATCAATATTATGGTTATATAATCTATTAAAATAATATAATTATACGAGACCTGAAGAAACCGAGTATGAACTCTGTCATCCCCGCGAAGAAAGTAGCCGTAAACATGAGGCGCTCGTATTCGTGCCTGTTCTTAGGATCGATCTCGTCCTGCACTAAACTTCCGAGCAAGAGAGACACCACGGCCACCGGGCCGATGGCAATGTCCCTCGAGCTACCCATCGCGGCATAGATTAGGGGAGGAACAAAACTACTATCTGCATTTATACATACATATATATATATATATATCAGATCGATCTCAAAAGTTTAGGAGCCTTGTGATATTAGGATACTTACATAGCCCAAATTGAGGTTTCAAATTTGCAAGGCTTGCATAGCCAATGTCCTGTAAGAAACCATCGACATGTAAAGGATAAGAACAATTAACAAATAGAGAAGGCGATATAACTGTTTGTGGAGTTTTAGTTTTGAATTACTATTTTTATTATCATTTTCTCAATATTCGAACTATAAGACATTCTCGATTGACCTCAAGAGAGATATCATGTCAAATATTTATTTTTCATTTGAACCATTACATTCAATGTTCATTTTGATCTTCAAGATTTTAAAATAACTTGAACAATTGTAAATATGCCCTAAATTTCTCATTTACATGAGGGATGCAATATTCAACTATAGGGTTTTCTCATTTTCTTTTCAAAAATATATTACATTACATATTTATTTTTCATTTAAAACATTAAATTTAACCTTTTAAAATTTTCAAAATCTTAGAATATGTATAGAATTAAAATAAAAGTATGATGTGATACAAACAACAACTTAATTAAATATTATGAATATAAGTTTGAAAGTTAAGAATTATAAAATTTGGAACTAAAATAAAATTTTGATGTGACACAAATAGAACTATATTGAATGAAAAATTTATTTTTAGAGGTAAGATTTTAAATAATAAAGTGTTTTATACGTAGAAGAAAAAAAAAATGAACAGTACGATTTTATTGAAAAACCTGAAGTTCTAAATTTCTGATTACCTGAGGAATGCAAAGGCTTGCGATAGTTAGTCCGGCAATCAAATCTCCTTTAAACATCGAAAGCTTGTACTTCCTCCCCCACTCGAGTATCGGGAAAACTCCTTGAATCCCGAGGATGAACTTCTTCCAACCCGATTGATCTTTGAAATGGCGCAAAGGATCGTCGTGGAAGAAAGTCTCCATGAACCCAAATTTGAGCTCCTTGGCGAGGCTTGCCTTGGGGGGCTCTCCCACCCTATGAACATTCGAGGGGGCACTCTCCGCATGGCCCCCTGAATGCGCGCTGGCGTTCTTGATCTCTTCATCGGATATCCGACGACTCATTGTCTACAATCACATAATTAAATAAGCCGATCAATCAATCATCGATCGATCAACATAAAATTTTCATGCATGCATAGATACTTACACACATTATACAAATTTGTAAGAATATGCAACAAACGAATTCAAAAAAGGAACAAAAAGAAGCACCTGGAATCCTTATTGAGATACTCACTAATTTGCAATATGATAATTTATGATAACCTCAGGCTATATATAAGCTACAAGAACACACACACACACATATGATATATATATATATATAGAGAGAGAGAGAGAGAGAGAGAGAGAGAGAGTCAACTCTAATGTTAACTCAGTTACTGCGTTATTTTAATGAAACATTGAAGAAATCAATTGTAGGATATTTATAATTTTTTATTTCTTAGAATTTATAAATTTAGTGACAGAACATTATGGATAAGTCAATCTGAAGGGAATGAACCTGGATCGTATCACGGCTCTATTCAATTTTGTGAAATACTACATATAATATGTTAATTACGTAGTTTACATGGCCGTAGAGCGTGTTTGTTTTCATTTTTTTACTGAATTATTGAAATGACAAACTAATAAGGAACTACATTAAACTATTCTTGTGGATAAGTTGACTCTATAAACTTTAGAGCTAATATCATCGTGTCTTTTAGTTGTTTTGGGGGGCCATTCTATTAATTTCAATGATTTGTTGTCATCTTAATTATTTTCGAAGCCGAAAGAAAATGTTTCAAGATAGCTTCGAAAGTTTTTTTTTTTTTTTTTTTTTTAATCGAAATTACAGGTAAATGAGTCATTGCAATTAATATATTGTCCGACATTCATTTCTTGTTTTAAGCTACTTTTGTCAGCTATTTTAATTAGTTTAGAAGTTGTTTGGACTAATGGTACAAAAAATATCACAAAAATCAAATAAGAAAACTATACGAGACACAATTGAATAGTTATGGGCTTGTGAGGAAGAGTCAGGTTTAAATCTACATATATTTTACTTTCTATTGTTTTTTCTTATGTAAATTTTTTTATTTCTTTTGTCAAAAAACATTAAGTGAACTTATTTTTTTCGAATTGAATAATCAATTTTTCTTAAGTTCCATCATTTGCTTTTACTTTTTGCATTTAATTCAATAGCATAATATATTTTCCTTCTTATTATTGCAGGAGGTCTGTATTTAAGAGGTTGATGTTCGATGAGGGTCCGGACGCAATCGCATGCATATGCAAAACAAAGAACTATTAAAAGAGGGCCCAATATTAAGGTCACCAGATCGTTCGAAAGCATTGGGTGTGGACAATAAGAAGGATCGTAGATAATCAAACCCCAAGCAACGGTAGTAGAAGTAAAGATTGTTTGTAGGAGATGGATTTGGACCATCGCTACGGCTTATCAGACTAATATCACCACTAAATCGATGCGGTAAACTCATGTGGTGAAAGAAGAGGAAAGATGGACTATGACTCGGACCCTTCAAGGTCGCAACAAGGGGACTTACTAGGACGCAGAAAATGCAAGCTCAAAGAAATTTTTTTTATCAAATATAATTTATTTTAGTCATTAATCTTTAATCTAATTGAAATATATGGCAACAATATCCAACTAAATCAAATATTGTTAAATATTAAAATTAGAAATTACACAAATATTTAGAAACCAAGAAATAATATAAATTTGAACAAATTTAATCTCACAAATTCCTAAATTAGAAAAGTAATATACTCGTTAATCATCGAAGAAAGAACAAAAATAACAAAAACAAACAACGCCTTAGATTATTCAGATTGATGGGACGAACTCGAAATTTCATTGAAAGAATATTTTTTCTTCTTGTCATTACGACGATTTCTCTCTTAAATATTCTACACAGTGTTTTCCTCCCTCCTATGAAAAGTGGGGCCTCTTCTTCCTCTCTTTCTTTTATTTTTTTGCCCAGATGAGTTTTTGGGTCTTTAATTAATTTCTAAGAGGTGTAGTTAGTTATGTAACTAACTAAGTGGTTCAAACCTGATTTTTTTCACTTTTTCTTCCAATTACGTCAAATTTGATATTTGTCATTTGCATATCGCAAATAAACAATACACATATAAATTAAAATTCAATCAAAATTAACCAAATATCATATATAATATAAATATTTAACGCATATGATTTATAACTATAAATATTTTTTACTATCAATGTTTAGAATATCCTATATTGCTTTTTTAGAGAAACTAGAAGAAGGAACAAAAAAACTATAAGAATCAAGGGCTTGTTCACTTTGTCTTTTTTTATAACATGATTTTTTATAAATATTACAAATAAATATATGATATACACCTATTAATGTAATATATTCTTTCTCGTCTATTTTAAAAGTAAATATTTACTTTTAGTGCAAATTTTAAGAAATAATAGTATTTTATTTGTAGAATTAGTTAAAAGTAGTATAAAGATAATTTTGCTCTTACTTCTTTATATAAAAATAATAATATGATCATAAAGTAAAAGTATTTGTAGAAATAAATTGGTCCATAGTTACTAAAAAAAAAAAATATTTACTTTTTAACTAAACTAAAAATAGAAATGTATATATTTGTGATTGGACGTAGAGAATATATAATATACATTTTATCCACTTAAAAAAAATCAATAATTTAACACAAAATATTATTTTATATATTATCAACATAATATCTTCATATCTAACATAAAAAAAAAAAAAAACAAAACGACATCTATTAAAAAATACAAATGAATACATCCAAATTTATAAGTTAACAAGGGAACGAAAGAAATTTGTATAAGTATATAAATAAATTGCAAGTTGAATGAGATGATAAAAATTAATGATAACAATAAAAACCTAAACATCACCCTATATATAAAAGACACTAAATCTAACCTAGTAAAAGTAGTATCAACAAAATATTCTAGTGTGACTTGACTTGACGGGTCTTGTGTATCACACGTAGTTAATTTGTCTTGTCGGATTTAATTTGCAGATTATTATATTCGATCGAAAGTTTACCTATAGTACACTCAAAGAGTAGCAACTATAACATTTTTACGACATAATATATATATATATATAATTACTTATTTGCTAAGTTGCCCTAGGGCATCATCCATCCTCTAGGGATGAAAATTGTTTAGGGTGTATTTGGTTTTTTGTAGCATCGATAATTATTTGAAACTGAAAATAATAAAAATTTGAATTAAAGTATGTATTTTATACGATATAAATATCTATTTAATATAATGTTTTAAATAAAAAATAATGATTACTATAAAATAAATATTTGATTTAATTTTTTTATTGCCAAAAAAATAATAAATAGTGAAAATTTTAAACAAACCTACAATTATTTTGTCTTTCTTCTTCTTCTTCTTCTTCTTCTTATTATTATTATTATTATTATTATTATTATTATTATTATTTAAAATCTCAATTTAATTTATTTATAAAAATCTATATAATGACTTTGCTATTTTCTGTCTTCATACTTCGGTCACTCGTTATATCAATCTTAGTCGACATATATATCTTTAATACATTAAATTGATTGAACACTACAAAAAAAAAATAGTATATTTGTAACAGAATTCCGTTCATAAAGTTCACGTAGCTAACGTAATTTCATCTCTAATTCCGTCTTTAATATCATTAGTAACGGAAAAAGTGAATTTATGAACGGAAAAACCTCGTTACAAAATTGATAATTTCTTACGGTAGAAGAATTGAAAATGAATTTTCAGAGTAGTGTTCAATATTTGAAAGATATGTATGTAAACCCTATATGAATTAATTATCTCACCTGGAATGTCATATATAGGCACAAATCTAATCATTGCAGAATTATTATGAAGTCAATGAAAACTTAAGTTGGAATGAACCTGGATTACATCCCGACTCTATTCAACTTTGTCAAGATTTCTGATTATAGAGTTCATATATAGTTGACTAGACGTGGAGTGCTCTTTAAAAAATATATATTAAAAAAAATAAAATAGATGAGTTGACTTTATAGATTTGAAACCCTAAAGAAAATGTTCTATATGATTGTTTTTCATTATTTTCAGTAATTTTATTTTAATATTTTTAATAAGTTTCTATATAATCTTTTGTAGAATATATACAGAATAATAAAAAAAAAAAGTACTTTACTTAAAAGAAAATTACAATTTGTTATAATATTTTTACAATTTTTAATAACTAATAACAAAAAAATTCTAAAAATCCAAAAAAATTTAAAAGAAGAAACCCTAAAATGGTGTCGCTTTGCTTTATTTTGTTTTCTTTTTAAAGCGATCGAGAATCACTACAAAAAAAAATAGTATATTTGTAACAGAATTCTGTTCATAAATTTCACGTAGCTAACGTAATTCCATCATTGTAGTGAATTTAGGAACGAAAAAGTGAATTTAGAAACGAAAAAAACTCGTTACAAAATTGATAATTTCTTGTAGTGAATTTGTGTTCTAATCAACACTTATTTATTAATGGAAGTAGTTTGTTGTTGTCCATAACATCAAACTAGACATTTGAAGGAATTAAATATTTACATTCACATTATTCATTTTGTACCGTTTTTAATAAAAATGTATTATTTATTTTCATAAAATATGAAATAAAAATTTCAATTTCAAAATTCAATCAAAGTACATATTTGTGAATTTGATGTTTCTAATTAAGTTACAAAAATAATAATAATAATGAAATAAAACAAAATTGTAATGTCATTCCATGAGAGTTAAAATCAAAATTAACAATATTCATTTGATACCATTTTCAATAAAAAAAAATATACATTAATTTTTTACAAAATATCACATTAAAATATCATTTAAATAAAAATTCAAATCAACGCATTATTTTAAATCAATTTCAAACAACAACAAAACAGACTAAAGTTGTAACTACTCTGTTTTTATGTGTAATTAATTAACAAAAAAAAAATCTTATGTTTTAATCATTTCTTTATTTTAAAGAACTCAAATTCAAGATTGGTTAAACTCTTATTTATATATATATATATATAATACGATTAATATACTAATTAGAGATAATTAATTATAATTATATAGGTGAGATTAATTTATCTCAATTAACACTTGCACTAAAATTTGTTAATATTATATATTTAATTAAGTAAATAAATATGATATTAATTAATATTTCAATTATATAATCTATTAAACTAATCCTATCTAGTATTTATTACTGTTTCCGTCGACTCAAATGTGTATATTTTGTCATTTTCATATATCCAAATCAAAAGTATTTGTTTCTCTTTTTTTTAGTAAAAATACATCTCTATTAAATATTAAAATACCTCTTACTTTATTATTTTTATTCTTTTAATTTCACCAATGTCAAAGGTAAAATAAATTTTACACTACTCTATTACACTACACCGTTTGTTTAAGGGTTTAGATTTTGTGTTTGAAATTTGAATAGTAAAAATTTTGAATTGAAATAATTATATTATACGATATAAATAAGTGTTGATGTGATGTTTGAATATAAAATTAATTTTTAATATATATAAAATAAAAAATAAATATTTAATTTGATGTTGATAGCAGAATAATTTAATCAATAGTAAAATTTGGATAAAATTTTATAAAAGAACACACCTACATATCTATAAAATAATAATATACTTAATTTGTGTGTTAAAAATCAAATGAGTATTTTTGACTTGGAAAAAAAAAAAAAAAAAGCATAATTATATTCTTCAAATTAAACACACCACATACTTCCAAAGCCCATGTGGACAATAATTTGAGCATAAATTTATCTTGAATTTATCACTTAAACAAAAAGGAGAAAATGATTGAATTGAAAGGCATGAATTTTATATGTCAATAATTATATGTCGACTTTGAACAAGGCTTAAAAAAGTAATTGTATGAATTTAGTGCATGCATGCATCCTACATCAAGAGCAAATTGGGATTGTGTGAACAAAAAAAAAAAAAAAAAAAAAAAAAAATTGGATTATATATATATATATATATATCCTTTGATTATTTGATTTATTCTCATGTATTTAATTATTTATTTATTTTTCACTTACAAAGTCACTAGTTTTAATTTATTTTTTTTTTTTTCCTTTTATACTATTGCAAAATTAAGAAATCATTTGGGAAGAATAATTGCTATTATTAATTGTGCCTAATTAGTGTTAATTAATTGTCAACTCATGATTTAAAAATATATAAGTATATTTATGTGCATCCACACACAAGTCGTTCATTTGTGTAATTTAAATATTTGGTCCGATTTTACGTATAAAATATACAACAATTAAACAACACGAAATCATAAATGGTAATTTATTGTCAAATTTCCAATTTCGAACTAATATTAGGTGTTTTAGGTTTGTCTTTTGTATTTATATTTGTATTTGTATTGTTGGTGAACTCTTGTTTGTAGATAAATAAGTAAACTATGTTTATTCTAATAGTTTAAGCTTTTGGATGAGAGTCATCTAACATGTATAATTGTTTGATTTAATATTTTGTATGCACGTGAGGAGGCACGTGTGAGACAGTCATTTATATTTTTTAATGTATATACTGGATTGATTTAATATTTTGTGTGAGAGAATAGTAACAAAATAGGGAAAAATAAAAAATAAAAAATAGTTTGCTATAAGAACGGTTAATATTGAGAAGCTTGAAATTTAAAGCCAAATTAAGTAATGAACAATGTCAACTTGTTTGTATGCAAACAAACCAAAAACTAAAACCTATATATATATATATATATATCGTCATCTTGGTAATAGATGCCGACATCTGAACATCGGAAAAAATAAAATAAAATTATACAGGGTGTTTTGGCCGCAAGTGTGAATGCGTAAAATAGTGAGCAAAATATCTAAATTCAAATATTCAATTCGAATTAAACTGAAATTTATAATTTAGTTTTGATTTTTTGAATTTTCTAATTGAATCGGATTTCATATCTTATATATTTTTGTATTCTCGGATTGATCCGAATTTTATTATAATAAATAAAACAACAAAAAAGAAAAAAAAAACAAATTATCTCAAATTATTATAATTTTTCAATATATTTCTCAAATAATTTCATAAAAAATTATCAACGATTGCTTCAAATAGAAATACTTTAAACATTAACAAAATCTCAAAAATAAATATGCACCTATTAAAATAAGTAAGCTTATAAAACCTTTTGAATTTAATCTACAACCAAGATTTCATTTGAAAAATAGCATAAAAGGAAAATAACTCGAATAATCATTTTAGGGTGTATCTAAACTTAGGGTGTGTTTGTTCGTGGGTTTTGAGTTTTGAGATTGGATTATTCAATAGTAAAAAATTGAATTTCAATAGTTGTTTGATGTGATATAAATAAATAATAATATGATGTTTTAATGTAAAATAGATTTTTAGTATAATATAATATATATATATATATATATTTGATTTAATAGTTTCTTAAGATAAAAAAAAAAATAGAATAGAAAAAATTTGTAGTAGTACACACAAAAGAACACAAATTTAGTGTCTTTTATATATATATTCCCCGGCCCAAAATCTAAGGACGACGAGCTAATTTTGGAGGCTTAGTCCGAATCTCAAACAAGGTCCAATACCAAAGTCATTGAAATTAAGAAAAAAAAATTCAAATTTGCGAAAGTCTATAGCCTCAAACCCCAGACGCCTCAGGTCACCTGCCACACATAGTTCGCCTAGTGTAACTTTCTCGTCGGGCCTGGTTTGCAGGGTATTAAGTTCAAAGGGGTTTACCCAGTGCGCACTTTCGGGTAGTAGGTGCGGGTTTCCACGTCATCCAAAAAAAAAAAAAAAAACTTAAAAAATCAAAATCAAACATTTTTACTTATTGGGCTAGAAGTATATGGTCCAGTGGACCAAAAAATTTAATTGAAATTGAAGAAGAAATTGTAGTCCATAATTTTGGAGCAATTTAATTATATTTGATAAGATTATAAATAAATTTGTGACACAATTCAACCTCATGCATGGGAGACTTTATGGAAACATTTTGTCTATCATGAATGTTACAAAAAGAATTAAACATGGAATTATGGGATGAATTAGAGAAAACACTTATCAATTTTTTCGTCATTTTTTTTTTTAATTTTATTATATATATTTGATTCAATATTTGTGAGCCCGGAAGCTTTCTTGGATTAATTAATACTTTTTTCTTCTCATATATATCTATCTATTTACTTTTTCATAAAATTTTAAAAATATTGATATTATATTGAAGGAGGGTCCTCTCTGTCCCTTCCTGCACACCTATGTATAAATACATGGATGTGTGATGATGCTGAGAGTGGGGTAGAGAGGGGTGATGCCGAGAATCTTCTCCCTGTATTAGGATATAGTAGAAATAAAGATAAAAAGACTAAAATATTCTTATTGATATTGTATTATATAAAAGTAATGACATTTGTGTAATATATTGTAAATTTGAAGGGTATTTAGTAATGTTATATAGATAGTACAGTTAGTAAAAAAAAAAGAAATAAATAGAGGACAGATCGAAATAAAAAAATAGATAGATTGTTAAGATACGGATTAAGTATTTTACTACATATATTTTGATTCAATATTTTCAGTAATAATAATAATAATAATAATAATAATAATAATAATAATAATAATAATAATAATAATAATAATAAGCTAATTAAATTAATGAATTAATTAATTCAACGGAATGAACATATCTCTTCATAAATGAAGATTAATAATCTCCATTAAATGTTTGGGTTCAACAACGCAAGTCAATGGGCTGGGAATTAATGAATAATACACACGGCCAATTAATAATAAATATTTAAGTTAATTTAATTTAATTATGGGAGAGGTCAAAATCATATAAAGAAGTAATATATATATATATATATATATAATTATTGGGTCATAAACAGGGCCAGAATTCGGCCTTTTTCACCTTTGATACACTCTCCAGAACACCAGATGGTGACACGTGTCCCATGACCGTTACCCTCTTGCTCTCCAGATCAATGCTGAATGACGTCACCCCTTCATTTAATATGAAACCACCCAACGGTAAGTTATCATTTGGGGCTATTAATTAATTAATTTGGGGAATTATAGCTCTAATTATATTTATATTTTAGAAATTTTAGTATTATTTGCTAATAATCATTTCTTTTTAGGTAATATAGATTGTTCTATTTGAAATTTTAATTAAAAATTGTATATTTTTCTCTAAAAATAATTGTTTATAAGATATTTTTTTCAATGATTATTTAATTTTAAAAGTACAAAATTCAAAATTCACTATAAATATTACTAAAAAAATATAATATATATATATATTTTAAAATAATATATATTTATATACTCATAAAAAAAATTAATAATTCAATACAAAATATTCATATATATATATATATATATAGATATATCAAAATTATAACATCTAAAAAAAAAAAAGAAAAAAAAAAAGAAAAGAAATTGTTACGTGTATCATTATCTTCTCAATTTTTTGACTTGTTGCTTTTATTAAAAACATATAGATCTTACACACATATTATATTTTCTAATAATTTATTACCTCTAACAAAAATGATTAAAAATTTAAAAATTAATTATTATGTTCTAATATATTCATCAAGTTAGTCAGAATAATTCTCTAGTATTTTAAAATAACAAAAAATTATACTCCGATATTCTTATAATGTATATAATTTATAAAAATATGAGTATTTAATATAATATTATGTAAGAAAAAAATAAGTATTTTTTATAGAAATTATTAATATTAATGAATAATCTTAAAATGATTTCAGAGGATACATACAAAACTATAATATTCAATTAAATTAAAATATAACGAATGAAATAAATAAATATATATAATTTACTAGAGTGAGAAAGAGAGATGTAGAGAGAGAGAGAGGATGAGCAGTCCGTACCTTCCATTTTGGAGAGATGTTTCTTGAGTTTACCAGCACAGCCACGGCAGTGAATCGACACTCTCATCACAACCACCTACAACAACAAACTTACAATTATATATATATATATTTATATAATATTTACTCACTTATTATTATTATATTAATCATGTATAAATATTCTTTTTTTTTTTTCTAATAACTATCCCGATAATTATGAATTTAAGCGAGGGAGGAATTGAGCTGAACAACCTGAAAGACACTACTAGACGCGGCAAGTGAAGGTTCCGGAGGCGGCGGCGCCACCGTTTCTTCCTTTATAATAATTTCTTGATTATTCATATTATTGTCCCTGAAAGACAAATTACAAGAAGCAGATTTGGCTGCGCCTAATCGAGCATACTTTGGTTGATGCTTGAGGGGGCCGGGGCCGGCGCCGGCGCCGGGAGAGCGATATTCTTGGCTCATACACACGACCGTCGACGCCGGGCAATGACACATGAAGCCCTTGAGTTTTTTGCCTGACGAAGACATATTAATTCTTAATTTTAAGGATTAATTCAATATGTGTAGCATATATATATAGATAGATGGAGAGAAAAAGAAAGTTTTTTTAAGATAATAGAATTTAATAAATTAATAATTAAAAAATTATGATATTATTTTATTATTTTAACGTTAATGGTATTATTGATATTTTACAAATAAAAATTAAAATATATGTTTAAATATATTAAAATCTAGTGGATAAAATACATGCATTTTTCATAAAATATGTTTTTATGCAATTTATCCTATTTTAAAATCTTTTTGAATGGTTCGAGAATAATAAAAGATTAAACAAATATTTATATGATAGTTATAAAATCATTTTTAAACATAATATTTTAAATAAAATAAATAAATATTGCATATAATATTTATTATAAAATAAAATTTTAATAAATAATATAAAAAAAATAAGTTTGAATCACGAGTAAACACAGGATTGGTTGTTGGCTCCGTTCTATTACAGGACTTCACGTGACCATATAATGCATTTTGTCTTTCGTTTTATTAAATTTGGTGGTTCCGTAATTTAATTTTAAGGGAAATAAAAATTACAGTGAATCTATGCACTTTATTTTAAATTTTAATTTAAATAATTATTTTAAAAAATATAGAATATATTTTATTTATATTTTAAGCATAAATCAACATACAATATTATTTATGTAATATTTTGGTTCGCAAATCAAAACGCATTGTAATTGAACTAGCCTACAAGTCAATATACAAGTCTTTTCAGGTCGCTTTTGTCTCTATTTACACATATTTTGGAAGACTTTCATAGATCCACATCTCAAACGTAAGTTTTTTCAGTACATTTTTTTGCCTTCACTCACACACAGACTTCTCAAGATCACCTATCCTGAAATTACTTTAAAATAAATATATTTAATTCTAAAAATTTTTCGCGTGGACTCTGAATATATATATATATATATTATTGACATATGTATTCTATTCAAACAATTTATTCACTATTCAAAAGTGGAGTATCACAATCTTGTAAAGGATGGTCTGGTGGTGTAAGGGTTGAACTTGTGACCATAAGAGGTCACCTGCCACACATGGTTCGCCTAATGTGACTTTCTCGTCGGGCCTTATTTGCAGGGTATTAGGTTCGACCGTGATTGCGGGTTCCCACGTCATCCAAAAAAAAATAAAAAGAAAAGTGAAGTATCACATTATCCCTTACTCATCTCTATCAACTTCAAGGTATCAAAATTCAAGTCATATCGAAATATTATTTAAATTAAAATTCATAAAATTAATCAGACGTTATGATACATTTTTATTGAAAATTTATAAAAGTTAAAATAATAATGATAATAATAATAATAAATACATTATTTAGTGTGGTGGACCAAGTCTAATAAATGCCTTGGTTGGAATATAGTAAGTGTAGAGGATGAAATTGTTAATGGACATAAAAATACTACCAATTTTTCATTATATTTTTTAAGCTTTTGGATGTTTTTGGTTAGTGAAGTGGACCACAATCAAATGAAAGCAACAACACTTCGGAGTATTACAATAAGGGTTTGGTGGATGTCATAAAGTAAACGACTGGCGTTTGTTTTTTGCACGTAAAATTTTTTAATATTAATATTATATTGGATTGTAGTAAAAAAAAAAAAAAATATCTTTATTAGTATAGTGTAATATAAAAGTGACTACATTTGTGTAATATATTGTAAGTTGGAAGAATATTTATTATGTTAGGTAAGTAGTACAATTACTAAATTTAAAAATGATAACGTTGTTTTGGAACAGACGAAAATAAAAAATATAACACCCTTTCAACGAAAGGGAGTATATGTTTTCAATGTGTTTTAAATTTTCAAATAATTTAAAATTAGTAATTTGATGTGACATTATTACAAATAGTTTTTTTTGATACATTTGATATTTGATTTGTATTTTAAACCACCAATTCTATTATGCAACCTCACACAATTTCTAATAATAATATATTATTTTATTTCATAAAATATAATAATATTATTTAAATAAAAAATTACTTGTGTATATAAAAATGTACATCCTTATTTTTTAAAGTTGGTCCATTAAATTTTCAAAATTATATAAGGTATAAAAATTGTGTGAAATATTGATTTTATTTTATAAAATAATATAATATATTTTATATATATTAAAAATCGTATCAAATGAAAAATAGTCGGGAAACAAACCCTTTTAAAATGACGGTTTCATTTTTTAAATAGGTGGGCCCTTGTATTTCTCATGCACAATAATAGAATAGAAAACAACAAATGATGGGACAATATGGCTTGAATCATTACGGGATAAAAGGGTCCCTTTTTGTGTTTTTAAATACTTATTCCATTCGTCAATATTATTTTTTTTAAAAAATAAAAATAAAAAAATTATACTTTAAATTTATTTTATTATTAATTTTAACAAAATCAATATATTATTTTTTAATTATTATCTTTCATTCAACAGTTACAACAAATGTTACATTCTATTTTTTATTTACTTTAATTTTTAACAAAATTTTAAAAAATATCGTCAACTATTTTTCTTCTTTTCTTTATCATTTTTTAATAAATTATTTATTTTTCTTAATTCTTTTGGCGAACCCAAATAGACTAATTTTGGTCAGCGAATGGAGTATATTATATTTCATTTAGGGTGTATTTTTTTAATTGAGTTTAGAAAATTTTGATTTGAGTTTGGTATTAAAATAATATTTAATGAGATATTTTATAAGAAAAATATATATATATTTTTCGAAAAAACGCTAGTAAAATTTGAAAAAATTGATCTAAAGAAACAAACTTAATCTTTTATTCTCTCTCAATTTAATATTCAATTTACATACAAAATATCTTATCAAAATCAAATAACTATTCTTCACCTTAAATATATTAAAAGAGAGAGAGATAAGAATCACACTTATATATCGCTAGTAGAGTTGTTAAACGAGCACAAGTTTTGTTTGCAAATATAAACGAAAGAAAACAAACCCTTAAAATTATACTCGGTTCGGCTCGTTAAGAGGTCGAGTCACTAACCTATCATCAAATTCAAATAAACATAGCAGCATAATGAAGTGTGACAATTGGACTAGAATTAAATTGGCATCCACCATTGCAATTCAAGTGTATCATCATAGTAACAATAATTCAATACACACATAATTTTTACAGACTTTTTCTGGTTTCATATATAGTGTGTCCTGCACAAGGACCACAGTGAACCATCTGCTACTTTTCTATCTATGTTGATGATGCACTGATCTACCTCTACTTAATGTGACTCACTACTGTTTCCTACACATCCATTAATGTCGATTTCTTCGCGCATTTATTCACGCGCATACAATCTGATTGCTCCTATATAAACCATACAGCTGCAGGTGACAGTTCACTGCAGATAGGAATCAATGGCACCACAAGATTTAATGGCTTCTACTTTACCCATCTGTTTTTCCGGATTCGGACAAGAGACACAGAGGAACTCACTTTCGACAACTAGTCATTCGCAATTCACCTTCATATTTGCATCTAATCTATCTATCTTCGACTAATTATCGAACTAAAATATAAATGCAAAATCAGTATTCCATCTACATCCAATTTTACCAAACAACATCCAAGAACAAAAATTTTGCTGGCCAAAGTCAATTGAAAATTTTATCAATCATGTGTTCATTCTATTGGATTTAGCAGTGCTAAGCAAATGATTGAATCAACAATTTAGGAGTTTAATGATTATTCATATTCAAAACTAGCAGCTAGTGATAAAATGTTAATGTCTTCGTCCATTCAAAAATTTATATTCTAGTATTATTTTTGTCTGTCCAAACACAAGGTTTATATTTTTTTCTTTAGTAAATTTAACCGCATTATACATTATAAATGCCCTTAAACTTACATTTCATTTACATCAATGTCAATAAGTCGAATTAAAAGACAAGGGCAAAAAAGTATTTACATACAAAACATACCACGAACTATCATTTATATACTAGTATTTCTTAATAACAGCGTCAATATTAAATATAAATCTTTCACCTGGATGGAGATAGTGTAACATTATCTTTAATGTTCCGAAAGCAAAAATCTGTCTTGATTAGAATGCAGCAGATAGCTATTACAACTTTCAAGCTAATAATAATCAAAAGTTTGTCTATGAAGTATATCATTGTTGCTTTGTGAAAAACATCTACCCGAACAATAATATAGTAGAATTAAGGCTTAGGAAAGCTTTAAAAATTTTGTAAAACTAAATTTATGAAGCTTTCGTCCGCATCAAAAGTATCGCGACGGATTAGGATGATAAGGTATGAAATCCTAGTGTATTTCATTATGACAAATCTGACTTGCTAATGAAAGATTGGAACTTCAATGCCGATGGATTGGAAAATTTCACTAAATACGGTCTTAATGAAGTAAGAAAGATGTTCAAATTAGACGAAATGTACGAGATCAATAGAGAATAAAAAACCAATATCAACTGTTAAATTAATGAAATCAAACTAAATAAAAGCAAATGAGGACACAGACATCCACAACTTGATAAGATTTAAAAAGCAATTTATGAGAGATTTGTGCGGAGGCTCATATGAGACTAAGACACAAATTCATAAAGATGCAAGATCAGTATTTAACTCATACGACTAAACACATCTTCAAAAAAGCAGATCAAGCTCAAAAATGATATTAAAGAGAGTTCGAAAATTTAGATCCAACTGACACTAAAATGTAACCGCAACCTTCGATGTCTCAGGTACTTTTAAAAGTACATCAGTACAACACAACCAACTATTTATTAACTCACAACCACTACACTGCATTCACTATCTTCTTTGACACCTAATCTCCACATATTTTGATTAAGAACTTCTGTAATAATCAGCTAATATTAACTCCATATAATTTGCTAGTGCAAATATTATTGTATCGTATCAAACATTTGTAAGTTTAATTTTTTTTCCCCTAAAAGTTTTTTCAGTCCACTAGACACATCAAATGAAATACTGATTTGGATTCTTGAAAGTTTTGAAGGCCATGCTAAGATAAAAAATAAAAATAAGAAATTGAAAGAAAGGGGGGTGAAGGGGTGGTGTGGGTTTAGGGTCAAATGAGAAAGTAAAAAAGAAGAAAACCTTTCACATTTGAAAAAAAAAAAAAAAAAATCATTATGCATAGTTTACAAATTTATACTCATTAGTTAAGAGTGTTTTTAGTATGGTTTATTCATTATTTTAAATTTTTTTGTGTATAATTAATATAAGGCTTAATAAACACCGACTTTTTAATACGAAATAAGTTTGAGATTTTATTATCACAATATAAGTTTTTACAATTTCAAATTATTTTTTTTAAAACTCCAAAAGTCAAATGTCTAATCAGAGCCATAATATTCTCACACAAAAAATCACACAAACGACAATTACACAAACCAAACACGCACATAGTTTATTTAGTAGTTAATATACACAGATCATTTAAGTTTATATAAACTTCTATAAGCTTTAGAGAACTTGTTGTAATTGAATGGAATATCCATGCTAAGAAAATATGCAATATGATCCAATGGACTAGAGTGGTGGATGAAGTTAGCGTGCGAAAATTTGAGCCAAGTCAAACTCGAGCCCAACTATGCTAAGTTTCAACTACATTTTACTGACTCAAACTCAACGAGTTTTCAATATAAAAGCTCAATCTCAAACTCAGCTTAAAAGAGCTTAAATAGTATTCAAATTATTGTTTTAATTTATTAAAGAGTAAATAAATTAATTCATTTTTAAATAAATAATCAATGTTAAAGAAACATTCATGCTTAGTCTCATTGCATGTTATACTTTTGTTCCTATTAAAATACAAAATGCAAATCAATCTGTCCTACCTTAATCAGCTGAGTCCGATGTTGAAGTACTCCTATCGTACAATTCTTTCAACATATTATCAAAGGAACTAGGTGTGATTTTTTTCCTAAAAGTTAAGATCATATATACATATACATTTTTAGTATCAGAAATATTAAAGCAAGCCAATTGTTTATCAGCTCGAGTTGGAGGTCGACTTGACTGGTTCCAACTTGAGTGTAAACGCTACTTGCGATTGACTCATTTGCAGCATTAGGAGGAACCTAATATTGACATTTTGAAACTATGGTCAAGTTTAATTGCAACCCACTTTCACGAAACTAAAACAGAAAACTAAAACACAATTCAAGAATGGCGAGACAAGACAAACCATTCAAGATGGAAGTCGTCGACTCCAAGCTACATAAACGCAAGGTCACCAAAATAAAATGTCTTTCCCTTGGGGTTTCCTCTCACAAAGTTGTCCTCGATCTGCAAAATGAAAACACCCCGGTTCCACGAGAGAAAATCAACCAGAATATTGGCATTAAGTGCAGGAAGAACAAATACCTCAACATCCAACGGGGGAGAAGACAGCCAGGAAAGCTCAAACACTTGTGACATGTCGATGTTCCGAGGCAAGTACATAATGATGTTAGGTGTTATTGTCTGCGTGACTTGGAACAAGTGATAGCTGCAAGAAAAGGTTCGGCACATTGCTTATAAACCACAGTCTGCTGTCAAAAGTATAGAGGAAAATGGAAGAGAGCATCGACATGCAAGGACAGAACAAAAACTATCCATGGAACACCTGAAGTATGCATCAATGTAAATGAAGAATGAACAAATCTAATTTAGTGCCAAAAAAATTGGCGTTAATACTGCATACCCATCTTTTGGCTTGAGCAAGTCGAGTGTATAGCTTTTATTTGTCTTGTATGATGGGCCACCCCAAGGTGGTGAGAGAAATACGACATCACCCTAGAAAAACAAGACAAGTCTGAAACGGATGCATTTGTAATAATAGAAAGCTGACATCAAAGAAGCTAGATTTGTTGTCGAGAGAGACCACATTAATTTTAAATTAATCGCCTATGGTTCAGTATCACCCAACAATACACATACCAGCTGCCGTATGCTTCTGTGTACTTCTAGAGATTTCACTTAATACTAAATTTCCAAACACCAGATGAAAATGCTACTTCAATTACGTTCATCAGAAAACTTAAAGCCAGCATTGATTTCAGAGCATGTCGTAAACAAGCAGTAAAAAACAGTACTTTGATTTCAGAACATGTTGTACATCATCCATACTGTTTAAAGAAAAAACCATTGATTAAATTGTGTAAACAAGCAATATCAAACAAGTAATAACCATTTGTTTAATAATCATACATTCCCAAACTAATATAGTTTTCAGTTTTTGCAGAATCAATCATCACAGATCCCAATTGAGTACTTCAAATTATCAAATCTCACGGCCAAAAAACAAGAGAGTACCTTCAAGGAAGGTGCAAGCTGGAAAAAGTCGCCCACGATGAAATCAATGCAACCTTCTACGCCATATATCTTAGCATTATGAGATGCCAGCGCAATCTTGCAGGGATCTTTATCAATGGCAATAACACGACGACATCTTAAAATGAAAAATGCGCCGTTAATCAAATTGCTACAAAGAACCATAATGTAAAGAATACAGCGGTGAGCAGGCATTGTTGTAGTGCTTATGGAGACACTCTTATCGAATTAACCAAACCACGGACTCTGGCAGAGCAAAGATCAATGATGAGAATTCCAATTAAGTGTGAACACTTATAATATCATTTTTCTATCTCGCTCCTAAATAAAGAACTATATCTTTTATATCTAATCATATATATATTTCGATCATTGCTCAATCATTAACAAAAAATATCTAATTCTAAACAAAAATTTCAACCGAATCTTCAACCACAATATCAACTTATACCCAAATAACTCTAACAATCCTGCAATTTGCAATTTCCGCATACTGAATTTTGTTTCAGAAAATTCACACCCATTCCTATCAATTACTCTAAAGACGATTCAGGCAGCTTCAAATAGACAACCTTAAAGAAATTCCGCAATCATACAATGTACCTTTTCTCAAACTTCAATCGCAATACTAAAATTTGTCAAGACTAATAATTAGCGTATCAGTCAAAATTTCAGTGTTAAATCTTACACTTTGGCAAATTGAATGGCATTCCCCCCGACGCCGGCGAATCCATCGATCACAATTCCTGCACCCTCACACCGACGAGCCTGCGCCGCGGCGACTTCCTCCGGCGTGACGGAGTACCATCCTTCTTCGTCCAGCTTGATGCCTTCATCATACTTGGAGAAAAGATCGTACCGTTGAAGCCAGTACTTCTCTACTAACGGAGTCACCATTTCTCCCTCCTTCGGCTTCCCGAATTTCTGCGACCTCTTTATTGCCTTGATTCTCACTACAAATACCCAAATACACAAAATTGTAAAGAAAGTCGTGACGGTAATTGATAAAGAAACCTGTTGACATTTTAGGGTTTGGAGAGTTCGGACCTTTGCGTTTGAAGCTATTCCATCGGCGATTACGCGTCCGGGGCAAAGTGTGGGCGGAGCCTTTAGCCGGCGACATTCTAGTCTGATAAAGGTACTTTACAAATTTCATCGGAATGTATCAGGCTGCGAATGCACGGATAAGACTGCGCCATTTACAAAATCGAAGACGAGCGAAGAGAGCGACGAGATGACCAGTAGGTCTCCAGTGTTGATCAGCAATCAGTTTTCAAGAAACGTTTGATTTAAGTTTCTTGATATGACTTGCAGAATAGTTTCTAACTTCATTTTTGAATTCGGCAAGGCTCTTATATAAATATATAAAGATTTATGTAGAAATCTTTTAGATAAAAAATAAATACTTTAAGGGTGTGTTTGTTGGGGGGTTTTGGATTTTGAGTTATGATTTGAACAGTAAAAATTTTGAATTTGAATAGATGTATGACGTGATATTTTGAATGTAAAATTGATTTTTAATATAATATAAAAAATAAAAAATATGTGTTTGATTTAATATTTTTTGGGGAAAAAAATTGAAACAACAGTGAAAATCCAATCCAATCCCCCAAACAAACACACCCTAAAAATATCGTTAGAAATATAGGTGTAGGATAATAAAATACGAGAATAAAAAATAAAACAGATCAATTTATTAAATAAACTTTTACTAAATATAAAATCGAAGGAAAAAATATATATATTTTTATTATTACAAGTGAAATAGGTAAGAATAGATTTTTTTAATTTTAAAAAAAAATATATATATATATATAAATAGATTTATAAGTTTCATTAAAAAAAAAAGATAATTACACTAATATTATCATTTATTGTTTATATAAATTACATACTATTACACATATATAAATTTATATAAAATACAATAGTTCCTTCTCCAACATTTTTCCCTTGGTACCCCAAAATACGCCGAGCTAAATTAGAGTGTGTATAACTTTTTTCGTAGTAAAGTTTCGATACTGTTGGAATGCTTCGAGACGTTCCAGGAGGTTCTAGAATGTTCGAAAGATTTTTGCTAGCCTCTACGATTTGGCATGTCACGGGACATTTCTCGGCAAGATTTCGATCCTAGAGATCCTTCTTCACTTGAACTAAGCATTACCCTCAATGCTTCAAAGTCTCAGACAAGATCCTCGAACGGCTATAAAATCTTTAGCCGACTCCCCTTGAGTTGGGATGAAAAGAGTATATTTATATGTCGAACCTATTATGATATCAAGAGGTCAATCGAACATTTGTTGAAAACTGATTACTGGATCAACACTAGAGACAGACCGGTCTTCTTGTCTCTCTCGTCGTTCATCTTCGATTTTGAAAATGAGGCAGTCCTATCCGTGCATTCACAGCCTGATACGTTCCGATGAAATTTGTAAAGTGCCTTTATCAAACTAGAATGTCGCCGGCTAAAGTCTCCGCCCACACTTTGCCCCGGAGGCGTAATCGCTGATGGAATAGCTTCAAACGCAAATAAATGTCCAAGAAAAAGACAGTCGATTTATTTATCAATTATTATCACAACTTCCTTTATAATTTTGTCTGTAATGAGAACCTAGGCAAGAAAGAAAGAGGTCAAATAATACATGGAATTTAATACTGTTGTAATCAAACATATACATATTTATCGAATGATCATGAATAGTATGAATTTCAAGAATTAATAAAGAATGTGATTTGATTAAAGAAAGTAAAATGTAGAAATATCCTCGGTAAAACAACAAATGGGGGAAGGAATTTTGAAAATATAATTGGAAATATTGGCGGGAGAATATCAAATACGAGAATAAAAATAAAATGTTGATCGATTTATTAAAAAATTTAAAGAGATTTTCATCGATTACAAATTTAGAGAACATATAAGATGAACAAACCGAAATAAATCAAAATAAAGTAAAGAGAAAAAAAAAAATCAATTCAAAAAATATTTCTTTCCATGTAAAAAAAATATAAAAAAATAATTATTTTCACTTACAGAAATATCAAGAAAGACTTCTTCTAACATAAAAAAATATTAGATCATGAACAAATTAATTAAAGAATGACTTCTTTCCACATAAAGAAGTATTAGATCTTAAACAAGTCAATTCAAGAAGGACTTCTCGTAAAAATATATTAGACCATGAACAAGTCAATTTAAAAAAAATTTCATTTCACATAAGCAAATATGATATCTTAAAAAAATTAATTCAAGAAAGACTTCTTTCAGCATAAAGAAATATTAGATTTTAAACAAGTTAATTCAAGAAAAAATTATTTCTACATAAAGAAATATTAGATCCTAAACAACTCAATTTAAGAAAAACTTATTTCCACGTAAATAAATATTAGATTCTAAAAAAGTGAATTCAAAAAAAAATTTATTTCCACATAAAAAAATATTAGATCTTAAACAAGTCAATTCAAGAAAAACTTATTTCTACGTAAACAAATATTAGATCCTAAACAAGTCAATTCAATAAAGTCTTCTTTCCAAGTAAAGAAATATTAGATACTCAACAAGTCAAGTCAATAAAGACTTATTTCTAGAATACACATTCGGATAGCGGCTGCAGATTCCCAAGTTATTAATAAAAAAAAAAAAAAAAAAACTTCTTTCCACATAACGAAATATTATATTTAAAAAAAATACTTTCTTTTCCCATAAAAAAATATTAAATCCTAAACTAATCAATACATCTTTCAAATATTAGATCATCAACAAGTCAATTCAAGAAAGAGATCTTTCCACATAAAAATACTCCCTTCGTCTCAAACACCTTCCAATATTTCCTTTTTGGTATGTCTCAACACACTGCAATATTTCCAAAATAGGAAATGATTAATCTCTATCACATACTTTATCCCCTTACATCGTCCAAATAAAAAAATAAAATATATATATTTTTCTCTCAATCACATAACTTAATTTTTAAATTATCCTACTTAATACTATCCACCTAAAAACTCGTGCCAAAAACAAACGTTGCACCTTCTTTGGGACGGAGAGAGTATTAGATTATATCAAAACTGCGGGGAGAACAAAATAAGAATATAATCAGGAGAAAGAAATTAAAAGGAGAGAAGTTTCGTTTTAGAGAGAAAATCTTAGAAGAAATTTTTTTTGAAAGTTTAAGAATTAGATATATTTATAAGTTTTTGTAATCAACTAATTTACGCTTTATAATTAAATATTTATTCTATGTTTGACTTTCGATTCTCGATAATTCAATTGATGACGAATGTTTCATAAACTATTTATGCTCATATTACTTATCTGTCTTATACTTCCACTTATATATATATATGAATACAAAAATATATATATATAGATATAGTTATTTATAAATATATAAATATTCCTATATTTTTACAAAATTGACAAAAATATCATTGCTCTATTCGTACTTTTTAAGGGTTAAAGTGTCAAATTATTTTATATTTTTCCACTAACCAATTAAATACCATTATTTATTAATTCACTAAAAAATAAATTACCTATTTGAATTACTAAAACAACATATCAGAATCAATTTAAACAAAAATTTAAATTAACAATTTATTTCAAATCACAATTTAAAAAGGTTCGACATTTTTAAACTTTTAACTTTATGTACAAAATAGTAATTATATGTATAAAGATATAATGGTAATTTAACTAAAAATTAAAAATATTGTAATATTAATGGACCATTATCTTTAGAAAATAAATATATTTTTAGTAAAACTGAAAAAATAATAGAAAAAAATATATATATATTTTTGAATAGGAAGGAAGATAGTATTATTTATTTATTTTTTTTATGAAAACCTACTAGATTTGCAAACGAAACAAAAGGTTGAATATATTTAAATTGCCTCTATCCTACATCTATTAGATAGATAAAAAGATAAGCTTTATAATTAAGATGTCACAATGAATTGAATATATCATGTTGATCCTACGGCAATACTGACGTGGACGTAACAGAACTGATGTGGCATCTGATCTGGACAGAAACACGGATGTTTTTCAAAACAAAATGGCCGTGTCGATGCTAAAGAAAACTCTTGACTTCTCCAGAGAAGGATGATAAGCCTCCGGATTGGCGACACCGCCAAGCCGTTACCGGAGGTTGTAGGCTTATGTAAGCTTCTATATTATAGATGATAAAAACCAAACCTGAAGGTTGCCAATGACGTCTCGTTGTAAGAATTTCTGCCTTCGGACATAGGGAGGGCATCATCAAAGCTTATGTACAATATTATATAATCCCATATGCGTAATCGACAGAACATTTACCGTGCATTTGTTTGCTGCAGCGCAACGACGTAGATAACCTATCAATTCGAAAACATTAATATATACAGCCGACTAAAAACACATCTCACCGATCTTCAGATTTCCAGGATCTGGCAGCTAACGAGTTCGGAAGATCCAATATTCTTTGTCGCAATGACCTTCCAAACCTCTTCCGATGACGCCAAACCATTCACTAAGTGATCACCGAAAGAACCGGACGAGGTGGATGGACCAGAGCCGTATTGATTTCGCCAATCCGCCTGAACGACCACAATATTACGGTTCACATCTTTAGCAATAACATGTAGCTTTCCAAAACAATCGGTAAGTAAATACGGAGAATCCGAATCCCCAATGTCGCGCATAGGCACATCTACACCAACCGTTTTCCACGCATCTTCTCCATTATCGTACACTTTAATCCTTACCCTATCTGGAGATCCCGACGGATCCAACGCATACAAGGCCTCATCAACAACTACGCTTAATTTAGTTCCCGCCTGCCTCGCAGGCCAACCCTCTGCCATGCCATCAGGCATTTCGTTCCACGTGTTCATAACGGGATCGAAGACCTCGCCTCCAACATCGACGAAGAAGGGCCAGCAATAAAGACTCTGAGGAACATACAGTTTTCCGGCATACGACGTCAATCCCGTTGCCATGGGCTTCAACAGGTCGGATAGAAATCCCGTGGGCAAAACCTGGGCTTTAAGAAACGGCATGCTGGGTAGCTTCGTCCATGTGTCTGTACAGGGATCGTACATCTCTGCAGATTGCAGGGGAGTCAGCCCCACAGGGTCCCAAGTAACGCCCCCGACGACATAAAGCTTGTTGTTCAATACACCAATCTTACAATAGCCTCTGCCAACGGACATTGGAGCCACTTCGCTCCAAGAATTCAGAATTGGATCAAATCGCCACACAGATTTCATGGCTGAAGCCCGGAAAAACCCTCCAACGACATAGAGGCAGCCGTCGACAGCCCCTATAGCACAACCACAATATGGAATGTTATCCGATGCATCTCTCCTCCTGATCCAGCTTCTTAAGGTGTCCCCAATGATGCTCGAACCGACCATGTTCCAGAGCCGGAGGCCCCTTCTGAATCCATCAATGCTCGGCATTGGAGGCAGCTGTAGCCACGCGCCGTTTACAGGATCCAATGCATGCCAGACAAGCTTTTCACCGCTGAGCTTAGTTAGAACGTAAAGCCAAGCCTCTGTCTTGCCGAGCTCTTTCCTCACTTGATAAACTTCTTTGCTTGTCAGAGCAGCTCTCCAGGTTCTTGACACCAATTTTGCATTGAAATGACAGATTCTCGGGAGCCTCGCGAGGATCTGAATCGAAATTTCATCTGGAAGGTAGGGAATCAGTCTGGCGGTCTCGTCCCATAAACTCGAGGAAGATGTCCTCTGTCTCTTCCTGGCCTCACTTTGGGAAGCATCAAAGAACTCGTTACAGCTTTGATTGTTCATACTCATTCTAGCTCCCATTGTTCACTTTTTTTCCTTTTCCTTAACCAGCTTTAAATCTTCTCCACTGTACACAATGCCATTTCCTTGACAATTCAAGCAGCCAAAGGAAAGTCAATAACCTTCAGATTGGGTAAATGAAGCAAAGAAGAACAGTTAGAGAAAAATTAAGTAGTAAATTCATAAAACCAGAACCGAATGGCGCTTCTAGTAAGCCCTATGATTTCTATAGTGTAAAATCACCAAATTTGCTAGATACAATAGCAGAAAACATCCGTAAAGAACAATCCAGAGATTATAAAATTCAGACTTTTTATTTTGCATAGTTTGTAATCAATGTAAAGTGCCTGTCGTAAAGAAATTAATACTGAAATGCTAACCCTAGAAAAAACCCCAAAACAGCACTGCAGCACCAAGCCAATACAAAACTAATAACAGAGAACTTCCGGAGTGCACAAAATTTCAAGACTATGTCTCATGATAAACCTACATGCTTCGAAGATGTTAAGGCAAAAGTACGAATTGTTTCCAACAAAATCAAGATGCGGAAAAGAGAAATCGGGAAGAGGGGAACAATTCATATTACAGTAACTATGTGTATGATTCAATTACCTCCTCCATTCAGAAGATGGCCATGGACATAGTAGCTGGAATTTGTAGAACTGCGGTCCAGAAAAATCGAGGAGAGGTAAGATCGTTGTGGCTGTGATGCAATTCTGGCAAATGAATAACATTCAAGAAATGATAATGGCGTTAGATTGAAGTCTGGAGAGGGCAAAATCTGAAACGGACCCCACCCGTTATTGGATTCCCGTTTATATTCAATGGATTCGGCTAAATTGACTCACTTGTTTATGCTAGATTAGGATTAGACTAAACTGTTCTTCGGTTTCTATTTGGAAAAATTACCAATTGACATCATACTCTAATTATTGAGTTGGATGTTTGTGTTTTTAAATAAATATGTTTTTTTTTTATTATTATTGTATATATATAATATTTTTTATTTTGATAGATTTAATTATAATATTTTTAAAATAAAAATAATTAATATAATTTATTGTATCGTATCATTTAAATAAAAATAAATATATATTTTCACATCACATCACATATTTTTACTTTATTCTAATTTACCTACCAAATGTTGCTTATTCAATGTAATTATTAATTTTTTTCAACTTTTTAAGTTAATTTTGTGTGTTTGGACGTATATACCAAGTGTGAATATGTATGTATACTTAAGCCGTGCTATGACTTGATATTAAAAATATTTTTATACTTATATAATTTTTTTATACAAATATTATTCTATTAGTATTATACACTAATTGAAATTTTTTTTTTTTACAACTTTTAAAAATAAATAGAACCTTTCAATGGGACGGATGTAATATTTTTTTTAAATATTAACTAAAAAATATGTCAAATTTTTTATGAAATGAAAACACGTATGATTCATTACTAATATCATATTTCAATCTTTCTCCTAAATATGTAAATATATATATTTGTATACACTTAAATCAAAGTCAATTTTTATGACGTGGGAATCGCATTGACTATGCGAAAATGTCATTCACTCGTATGTATGTATATGGATGGTGCACACACATGTACGGTCTACCTTGGTCCAGACAGTACATCAGCCTCCACGTTAGGAGTCGAATCAGGAATAATCAAACGCCTCCGCGGCTGCGCCATGTTGCTCCGCCCCGCCGTCCGGTGGTGGATCACTTCTTTCTTCTGCCACTCCTGCCACCGCTCCGCCGCCCCTCCCCCTTCCCCTTCCAGCATCCCCACCACTTCCGACATCCTCGGCCGGCTCTCCGCGGAGCTGTGCGTGCAGAGCAGCGCCACCTGAACCAGTTGCTCCACTTCTTCGTCCGCGCCTTCGCCTTTTATATCCACGTCGACTATCGTCTCCAGCTTGTTCTCATTCAGAAGTTCCTTTACCTGAATCCACATTCGCAGTTTTGCTATAAATTAGCCGTCTAAAGTATTGCAGATCTCTACAAACTTAAACTTTTAGGCTGTTAAAAATGATTGTATTATTTATTTATTATGAAATGTAAGGTTGTATATACACCACATGCGAATTTTGTATTTAGATGATGACGAATGAAGACAATGGGATTCGAACACGGATGTCTCGACTCTTATATGAGACAATCAGTTAAGATGGTACTAAAACTAGGACATACCATGTTTGAGTCTCACCGTTGTCCACATGCAATATTCGTATGTGATATATATCCACCTTCACGTAGGGCGGCGTACTGGTTGACTTTATAATGTATAAATAAACAAATGGTAAACTAATTTTTTTAGTGCGTAATTAGACATTTTTATCATTTTAGTTCCATAACTGGAGTCTATAGCAAAGTCCATAAGTGAAAATTTTCGTACTTTTAGTCATCCGGCGCCGGAGATGCCTAAGCGGCACCCGCATGGCTCTCTGGAGGACACATAGGCATCTCCGACACCGGAAGACTAAAAGTGCGAAAATTTACTATTTATGGGACTAGTTTGCGACAAATTCCAATTACAAGACTAAAATAATATAAAATCCAGTTACGGGACCAAAAAAATCAATTTACCCTATAAATAAATGATATGTATCCTTTTAAAGTTGAGTTTTTAAGTGAAGTGATCATTTTAACATGGTAGTAGAGCAACTTTCTTACCCAATCCAGCAACATAACCTCTTGATCGTTGGCAAGGCGAGCGAGATCGAAAGCCTTCTGCCCGGTGATGAGCTCAAGAAGCATGACGCCGTAGCCGTAAACATCTGTTTTCTCGGAGCACACTCCGGTGGAGAGGTACTCGGGAGGTATATGCCCGATTGTTCCTTGCGCCATCGTTGTAACGTGCGTGACATTGTTGTCCATGAGCTTCGCCAACCCGAAGTCGCCCACGACTGCTTCAAAGGAATCGTCCAACAGTATATTCGCCGCTTTGATATCGCGATGGATGATTTTTGGGTTGCAATGATCATGCAAGTATGCAAGCCCCCTGGCAGACCCCAGCGCGATCCGTTTTCTTTTCGCCCAATCGAGCGGAGGCACAGATGGCAATCGTTCGCCTGCGACGCATTCAAAAATCAATGTATGTATATACACTCAGACATAAAATGGGAGGGCTGATGGGCTACCGCTTAGTCGTGATGCGACGCTTCCATTGGCCATGAACGGATAAACGAGCACTCTCTCTGTTGGCGTCATGCAGAAGCCTTGCAGACGGAGTAAATTCCGGTGATCGGCCAAGCTGATGAGCTCTACTTCGGCTTGAAACTGCTGTTGTCCGCCTTAGGTTCGTTCTTCCTTCAGCCTTTTGACTGCCACTAGAGAACCGTTTTCCAGCCGGCCTTTGTAGACCTTGCCGAATCCACCTCTACCGAGAACGTTTTTACTGCTGAAGTGATCTGTTGCGACTTGTATCGAACGTAGAGAGAATCTTTTCAGCTGTCCGAAATGGAACTGTGGATCCTCCTCAGCTGATCATACAAAATTAAGGTTAAGTTTCTATATGACAACATCATGAGGTGTTTCGAATGAAAAATGGCTAACCGGGAATGTCGAAGAAGTGATCCGGGAGCTTCCTTCTTCGATACCATAGGAGTGCTATGGTAGGCACAGCAAATAACAGAGCGCCTCCGGCAGCAACAGCTCCGGCAATAATACCAATACCGACTGCAACAGCAGTCATTCAAAAGATTAAAAGATTACACGATTTGTCTGCGCATGAAGTTAAATTCTAACCTCGATGAGATCGAGCTTGTGGAGGTGTAGGTGGAGACGGAGAAGGGACTGCAGTGCTATTATCAAGAAGGGGATTATGAAGAAAACTGGAAGAAACATAAAACCAGTCAGAACTACGCAAAATCGATGCGTATGATCTTAACCAAAAGCCAAAGCAAGTGATGCAAGACCTAATCAGTGTAAAATGCTGAAAGGAACCGGTCACGGGAATCTTTCCACTGAGATTGTTAGTCGAAAGATCACTGATTCGATCAACAGAGAAATGCAGATAAGCTCACACAAAAAAATCACTGTAAAATTATCGAAAACTTAACTCTGCAATTCACTTACAGGATTCGAAGTTCAGAAACACTAGTGAGAGACAAAGGAATACTTCCACTTAAAGTGTTGTTGTTGAGCCTCCTGCAGGGAAAAAGGAATGAGAGGGAAAAGATCGAATATGCAATCAAAGAATCAAACCAGAGAGAAAATCCTTACAAGTACTGCAGCTTCTGAAGGTTTCCTAATGAATCGGGGATTGATCCAGTAAGATTGTTCTGGTAAAGATCCAAACTCAACAAGTTGGTTAAGTTTCCAAACTCAAGAGGAATTCCACCACTAAGACTATTACCATAAAGCTCCCTGCGAAAAGCACGGGAGCTTGCTGTCAATGGAATTGCATATTTAGAAGTGAATAGTCTTGAAATGGAAGGTTTTAACTTACAAGTACCGTAAACGGGGGAGCTTGGCAAGATCGGGAACAAGTTGACCTGATAATTTCGCATTGCCAAGATCACTGAAGACAGACAAATTAAAGACCAGACATTCCATTGATAGATCGTTATCGGGATTGCACAGAAAACAGGTTTCTACTCACATTCTATCAACGTTATTTTCGGAATTGCACGTAATGTGGAACCAAGTGCAAGGAGTGGGAAGAGTTGAATCCCAACTCTCAAGGATATCATTTGCATTACTCACACTGTTCTTGAATGCAATTAAGGCTTCACCTGCGATGTCCCAAACATGAACATGATTTTTTGATCTGAAACTTCAAGTAACAGTACAGAAACCAAATCTACACCAAACATTTGCTAAAAGACAGATCTGTATCTGAATGGTGAAGAAAAATCCCTAAATCATCAAACAGAGTACTCTTTCATCTGCTACAGAAATCAAACTACAAAATACCCCACAGTGGTTTGACATATCCTGTAAATGATTTGCAAACAGCGCTGTTCATCTAAGTGTTCCAATTCAAACGGAATCCCCAACAAATTAGCAAAAGCGGAAATTAAAAACAGAAACAAACAGCTACAACATACACAATACGAAATCATAGCGACGCAGTAGTAGTAAAAGGAAAAGGAACAAGCCGAACCTTCCTCGTTGGCAGAAACCGACCAAAATCTTGTTAGCAACAGAAGAATGCAAAGGCAACGCGAGCGGGAGATCGTTGCAATCGGCCGATCCATGTATAATTGAAAATTCTTCTACCTAAATCATAATTGCACAGAACATAAAGTAGCGATTACATAAAGTCATTCGCAAAAGAAGCACAGAAAGTGTTGAATAGATCAAATTACAATTACTGGAACAAAACAAGCCTGCCTGCTCAAGCTTACGCTTACAGGGGAGCAGACAACTGAAACCGATGATTGTGCGAATTAAGCTCAACGAAGAACTCGGCGGCAGCAAATGATTGGGGAGAATGGGGTGCGTTCTTCCATGCAATGGAAGAGAAATATCATCGTCACCATCGTTGGAATTGGAAGTGGATTGAAGTCGTCTGCATAGTCTTCCTTCTTGGAAGACCAGACCAGCAGTAGCAGTCAACCATTGCTTATTTAATTTCTTTCACTCACTGCCCTCGCAAAGTTTATTTAAAATTTTATTACCATTTAATCCTTTAACTAACTGTTTTTTAATTTTATTATTCACACAAAATATAGATTCCCTCAGTGAAATTTTAAAGATTTATAGTAATTAAAAATAATAATATTTTATTAATTAAAAGTAACAATATATTTGTAATTTAAATAAAAATTAAAAGTATAATAATAATAAAACACTTCTTGGAGCATCGAGGAAGAAATAATAATGATAATTAAAATACAACCTAATGTTTCGATTTTTTTTTGTTAGTTGTGAACTCATTACGAACAATTATAAAATTTAATTAAAATATTTTTTTTTTATCTTTCTAAAAATAAAATAAAATATTATATTATTATCGAAAATGATATTAATCTAAAAGAACAAAATCATAGATAGCTAGCAATGGGGCAGATCCGGAGGTGGTGGAAGCAATTGTCCTTCTCCATTAGTTCCTTTTCCTTCTTTATTCTTCACCACAATCACTGTGCTCATTCCCCAGCTTTGATGCCTCTCCAAATGGCAATGCATAAACCAAACCCCTGCATATAATACGTAATATATATATAAATTTATTTTTACTATTGTACAAAATTAATATATTTATTTTCTAATTTATTAAATTATTTTTCACCTGGATTGTCTGCCCGGAATCTTATAGCAACCCACCCGTTGTCCGGAATCCCCACCGTCGTCTGCTGCGGCGGGTCCACCAGATTGTACCGGGACGGGTCTTTTTCCGGGTCGAACTTCCCGAATCCCCACCCGACCATGTAAAACCCGTGCCCATGCAAATGGATCGGGTGGTTGTCGCTCGCCACCAGGTTGGTCCCTTGCAGGACCACCTCCACACCGGCATTGTACTCCAGGACCACCGCCCTCGTCCCAAACTCCGGCGTCAACAAGTTCTCCGTCAAGTTCTTGGCCGTGTAGTCGAAACTATGCGGCGGATTCCTAGGAAAGTCGCCGGTGTAAATCCCGCTGATGTTGTAATAATAAGCCTGGAGGATGTCTGTCCTCGTCGGGTGGACGAAGCTGACGTTGTTCACACTAGCCGCGAACCGCCGGCCTAAGGGGCCCCCACAGGGCCCCACCCCTGTGCAATTTAGCAAGTTGACCGACCAGGTCAAGAATAGATTCGTTTTGATTTTGACCGGGATGTTGACCGGGTGGTCCTTGCTCGCTAGGCTCCGGAGCCGTCGGGTGAACTGAGTGGCGGCTTGTGTGTCGGTGTAGGGAGGAAGTGTTGGGACGAGGACCGGGGATGACATTAGGGATCTGTTGTTAGCACTATTCGCGTATTGTAGAATGGCGGTAGTTGTGGTGTTGTCGTAGCCAGCACCGTAGGAAATTGCATAAGCCCGGGCGGCCATGTAGTATTTGAGTTCAGGGGATTGATTTGCGTTCAGTAGGACGTCCATGGTTTGGCCGGGAGCGATCATGATGTGATCTGTTTCGAATGGCTTCGTGTAGAATCCGTCGGTTCCCACTACAGTAAGCTTGTGATTGGCGATCGCAAAGAAAAGGTTTTCTTCCATAACCGCGCTAACTATTCGAAAAAGATAAGTTTTTTTGGGCATCACTGTTATTTTAAAAGTATCTGCACCAACAAATTTGGGTATATTACTTTGAATATTTTTCATTCAAAACTTTATATGTAAATAAAGTCTAAAAGATTGAATTATACTTTGTTTGGAGCACAGATAGAGATCTCCGGGATGTCCATTAATGGTATAGGCATCGGACAAAATGGGCTCCCGCCCGGTCTTGTTTGCATTTTCCGTGATATCCATTACATTCGCCTTCCACCATTCTCCTACATTTCAAAAACTCATCAACATCGGGCACAACTTATGCTTAGTGTAATAAAACTTACGTTTTTTAATCACTAGATCACCTAGAACAATGGGAACTTCAGCGAAAGGCTCCGGGAAGGGATAACTAATCCCAATCCTCGGGCGAACGATGATCACACCATGAACGGTCGCCCTCGCCCATCCACTATGCGCGTGCCACCACACCGTCCCCTCTTCCCGCGACAATTCAACCCTATATCTAAAATTACTTTCCGGCCTAATCGGGCATTGGTTCACATACTCTGCGCCGTCTGCCCACGGATTCCTCGGCATCCTAACACCGTGCCTATAGCGACCATTGCAATTAATTTCATGTCATATACATCTATTAGTACATACATATTATAGAAATTACCTAAAAATAAAAGGGCTAAGCAAACAAGAAATTTGCGCTCTGATCAATTATTTACAATAGTTATATTCGATTTGAAACATTACATCAAATGCATACAGATGTACATCAGCCCTTAAAATATATATTTTTTCTAATTTAAAAAATAATAAAATTATGTATCTTTTATTAATTTGTCCTTCATGATTTTTTTTATAGTGTAAAAAATAATAAAAATTTTGCCCATTTGTTAATTTACACCTTTAGCTTTAAATTTTATTTTTTTAGTAAAAATATTAAATTTTGTATGGTTTTATTGAATTTTAATCAGAAATATTTAATTTTCCATTTTTTTTAAAAAAAAAAATAGATATTTTATCGTATCAAAATTTTACGGCTGGTTCTATCACTTGTCACTGTATATACATATGCAAATATATAGAATGGCATGAAGTTACCAGTGAAGGGTGAGGTTGTACGGAGACCGGTTTCGAAAGTCGACGATTAGGGTATCTCCCCTGTTGGCTTCTAGGGTTGGGCCTGGAAATTTTCCATTGACAGTGAGGATGTTCTTGGTGTTGCAGAGCCTGGTGTATGGAGTCGACTGCACCAAAAATGTATGGTGATGAGTTCTTCCATTGCAGTGAGGAAGAAGGGATCCTATTATGCAGGAAAACAGCAGGCTCAAAACTACTGTAATAATCTTTGGTTCCATGGTGATATAGAGAATTAATCAATCTCTACTTTTATTAATCCTAATAATACCTAATATATATGTCAACAGATATAATTCTGTGTTCTTCCTAAATTTCAAATTGAAATGCTTTCATTATTTAGTAACCATATATATATATATATAGATATATATATATATATATATTTCAAATTTCAAATACATGAATCCCAATTAATTAATTACTTATTTTAGAGCATTTAATTTTATTGCATTGGGATAATTATATTGATTAGTTTTGGTTTAGAGCATTTAATTTTAATGTGAGTGTGTTTTGTTTACTTTTTTGTAGTTCAAAAATACAAAAGATAATATAATTTTTACTTTAAAAAAATTAAATATTTTTGGATGACACAATTTACTCCATCCGCCCCGGAATTAAGTATCCATTTGCTTTTTGCACGTAGTTTTAGAAATATTAGTATTATACTGGGATATAGTAGGAATAAAGTAGAAATGACTAAAATAACCTTATTAGTATGTGTGATATAAAGGTAATGTCATTTGTGTAATATATTGTAAATGTTAAGTAAACAGTACAATTACTAAAAAAGGAAAATGAATACTTTGTTATCGGACGGACTAAAATAGAAAAATGAATACTTTGTTACGGAGAGGGAGTATATAAATTTAGGTGATAAAAGAGAGTTTAATATTATTAAAAATTTATAAAATATAATAATTTAATTAATATAATATTTATTTTTTTCCAGCTTTCTACTATTCCATATTATATATATTTTTTTAAAAAAATATTACATTTTGTTATTATTTTTTATTTAATAGCTATTCGCTTATGAACTTTAATTGATCTTTTTTATTAATATATGTAATAATTTTAAATATATTTTCATAATTAAACTTGTTGCTTTTTACATTCAAAATTAAAGAAGACTATCCATTTATATATATATATATATATATAATTAGCATCTAGATTAAGGAATAATATTTAATGTGTAAAAGTAATTGTGTTATATGGAAGGACAATAAATAATATTCTCTTTTAGCTTTTTTTCTTTTTTTTTTTCATAAAAAATAATAATAAAAATATGCTATCACAGTCTTGGAATAATTTTGAATTATTTCATTATTAAATAGTTATTATTATTTTTTCTACTAAAACATATATTTTACCATAGTAAAAATGTAAGAGAAAAATTATATTTATTTTATTTTTAATTATCCGTTACAATTAAAATACTATTATTTTTTAAATTTACGGTAAAAAATAAATGTATATTTATTAGATGAATAGAGAGAGTATTATTATTTTTTTATGTAGATAATCTTGTTGGTAATTTTAAAATATTATTAAAATTTTATAATGAACAATAAATTTATTTAATATTTAAATTTAATAGACTAAAATATATATTTAGCAATTTTTTAAATTGTAAATTGGAAAAAATATATCTTATTATATTTAGACATGGATTAAATTTATATTGTGTAATATATTATGTCTACTTAAAATACCCCAATTAATCTTAATGATTAGGTATTTTATGAAACACTACTAATGCAATTAATGTTTACTTCAAACATAAGTTGTGTTCTTTGTGGATTTTACAAATTTTTCTTATTTAAATTCTTTTTTTTTTTCAAAATATCATTTCAAATATTTATTTTTTATTTTTTTTATTATACTAAAAAATTATTTTACATTTAAAATATAACATCAATATCTATTTATATCATATCAAATAATTATTCAAATTCAATTTTTTTACTATTCAAAACTCCAAGCCCACAAACAAAAGACACTGTGACCTAAATATGTATTTTTCAATAGTAGATTTATTTTGATGGATAACAATATAGTGAACAAATGTGTCTATTTTAATTTCGAGTTTACACCAAGAAACGAAAATGATATACTCCCTCCCATAAATATAGTTTTAATTGGGTTGGACACGATATTTAAGGAATACTGATATTATATTGACAGTTGGTAAAAAATATGAATAAAAGACTTTTTTGTTGCTGTGACGTGAGTGTATTAGTCTAAAAAATAGTGACAAATGTGTAATTAAAATAGAAAAATATTGATAATTTTATGGTGATAAAGACTATTATTTTGGAACAACAAAAATGGTAAAGAACACTATTGTATTACGACATACACTAAATTACATTATAAACCTTGATGCAATTAAAGGTTCTGTCTCTTTTGAGATCCACCTAGCAGGTGATTTTCGTGGCTTTGTTTGGATTTTTAAGTCTAATTTTATTATTTATTAACTTTTTTAACAAATGATTATTTTTTATTTTTTATATTCAATTAAAATTTAATTTTATATTTAAAATATTAAATCAATATCTATTTACATTATATTAAATAAATATTTATTTAATTAAAATTTAATTTTATATTTAAAATATTAAATCAATATCCATTTATCATATTAAACAAACCTTTTAATTCAAATTTTAATATTTTAAAACTCATGTATCCAACACATTTTGTAATTTTCTCTTAATTAAATATCATATTCAGTTATTTTTTTAATTTTTTATTCCCCCAACAAAAGTTAAAATACAAATACACATTGTATTAAAATTTTATTTTACATTTTGTTTTTTTAATTCAAAATTTAAAAGAATAATTAAAAATATTACTTCCCTTTTTATTAAAATTAGTTAATTTGGATACGGGATGAAGATTTAAAAAATTGAATATTTTATTAAAAATATAATAAAATTAAAAATTTAAAAAAAGTTATAAATTTTAAAAATTTAATTAAAAATTAAAGTAAATGAAAAAATATATATAAAAAATAAAAATAGTGAAAAATTATTGTAAATAAATATTCTCTCCGTCCTATACGAAGAGTAACCGTTTGTTTGTTTTTTTACATAGATTTTTTAATATTAGTATTATATTGAGTTATAGTAAAAAAAGACAAAAATACTTTATTAGTATTATATAATATAAAGGTGGTGATATTTGTGTAATATATTGTAAATTATAAGGATATTTATTAAGTTAGATACGGTAATACAATTACTAAATTATGAAATAGTATCTTTAGAACGGACAAAAATGAAAAATAAACCCTTTTTGTGGGACATAAGATAGTACTTCCTCCGTCCGCCAAATTTATTTTCACTTTCATTTTTAGTCCGTCTACTAAATTTATCTCATTACTAATTTCGACAAAGTCAACAAATCAATATTTAATTATTACTCTCAATTCAACACTTACGTTCTCTCTCTTTATTTACTTTACTTTTTAACTAAATTTTCAAAAATACCCTCGACTAGCTGTCATTTCTTCAATAAAATATTTATTTTTGAGAGAATATTAAATAAAAAGTAATAATTATATATTAATTTATTGAGTTAAATTAAGTTTGGCGGAGGGATGTTAATAATTAAAATTCCATTTACCTTAATTAACGCCAACTAACTCCCATAAATACATATGTATGTATCTATACGTATCTGTCTCACCATAACCATAACCATAACTATAACCATATTCCCTTTCAGATTTCCATTCTATTCTCTTCCTAATTTCTGAAAACGCACAAATTCTGTTACAGTCAGATTCCATCTCCATTAACGCAGAGAAACCCTTCCCTTAATACTCACTCGATCTCGATTTCCAATCCTTCCCAAGCAGTAAGGCTACAGCTCAATTGGTAGAGCTCCTGGTTTCCAATTTCTCTTTCATTCGGATCCGCCATTGTTGGATTTCATACATATTGATTATGAAAGTCCCCCGGCCTTATTATGCGCCGGAGCCGCCGCTCCTCCACCGTCCGACGCCCGGCCACCGGAAAAAGGGCGCATGCGTCCGGCCGTGGCTGTTGATGGACGCCGGCGGGCAGGCGCAGGTGGTGGAGGCCGGGAAACATGACGTCATGCGCCGCACCGGATTACCTGCCCGTGATCTTCGAATTCTCGACCCGGTCTTGTCGTACCCCTCCACCGTCCTCGGCCGCGAGCGCGCCATTGTCGTCAATTTGGAGCACATCAAGGCCATAATTACCGCGCAGGAAGTGCTGTTCCAGAATTCTCGAGATCCTCTCGTCACGCCGTTTGTGAAGAAGCTTCAGGAAATCATTCTTCGCCAGGGTTTCAAGTCCCCTCAGGTTTCCCCCAAATCGCCATTAATACCTAACATTATGCGTTTTCAAATTTACTGTACGAACACGTCGGGCAGTTAATCATCGAGAATAGCATGATTTCACTTTAATTTTTTGGATTTGTAGTCTCTCTCTAATTGAATTTGATCGTATCTCCAGCAATTGCTTCTTTAATGTGTTTTTAACTATCATTCCAATTTGGTCTTCTCTTTAAAATTAGGAGTTTAGAGTTGAGTTTAATGCATTTGCTGACTGTCTATTTTGTAATGCTTCAGAAGGAAGAAGGTGAAGGAGATGACACTAACAATGGATCATCTTCGAATCTGTACAATTCGGATCAGCAGCCGTATCCGAATAGTCCTGCTGCCGAGCAAGACAATAGCAACAAAAATACGGATACGGACACAGAGCAACAAGGTGTGCAAAATGCTCGTGGTTTGAAGCTTCTTCCATTCGAATTTGTTGCGCTTGAGGCGTGCCTCGAGGCAGCTTGCAGCAGCTTGGACAATGAAGTATGCATTGATCTGCTCTGTTTTTCTGCAATTTTGTACTATTATGTTATCTATCGCGCTTGCTAATCTATTTTCCTGTCTGATCACGACAAGGCGAGGAGATTAGAGCAAGAAGCGCATCCGGCATTGGATAAGCTAACTTCAAAGATCAGCACACTCAATTTAGAACGCGTACGTCAACTCAAGAGTCGATTAGTTACCATCACTGGCCGCGTGCAGAAGGTATATGACATTTGGCTTTCATATTATCTTCTGCTCTAGTTTTGTAGCTGTTGCAGTTTTCTGTATACATTCTGTTCTTAAGGCTATCCATATCGATTCGGCGTCATTGGATGGAGACTTGTTTGCACCTTTTGGAACTGATATTTTGTCGACTGCTATTAGAGCTTGCAATGGTCGATTCTTGTCGGGTTGACGAGTTAAATTACTCGATTCTAATTCGACCAATTTATTACCGTGTAGGGTTAGTATTGACCATTTATTATCGTGTTGACTCGTGTTGACCAGTATACATAATTAAGTCAAAATCTTTGATTTTTAATTAAATTATTATTTTTTGTCTGTGTTCTCATAGTTTTGATTGGTTTGAGCATAATGTGTAGTTGAATTATTTAAAATTGAATTTAGTTTAAATTAATGGATAAGAAAATTATTAAATTATAATTATTTTATATATAAAATAAATATATTAATCAATATTAATATATTTTAATCTCGTTGTCGTGTCGGGTTCGAAATGAGAGCTTCAACCCTAACCCGACTTGTTTTTTATCATGTCAGGTTCGTGTCAATTCGTATATATAATCGAGTTAAAATCTTTTACTCAAACCCAATTATTTCGTATCAAATTGTCGAGTCGGGTCAGTTTTTGTCGGCTTTATCTGCTATGTAGTTATGCTTAAAGTATTATAAGCCATTCTTGATGAACCGAATTTGAATTGATCAGGTACGAGACGAGCTAGAGCATTTGCTCGATGATGACGAAGATATGGCGGAGATGTATTTGACAGAAAAGCTAGAGCAGCAGCACGAGGAAGATAACTCGTCTGTTTCTTCTGTAAGTGAGCTCGATGACTTGCCCGGAGAAGTGGTTCAACCCGAAGAAGAGAACAACATGTATGGATGAAAGCTTCTTCTATTTCTTCGATAGCATAACCTTCTAACAATTACTAGAATTATAACGCGATTTCGTTTTAGGGATTCAGCTGAGAACATAATGAAGGGTGAAGACAATTCTATGCTTTCTCAGATTATTGGTGAACCTAATGCTATAAGAAGAGATAGTTGTCGAACTGCTACGAGTGTTCATAGCGCCAACGCAAAGCGCCTCGATGTTGTGGAACTAGAAATGATCTTGGAAGCGTACTTTGTGCAGATCGATGGAACATTGAATAAACTATCCACGGTATGCTTCGTTTACATCTTTAAACATTCGTAATCAAAGTGTGTGGCGACTAACATGTATTATTAAGAAGGGACTGGAGTTCTAACTTAAAACTAATTGGTGTTAAGTGAAGTGTTTTTCACTTTTATATCGAAGAGGGAGTTCCCACAATTTTCTATGCGGGATAACAATATTTAACACTTTCCCTCATATATGAACATTGTGACTCTGATACTATGTTAAGAATGAATTTAGAATTCCAATTTAAAATTAATTGATAATAAGGGTGTGTTTGTTCGGGGGTTTGATGTTTGAGTTGAGATTTGAATAGTAAAATTTTGAATTGAAATAGTTGATGATATGATATAAATAAGTGTTGATGTGATATTTTGAATGTAAAATTGATTTTTAGTACTTCCTTTGTTCCATATATATCTATTAATTTGCTTTTTACACAGAGTTTTAGAAGTATTAGTATTATATTGGGATGTAATATAAATAAAAGTAAAAATACTAAACTAACCTTATTATTAGTATTGTATGATACAAGTTAATGACATCTGTATAATATATTATTAATTGGAAGGGTAATTGTAATCTTAGGTAGATAATATAATTACTAAAAAAAATAAATACTTTGTTATGAGATATATTAAAATGAAAAAATAGATAGATTGTCAAGGGATGGAGGGAGTATAATATAAAAAATGAAAAATAGGCGTGTGATTTGATATTGTTTGAAGAATTATTTTTTTTATGAATAATGAAAATTGGTTGAAGTTTTTTAGACGAACACATCCTAAGTGGAGTAGCTCTTCACTCTTATATTCACTAGGGATATTCCATAATTTTTCTATGGTACGACAATATTCAACATGTATACTCATTTGACTACTAAATTAATACGAAGAAATAATTCAACGGCGCAAGTACATGCGCTCATCTTCTTTTTTTTTTTTTCTTGTTTTGGTTCTAACTACGTATGTTTCTGTGTTTGGATGAAGCTGAGGGAGTATGTGGACGACACTGAGGATTACATCAACATAATGTTGGACGACAAGCAGAACCATCTTCTGCAAATGGGAGTCATGTTGACGACGGCCACCCTTGTAGTGAGCGCTTTCGTGGCCTTAACGGGAGTTTTTGGCATGAACATCCATATTGATCTTTTCAGCGACGATCCAAAAGATCAACCGATGCACATGCGCCAATTCCTTTGGACTACGGGCGGAGGTACCATTGGCTGTGTTATCATGTATATAGCTGCGATCGCTTGGTATAAACATAAAAAGCTACTGCAATAAACGAGTCGTCGAATTGGTGTTTTGGTTTCTCTTAGAGAGGAAAGAAGAATAGAATTTGCTTGAATCGAAGAACAATAGATACAGTAACTTGCTATTCGCCGAAAATCTATGGGTTGAGCATCTTTATGAATGTATTTTTTTGAGATTGGAAGTCGAATTCTTGGAGTTGATCACCATCACATTTGTTTTTGTTTTTCTATGTTTCTGTTTTAGGATTTTTTATGATGTACTTTGAGTACATTTTCGATTGAATTTAATAATATATAAAGTAATTTCAATAAAATTTAGTATGTTACCATAGTAAGTTTAACAAATCTAAGAAGTGATTGATAATTAATTGATAGGCATTAGATTTAATTCAATTAAATGGTTTAACTTATAAATATATTAGTTATTTGTGTTATGATAAATAATAAAAAATGGGTTTTTAAAATTAGTTTGAAAAAATTTTGATTTAATTTTAAAGTAATTTTTGATAGAATATTATGTGTTTTTTTTTTTTAAAAAAGAAACATACTCTTATTTATATACAAAATAATAATTTATGATATTTTTATATTTTATTTTTAAAATATTTAATTATATTTAATATTTTTTATTATTAATTACTAGTAAAATTTTACAGATTATATTTAAAATATTTATTTTTATTTGGTAAATAATTAAAAAAGTTTAAATAAAATAAAAACGTAAAATATAATAATAAAAAATCAGATAAAAATTAAGAATATATTTGTTTCGTAAAATCATTTAAAAAGATATTTTTTATATGAATAATAATACTCCTTTCATAGTTTAAAGATTGTGTTTGGCACGGATAATGGGAAAAAATACAAGTAAAAAACTTTTTGTCCTTGCGAATGTACTAGTATAAAAAACAGTGATAATTTTGTAATAATAATAAAAAAATAATTGTAGTTTTATAATGATATTATTATTTATAAAAATGAGACTATTACTTTGAATTAACGATGGTAAATAAGACTATTGTATTGGGACGGAGGAAGTATTATATAAATAATAAATATATATTAATATTTTTAAAAATATATTGAATAATTTTTATAAAAAAAAAAAACACATATAGTTGTGTTATTTTATGGTTTTTATCATACTATTCAAATTTATTTTTTTTAAAAAAATATCATATCAAACAGTTAATTTTTATTTTTTATATATATTACAAATTTATATCACATCACACGATTATTTAAATTAAATATTTTACTATTAAAGAATTCAAACAAAAAAAGTAAAATTTTTACGAATAAGAACTCTTTTTAGCTGAAAAATCGAAAATCAAAAGGCAAAGGGCGGGCGCCGCGCGAGGGGCCAAAATTCCCCGAAGTCCAAGAAAGATGGAGGGGTGGGTGGGGTTGGGTTCGGAAACCTCCAAACGACTTCCTTTCCTTTCCTGATAAACCCCAAATCCCGCGCAACCTTCGTTCACAAACACACTTTTCTGTCTCCCCATCCCCACCCTAACATGGACGACAAAGCCCACGCATATTCCAACCAACCTGGAGCCTCACCAGCAATGGAAATGGCAGAGGAAGCTCAATGGAAGCTCTACGAGGCCTACAATGAGCTGCACGGCCTCGCTCAGGAGTTTTCCACGCCCTTCGACGCTCCGGCGGTGCTCGTGGTCGGCCACCAGACTGACGGAAAGAGCGCTCTCGTCGAGGCACTAATGGGGTTTCAGTTCAACCACGTCGGCGGCGGTACCAAGACCCGCCGCCCCATCACGCTGCACATGAAATTCAACCCCGATTGTCAAACTCCACTCTGCTACCTCTTGTCTGACTCCGACCCCTCGCTTCTTCACGAGAAATCCCTCCAGGAGATCCAGGTGCATTTCAATTTTCGCCATTTCTTTTCATGTGCGATTTTAGTTGGCATTTTTATTGTTGATTTTGTTGTTGTTATTGAAGCTAGTACAAATGGAAGGGTAGGTGGAGTTCAATTTCTAGTCTTATCAGGAAAATTTATCTTGAATTGGAATAGGATGCCAAGTTTTAGTTTTTAAGTTGGAAGTTGTTTGGAGTGATTTATTTAATTAGTATAATTTGATTTATAATATAATATATGATTTTAAAAAAATTTAAAATGTGTTTAAATTTTCATTTTAATAAAATATATTACTCCCTCCGTCCCATTTACCATATTGTCGTTTTAGTTTGTCCCACAATCTCGTGTCACTTTCTTTTTTTAATTTTAAAATGAGCAAGCATCTTAGTTTCATTTTAAATTTTATAATTTAATTTTTTTTAATTTTAATTAAATTAATTAGTCATCTTAATTTTAATCTATAATGATTTATATTATAGTTTAATTATTTTCACTAATACATTCTTAATTATCTACTAATTATACTTATCCTAAATTCCAATGTCTACAGTAACCAAGACACCCAATGTGGGACGGAGGTAGTAGTATACAATAAGTATATCATAGTTTTTTTTATAGAGAATAAAGTTATAATATAATACAAATAAATAAAAATAAAAACATTTATTTATGATTATTGATTAATATAAATTAATTTTATAGAGAAAAAAAAGAGTTTTTGAATGTATATAAATACTCTTTTTTTAATCGAAGAGAGATAGAAATAGCTCATTTTAAGTGGTCTCATGTGACTTGGCTTTGTTTAGATACAGGGTTTGGAGGTTTTTTGAATTTTGGAAATTTGGAAAAAGTAAAAAGTTAGTATTTGATTTGATGTTTTGTGAAAGAAAAAATGTATTCGATGTGATGTTTTTTTTAAAAATGAATAGTGCTAAATGAGTGAAAGTGTGCTGTGTAAACAGAGTCTTAATATTTGAAAAAAAAAATTGGGAACATAGTGTCAATCCAAATCCAACCACTAGCCAAACACATATAGATGGAAGTTTTAAGGTGTTAGGAATGTGTTGCTTATTTGTCACATATGCAACATAGTGTCATCGGTGATGTTGCTCGAGACGACAATGATTCTGGTTACATTGGTTCAACTACATAGCGAATTAGAATGTAGTTTACAATGAACAAAATCCATGTTCATTTTAGTATGATAACACCAAACTATTTATGCTCAATGATTGCAGGTTTATATTGAAGCTGAAAATCTGAGGCTGGAACGAGAGTCTTGCCAATTCTCATCTAAAGAAATTATAATTAGAATAGAATACAAGTACTGTCCGAACCTTACTATAATAGACACTCCTGGTCTTGTTGCACCGGCACCAGCTCGCAAAAACCGTACATTGCAGGTTAGGTTTTTAATTTGATGAGTACTTTTCTTCACCTCAGAAGCACTCAGGTGTGAAAGTTGAACTACTGCATTGGTAGAATCAAGCTCGTGCGGTGGAGTCGTTAGTACGAGCTAAAATGCAGCATAAGGAGTTCATAATATTGTGCCTTGAAGATTGCAGTGATTGGAGCAATGCCACAACTCGGAGAATAGTGATGCAAGTATGGTTCCAGTTTCTTCTTCTTCCTTATATATATATATATATATTTATCTTTTGGATTAAATATACGGAAGGCTGCAGTTTCTGTTACCTGTTGATTATCTTAGAAGATAGCCTTGCCTGACATATTCTGAACTCATGAAATCAAACGTTTATTAGACGGCTGTAAACCCATGTCCTGCCCAAAACATGCGGTTCTAGTTCCACTAATGGTGTACTGGGCCCATAAATATTCATTTGTTTATATACCTCCTGAGTAATAGAGGAAGTTTTGTGGTTGCTGACTAGAGTGACACTGTAACAAGTGTGGATATGAGGACTAGCCCTTAAACAAGTGCTTATGTTGATGACAGGTGTAGTCCTAAAACTAACGCTGAACTCAATCTCTATGTTTACATTTTGGCTTGTGATTTCTGCTACCATCTTGTACTAAGGATATAATCGTGTTTGTAAAACTGCATTTACTGTTTAAGAAGTTGAAATATGCCACTTATCTGTCTATTCCGCTGCACAATTCCTGTAAAATATATCTAAGCATATCTCTTGAAGGATGAAATTTTATATTTTGTAATTTGAAACTCTCCTGAAGGCGTTCTCTTCATTCAGACAAAAAGGTTTGGAACACAATAGCATGATTCAAGAAAGTTGTCTATGTCTAGATGATCGGAATACTCACCTAAAAATTTAAACTATTAAGATACATCATTAATTTTATCTACATACGCGAGTCAACCAACATACCCCTCAAGTGCTGCACATGAATATATGCGAGATAAGGACGGTGGGACTCGAACTCGAGATCTAAGACTCTGATACTATGTTAAGTGATCGAAATGACCGTCTCACCTAAAAGATTAAGCTATTAGAGATATGCGTTATTAATTTTATCTACATATGGGAGTCAACCAACACACATTTTGGATCCAGATTATGGGTTTATTTGTTAGACTCTTATAATGCTTTATGCAGGTCATGATACCTACTCAATCATGCATTAGAAATTCCCTTTCAATTCATGCAAAACTTGATGAAGTTGCCTGGCATTTAGAAACTGGGATTATAATATATAAATTTTGTAAAATACCAAGACTAGTCTCATCTCTCAAATGTGTCTTTTCAATTATTTGACTAGTTGAATGATTAGCTCTATAATGTTCTGTCTTGTAGATTGATCCAGAACTTTCAAGAACCGTACTTGTCTCAACAAAGCTTGATACAAAAATCCCCCAATTTGCTCGAGCTTCAGATGTAGAAGTTTTTCTTTCACCACCATCCAGCACACTTGATGGCTTCATGTTAGGTGATTCACCTTTTTTCACTTCTGTTCCTTCTGGAAGAGTTGGATCTGGCCATGAATCTGTATACAGATCTAATGATGAGTTCAAACAGGTCAGATATATTTCCTTCTTTGTCTCATTAGTTTAGCTGCTACTTGGCCAGGATAGTCAGTTATGATGACTACTGCTGTATGAGATATGAAGTTATGATGTATTCTGATACATAAATTCTTATGTTTTCTAAGGCTATATCTTTAAGAGAGATGGAAGATATAGTAGCTCTGGAGGAAAAATTGGGTAGAACACTTTCAAAACAGGAAAAGAATAGAATTGGTGTTAGCAGCCTTAAGTTGTTCTTGGAAGAGTTGCTGCAGAAACGGTACCTAAGCTTGATGTTGTTTTAACAGTTGCTCCTTTTATAATTTTCTCATTCTGTACGTCACAATTTTGTTGTGCTTCTTTTTGCAAAGGTATATGGACAGTGTTCCACTGATCATTCCACTTCTTGAAAAAGAGTATCGGAGCACAACAAAGAAGCTAAATGACATAAATCAGGAACTCAGGTGTAAATTGCTCGTGAAGGACTTTGAAGTACATGTTGATAGTTGAATAGAGTGCATAAATTAGGAGTCAACTTATCAATTAAGCTCTTCTTATTTTGTCAAACTATTGTTGGTGATTGGTTAAGACACTAGAACTTTTATTTTATCTCTTCCACTCTGTTCCCAATTCCTTTGCTTGATGTAATCTGTATCCTGTATGGTCCTCTGAGTTGGTTTCTCTGCTGCATTTTTCAGCACTTTGGATGAAGCTAAGCTGAAGGAAAAGGGGAGGGCCTTCAATGATCTGTTTTTGACTAAGGTTGACACATATATAGTTCTCTGACTATTCCTCAAATCATAGGCTGGAGCAATACTTTGCTATTTATCATTAGTACATAGAGGAGTATATTTTACAAATTTGGTGCAAGTTATTTGAAACGTGCTCATTATGCAAGGTATTACACATTGTCTTGTTTTTTTGTTTTTTTTTTTGTTTTTTCTCAGGCTCTTATTCATTGATAGGCTAATGAATAAATATGTACTATATGTGATGGGTCACCATACTTCATTAGGAGCTGATCTTGTTCCAAATTCCAGCAATATTTTACTGACATTTAAATATGTTCAAGATATATTTTGTTTCCATGAAAGAATATCTAATGGGATTTATGCTTTATACCTCTTTCAAGTTTGTTAGTACACTATGCAACAATTTTACTGAGTGCTGGTAATACTGTTTCTAAAAATTTACGTGTAGTCAGACGCGAGCATGCTCTTAAGTGCATAGGTTTACAGATATTTACCTTTTTGCAGTTAAGTTTCTACTCTAAATAAAATTTCTTGTATTGCTCAGCTCTCACTTCTGTTGAAAGGGACAGTTATTGCACCACCTGATAAATTTGGTAAGTTTCACTAGTGCAGAAGAGTTTTTTATTTTTATTTTTACTCAACAAACCCCCCCCCGGTGCTTAGCTTTCAAACAAGGAAATTTCACTACTGCCAGTTATTTCACTTTCACGTGCATTCCATAACATTCAAACTCATGAGCTCAAAGCATTTATATTATTAAGGACATTTTCCTGTAACTTGCTTGAAAAAATTGTAAAATCATACCATATATACTGAAATGGGAGATATTTCCTCAATATAATAATCACGTTCCTTTTTGCAGGGGAAACACTCCAAGATGAAAGAGTTCATGGTGGTGCATTTACAAGCGCAGATGGTCTTCAGTTTCCCCACAAGTTAATTCCTGTAAGTCCTCAATGCTTTATGTAATGTCGCCTGATTATCCTCTTCAAATATCTTTGGGCGCATCGACATTGTCTTTGTGCATCTATATTTATGTGGGAAAGTTGTATTTGTCCTTTATATATATACCCAATTATTAATATTGTCTATAAAAACTTTGAAATGTTGTAACATGGCTTTGCTCATATATTTATTTATTTATTTCGCAATTTTGGCCCTCCTAGCACACTTGAATGATTTCTACAATTCAAGTGCAAGACCAAAATTGCAAAATAATGAATCGTGTGTCCAAGTTATGATTATTCAAAAATTCAGAATTCACCAAATAACTTGTACCTTCTCTAGCAAATTTGTTCTTTTGTAACTTTTTCCCCTTTTTAATTATTTAATCTATTATTTCTCTAAGAAAAATCACATCCAACGCCATTTTCTGCATAAAATATTACACCCAATGGCTTTTTACTATGGAAACATCACAATTTCCTATAAACTATACTATTTTATCACATAAAACATCACATCCAACCGCTAGTTAAGCGCGCTGACAATATACTTAAAATTGTAGTTTTAGATAGAGATGTATCTAGATAGATTTATATCATGATATAGTTAGGATTATTAGGATGGGTTGGTACCTCACTTGCATTCATATGAAATAACCTACCTTTTCATATTCAACAAAACACAAACACAAAGCCATACAATTTTCATCCACCACACATTTTTTTGCTACCAATCTATTTCTTCTCCACTGCTGTTGCTGCTACAATTTGTTTTTGCATTTCTCCCAATATGGATGCTAAATATGATACTTGGTCAGCAAATGATTGTGATGACATGGCTTTTCAATAGTAAGGAAGAGTTTGTAAGTAAAAACCTCATGCTCTTGAACACTTAGAAAGCCATGTGAGATGTATTGTAATGATAAGAATTTATCTTGGATGTTTGAGCTGTATGAGTAGTTTTTTTCTTGGTATTCAGACTGGTCAATTTGTTAATGAGTATTATTCTACTCTCAAAGGTATACTTGATAATATTTTAGTTTACCACTCTCTATTTACATGGGTGGTTTGCTCAACGGGTGGAATTCATGGTAGTAAAATTTTTATTTGGCTTAGATGCTGATCTCCGTGTCACCACTGGCCATTTCAGTCTTGGCTCTTAAGATACTACTGCAGTGTTTGTTTGAGATCAAGGCCCAAGTGGTGGTCATAGTCATAGCCACGGTCATGGAACCAATTTAGCCAGAGATGACCTCATCGTAGTAATTCTGTTCATCAAATCATGTTTCTGAAAAGTGTTGGAAGAAGTTTGATAAATCTGTGGGCCAACACCATTTGTTGTACTGACCCGAGTCCCTCATCTGTTTTTGGCAATTTGATACATTCTTCTAGCAATTTCTTCATCATTCTGTATAGGGTTTTGCCTTTTATTTTATGGCTTATGGTAATATTATGACTTGTGATTTCCAAATGTTAAGGAAGAAATCAGATTCATAACCCACTTGTAAGTTGTTGTTGCTATCTTTAGATTTAGGATCTTGAAATTTCTTTTTTCTTTGCAGAATGCAGGGATGCGTCTTTATGGAGGTGCTCAATATCATCGTGCAATGGCTGAGTTTCGTTTTGTTGTTGGGGGTATCAAATGTCCACCTATAACACGTGAAGAAATTGTAAATGCTTGTGGAGTAGAGGACATTCATGATGGAACAAATTATTCAAGGTAATTATTCTTAAAAACTATGCTAATATGACGTTATAAATCTATAAATTTAGGAATGGCTTTAGTTGCAAATTTGTGTTTTGTAGGGTGAAAAAATTGTTCGATGTGATATCTTGCATGCAAAATTGGTGTAGGATGTAATGGTTTTGGAGAGAAATTGGTAAATTGAATAATAAAAATAAAGATATTAAAAACATAAGTAAACAAACCCCGACTTGATTATTATTTTATTGCTTTATTGACTGGGTTTATTTTCTTTGCCTTTTGATATGCAGAACTGCTTGTGTAATTGCTGTTGCTAAGGCTCGTGACACCTTTGAGCCTTTTCTTCATCAGGTATTGAATTCAATTCTATGTTTATTTTTCCTCAATTTACTTCTCTTTAATATGTACACTTTCCTTTATGATGAAAATTTATATGGTTATTTTACTGAGCAAGTTAATCAAGCATAGGTTCATTAGATTAATTTCCAGATGCGTTTTCTTCTTTCATGTGTTATATGTATCTATCTATATATAGATATATATATATATATATATTAATTAAGACATTAATAATTCATCCATCATTGGTCAAATATATTATCTAAGCTGACAGGCATTTCAGTTCCTTAAAAAAAATATAACACTATAACTATCAGTCATGTGTTCTTACTCTTGACTTCCCTGTAATAATGTGTCTTCTTTTTCTTTTTATGTTTTTGTTTTTATGAAAGGGCTAGACTATTGAGATATATATATATATATTAAATTTGGCAATCATATGTTTATTTCTGATCTGTATTTAGTTTTGAGTTGTGAATACTTCTCTTCAGTGATCTTGTGATTTGACACACCCAGCATTCATTTCATTCTTTGTAAACCAGTTGGGTGGCAGGTTGCTTCATATTTTAAAGAGGTTGCTTCCAATTTCAGTTTTTCTTCTTCAGGTAGAGTATTTGTTCTTTTAAGAAACAAGTATCACTCATGGCTAGAAAAAAAGTAATATATTGCTATTTATCTGAACTACATTGTGTGATTGTTCTCACAGAAAGATGGTGAATATCTTAGTGGCCATGAAGTTTTCCTGAAGCGTGTTGCCTCTGCATTTAACAACTTCGCTGAATCGACAGAGAGATCATGCCGTGAAAAGTTAGTATAACACCCTCATTTCCGTCTTCATTTATGTTTCTCTGGTAAAATAGTACTATATAATTTTTCCAGTTTTTTTCTTGCCATTTAACTTCTCATGAAATCTGTGTAGTGTTTGTTGCTGGTCTATTAATAGCTGAATCCAATTTCAGAAACTTTGTCTTTACTGATAATATCTAGAATTTTTTTTTTTATTATTTACCTTAGGGTTGTAAATTCCTTTGCATGTTATGCGTGTTGCTTTTTCTTAAAATTTTGGCCTCTTCAACAAAAATGATGACAAGCTTGCATAATGTTTGTATGCCTCCTGCACATTAACTTGTTCGTCTGAATTCAGTGGAAATTTTTTTTCTGGACTTTTTGTTTCTTCCCTTTATAACTGGTGCTCATTAAACTTATCATCTGATGTTATGCATTGAACTGTGATTGATGGTGTAAAAAAAATTATAGGTGTATGGAAGATTTAGTGAGCACCACTCGCTATGTTTCATGGTCTCTGCACAATAAGGTATGCTAGGCTGTTGATATTGTCATGAATGAACTATTTGCTCCACTTTATTAATCTATTGACACTGTATGGGTTTGTTCTTTTAAAGTTTACACATTTCCTAGTAAAAAACAAAAAAAAAAATTTACCCACATATTTCTCAATAACAATACATTATTTTTTCTCACAAAATATGTAAGAAAACAACAAAAACTTCACTCAAACAGCATTACAATTCTTATAACACTTATACAATTTCCAATAACTATTAGCAAAAAAACTCAAAACACTAAAAGAACACACCCTATATATAGTGGGATAAAATTATATGGCATATTTGTATTTCATAATCGATATCTAGAAAGTAGACCTATAATTCTTCTTTTCCAAAGTTTATGCTTTTTTTGGTTTCGAAGCTTTATGTTAAGTCTTTGGATGTGCAAACTTCTGAATTCCTCAAAATACAAGATACCAATGTCTGTGCTGTGCTGTGCTGTGAACTAATAGATTGAGCTTGATGATGGGCACGTTTAATTCCTTTTTCTTTTTTTTGAATTCATCGTTGTGCTGCTGGTGTAATATGCTTGCTTTCATTTTTCTAATCCCTACCTTTTTTAAGAGAATTGCTATTGTGTACAAGACTTCCGGAAATTGTTGCATGTTCGCACATGGTTCTTCTCTTTTCTTTCTAACCTTGCACAATCACATGGCAGAATAGGGCTGGTTTGCGTCAATTCTTGGATTCATTTGCTGGATCAGAACCATCTACAATGGGTGTACATTCTAGCAGTCTATCTCCAGAGTTTTCGTCTGGTTTTGTAGGCAATAATGATAAGCAAGATGTTAAGTCCAGGACAGATGTGAAGCTCAACAATTTGGCCTCCGGAAATGATTCAGCCGGCAGTGTTGCAACAACAGAGACAAGGCTTGCCGACCTTTTAGATAGTACATTATGGAACAGAAGGCTTGCTCCTTCATCTGAAAGAATTGTTTATGCGTTGGTTCAACAAATATTCCATGGAATCCGAGAATATTTCCTGGCATCCACAGAGCTCAAGGTTTGATCGTATACGTGCACTCTTATCCTAATAAACTAATGTTCCTAAGAACAATATTTTTGAAAACCACATGCACAGATTATTAGAATTGCTGTTATGTTATCTTTTCTTATATCCTTTTCTAATCTGAGATTTTTGTCCATTTTTAGCTGTAAAATATTCTGAGGAATTCACTATGCATTAATGGACCTTTTAACTTTTGTGAAACACGACACTTCGCATTTCCCATGTAAAAGGAGACTACTCTTCTATATACCTGACTTTTTGACATGGTTGTCTTTTTTGTAGTTCAACTGTTTCCTTCTTATGCCTGTTGTCGACAAGCTGCCCGCACTTCTCCGGGAGGACTTGGACTCTGCATTTGAAGATGTGGATAATGTCTTTGACATTACCACAATGAGACATGCTCTTGCGCAGAGGAAGCGGGAAACTGAGATCGAGCTTAAAAGGGTATATCTTTTGTCATATTTTCCTTCCCTTGAATGTGAGTTTTTGGTCTTTTTTTGCTTACTTTAGTGGTTAAATTCCTTTGTAATATGCAGTTGCAAAGACTGAAAGAAAAATTCAGGAAAATTCACGAACAACTTGTTTCGAATGAAGCCATATTCAGGCCATAGCAGGCAAGCATTTTCCTGTGTGTGTGTGCTGCTTATTGAGTTATATTTAAACCACTTTTTATGTAACAATGGCAGATGTATTAGAAATTGTGCTGCTTTCATCCAATGTACACTGTATTTGGGTGATGAGTATATTAACCATATTAAGCATTTATCAAGGTGTGTAATGAGTATTATTATTGTGTCTTTACTGGCTTACCACCATCACATTTTGATTTTTGAGTGTCTGTTTTGGGTTGTCAATGGAGTATGATATTGGCCTATAAGCTCTTCCAAACTACAGAGTAAGTGAGTTTGTAACACCTACAATATATGTTAGAAGTTTTGAAAGTTCTAGGATTTTGGAATTTTTGAAAATAGTAAAAAGTTATATTTCCAAATTCCAATACAATAGTTTTATTTCTATAAATAATTATATCATCATAAAATTACTCTTATTTTTTTTTTTATTACACAATTGTCATTATTTTTACTCTAATACACTCACAACGTCAAAAAAAGTTTTGTATTCATACTTTTTATCAATTATCGATATAATATCAATATTTTTTAAATTTTGTGCTTAACTTAATTAAGATTATATGTATGGGATGGAGAGAGTATTTGATATGACAAGTGAGGCTGATCCTGGCATTGGTTTTGGTGTTAATGAGGCGTATTTGGATTTAAAATTTAATATTTGAGCTATGGATTTATAAATTTATATGGGTTGAATTGAAGATGAGATATGAATTTGATAAAAAAAATTCTTTCTGAATTTGACCCTGTTTCGAATTAGGTTAAATTAATCATTTTAAAAATTAATATTATATATTTTGATAATTGTTTGAATTTATAATTGTATACACTATTCTTTTGTCTTCATTGTTTTTATTTTTATTTTTTTATAATTTTTAATGTATTTATTTTTCAAATCACTATTTTCACAATGAAATCAAATTTGCTAATTAAATAATTTATAATGATATCAAAAATAATTTTTCTGTTAACAAGTAGGCAATAAACAGGCTATGAACAAAATCAAATATCATATTGCATGTAAATTAAATTGATTCAAAAGAACTTGTGTTGGGACTGGGTGGCATTGGGCATTGGTTGTGGTGGTGGGTTCGTCCTTGTGACCTGCGGATGTGCCTTGTGTCAAAAGTCTCCTGGCGGTGTTGGGTCGGTCCCGATTGAAGTGGTCAAGCAGCAGGCCCTTTTGTAATAGACGGCATAAGGTGGACATGGAAGGTCCATTGATTGGTCCTTGGTTTGAGGGGAATATTGTTGGGGTGCAAACCCAAAAAAAAATTTTACATTCTGAGTGAACTCCACTAGAATGAGGCCTTTTGGAGAATATCCAAAAACAAATCCGTGCGGGTTCAGCCCATAGCGGACAATATCATACTATTGTTGAGTGAGTTGACCCAGTCTCAAAAACTTCCCTATCTTAATGCTTGATTGTTTCTCTTTTTCTAATCAGAATTTTACCTCTTATAATTCTCGATGTATTGTCCCTAATATATTCTCACTCACACTTATTCGTTTTTTAATCATCGAGCAAATTCCTATTACGATGAAAAATTACTCCACCTATTACGATTGGTTTTAGATTGGATGCCCAAATTCCTTCTGTCAGGAAGTATAATATTTATATTTTTGTAAATAAACGGACCAAGTATTATACTCCCTCATTTCCAATTCAAAGCATCTTTTATATTTTTATTTATTTTACTCAAAAGTATAATTTTGCTATTCAATAATTGTACATTAATATAAAATACTTTTAACTTTTCCTTAATTATAAATATTGCATTACATATACAATTATTTCACAATACATATATTTAAATACAAAATAGAGGCTATATATGCCACGCAATGCATAGACAAAACCATAATGGAGTGCGTGTGAAAGCACCAGCATCAGATTCCGACAAGGAAAAATAATTAATCCAGAAAACGCCTTTGCTTTACTTGTCCCACATCGGAACCTCTTCCCTCGAACTCCCCCTACTATAAATACTGGCGTGTGTCCTCCACACTTCTCCCTAAAATTAAATAATACTCCCATTTATAAATACTACTCAAATATAATTAAATAATAATAAAAAAAATCCATATTTAATTAACTAATCCGCCATGGAAGCTCCCAAGCAAAACCTTCCTCAAAAGCCCCACCGGATCCTCCCCAGAAACGACCCCGACGCCGAGGCGCAGCCGCCGCCGGAGCCCGACTACTCCCACCGCGCCCAGTGGCTGCGCGCCGCCGTCCTCGGCGCCAACGACGGCCTCCTCTCCACGGCGTCGCTCATGGTCGGCGTCGGCGCCGTCCGCCAGGACGCCAGGACGATGATCCTCACCGGAATCGCCGGCCTCGTCGCCGGCGCCTGCAGCATGGCCATCGGAGAATTCGTCTCCGTCTACTCGCAGTACGACATAGAGGTGGCTCAGCTCAAGAGGACGCCGGCGGAAGCCGGAGACCGCCGGCCGGCGAGCAAGCTGCCGAGTCCGGTGCAGGCGGCGCTGGCGTCGGCGTTCGCTTTCGCGATCGGCGCGGTGGTGCCGCTCCTCGCCGCCGCCTTCGTAAGGAACTACCGCGTCAGGCTTGGGGTGGTGGTCGCCGCCGTCAGCGCGGCCCTGCTAGGGTTTGGAATCTCCGGCGCGGTTCTCGGCCGCGCGCCGCCGGCCAGGTCGGCGGCGAGGGTGGTCGTCGGAGGATGGCTCGCCATGGGAATCACTTTTGCTGCTACTAAGCTAATTGGTTCTGCTGGTCTCTAAATATATACATACATATTATATATATATATATGTTTTGATATTATAAATTATTTAATAATGTTGTTGAGTAATATTTATCTCCGATTGTTATTTTAAGAAAATATCATATTTAATGTCTTTTTTACAGATGTTACGATTTTGTTGTTTTTTCACCTTAAAAGTATTTTTAAAAAAATATCGAAACAACAGCGGCCCATTTTAATGGATTTGATTCCAAGATTACTACTCCAGTCTCGGTCACTTTACTTTTTGCGTCGTTATAAATTTTTTTGTACGAATATCCTTTATTAGTATTATAAGATATTAATTGAAGTATTTCTGTAATTTTTTTTTAATTTATTCTATATTTTGATATAATAATTAATATTCAAATATAAATACGCAAAAAGTAAACTAAACTCTTAGAGCCGGACGGAGGTAGTACTAGTTTGTGTATGACATACGCAAATTGGCTTCGAAATTAGCTTCGGATTCAATTTTTGATACTCTTATAAAATTAAGGTTTCGAATCGAAGCTGTTCTGTAACTATTGCTATACGTTTCGATTTTTTTCGAATCTTTCATTTATGAAATAAATTTGGATTATTAAATTAATTAATGTATAAGTATATACACAAGAATCATCATCTTCTCCTAAATTAGTAATTTTGGGAATTAAAGTTGAAAGAATGAAAGTGGTGTTGAGTCACATATTCGATCACTTAGTTCACACTTTTTTCATTTATAAAGTTATTTTAAAAGTATCAACTTTGGCCAACTCAATTTGGTGCTTTCTTCTTGAACACACTTAATTTTATAATGTATACCATAAAGAATATTAATTAAATTCACAAAAATATTATACTAATGACAATTTATTTATTAAAAGAAAAAGATATTTTATGTGTTCAAACTTGATTTTGATTAAAATTTTTGGACCTCTTAATTACATGTAGGAAGAAATCCAAACAAGTATTCTTGCCCTTCTCATGACTATGTATAGAGTAAATTGTCAATTTCGAAAAAGGATTTCAGAATAATAAACAAAAACATCGATCTACAAAATACCGTAGCAATTTTTATTATGGTTAAAAAAAAATAAAGTCCTATATTTTTGTGAAACTGATTCTAATATATATAAATAAAAAATAGTTGTGATACTAATTTGAACTATCCTGATAAAAACAATTATAAAGCACGTAAATAAACGGATAATATGTATTGTATGAAATAAAAGCACTTGTTATCTTTTCATATTTGTAGATGTGTTGATCCACCTTGGGCCCTTTCCAAATTTTTTTATTAGTGTAATTTTTTTCTAGTAATTAAGATTTTCCCCTCCCCCAATTCGTAATTAATACTATATATTATTATTATTATGATTTTAATTTATAATAATATATAATATTTTTATTTATAGATATATGTAAAAAATAAAATATCTTATCTTAAATATTACTATTTTCGTAGTTTAGTGTAATTTTTTTTTTTTTTTTGTCTCGTTTATTTTGTTTTTCAGTGTCAATGAAAATTTAAAAAGTTAGAAACAACAATTTGGTAGAGATAAATGGACGAAAAAATTGTTACATTATTTTTTTTTTACACACTCAAACAACCGAATGATTAATTCAAATAAAAAATAATAATTTCCGCCATGACTCGAAATAAGTTGAAACTAAAAATAAATAAAACAGACAAATATGACAAAATATATCTTTGTGACTTTATGAAATTACTTATAAAAATCGATAAAAATAAATAAATATATATATATATATATATATTTGTGACAGATGACAAGATAAATGTATAATAGTTTCCTATTGAAGTGGAGAGAATATAAAATTTGAGATTTTTCATTGGGATTTGAATAGTAAAAATTTTGAATTTGCATAGTTATATTATGTGATATAAATAGGTGTTGATGTGATATTTTGAATGTAAAATTGATTTTTAGTATAATATAAAAAATAAAAAATAGGTGTTTCACTTGATGTTTTTTTAAGAAAAAAAATTAGATGAATAGTGTATTTAAAATCCAATCCTCAAACACACTTTGGGGGTTTGGATTTTGGATTTGGATTTTTGAGGATTTTTAAGTATGGATTTTTAAGTTGTGTTTGTTTGAAGATTTGAATTTTGTAATGATTATGTTGGAAGAAATTATTATTATATTGAAAAAAAAGTGATGTATTTATATGATAGTTTGAAATCAATGATATTTAAATATTGTTAAAATAAATAAAAGTGAAAAAGTAAAGTGATGTTGGAGTTGATATTTAAAAAATATTTTTTTAAAAAAAGTTTTTGGAGATATTATTATTTTTATTTTTATTTCAAGGGTTTGTTTGTTTGAAGGTTTTGACGGTTGGGTGTGTTCGCCAGTCCGTCGATCAGAGCTGAAGTTGACAGGTCGCAGATATTTTCGCGACAATTTCTGCGCGAAAGGAAGCCTATGGTCTAGCAACGTACCTAGAATATAGGGTTAGAATTTTGAATTCCAATTATGTACAATGTTTGTACAGTAAAATCAGGGACAAATTGTTTCATCTTAATCATTTTTTTTCAATTTATTAAATATCCAACTTACTCATAAGCTCTCATTTTATCTATCACATAAACATATTTTTTCCAAAAAATGGAGTATATTAATTTAAAAGATTAAATGAAGTTAGAATATTAGTTGTGTTTGTTTGAAATTGTTTAGTTTTCTATAATTCATTAGATTTTTTTTTTTAAAAAAAATATATATCAAATCAAATAGTATACATATTTTAATAATATATTAAATATTAATTTTATATTTTAAAAAAAACATCAATACACATTTATATCATATTGAATAACTATTCTAATTTAAATTTTTATTGTTCAAAACTTAATTTTAAACTTAAAATCCAAGCAAACATGCTTATATTTTTGTCCTTGAAAAGAAAGATATGTCCCCAAAAATTAATGAGAAAAGTAGTTTTATGGGAAAAAAAAAAGTACACTATAAACTTTGCTTTGATTTTTTCCCCCCATTTTTTTATATATAAATTTCACTATAAAAAAAGAAAAAAAGTTCGGGTGTATTTGTTTGGGGGTTTAGATTTAAATAATAAAAAATTTGAATTTGAATAGTTATATCATGTTATATAAATAGGTCTTAATGTGATATTTTGAATGTAAAATTGATTTTTAGTATAATATAAAAAAAAAAAATAGGTGTTTGATTTGATGTTTTAGGGAAAAAAAAAATTGAAATGAACAGTGGATTGAAAATCCAATCTCCAAACAAACACACCCTTGTAGTTATAGTCTTGTACATAACATTTATTATTATTATTATTATTTTGGTACTTTAATTAAAGTTTGTATTAAAATAGTCTTATATCTAATTCATAGTCATAAAAAAAAAAAAAAAAAGTTATTTGATATCAAAATATTTGAATAATCACATGAAAATTTTTACATCAAGGATTGATGTTGATCTAAGTTATGTCACCAAATTATTGTATATTTATATAAAATATAAATCCACATTAATATTTAGTGTTAAAAATTATCACATAGCTATTTAATAAAAAATGTTGTATATAAGACTACGATGATATTTACCTTAAAAGATATTTATCTGTTATGCAATTTTGTACGTTTATTTGACTGGACACATATTTTAACGTGGAAATATATATATATTTTACTTTTTGTACTTTTTAATGTGTATATAAATAAAATAGTCTTGTTCAGTAAATACAATACTTATTTTTTGAATTATATTAATTATGTTTAAAATTTTATATATCCAAAATAAAAAGAAAAATAAATTTGTTGCAAGCACAACAAGAAAAATTGGACATAATTTTTTTAGTACAATATATAGACTTGTATTAATGCTAAATTTTTCTCTTAAAAACAAAAAATGATTTCCCTTTAAAATTCACCATTTAATGCATTTCACATACATATAGATTAACGTCAAATGAGTTTCCCTCAAACATTAACTTCATGATCAGTGATGCTTATAGTATCAAATTTGCAGTGAATCATACTTCCTCCGTCTCATATTTATATATTTATTTATTTTTTACATGGAATTTTAAAATATATTGGGATAAAGTAGAATTAAAGGTAAAAAGACTAAATTAATCATATTAGTATGGTATGATATAAAGGTAATGACATTTGTGTAATATATTATAAATTGGAAGGGTATTTGTAATGTTAAGTAGGTAGTACAATTACTTAAAAAAAAAAAATAGATACTTTGTTATAGGACGAACCAAAATAAAAAAATTTACAGATTGTTAAAAAATGGAGGGAGTATTTTCTAAAATTTTCATCACCACTTCAACTAAATCCATCGAATCCACTTGAGAGAAGCCAAATTCGTAGTCCTTAAATCCTTCCAATATTATTCCTTGAGTGAAGCAAAAAATCAGTTCAAATAAACACTTTAGAGCACAAGAACAAACCGACTTATGTTGAATTATATAAGTCGAACTTCGTAATAGAAAATAAAAACGAATCCGGTCAATCCACAGCCGCCTTGACATTTTTCATCACTTTCTCCCCTTTTTCGGTCGAAAAAGTGCAAGAGTTGTCCAAATCTTTGATATTTTCTAAATCGGCCGGAAAAATCACAGACGGCAATGACAAGAGAAAATCTAAATCGTGAATGAGATAATCACGGTGAGGGGTGAAAATAAATGAATAAATGAGATAACTGAAAAATAAATGATCGATGGATAATTGAGTAAAAAATTGAATAATAGGGACAATAATATATAAACAAAAAATAAAAACACACTTTTAAGAATAATAAATACTATTATTTACTTTATATCATTAGATAAATATATAATTTATATTAGATATAAAAATATTATAATATAAAATGTAATATTTTGTAATGATTTTTATATATTTTTAAGTGAATATAATTTATATTGTATATATTATGTTAATATATCTTTCCTCTATTACATTCAAAGTTTTTTTGTTTTTCTTTTGACATTTAAATTTATTTATTTCTTATTTTTTTAGTAGAGAAATTATATTTGAATAATAAAAGAAGTATTATACTATCTTCTTCTTCTGATTCAAATTGGGAATATATATTTATTATTGACATCGAATTTAAAATATTATATATTTTTAAAATGATTAATTTATAATATTAAAATAAAAAAATATACATTAGAGATAATATTTTTTATAATATTTATATATGTCATTAAAAAAATAGTAATAATAAATTGGGTTAACAAAAAATTAGGGAAGAGCTCTTAATACACACACCACACGCAGCTGAAACCTTTTGCACAACGATTCACGTTCTGGCTAATTCTTTCTCGTCCAAAGCCCAATTCACCGTCGAAGCTTCCTATCAATCAAGACTGTTTCCATTTTGATTTCTGCAGGCGACCGTTAATTGATTTGATTGGAGTCCGTTTCCGTCTTCTCCAACTAAGAATGCACGGAAATTGAGCTCGGGGGAGCGCCAGCATCAGCGAAATATGTACGCCCCGTCACTGGGAATTTCCAAGCCGTCTTTGATCAATTTCCCGACGGTATCCCCGAGCAAAAGACCTAACAGAGGCTTCCACTCCCCCTTGAAAACAAGGGAGTTTCGCATCTGCACTCGTGCTGTCTCAAAATCCGGTTCGAATTCCGAGAAATCCAATGAGGATTTTGTGAGTAGGGTTTTGAGGGAAAACCCGAGCCAAGTTGAGCCCAGATATCTGATTGGGGATAAGCTGTACACATCGAAGGAGAAGGAGGAGAGTTTGAACAAGAGGGGCATTAATGGGAGGCTTTCGGAGATACTGTCGAGGCTGAATTTGAGGGCATTGGTAGGCCAGAAGGATAAGGAGAGAGGCAGTGAGGAGAGTGATGCTGCTGTAAAGCCTGAGGGGGAAGGGGAGGTTTATTTGAAGGACTTGTTGAGGGAGTACAAAGGGAAGCTTTATGTTCCGGAGCAAGTTTTCGGAGTTAATTTGTCGGAAGAAGAGGAGTTTGTTAAGAACGTGAAGGAGCTGCCGAGAATGAGCTACGAGGATTTCCAGAAGTACCTGATGAATGATAAGATAAAGCTTGTGAGCTTTAAGGAGGATTTTGGCATTTCGTTTGGCACCATGTTCAAGGATTTTGTTGTTGATTTGAAAGACATACCCGGCGAGAAGAGCTTGCACAGCCGAAGATGGTGTGTTGTGTTGTGTTGTTTTTCATATACAATGTTGTTGTAAATGATGTTCAATTGTGTATTGTGTATGACATTTGTGGATGGATTGAATAGGTCGATGAGGCTTGATGCCGAGCAAGCTCGAGAGTTCTTGGAGACGTACAAGGGGCCGCGCAATGAAATAGAGAAGCAAACCACGGTATGGTACTCTCCTTTACTATTAATTGTATTACATGGACGCAAATACGATAGCCTTTTGATTAGTTTTTGTCATAAAGTCACCCAAAATATGTATGGTTTATGATCTTGTAACTATAAATTTAACTTGATGCTAGTTCAGCGACGTGTGAATAGTTGCGAGCACTCCTTTCTTGCCTGCATATATTATACATTTACTTCTCATTACGGAGCCGGCTTGACATAGTGTGAGGAGCTAGATATAGCATTTATAGGGTTATAATCTTCCAAGTGCTTTCATCCGTTCGATATAAACTTTAGTCCAACAGATACATTTGTATGAGTATTTTGATTTTCATGTCCATATGAAAGCTGAAAGGTTTCTGTTCCCATTGTGCTTTGAACGGTGCCTTACTACATTTTTCTTGCAGTCTTGGGTAGGAAAATTGCCAGAGTATCCTAGTCCTGTGGCATCCAATTTATCTAGCAGAGTGATGGTTGAACTTGGAGTGATAACTGCAGTAATGACTGCCGCCGCAGTTGTTGTCGGAGGGTTTTTAGCTTCAGCAGCATTTGCTATTACCTGTTTTGTCTTTTTCGCGGCTGCATACGTCATATGGCCTTTGTCTAAACCATTTCTCAAGTTGTTTTTTGGTATTGTCTTTGGAATATTGGAAAGAGTCTGGGAAAATGTTGTTGATTTCTTGGGTGACGGGGGATTTTTTTCAAAAGTGTATGAGGTTTATAGATTTGGTGGGGTTGCAGCGAGTATTGAAATGCTAAAGCCAATATTGATGGTTTTTGTTACGATGGTGCTTCTTGTTCGTTTCACCCTTTCAAGAAGGCCGAAGAATTTCAGAAAATGGGTGAGCTCTGGTTCCTTCTTTTCGTTATGTGTTATGTTTTTTGCATTATACTAATATGTAACACCACTGCTACTTAATGCAGGACATATGGCAAGGTATCGAATTTTCTCAATCAAAACCTCAAGCACGTGTTGATGTGAGTTCTGTTGTACAATTTTGTTTGAATAGCTTTCCACTCTCTCTCTCTCTCTCTCTATATATATATATATATATAATGCAGAACCCTTCAGTGTTCTAAGTAATAAACTATACTCAGGGTTCTACCGGTGTCATGTTTAGTGATGTAGCTGGAATTGAGGAAGCAGTGGAAGAACTCCAAGAGGTACCCTTTTTTGGTATTTTGTTTTTTTTAGCCATTTGTAAAAGTATACGCTTATACGGCTCACTCTCTCGATTACTTTCTTATTTTCTCCTACCACAATGCAGTTGGTAAGGTATCTGAAGACTCCTGAGCTATTTGACAAAATGGGGATAAAGCCTCCTCATGGAGTTCTTCTCGAAGGCCCCCCTGGGTGCGGCAAGGTTGGCTATCTTGTTTTTCCTGAAATGAAATAAAATAACATACATAAAGCTCTTTGATTAAGGTTAATGATTTGATTAACTTAGTCAACAATTTCACACTAGACATTGGTTGCCAAAGCCATAGCCGGAGAAGCAGGTGTTCCATTTTATCAAATGGCTGGATCTGAATTTGTTGAAGTCTTGGTTGGTGTTGGTTCTGCTCGTATCCGGGATTTATTCAAGCGAGCAAAGGTATACAGTCGTGGTTCCCATTCTCTGCCAATTTGTTGCCTGTCAGAGTTTAAAAAATTTAATTCTAGTAATGAAGCCTTGATCCAATGGATATTCTTATTGAGAAATTTCTTTTCTTTCTTATGTTCTTGAAGAAGATATTTCTTCTCAATTAGTTGCTAAGCTACATTAGCAAAATATACAATCCTTCTACTGATTTCTATATTGGCCATGTTATGTATACGAGGATAAATGTCTTCTATACTGATATATTGTGTTACAGGTAAATAAACCATCTGTCATTTTTATAGATGAAATTGATGCTCTGGCAACGAGGTATGGATGTTTTATCTTCCGATATCTTCAAACCTTGTATTGCATGAATATTTCTGAAATACATACCTACAGAAATTGATCGTTTATTTAAACATGGTTGGGATACAGGCGGCAAGGAACATTCCAAGAGACAACAGATCACCTATACAATGCTGCAACTCAAGAAAGGGAGACGACATTGAACCAGCTATTGATAGAACTAGATGGGTTCGACACAGGCAAAGGTGTTATATTCTTGGGTGCCACTAATCGAATGGATTTACTAGATCCTGCCCTTCTTCGCCCCGGTCGGTTTGACCGCAAGGTGTGCGCCTATTTATATCGATGCATTTAAGTTTTTAAATTCTTTAAAAGCTAGAGCCATTTTAATTTCCTGTATAGATAAGAATCCGCCCGCCAAATGCTAAAGGGAGATTGGACATTCTAAAAGTTCATGCCCGGAAAGTGAAGTTATCAAATACCGTTGATCTGTCTAGTTATGCAAACAACTTACCTGGTATGCATTCAAGTGTATGTTCTTGGTACCAAAACGACCTATCTTTTTTTTTTTTTTATTACTATTGTTCATGAAAGATAGTTATGATTCAGGATGGTCGGGTGCAAAGCTGGCGCAACTTCTCCAAGAGGCAGCTCTTGTGGCAGTCAGGAAAGGACATTCTGCTATTCTTCATTCAGACATGGACGATGCAGTTGACCGTCTGACGGTAGGTCCGAGGCGTGTCGGGATAGACCTTGGCCACCAAGGACAATCTCGGAGAGCCACAACCGAGGTGGGCACTGCCTTGACTTCCCATCTGCTAAGACGTATTGAGAATGCAAACATCGAGCGCTGTGATCGTGTCTCCATTAATCCTCGTGGACAGGTTTGCCCTTTTCCCTCCCGGTTTTTACCATTCGCAAGTCTTCTCCCAAGTGGTGATGGTTTAACATGGCTTGTGCAGACATTGTCGCAAGTTGTATTTCACCGTCTTAACGACGAGTCGTACATATTCGAGAGAAAGCCTCAGCTTCTACAACGCCTTCAGGTACGAATCAACTTCAAGTTAACCTTGTTTTAATCGAGTTTAATTTGCGTCGTCAACACAATTGATACCAAAATTTCAATTTGATACATCTAATTTTCTTACGGTAACCTTCTACAAAGGTATTGCTCGGCGGCAGAGCAGCCGAAGAAGTCATTTTTGGGAGGAATACCTCGAAAGCATCAGTCAGTTACCTCGCCGACGCTTCCTGGCTCGCCCGAAAGATCATCACGATGTATGTCCTCGCACCGGTACATTCAATCTGATCCCGACTCATTTTCTATTTAATTTTGGTGTAATCTCTCGTCGTAGATGGAACATAGATGACCCAATGACGATCCACGGCGAGCCTCCTCCATGGATAAAGCGCCCTAAATTTGTCGGCCCAAGAATCGACTTTGAGGGCTCTCTTTACGACGACTACGATCTGATCGAGCCCCCGATCAACTTCGAGCTAGAAGGCGACGTTGCGAGGAGGACGGAACAACTGATGCACGAAATGTACGGAAAAACAGTCGATCTGCTCAGGCAGCACAAGGCAGCTTTGCTTAAAACTGTCAAGGTACGATCGAATCCAACAATGCTTATAACGAAACTCCATGTCGTCAAAATGCTGAATGGTTGAGCTGCGCATCATCTGCAGGTTCTTGTTGACCGGAAGGAGATCAGCGGGGATGAAATCGACTACATTCTGGATAAGTATCCGGCGCAGACGCCGACGAGGTTGGTGCTGGAGGAGCAAAATCCGGGAAGCCTTCCGGCGTTGGAGCTGAAAGGGGAGGAGAGGGGCGATTTGGAGTATACCCTTTTGAGTTCTTAGCTTCTTTCGAGGATCTGTTGAGGGAAAGTTTGGGAGATGGGAATGAATTGTCGCCCATTGTTGTTTATTTGTGTAGTCTGAAGGAGGATTCTTGCATACGAAGAAGATAAACAGATTTTTGTGCGTTGAGATTCAGACGGTTTTGAAGGTATTTATTTATACATTTAAATTATCACTTCAAAGAAATTATGCAATGAATTTTAGGCTCGCAGAAATTAGAACTAGCAAAAGTAGGTACGAATGCTTGAGTTTAAAAAATTAGGCCCCAAAAAAGCCTCATATAAATCCGGGCCGCATTTTTTGGACCAATTCGATATTGTCATCTCTAATAAAAATATTGGACTATATATTAATTTTATATTAATATAAGTAATGAGCAATTATATAATACCATGTTAATTTATATATTGTATTATATTAATATAAATAATTGTTAAATATTTATAATTTAACTAAATGCAAAAGTAGTTATGTTTAGTTGTTTGTTTATATTAGAGATGGCAATGGGTCGATTTGTGTCGGGTTGAATACTTTAAACGGGTTAAATTATTCAATTATAATCCGATTCGTTTATGATCGTGTGGGGTTCGTATTGACCCGTTTATTATCGTGTCGGGTTTGTGTTAACCCGTATACATAATTAAGTCGAATTTCTTGATTCAAATTAAATAATCTTTTTTGTTATATTGTCGTGTTAGTTTTTATTAGTTTGAGCTTAAATTAGATTGAATTATTTAAAATTGAACTTAGTTTAAATTAATTTATGAGATAATTATTAAATTATAATTTTTTACATATATAATAAATATATTAATCAATATTAATATATTATAATCGGGTTGTTGTATCGGGTTTGAGTTGAGAGCCCCAGCCTTAACCCGACCCGTTTACTATCGTGTCGGGTTCGTGTCAACCAGTATACATAATCGAATTGAAATCTTTGACTCAAGCCCAATTATTTTGTATCGAATTGTCGTGTCGGGTCAATTTTTGCCGACTCTAGTTTATATTATAGTCATGTTGAAATTCATATTTAGTGAACATGTGCATGCTCATAGTTTTGTTTAGATTGATTAATATATATATATATATATATATAATATAATTAAAATATTTTTATAATTATTTAAAAATATAAAAAAAATCAAATTTTTAATATTTTAACATTTAATTGCAAAAATATACTAAAAGATATCAATTTTATTGGATGAACGCTGTTGATTTGAGTGTTGTTTATTTTTAAAAACTCAGAGAAATTCCACATCCTCTGCTGCAGCGGCTGTGTGCCTGTGTCTTGTCAACGGATGATCTTCAACTTCCAGTTCCAGGCACGGATTGGAGGCTGGAGGAGCAGAGGGATTTCAGAGTTCTTCAATGTTGTCCAATCCCATCAACTCCCTCCCCATATTTCGGGCTTACCTCAATCCCACCAACCACCTCACAGCCACAGCCACAGCCACAGCCACAGCCGCCGTCGCTTTCCGCTTCCGCCATCGCTTCCTCCTTCGAACTTCCCTCGAGGTAAAATGAAACTATATATTGACATACGCTAACAATTTCTATTTCCTACCGCTCAATCGCCCCTGTAATTTGCACCTGTTTCAACTATTCGATAGATGTGTGGTTTTTGGGAATTAGGTTATCTTTTCCGAAATTCATGGTTTAGAGATTTTAAAATTGATGCAAACAGTAATTCTTTCGTTTTTCTTGTACAGAGTGCTCATCTTAGTGCTGTGCCCCAGTTGAATGATATATTCCATGGAAGGATACTTCAATTTAATAGGTTTAGCTTCTGCCATTGGTCATTTCTTGCTTTATCTGATGCATTGATGGGATTAAGTTTCTTCAACGGAGATGATCGGGGAAGAAGTGATGCTAACAATGTAGGCAGCAATTTGCAGTCGAAAACGCCTAGAAGAGACTTGTTTAACGAGCGGGGATGGACCACCATACTACTTGCTACTAATGTCTTGTGAGATGTTCTGCCATTTTTTTTTGGCTGGTGTTAAGGACCTATCTTATGTTCTATTTATATGTTATGCATCCTATCCTAATCATCGAAAAATTGTAAACATTGGATAGAGACGAATAGATAGAATTAATAGAGTTTTAAACATGCTGTCTCCATTATGTGTTATTTCATTACTTAAAAGGAGTGTTGAAGGTATCCCGTGAATTTAAATGCAGGGTATATGTAGCACAATATTTCTCCAAAGTTGATCTCTTATATTGGGGGGCGAAGGTCTAACTTTGCTTTCTTGCCCTAATCCTAATTTATTAATTTCATACAGATATAAGATATATATATATATATATATGAACTTGTTTCCTATCGATCTTTGCAGATTAATAGTCTTATTAGTGAAGGGCAGATATGGAGGCTAGCTACATCTTCGTTTCTACATGCAAATATTGGGCATTTGCTGGTTTGATTTAAATATTGCAAAGCAAAGGCATAGACTTTATTTGAATATATTTCTAGTGGGTGAAAAGGGTGTGTTTGTGTGTGAATAACATACAAAGGGTATGCGTGTTTCTTTTGATGGTTTCATGTGTTTGGCTATTTGTGTATATTAATATAATAATGTGGCGATTCATAGTATAAAAGTCGAAATGAGTAGATGATGGGATAGTCTATAGAGTATAGATGATAACATATTCTCTCAATTGGTAATATATTCATTTGAATGTCATGAAAATAATAGGAATTTATCGTAATTAATATAGGAATTATATTCAGGATAACTTGATTTTAGGGATGTTTGGAAACAACGTTTTGGAGAGCTTTTAGCTTATTGAACCATTTTAAACTGTTTGAATAGTCAAAAAACTAATTTGTGTGTATACTTATGTAACATATTCACCCAAATGCATATGATTAGACCTTCTGTTCAAGGTTGTATTTACATGCTAGTCTATGCATTCGTAAATAGGTATTGTTTTTGAATTTGAATGATAATATTAATTAACGATTGAATTATGTATTTATGTTCGTGTTCTCTGTAATTTATAATGTGTTGTCTGTATGTTTCTAATTATGTGAAAATATTTATTTGCACTTTATTATAACCTGTTGTCTAAATATAACATCAATTTTTTCAGGTTAACTGCTATTCTTTAAATTCCGTAGGTCCAACTGTTGAGAATATCTGTGGGCCTAAAAGATTTCTAACTATATACCTCACATCTGCTATTACAAGTAACTGCTGGCTTCTGACTGCTCTATATAACTCCCATTTATATCCACATAGAGATCCATCAGTTTTAAAAAATTCCCTCTGAATAAATCAGGTTCGGCAATGAGCTACTGGCTATGCAAAGCACCAGCAGTCGGCGCATCAGGAGCTATTTTCGGATTGGTAATATCGTAACCATAAAAAAAATGGATTCTTTATTTTTATTTTTATGTTCTTTTGTATAGCTTTTTCATTCAGATTTATTTGGTTGATTAAACTAACCATCGTCATTTTCTTCGTGACAACTATTTCTTAGGGCATATTTTAGTTGGTTAATTGTGCATGGTCAGGTCGGATCATTTGCTATGTTCATCCTGAGGCACAGGGGAATGGTCAAAGGTGCCGAAGGCGATTTGAAGCATATAGGTCAAGTGATTTTTTTGAACATGGTATGCCCTTACCTTTTAGTCCCAAACTTCTCGTCAAACACCTATTTTTTCATTCAAATTTTTTACGATTTCCAGAACAATCTAATATGTATCTAAACTATTGAAAATGAGCATCTCCTGTGCAGACTATCGGGCTGCTTTCTCAAGGCATCGATAACTGGGGGCATGTAAGTTCAAACCAGAAATTTTCACTATATATATATAGAGCTATCTTATTGAAGGGGTTGAAGTTCCATACCCGACTACCATTTAACTCGTCATTGTTATTATCAGTGGTGCATTGTTTTCCTGAACCTCTCTATTTGACGATAGTTTTGGACTGTCAAAACTTTCAGGTCGGAGGATTGATTGGCGGGGCTGCTGTGTCTTGGCTCGTTGGCCCTGCGTGGGAGGTCAATTCAAGATCCCGGGACGGGAGAACAAGTTTTAGAGATAATGCTCCGATTTTTTCACTCTTCAGGAAATATCCGAAGTGAAGTAGAGGCATAACGGCTTATAATTACTTATGGTTTGAAAAATCTATATCATTTTACTCTTTAATTTAAAAACCATGCAGTATTACCTTGTAGTTTAAAAAATATTGCATAAAATATTCGAAACTGTTTGTTCGAATTGTACAGTATCTTTTAAAATATAAAATAATGTTTGTTATGATAAGCAATTTTTAGGGAAGACGCATAGCTGCAGTTTTGTATGAAGCTCTAGCAGTGATGCTAAACTGGTACATAGTGAAATTTTCATAATAATATTATTGATGGATATATCTCCACTCCGTTCATAAATTTGTTCTCAACTCGATCGAATAATAATTTAATTAAAAATATCAAGTGTCCATTTTCGGATAGCGGCTGCCGGGACTTTCCACATTATAAAAAAAAGAAAAAAAAAAGTCATTGTCCAAATTAATTTTGTTTATATTTATCATTAAAAATACTATTGTATTTATATTATAAAGGATCAATAAATATATTTATTTTTTCTTTTTATTTGTATTAAATATTAATATAATAATTAATAATATTTAAATATTTATACACCAAAAACTAATGAAATGGTACATTTTTATCCAAAAGGGATAGTACATTTTTTGCTTTTCATTTTTCTCAATAAATATATGTATTTATATAAATTCAAATTTATTTATTATTTATAAAATCAATTTATATTAACAATAAAAATATAAATATCAAAATACTTTTTATTTAAATTAAAATTCAAAGTATTATATATTAAAAACAAATTCTCCACTAAGCTTAGCCGTAGTCCGTACGTAGAGTAGAGTCATCCCATTTCTGAATCTCCCTCGTCTGGGAAGATTGCTCGTAAATCCTCTCATGGAAGTTGCATCAGCCTTGGCTACCGGCTTTCAATCCATCTTGGGTGGTTATTCCCCAATCCAATCCTCCAAGACCTCTAAGCTCGCCACCGCATTTGCAGCGCCTCCGGAAAGGGTTTCAGCTTCCGCAGTCTCTTCTCATGTTACTGAAAAACGCAGCGAATTTCCGAGTAAGCCCAAGAATGCGGCCAACCGGCTTCCGAATAATCTCCTGGTCTCCAAACAAAAAAAAGAAGCTGCAATTCTAGATATTCAAAATTCATCTGATTTGGCAGCGGCTCTTTTGAGGTTTCTTTAACTCATCTTATCTTAATCGAACATAATTGGAATGTGCTTATTTTATAGTTACTAGAAACTCAGCTGTTGCATCTAGTTGGAATTCTTCTTCTTCTTTTTTTTTTCAAGAGTGATGTTCTAGTTAGAGTTGGTTTATGGATGACTTTTGGGTGCTGCAGAGATAAATTTGATTTAGTATTTGGACATTGTAAAATAGTTAATCAGAGTGCTAATGCCAAGGAGGTCAAATGTTCAATTTTTATATCTGATAGACAATGGCGGAGCTACGGTTATTACGCCGAGGGGGCCGGAGGTGCGGAGGGTTTTGTTGAAGTCGAAAAATTCTATATTTTTATTATTTGAGCAGAATTATTGGCAAAAATATGTATTTTGACATATTCAATAAATATAAAAATATTAACTTGATAAAGATTTATCGAATTTGAATGGACAACCGTCTATATAATCAACAATATGATCGCCGTAGTGACAGGGATGACGGCCCCCCGAGCCCTGATGTGGCTCCAACACTGCTGATTGAATGTCAGGGCATCCATTCAGAGTCGAAATTTGCAGTGCGAATTGCTCAACTCTGGATTGGTTAGATTGTATTGTTTGGTTACCAGATGGCTGGACAAATGCATGATTTGGTAGTAACCATTTCATGGTCAATTTATTATTATATATACACTCGTTAACAATAGTGCTTTCTCATACTGCACAAGTACAGCTACTTATATACAAATTTGAACTCTTGGATTGCATTACCCTTAACTTTCTGTGCTAGTTATGATGTTCAGATTTTTTACTAGATGTTCTGGAAGTACCTGTAGCATTTCCTCTTTGTGAGGGTCTGATCATTAAATTCAAACTTTTGTGGGATGTTAAAAGATTTGTCTTTGTTTTGGTTTGATATAATACAACAATCAGTAGCGGTCAAATTGAATTATGGAGGGAAACACACCCTTGGTGTTGTTCAACTGGTCGGTGTTTAATTTTCTCCTTTATGCAAAAGACAGCTAAGAAATAACTTGAATCAGCCTGCAGATCTGGTGAATTGTTGGAAGCACAAGATCTGAACGCGGTGTTGCGCCATTTTGGGAAGCTAAACAGATGGAATGATGTTTGTCAGGTTTGTTTTTTGATTTATTCTTACGTTATTTCATTCCCTTTTTGTTGACACTATTGTTATAGTGTTGTAATACTAATCCTGTGATAATGTTTCTTGCTATGTCATGATATAGTATTACTCATGCTCTAAACGGGGATGAGTATATAAAGCTTATATATATATATATATGTATATATGTATATATGTATATATGTGCCTTTATAAATACCTGTTTTTCTTGTTTCCTTGGTAGGCTAAGATTTCTGTAAATTTGAATATGGACTTTAAATACCTGCAGATATTTTACAGTAATTTCTCTATAACTTAATGATTGCTCATGTACACAACTATTTTGAAAGCATTCTTTTCTTATCTTTTTTTCTGTTATTTCTTTCAAACATAAAAGACAAGAAAGGGGTGAGTGTTCTGAAATCTGGATTCTGGATTCTGGACCAAAAAGAAAGGTGTTTTTGGTTTATGTTTTGTAGCTTATTTTTTAGGTGAAATAGTGGTTGGATTTGATGTTTTGTATGGAAAATGAGTATGTTTTTATTGGAGTCAATGAAACTTTAGTAAAAAAATAGTAGAAGAAATAAAAAATGCAAAAAGAACAGGGCAAGAGTTTCTGGATTCTTGGTGAATGTATCAGTCACTTGAATGTGCGTATGATAGTACAATGAACAACCCTTGTCATCGTTTTCGTCTGTAATTAATTATGTAAATGTGTTCTCGTTTTCCCTTTAAGTGTGATAAATAAGGGTTTTCTCCTGCACTTAAACCTTTTAAACATGATCAAATGTCAAGAAGAATAATTTGAGGGTTATGCTGCCATGTTAGTTTTACCAAATGAAACAGTATAGCATTTTCCATATGATGAAGTCTAATACCATGGTAATAATACAGAATAATTCTAATTTAAATTCTGATATTCTCTGAAGGCAAAGTAACTAAACATAAAAGGTTTTATATAGCGTGTGTTTCTTCTTGATAGAAACCTTGCATACCGAGAATAAAACATAGATTTATTTGTATTATTGAATAACTTTATCCTTTTTCTGTGTGTAATTTATTACTATTATTTTTGCAGCTTTTTGAATGGATGCAGCAGCATGGAAAAACTAACACTGCATCTTATAGCAGTTATATAAAGTTTGTTGGGAGATATTCTGACCCCATCAAAGCCCTAGAGATATACAATAGTATCGAAGATGAGTGCACCAGGAAGAATGTCTCTGTCTGCAACTCTACACTAAATTGTTTAATTAAGAGTGGCCAGTATCACAGTAGCCTTAAACTGTTTAATCAAATGAAGAGAGCTGGTTTGGTACCTGATATTGTTACTTATAGTACGGTATGCTACTCTAAATATCTACAATATTCATTATATGTAAATGCACCCACATCAATTGGATATTGACACTTTTTGGTTTATATAGTTACTTGTAGGTTGCACCAAAGTGAAAGGCGGTTACTTCAAGGCAATGGATTTGGTTCAGGAAATTAAGTTTAGGAGGTTGGATATGGATATTGTCTTGTATGGAACACTTATATCAGTCTGTGCTTCACACAATCAATGTGAAGAGGCGGAGAAATACTTTGATGAGATGAAGAGTCTGGGTCATTCGCCCAACATCTTCCACTATAGTTCTTTACTAAATGCATATGCTGTTGATGGAAACTACAAAAAGGCTGATGAATTGATCAAGGAGATGAGTTCAGCAGGGATAACTATGAATAAGGTAGGTTGTCAAGTCTTCTAAGTGAATTAATTTTTATATTTTCTCTAATTGCTCTTAAAGATTCCTAAAGGTTGCTGTATGGAAGGCAAAGGTTTAAACAAGATTCAAAACTGAGTTTAAGCATACATTTCCATGAAAGTTGTATGTCTATATGTATTTATCAAATGATATTTTCATTTATGCTGGAAAATTTTGCAACTTTTTCAGGGAAAATCATAATGTTAATGAAACTTATTGATACCAGATTTAAATAGCATAATATATATCATTCTTCTAAGTGTGAAATTTTGGATATTGTAAAAACTCTTGCTTGCATTTGGTCATTTACAATTCTACAAAATATTTCAATGCTTCAATGTTATATGTGTACATATATATATATATATTATACAATAAATGGGTTAGCTGAGCTCTTTATGTTTGTTTTCTTGGATTCTTTGGATAAACATTCCTTATTAGAAATAATTATGTAATGAATTTTATTCATGATTTAACTGATGGACCGGCATCATACAGTTAGTTGTAGGGCTATTGTTTCATAAGGACTTCTCCTTATATCTTATTATCTAATTATTTATATCAAGAATGAATCCCTTTACCTCCTGCCTGTTCTACTATGCCCTATTAAAATTCAATATCTATCATTCTCTTCTGGGAAACTAATTTTACTTGCTAATCATTTACCTGTTTTTTGTATATATCTCTTGCAGGTTATCTTAACAACTTTGTTGAAAGTATATGCCAAGAGCGGCATGTTTGAGAAATCAAGAGAAATACTTGATGAATTGCAAGTTCTGGGCTATGCTGAAGATGAGGTAATTTGCAGTTCTTGCAAAAAGTCGAACGCGTAATTGTTTCTTTCCTTTTGTGACACAGTTACACCAGTTTCTTTGACCTTGTTAAAATTAAGAAAAGGGAGTATTTTGAAGATGTAAGTAGCATAGCTCTAAGTAATAAGTATTGTTGGTTTATATTTAGATATATACTAATTGGTTGGGAAAGTTAACTAGCATTTTATTCATTAATGATTAGATCGCTCCAGGAAGAGAAACAGTTGGAGTGTATAAAGATACAAGATTCAGTTTATATAAAGGGTTGGTTTGGTTTGTGTTTGGATTTGAGTGTTGTTTTAAATAGTATTTAAATGTGATTTTTATGAGAGAGAATAGTGTATTTTTATTGAAAACTATGTGAGTTGCATTATAAAATTAATTTGGGTTACAAACCAAACACACCCAAAGTATGACCGAAATCTCGTAACCATTATGAAAGCTGTAATGTGATTGATTATTATCTTGGATGATAGTGATGATTGCAATGACTGGTTAATTGAAGAAAATGGAAAAAAATTGACAACCTGTTGAAGATGAGTTCTTTGATGAAATAATATAACTTATGAAGTTGTTGGGTCTGATGAGCCAGCTGCATACACTAGACACAAGTAACACGGAAGAAGAAAGTTACTGCTAGCTCTCGAAACTATCCGAGCTGACGAAATTAGTAATATTATCTGTGAACATATTAAAGGGATCAGTTTTATACAAGATTAAGAGCAAGAAATGGAAGTGGATGAAAAAATTGAAAAGGAAGAATAAATCTTCAAGTATCTGTGAGTAGATGGAAATGATGTGGATATTATCAAAATCTGAATCTGATTATATTTGACTACAAAAGTAGCAGTGATCCATTGTTTTTGCATTGGTACTGCCTAATATAGGATTTATGTTTGCCTAATGATTATGTAATATGTAATCAATTCAGAAAATTTCTTCATTATTGTGGTTTCAATTCCTTACCTATATTTATATTCTATGTGCACCATAAAAAATTTTAAATAATGGTTATCCTGCTATATGCTATCCCCCTATAGCATTTAGGGATCAGCTGCATTTTGATACATCCGGGATTTGTATCTATTGGCCTAGGACTAATTTGAAATTTCCTAAACAGCCTCAGCCTTAATAGGTGTGGTTCCCCCAACTTTATTATTTTTCCCTGTCACGGTCCTTATACCTTTTCACACTAATCAATCATTATACAATGTTAGTTATGTAGAAAATGCAATGTTCAAAATCAGATAATACACATCATTATAATCTCAATGTCACACACATACTAACCCAATAGAGCCTGTTTTTAATGATTTTCTATGTTTAAGGCTTATCAAATTCTTACCTCTGCAGATTCCATACTGTATACTGATGGATAGCCTTGCAAAATCTGGAAAAGTTACTGAGGCCATGTCTATTTTTGAAGAAATGAAGCAAAAGCAATTGAAAATTGGTATGTCTAGTAGGATACTGAAAGTTTTTTGCTGGAATAGTTAAGAACTACAAATAACATGTATCGGATTGCCTTACCTTCTATTGAGCTAATTTCGTATCTTGGACGATGATTTATCTGGAGATTGTATCCAGTGTTGTTCAGTTTATCTGTTGAAAATATTATCTTATTTCTATATTTTCATTCTTTTAGTTCAAAATTGTTTGAGTATATGGCTTAGTGTGAATCTAGACTTGCTTGACCTTGTATGTAAATTAGATTTTTAAATCTCATTCATCAGATAGTTGTCATTCTAACACTTACACTGCCTAAAAACTTGTAGATGGCTATTCCTACAGTATTATGATCATAGCCCTTTGCCGTAGTGGGCTCATTGAAGAAGCCAAGCAGTTGGCTTGTGAATATGAAATCAAGAGTAACAAGTATGATGTTGTTATATTAAACTCAATGCTTTGTGCTTACTGTCGATCTGGAGAAATGGATAATGTGATGAAGATGATGAAGAAAATGGATGAGTTAGCAATTATTCCTGATTGGAATACTTTTTATATTCTAATTAAGTATTTCTGCAAGGAGCAGTTGTATCTTCTTGCGTATCGCACCATGGAGGACATGCACAAGAAAGGTCATCATCTCGACCAGGTAAACGGTGGAATTTTTCTAAATATATGTCTGACATTTTGTGTCCTAGCTTATGCTGCAATGAATTCAAATCGGTTGTAGAAATTGGTATAGTTTATCTCTATCATGGTGAACTAATTGAAAGCGACAATTCAGTTCTCCATTTCTTGATGTTAGATTTTCTTGGGATATGACATGTAATTGCTATCATCTGGAATCTTCTAACTGCTTGATTAACTGGTAGTTGTGGCCTAAAGTTTTTTGTCTGACAGAATATTCAACTGTTGAATTTTAAATAGCACATTCACTTGTCTTATATTCCCTCACTATGTCGTAGTTTTCATGTTGTCCATTTCCTGTTTCCAGCTGTTAGTAGCTTGATTGAAAGCAATTATATCCTAATTGAAAAAAGTATTTTGATAAGTTCTTGGAAGGTGATGTTTTTATAAATCGTATGAAGATGGTACGATAATGTTCTAGTTTTTGGGATGAGATGTGAAATTTTATCTTTTAATAAGTTTATGATAAACTGTTTCTTACATTTATTCTTGAAGCAGGATCTTTGTGCCACTTTGATAAATCGTCTTGGTAAAGCTGGTGCCCCTTCTGAAGCATTTTCAGTGTACAACATGTTAAGATATAGCAAGAGAACTATTAACAAGGCTTTTCATGGAAAGATTTTAAATATATTGCTTTCTGGTGAACTTCTTAAAGATGCATATGTCGTGGTCAAGGTATGGAATATGCTACAAGACCTTTGAGATTTATTGTTCCTTGTGCACTATATAAATAAGCACTTCAAAATTTTCAGGACAACGGAAACTTGATCCCTCAACCTGCTATCAGAAAGTTTGCTACCAACTTTATGAAAAAGGGCAATATAAATTTGGTAAACGATGTTATCAAGGCTATTCACAGCACTGGGTACAAGGTTGATCAGGTATTGTCTATTCATTGGTTTCTACGACCAATCCATGCTGCTTTAGGTACCGAATGTAGTGGCAGATCATTCGCTTAGTTCAATACGCAATGAAATTTAGACTTGATGTCACTCTTCTGTAATAAAAAGAATTTGCTTCATCCACATTGATTTTTTTTTGTTTGTAGTTGAAAGAAAGAATATTCGCTGTTCAATATGATCAACTCTTTTATACCGCATTGATTGTTTGTTCAGGTTTGAGATCTGACAATTTGCTGCATTTCCTGTTACAGGAAATATTTTACCTGGCCATTTCCCGTTACATCGAGGAGCCTGAAAAGAAAGAACTGCTGCTTCATTTGCTGCAGTGGATGCCTGGTCATGACTATTGTGTTGAATCACCTTCAAGGAAGTTGATTCTTGAGAACTCTCATATGCTTGAACATCGTTCTCTATCAGAATTATTGTTTAAGCATTCCATGGTGTTGAAGACAAATAAATCTCGAGAAAGGAAAATAAAATGAACTTGACCTGGAAACATTCAACCACAAAGTAGTCTTCTGGATTACCCTTTATAGCAACCGAGAGCTGATCCTGTCAGGTCAGCTTTTGTTTCTCTATACTGCCTTCTTCTCATATATGCATACATATATATATATACACATATATAGAAGGTTCCTGATGGATTATGTCTTTTTCTTACTGCCTTGTATTGGTTTAGATGTCACAATAGACACTTACACCTCCTGCTGCTCACGCAAAGCGGTCTGAATTGGACATATTGAAATTAGTCGCAGCTGGGAATTCTGGACTCTTACGAGAAATTTCCTCATGAGCAATAGGCTTTGGTCTCTGAAGATATTAGCATATCATGGGGAGTCTACAAAAGGTGCAAGCCATTGTTGTTGAAGCTGTGTACTTATAAACATTGTTAACAGAAAACAAGTAAGTTCTATCCGAGTCTTCTAAATTCACGATCACATCGCGGTTCATCTAGTACTGCTCTTGTATCTACTTCAGAAGATATATATATATATATGTATATGTTTTTAATCCAGTTATACAGTCATCTCAAAAAAATTCATAATTCTTTTCATAGTAACTACTGATGATTGAACTACATTATCTCTGTTAAAGTCTTGAAGAACTGACCAAAAAATGCTTTGTACAAATTCTCACCATGGCTTGTGTAGTCCCTTTTTTTCTTCGTTTTTTAACGTTTAATGATTCATGTAATAATGGATACAAGAGATGGATGCAATATATGATTTTGTTTACTGTCTCTAGACTTCATTCTTGTCATGTAATGCACACTTGATCTTGGTTCAAGTTTATCGATCATAACTCACTACTTTGAATAGTTAATACTATTTATCCACCTGGTAATGTTGGTTCAGAACTGAGCAGGTGTCAAGACAATTACATTCTCCAGAAAACGGTGAGCACTTGTGAATTTCCTACAGTTTTCCAGCATGTAGAGAGAATCTCCTGTTTTATTTTATTTTATTTTATTTTCTTTGTGCAGCAAATGAAGGATACAGTAATGGTCGATTTCCTCTATATGAAATGACAGGGATTGGCTGCACATAATGCAGTTCTTGAATGGCACCCACTGGTAAAACCTTATCCACTCTTTACTTGCTTTCAGGTTCTTATCCTTACTTTGCTTCAATTTATCTGTGCTGCATTTCTGTAGATAAATGGGATACTGTGAGCTGTCTTATTTGGTAGTAAAGTCGAAATTAGTTTTTTGGCAGAGTCTAAATTGGATTTTAAAAGTCACATATCTTCATTTTTGTTAAGTTTTAAGAATATCGGAATTTGAATAATGAATAGAATCAATAAATCTGATGCAATAATGGTATAATAATGGTAAACTTTCAACAGTGCATTGAAAGGTGCGCCGTACAGCTGGTGTCTTGTCCTATTTATTGATGGGAAAAATGTGTTGCTTCACATATTAAAAACAAACCTTAGTCTGTTCATTCACTTTTTGCTTTTTGTGTGCGGATCATATAAAAAATAATATTTTGTATTGAATAATTGATATTTTATAATCGAATAATATTTTATCTGTTCTATGCATCTATTTGTTCTAAAAATATTAATATTATATTGGAATATAATAAAAATAAAGTAAAAATGACTAAAATAATCTATTGTTATAAAAAGGTATTTCTATTCGTTTCATATAATTGGTCTTTTTTTTTAATATAATTATACACTGTAATTATATTTTAAAATTTAAAATTTATAAATTTTTTATTTTAATTAAACTATTTAGTCATTTTAATTTTAATTTATAAATATTTTTACAAATATATATTTTTAATTATTTACTAATTACTTAATATCTAACATTTCTGTGTCTAATTAAAGGAGACAAATTAACTAGAATGGAGGAAATATATTTTATATTTTTAATAAAATTTTGCATATAATACATAAAAAAATATGTGTATAAATAATTATGATATTTTTGTAAATAAATATAATATTAAGAATATAAATTAAAAATATATAAAAATAATTTTCTACAAATAAAAAATATTTTATGAACAATTTTTTTTTTTTAAAAAAGATATTATCTCTATCTTTTAATAATCTATCTATTTTTTCATTTTGAAAAAAAGTAATTGTACCATCTTAACATTAAAAATACCTTTCTACTTTATAATATATTGCACAAATCTCATTACCTTTGTATCATATAATACGGGTTAATTTAGTTTTTTTACCTTTATTTTTTTTTATTTTAATATAATACTAATATTTCTAAAATTTTATGCAAAAAATAAATAGATATATAGATATGAGACGGAGGTAGTATAAATTTAGTGGAAAAAAACCAACTATCATATTAAATAATAAAAATAAAAAAAAAATACACAATGTCCCAGATATTCTATATCCTACATTGGCACCATGGCCCGTGCTTCGCCAAAATTATGTTAAAAAATCTTGTACAGTGCATTTACATAATAGGATTTGGAATTCGGACCCCATCGGTCCCATTACCATTAATATTTTTATATCATCGGACCCATCGGTCCCATTACCATTAATATTTTTATATCATATATTGCACTCATTCCGTTTCAGATAATTTGTCCATATTTTTTATTTTCGTCTGTTCCATGTAACTTGTTCTTTCTATTTTTGGAAATATAATTATGCACTTTAATCGCATTTTAAATTTTAAATTTTATAATTTTTTTTGTTGAGATATTTTAGATATTCAGTTTTAGATTTAATAGATTACTTAAATTTGAGTCTATCGAGTCTATTTTGTATGACCTATATATAGACTCTTTATTTTAACGATAATAAGACAAACTCATTATTTTCCCCTAAAATTTCTAACATTCTTAATTTTAATTAAACTATTTATTTATCTTAATCTTAATTTATATTTATTTTTACTAAATAATAATTATTTTTAGTAATACACTTTTTAATTACTTACTAATTATATTTTACCTAAATTCTAATATTTATATCCACAATTTTATTTTAAATTAATTTCTATTATAATATATAGTTTTTTCTCTCTTTTTTTTTTATGCCTTTTTGTGATTGAAAATGTCTGTCACCTGTCTTTCCATCTCATATTATGAATGTAGATATTATAATTTTCGGAAGATTTGTTTATTTTGTCTCTAAACTTCAAACTGTAAATTTTTATTATTCGGACTTCGTGTTTTAAAAAAATATATATATTTTTTTATTTCACAAAATATTTTATCATATATTATTTTAATATTAAATTCAAACCAAATATATATATATATATATATACCTTAAAGATGAATATTGAAACATAAAGAATTATAAAATTCCTATTTGGTTGAACTATACTGTTATAAGTTCAGCATATTCGATATTGCTTATGACAGACATAGATCAGTGATGAACATTTTGATCTCATTCCACTCTTGATGTTGTTATTCAAGAAATTATCTTTGAAGAATCGACTTTAGTTAGATATGACATCAAGTTTTAATTCTACATCTCGACCGACCGCTTGTTTTTTAAAAATGTTAAATTTGTAGGAATTCTAAATCCAATTCATACTTTTGTCACATATCCTAAGATTTAGCGTCACATTTACGACTTACAGAGTTATATTTGTCCTTAGAGATATTTGTTCTTGCATACTTTATTGTTCGAATTCTAATGGCTTCCTAACACTAAAAATATGATTGTTTTTATTCAGACTTCAATGGTTTGATTGCTCCTGCAACCAATCGACGACATCATTTAATGACAATTCGATATCAATATCTAATTATAGTTCTTCGCAACTAAATAATTACTATTATTACATTTTGATTGCTCTCACAACCAATTATCTCATTATTATGACTCGTCGCATAAATAAAAAAAAAATAAAAATCGATACATCTAAAATTATTTTAATATGATTGTACACTTCCAATATTGTAAGATCCATCCATTTAAAATGACTTTTAATATTGATTGTACACTTTCAATATTATATTAACTTATAAATAAGTCACAATCATTTATATATTCATTTTCTTTTGATTGAGTTTGAGAAAAATTGATTTGGATTTGATATTAAAATAATGTCTGATTGGTATTTTGTGAGAGAAATTTTTTTTTTTTTTTTTTTCAAGAAACATAGAGTCCCAATAGCAAATAGCAAAATGTGAGAAAAATTGTGTAAATAAATTTATCCAAAAATTTATGTTACTTCATTAACTCACTATATAATCTTCAAAATATTAGTACTATTTTATATATAGTCAATCAATATTATATTATATTAATATATATTTGATTGAATGAAGTATTTGTGTTAAATACCTTAAGTTAGAGTGTTGATTACTAGATGGGTCAAATCAGTATGATTTGACTAAATTTTCGCATTAACGTAATATCTTTTTTAAAATTGTAAATTTTATAAAGTTTATCTTTTAAATTTATTTTTAAATAGAATATTTATCCATTCATAACAAAAATGCTGTCTCATTTAAAATCATTTCAAGATCCCACTTGGATGGAGTATATTTTAAAAATATACCACAAAAACTAAATAAATCCAAAAATAAAAAATTCAGTTAGAGGGAAATTGCTACAGTTTCAGAAAAATAAAAATAAAAATAAAAAATAAAGTAAAAATAATTATATATTAATATCAAAATACCTTTAATTTTACTTAAAATTACATATTATATATTATATAAAATCAAATAGCAAAAATATCAAAACTTCATCTATATTTTTAATGATCAATAAAATATTATTATTTTTGAATCTAATATAAAATCTCAAATTACCTTTTGAAAATGGTCGAAGAGAGTAATAATTAAAATATAATTTCTCTTTTCTAAACGAATGTATTTTCTAATATTATAAAGAAATAATAATATTATTCTTTAGTGAAACTGTGTAATATAATTTACGATTAGCCCGTGCTCCTGTTCGTTCTCTAGGGTTGTGCGGGCCGTACAAATATCTTATCTTATATACTTTATGTTTGTGAATAATAATATATTTATAATTTATATAAATATTAAAATATTTTAATATTAATAAATAAAATTATTTTTTATTATAATTAAAAAAAATGTGAAATACATAAAGATACTTTTAATTAAAACGAAAATTACATATATTTTAAAAAAATAATAATAATTTCAAAATAAAAAAGAAAAAGTCATGAGGCCATTTGGGTTACCTCCTCTACGCCAAGTAGCAACCCAAAAAAATGATGTTGCCTTTTTTGTTTTTTGTTCTGTTTTTGTCTTTTTAATTTCTAATATTTTTTAGTTTTTTTAAAAGTTTTTTAAAAAATATTGTAAATTATAAATATAAAAATTGTTTAAAATAATAAAAAAAATTAAATATTTAAACAAATATTAATGAAAATAGAATTATAGTTAAAATAAAAATATTTTAACACGTATAAATTAAATTTATGAGTTGAAGGTGTTTGAATATACCTTGAAAATGATTATGGACCAAATAGTTCTGCCATTATATATTTTAGAGTTACGACTGCAACTTAATCCGTCTCTCTAAAATAATTCGACTTACCATGGATTTGAAAATCTCCCCTCAGAAGGCCGACACGGCCGTGTTCGAAGGAGACGCCGGCGGGTACTACGCCTGGACCGCCGCCACCCTGCCGGTGCTCGCCACCGCCAAGCTCGCCGCCGGCAAGCTCGTCCTCCACCGCCGCGGCTACGCCTTACCCCACTACGCCGACGCTTTCAAGATTGGCTACGTCACCCAAGGTCCAATTTAATTAATCAATTAATTAATTTTCTGCTAATATATATACATACATATATATATATAATAGGATCGTGCACCGTGGGATTGGTGCCCCCAAACAGCTCCGACGAGAAAGTGGTGGTAATAAAGAAAGGCGACGCCATCCCCGTGCCGATGGGGACCATTTCCTGGTGGTTCAACGCCGGCGACGGCGCCGCCGTCCTCGTCTTCCTCGGCGAGAGCAGCCGCTCCTACACCGCCGGAATGTTCGACTACTACTTCCTCGCCGGAGCCATTGGCGTCCTCCGAGGGTTCTCGACCGACTTCGTCGCCAAGATGTACGGCCTCAGCCCGCCGGACGCCGAGAAGGTCGCCGGCGGCCAGCCCTACCCGCTGCTCGTGAAGCTCGCCGGCGACGAGCGGCTACCGCGCGAATCGAGCTGCGACGTCGGCGAGCACGCGTTTAATCTGGAGGGTGGGATTGATCAGGGACGGCCGCGCGTGGAGATCACGGGGGAGAAGTTTGGATTGCTGGATGAAGTTGGCCTCAGCGCCGCCTTGGTGAGGGCCGCCGCCGGGAGGTTCGCGGCGGAGCCGTCGTACAGCACCGCCGCGACGTACCGGATGATCTACGTCGTCAGAGGCGGCGGGCGCGTGCAGATCGTTGGCCTCAACGGCGCGGCGGCGCTGGACGCCGCCGCGCTGGAGGATGAGATGTTCGTTGTGCCGCCGTTCTTCGCCGTCGCCATTCTCGCCGGAGAAGATGGGATCGAGCTTTTCAGCGTGTCCACGTCAGCAAGGTAATTATAATAAGTAATCTTTAAGTGAAGACAAAATTAATTAACAGACCGGACTCTGGACTCTGTCTCCATTAACATACCCTATCCCTTATCTCTTATGTATATATATACACGGCAGGCCGGAGTGGGGCCAGCTGGCAGGACACGTGTCGGCGTGGAAGGCATTGTCGGAGCCGGTCCTAGTGGCGGCGCTCAATGTGAGTCCAGCACTGGTGAGGCGTTTCAAGTCAGGTGGCAATTAGTTAATTCTGTGTAATAAATGAATAAATGTCACGTGCCTGTCACTCACCTTCTTCTACTTCATGAATTATGGGGTGATTTTTTACTTCGATTTTCACTTATAAATGGCCACGAATGTAAATTACTAAAATACCTTTACTTTTTTAAGGATTTTAAAGAGTATGCTAGAGTAATAATTAGGAGTAGTATGGAAAAGTATGAATAATTTTGTTATAAAGTGGGGACCACGACTATTAAATAAGGAAACAAGACAATTGTTTTGGGACAGACGAAAATGAAAAAACACAACAAATCTTTTGGGACGGAGGGAGTATATCTTATTTGTTAGGGAAGTATTACAATTGATGAATTTTTGTGTATATTGTATAAGAGTATGTTATGTGATAAAATTAATATTGGATGCACTGAAACTATATTATGTGTTCGTATTATATTAATATATTTGATGTGTTTTTTATAACAATATCGTGTGATGTTTGTTAATACATTGTGTGATTAGATTTTTTAAATTCACTACCGTAGCCACAGCATATTTGTTAAGATTTATTATAGTATCAAGTGTATGGATTACTATCATATTAGGGAGTGTTTGTTTGGGGGATTAGATTTCCAATCAACTATTCATCTCATTTCTCCCCTAAAAACATCAAATTAAACACCTATTTTTTATTTTTTATATTATACTAAAAATTAATTTTACATTCAAAACAACACATCAATACGTATTTATATCAAATCGTATAACTATTCAAATTTAAAAGTTTTACTATTTAAATCTCAACTCAAAATTCAAATCCCCAAACAAACACACCCTTAGTTCATTTGCTATATGTTTTTTTCTTTCTTGTAATGTCTTATGTTCTATATACAGTAGGCAATTAAGATTAGATTTATTATAGATCAAGTAATTTAAAATGCAATTAAAATATGTAATATACATATCAAGTGTATTGTGATCAAAGTATTGAATTTTAAACAATGTAACGAAGAATTGGAGACTGAAGCTCCATTTGGATAAAAGTTTCCGCGATTTTTGAAATTTTAAAAATAAAAAAAAATAAAATTATTATTTAATTTAATATTTTATAAGACAAAAATATATTTAACGTTTTTTTTAAAAAAATAAAAATTTGGTATATAAACAAAACCTAAATATTAATGATATGCCCGGTCATTAATCATCATTGAGGGGTGAAAATAATGTGACAATTGTTACAAAGATAATCAAGATATTTACCAAAAATGTATATCTTATTACCATTATTATTATTATTATTATTATTATTATTATCATTAATATATTTCCTTGCTTTTTTTATTTAGAATTAATTATAATTTAACATTTTCTAATTGATTTCAATAAGTACAGTTGAAATAAATTATTGGAACAAGCAAGAATACTTCAGAATTTGTGGTGTGTTTGTTCGGAATATTTGGTAGAATTTCATTTAAATTTTTTTTTAAAAAATATTAAATTAAATACTTATTTTTATTTTTTATTTTTTGTTATACTGAAAATTCATTTTATATTCAAAATTTTACCGACGAGACGCAGCCGTACGCCTGGAACGAAGATGTCGTCCGCCCTCTCCGCTGCTGCCATTTCATGTACACGACATCCCCGCCGCTCCTTCGGCGCGCCGCCGTTGCACAGTCTGCAGAACCGTGCTACTCGATTCCATCAGACGAAGGATAGGCGGTTTCTTTCTCTCTCGCGCGCGATGCCTTTCGACCTCTCCCCTCCTCCCATCGACTTCGACCTCGCTGTAAGCCCTCCCTATGACCTCAATCTCAACTGGCTTTAATTTTGATTCGATGTCATACAGTTGTTTCCTGCCAAAGATGTATGCAGTTTCATTTTCCACCATTGAGTTGAGAATTGAGATTTGTTAACGCACTACAAAATGCAGTTTTGTCAATTGTATTGTTCAGCAGCTGGCTTGATAGCCTGATGGGTGAGGGCGGCTGAACGCCATTGTGATTGTGGTAAAATTGAGGATTGGGTGTTTGAGTGAGCTTGTTCACTGCCTTTTTGTTTTCGTTTTTCAAATTTGACTGCGGTGCAATAGTTCGTTATCACATGGAATGGAATTTGTGGCTGATTCTGGCGATATGCTGCTTTTTTCAGAGGGATCAGATGCTACTTTTCACATTTGTTGATAGAAAGATTCTGATTTCAGTTAAGAGTTTATGAATATACAGTGGAAAAAATTGTAAATATTTTTTAGAATGCTTAGGATTTGATGTATATCTTTTATTATTCACAAAGGCAGCTTTATAAAGCTCCTGTGTATAATAGTAGTTAAATTACAAGTAATTACAATCGAGTAATTGGGGTAATTGCAGCCGTATGGTTAGGAGATTTTGCAGCAGCAAAATTCAGTTGACTTTAGGCTGCAAGTTTTGGCTGAATTTGGGCAGTAAGTTTCTGTTGTAGAATACCTCTTAACAAAGATTGTGTTAGGTTAGAGGAAAAGAAATCAGTCACCATCTTTGTGGTTGATTAATGATTTATTGCTACTTATTTGCAAATTGTTATGGTGAGATAATTTTCTATACAATAAATGGGTTGGATCCTACTCGCCGGGCTTTTGCCAGTATAAGGGAGCTGAATGTATTTGATCTTAATGTGCATGGTTACTTGAATAGGGCAAAATGCTAAGCCATCATTTTTTATTTTTATATTATGTGTGTTTGTAGCCCCGTTGAAATGTTGTTTAAAAATGTGCGTGGTTCCGTTTTACTATATAGGTTAAATATATCTATAAATGCTGTGATGGGTGGATTTGTGAGTGGCAGTATCCTTGGTTTGTTTCAGGATTCTGCAACTCTTGTGGAAGTTGAACCACAGGAAAACAGGAAAGCAACTACATATGGCGATGATGATGATGCATTGGATGCAGTTGATAATGGTGCTGCGGTGTGTTGATTCTAGATTTTATATTTATGTTTTGATATCTTCCATCATTAGGTTGACTAATAATTGAATTGAAGCACTGAGTAGCAATATGCTAGTGCACAAAGAATTTGTACTGTTGATACGGAAAAGGAAGGATAGTAATGATAAAGAATCATCGCATGACTTGTATGTATGTGTGTGCGTATACATAGTTGGATTCACATTAGACTTATTGCAAGCGCACACACAGTCACTCTCTCTCTCTCACACACACACACGCATATATATATTTATATAGTTGCCATTCACATTAAACTACTTGCATTATGAGTAGTGCAGATTCTCTATGTCGTGTTCATCTGAGTTTCTGTAACAATTCTTTTGTACATCTCCATCATCATAGATGCTTGCTAAATCATACAACTACATTAGAATCCTATCTTTTGTTTCTTAATAGTTAGGTGTTAAGAATCCTTTTGTTAACTTTTGTATCGGATGTGTAGCTGCATCATACTTGCTAATTAACGCCTCAAGAATGTTTTTATCGAATTCATTTTATCTTGACTAATTATATTTTCATCATGAATTTTAGGTGGTTGATCTTTCGGATTATGGCCGAATACGAGGTATTTCTTTCCAGATTTGCTTCGATTCTTATTATCTTTTAGATAAGCATGTTTATTGATGAAAAGACTAGTTTTATTGTGTTGTTGTAGTTGTATTGTATGATTGTGTCACAACTAAAACTTTCAAGTGAGGTTAAACACATTAGGTACAAAAATGCCTTTGGTTCTATTATTTCCCCTACTCTTTAATACTGGTTTAATGTGCTCCGCAAGATGATGAATATCTTGACAAGTTTATAAATGTATGCCCTCTTTGACGGGATGATGTTTTTATTTTTTAGTTTTTCCTTTTTGGAGTTTGTAGCTTCAAAGAATGAACAAAACTTCATGTGCTTTAAAACCCTCGTATGTCAACTGTCTGCGGTAAATATGTTGAATGATTAAAAGTATGGATATGGGACATCAAATTTATTAGTACTTTATGTGAACAAGGTAAACTACTGAGCAACCTTGATAACTTAAAATAATTGCAATTACTACTGTATGCTGATTTCATAAGTTATCAAGAAGGATCCTAGTGGAAACAATAAAACATTTCCAGCACACAATTAAAATAAGGTCTGAATTTCAAACAAAATCATGGTATGCTGCTTCTGTTACTTGAAAGCTTATCCTTGATTTTGGATTTCTGATAAAGTCAGTGGGGAAGATCGAATTCAGTTTCTCCACAATCAAACTACTGCAAACTTTGAATGCCTTGTAGATGGCCAGGTAGTCCCTGGGAGTTTATCAGTTTTTTTCCCTTTGTCCAAGGTTAACATGATGTCATAATTATGTTCGTAATCTTGTAGGGGTGTGACACAGCTTTTGTGACTGCAACTGCTCGAACAATTGATATTTCCCACGCATGGGTCATGGTAATCCTGATTTATCATCTCAACTCAGTGATTGAAACTTCAATAGCGTCACATTCTTATATTTATGATAATAATTTGTACCATTTTACGAGAACAGAGAAATGCAATATTGCTGGTGGTCTCACCTATGACTTGCGGGAGCATAGCTGAAATGCTGAACAAGTATGTTTTATGTTCCTTATCTTTTTTATTTTACTCCGTTTGTATTGATTTAAACTTTCCAGACATGAATATTAGTTTTCCACACACCCCTTTCCTTCCTAACGACAAATATATGAGAATTTCATTTCTTCATTTACTATTATGAGTATTGCTAAGTCTTTCTCTATTTTACAGCTTCCAATAAAATAATATTATTTTTTCTAACAGAACATCACATCAAAATATTATTTAAATCAAAACTCTGATCAAACCTCCAATTTCAAATCAAAACCAAACAGCCCAGATTTGTTATTATTTATTTATTTTTAAAAGGAGAAAGTCCATGCTTTGAAACGTATCGACGTGCTAAGGATATTATTTACTCTGTCCCACTCCCATATCTTAAGATTGATATGCTTTCTTTGGAGTTATTAAAGTACACTTCACACTTGTTATTGAATAAAAGTTATCGATGCTGATTTCAGAAAAGGTGATCTTTATTCTATAATCTATTCCACCCAGTTTCTGAAATATGAAAATTATGACTAGTCTGAATGTCTTTTCTGATCACATTGCTGTATCTGCATTGAACAACCATGTGAACATTGTGCATTTTGCTAATATACTATCTTCTAGGTACATATTTTTCTCTGACAAGGTGGAAATTCAAGATATCACTAACCAGACTAGAATGTTTGCATTATTGGGGCCTAAAAGCAGCACAGTATGTGTTTTGTGGTAAATTTGGTATATATGAAGACTAGCACTTCCCCTTTAATTTTTATGCCCTCATATCTTTTGGTTGATCATATGTGGAAACAGATAATGGAGGAATTGAATCTAGGTGATCTTGTTGGACAACCATATGGCACTCACAAACATTACAGTGTAAGTTTGAGATTGTAGATACTGATGCATGCACATTTATCACATGCTATATTGGTCACATAGAGACTAATTTACCGATAAGCTTCTCAGAAGATTTCTTTTATTTGTAATAAATGGCTTTCTATATTGCTTGGAACAAATCATGGGATTCTTTTGAGGATCCATGATATAAGTTCAAATGTTCTAGCAACCTACATCAATGACTTTGTGACTACTGAGATCTAGTCTTTGCAGCTAACTTAATCAAATCTTTTAAGTTGATGATTTTTTCGCCCAAATTTGATGAAAATGCTTGCTGTTTTAGTTAGTTTTATAATTTATAGTTTCACATTTTGTTTTCTTTTATTTACTTTATTCTTAATAAAGTGTATTTGGATTTGTTTCCTCATGCAGGTTAGTGGGATGCCATTAACTGTGGCAGTAGGAAGCATCATTTCACAGACAGGTTTCACAATCATGATGTCACGAGCTGCCGCAGACACTGTCTGGAAAGCCCTTCTAGATCAAGGTGCAATTCATATGAGCCCCAGTGCTTGGGAGACATTACGGATTCTACGAGGTATATAGCTGATCTTTATCATAGGCCACATTCTCAAAATGTATTTTTTTGCTGATAATCTGAACTAAGGTGAAATAAGCAAACAATTACATGATCCGTCTTTGCTGTGATGTGTTAGGACAGCCTTTTTTCTTAAGCAAGTGGTCTTAATGTGCTCCATATTTGCTCAGCTGTAAACTCAATTCTTCTATATGGCAGGAAGGCCTGCTCCTGGTAAAGAACTAACTAACGAATATAATGTTTTAGAGGCTGGTTTGTGGAATGCTGTTTCTTTGAATAAAGGTAGCAGCAACACTACATGTAAGCATTTCATTTTACAGATGGTGGCATGGGTATTTGACGCCGAACTCTTCTGCAGGGTGTTATAAAGGACAAGAGACAATTTCGAGACTTGTAACTTATGATGGAGTCAAGCAGAGGCTGTGGGGTATTCAATTGTCATCTCCTGCAGAACCGGGAAGTGTCATTACAGTGGACGGCAAGAAGGTAGTGGCATCTTCTCAATGTCGAATGTTTTTTACTGATTAAAGAGAATCTTGCAAATCACACCAAAGGAGAAATAATGCCTTAGAAGAAGCTATGAGGGACCTACACACACACTTGCATATTCGCCGACAACATGATATTGTTAATTTCATCGATCACTTCCATTTTTTGTCGACTTTAACAATGTTGAACTAGTTAGCAATGCTGATGGACATTGCAGGTTGGTAAACTAACAAGTGTTACACTTGGTACGAAAGCTTCGGGGCATTTTGGATTAGCTTATGTCAAGAGGACTGCCTCAGTGGGAGACTCGGTAACTGTTAGTGATGGGATCATGGGGACACTTGTAGAAGTTCCATATCTCAAGGAACAACTTCCACTTCAATAGCCATAGCCCGGTGGCTCTAAGCTTCCTTGTTTGCCTGTATTGTATTCATATCCATCTTTCATGATTGCACAATATCTATTTCTTATATCAACAGTATAATACCGATATCTTAAATGCAAAACAAGCTCATTCTCAGGGTGTGGATGTTTTTTTTTTTTTTGCAGCTTGACCTGAGTTGGTACATTTGATGTCCTTGTTGATGGCTGACCTCTGTTACACTTTTTGGATATCAAATTAAATTCCATTGGATTATGGTGTGTCGTACACTCATCAGGTATGTGTTTAGTAACAAATCAATTTGATGCAATTCGATCTTTCTGTGACACACACACATATGTATGTATATATATATACAGACTTGCACAAATCTATTTGCTAGCAAAATATTATATTTATACTATGTTTGAACAAATTGCATGCTTAATGTTGCCAGTAAGTAAATATAATTCATAACTATAAAACATTGCCATTAACATGAAGGAAATCATTTCTTGCTTCTAATTTCCGTGGACATAATCATAATTAAACCAAAAAAAGTGGGGAAATAATCCCAGCCTGGGTGGCAAAATCCAATTTATTCACTAAATTTGACAATATAAATATATATATATATATATATATATTACACATACAAATGAAATATTTGCCTGAGCATCATCTAGAAAGGTTACCAGTATTCATGATGCTGACGAAGAGGAAGATGCAGGGGATAGTTGAGGAGCTGGCGGCGCATGTTGAGCCACAAATGCCGCGATCAGTGGGTTCACAAGATGCGGGGCCTCATCCTTCAAGATCAAACAGTATTTATCAAAGAATTCACAAGAAATAAATAAAGACTGTTTCAAGATGTACAAAAAAATATAGTTCACTGTGATCAATGGAATGAACTTTAGGTGCTCAAAACTATGGAGGATAAAACAGAATCATAAGGAAACTTCCAGAATACCAAATTGGTTAGAATCTTTAAAAACGCTTTATGATACAAGACAAAAGAGAGGAAGAAACCTGAGGACAGTGGCCAACATTTGGTAACACGACAAAATCTTCGACAGTATCAAACTTTGCAAAAGCTTTCCCAAGATCTATTGGCTCCCAAGGATCCTTGTCGCCCCAAGCCACCAATACAGGGCACTAGAACAACGAAACAGAAATGTCGTGAATCAAAAACAATTATATTTGATCGAAAGATGTTGGAAGGGAGCTAGTTCTCCATAATTAAATTATGGTACTTTCACTAGAGGAATCAGTTCTTCTGGAAGAGGTCCTTCTGAGTAGCAAATGAATTCAAGAAACACATCTGCAGCGCCATCGACAAGTCCAGGATTCAGAATTATCTTAACTAATTCTTCCGTAACCTGGGATGTGTCGTGATAACACTGAAGTCCATATGGAAACAATTAGGACCTAAGCACAACGGAACAATAAAAGATAAAAAATGAACACGATCCGAAACCTGACAAAGAATATTCCGGACTGACTCTGGTGTGGCAACAGTTTTGAAAAAGAATTTACCCAGAGATGTGTTTCTGCAGTAAAGAGGAAATATAAGAAATATGTTATAAGATGTAGTGAAATTGAAGCTGAGCAGTGTTCCTGATTCACCTTAGCAAACTCTGAAAGGATTTTATCAGAGGTTTTCCATACCAAGGCTGTTTCTTTATGTGCAACATACGGAGGGATATATTCAATAGTATTATACCCTTACAGATTTCGGGGTTCATGACTGCAGCCTGGAGACCTACAAGTCCTGTATTCGGAATAACAATATAATTTTAGTTTTTCTACTGCACATATGGAATTCTATAACCTTAACATATTATAAAGCAATATGAGGTTTCTGGCAGCAGGTATAAAGATTATGTGCAGGAATGCATGTAAATTAATAAATATCATTCTATTTGTCTCCACAAGTCCCCTCTCTTCCTTGTTCAAAATACGTCTAACTACGCTTGCTTCCGGAGGGAAACCTTCATAGCTAATCATTTTACCATTTACCATCAAGTACACAGTTATAGCCAATTTCTAAGTTTCTTACAAGGATCATTTTATTTTTGAACAAGAACAAAACCAGACACACCAAAGCTTTTTCTAAATTCAAATAAAGTCAATTATTCAAAAGCATAAGCTATCTAATTTTACATTTTGATTTTCAACTTAACATAACTCAAGTAACACAATATAATATGCTACCATCTCTATATTTATTACAATTGAGATTTATTTGCACACGCAGAAAGAACAACCTAGGTAGACTAGGTTATCAAGTGATTGATGGAACTTATCCACAAATCTCAGTTAAGGAACACTTCAATTATTGGAAGAAAGTGGTAAAAGAGGTCACCTCCTATGGAATTGCAGATAAAGAAAGCTTTATCCTTAACAATTTCCATACAGAAATCATTTAGTTGGCTTGCCCATGTCTCAAATGTATAAAAGGACTTTATGTTAAGATTTTGGGGATTAGGTTTGTCTGAATAACCATAACCAATAAGATCGATTGCATACACTCTGTGTCCCTGCCCAAGTACAGGCATATTCTTCCTCCAGTGCTCACTGATAAGAGAGTGCAAGCTTTATCAAAATGAAACTAAATCGTCGCATAATATAAGAAAGATCAGATGATAAAATGTCTAGACTTCTCAGATATTTTTTTGCATATTTTGTTACAAATCTGCAATGTGGTGAGGTTCACATAATTCCGTTAAGGTGACGAGTTTTGAAATTAAAATTGCCAAATATAAAATCAGAATTGAATAGCTAAGACAGAATTACAAATCAATTACATCTATTAGATCATACTGGCTATTAAAAAACATTCAGAAATAATTTATGTAAATTAAGATGAATAAGTTAATTTTTCTAAACAAATTAAGTTGATTAAACATAACAGATGTTATATTACATTCAAACATCAGTTAAAGATTGTTGTTTGATGCTATGATATTAGTTCAGTTGCATCACATGATTCATCACATGTTTGAAATGTAAGAGAGAATGTTGGCCGACGGGCAAATCACATTATACAGTCGTGTTTTGTAGTATCTCTGAGAACTTTGTGAACAAAAGTTTAGAGAAGTACATCAATTTGATACACTTTGTGCATGATGCCCGATCCCTACACTCACTTTGTTAACCTCTTAGTACTGAATAGCATGCAGGATAAAACTGGTCCAAACAGTTAAAATTATACATTTTAATTAAAATTTCCACACTCTTGGTTGGTAAGAGTACCGAAAAAAGATGATACAAGTAAAGTAGGTTTCTACTAGAAAATTTTAATAACTATAGTATCATATTTTAAAGGAATAGTCAAATCTAATATGACACTGCTATACTGATACTTGATCACAATATATATAATTCTCGCACAAATGATTAATCAGTTATTCGAAATTTTAACAGGTAGTGAGTGTCATCAAGAGCTCTCATGCACTACAAGCTGAAAATCTTATATTGTCTTCAAGAGCAATGACAAATGCAAGTAGATATAAAAGATGCAAGCTTACACTTATAGTTTGTGATAATACCTATATTATACAGTTGTGGAGATGTGAAATTGAAGCAGTGTAGACCTGTTTGCTCCAAAACCGTGAACCAACACCATGGCAGGCCCACTGATTCCAGAATACTGGTATCGGATAGAATAGCCCCTCCATTTCCATGTGCTACAAAGCAACACAATGAATAAATACAAACATCAAAGAACATTGTCGATGTAGAGAGGTCCTATAACTCAAGAAGCATTACCAAATGAACTAACAAATGGGTAATGCTAGAGGCTTTCCAATATATCAAATGCAAGCTACTCTTAATTCTAATATATATACTCTTCCTGAAGTAAAATTAGGAGTGAAATTGAAGAGATAGATGTAGGGGCAGGTACTGGTTGGAATTATTAGTGCCATTCCATTCCGAAAATTCCAGTACAGTTTGAGAAGTGGGATTGAACCAAGGCAAGTTTTTATGTCCCTACTAAGTTTCAAATTGATACTGAGACAAGGAATATATTTATGTTAGTTCTGTCTTGATTCTATCCCGAAAGCTATTTGTTATATATAAAATTATAGTATAACCTCATTCCCGATGCAAGGCTGCCATTTGGTTTGTGAGTCATTATAATTGACATTAAAAATATCATAATATTTGAATTTATTCCACAAATATCATTGTATTTGTATTACAAGAGACTAATAAACATATTTTTGTCATTTTATAGTACTATGTATTGATATAATTACTTTATTATATTATGCATGAAACTTTATTATTTTTTTTAAAGGAAACATCTGTAATATATAGTTTTGATCAAACTGAAATTGTTGTACTTGCTATGTATAAATTAGAATCATGCAACAAGATCTTAATGATAAAAGGATTGACCTTTATCCACAGAAAAGCAAGATAAACCTAAAATCTATCCAAATTTCCATGAGAATAACTCAATATGCTGCAACAAGCAATCGCCGAAAAGCAGCCCTAATTAAAGAACTGCAAATACTCCATCAATTACTAAAATCCATATTAAATTACGAATTCAATCACACAAAAGGTAGTCCGACGAACAACAAGAGGCATTGTAATCTTTTACCTAGTTTTAATTTCACAGTGTTGGGGCACGGCGGCACTTTCACCGACTTCAATGTCGTCAACTGAGAAGCGAGTCCGAAGAGAACTAGACACAGAGAAGGCATTACGCGTCGACGCAGAGTACACAGAAACCACACGGCCACGGGGATTAGAGAATTTGTTGGATAAGCGCGGTTTGGCAGTAAATGAAGTGTTGGGAGGCATCACAGACGAGCAGAGTATGGGGTAATCGAGCTTGGGAATCGCCATTGTTGAAGACGCAGGGTTGGCGTGGCAGTCTGAATATCGACTAGGAAAAGCAAATAGTTGAGGTGGAATTGACGCCACTTGGACGACGCCATAGCTTCATATTCATTTTCGGTTTACGAGTAATATGGAATTTAGATAAGTTACATGGTTCATTATTTCACACCATTCAAAAATAATAATATCCTAATATAAAAATATATTCAGTCCGTCACAAAATAAAAGATGGACCTGGAGGTATCGTGAACCATGACTTCACGGTAGAGCTGGAAATGAGCCGAATATAGGCGAGATTATCATGTTTGAACTCGACTCGTTAAGGATTCGAGCTCGACTCATATTCGTTCGTTAAGAAATATGAGCTGAAATTTTTGTTTGAGCTCGGCTCGACTCAGTTTATTAAAAGAAATTTTATTTTATTTATTTTTAAAAATTAAATTCCGTGAATAATAATTATAATTTTTTTAATAAATTTAAATAAAATATAATATTAATAAAGATATATATTTATTAATTATAGAATTTTTAATTTAATTTTTCTAATAAATATTGTTGAATGTTCGTGAACGAGATCGAGCGCCAAAATATATGTTCGTATTCGGCTCGTTTAACTTAACAAACGAACTTTTAGCGAGCTCAAACGAATCGAATCGAGCCAAGCTCGCAAATTGTTGTTTGTTTTAGAGTTCACGGTTCACTTCCCTACACTATCGACCATCTCTTACTGGACAAAATTCTCGGTCACTTTTTTTTAGGTCAACCATGATTATTTTCATTTAACATAATTTATTTTTCATGAAAAATTTAATTATTTGTGGCTCGTAAAACTAATATGCTATTTAATTAGCTAAATAAAGTTTTATTTACAAAAAAGTGCGGAATTTTGAAGAAAAATAAAAATGGTAAAAATTTGACATTTTTTATAACTTTTTATGAATATATATATATATATATTTCAGGCGATTTTTTTGTAATAGATGTATTTTTAATTAATTATATTTTTTAAACTCGATAATAAGTTTTAGGAGGCAACTAAAATGACAACGAAATTCCTTAATGGGTAAGGTGTGTTTGGATTAAGTTTGAATTTAGTTTGGTGCTATTATCGAATATATATCAACAACATAGGAGATATTCAAAAGTATATATTTTTATACAATGTAAATATAATATATGATAATAATTCATACAATATATACTATTGGTCTCAATATAAATAAATTAAATGATGAGACATTTATCACTGAAGGATTTTTTTTTTAAACATACACAATAAATAAAGCAAAAAAGTATAAGTATATATATATATAATTTCACTTTCATTTAAAATATCATATTAGACAACTATTTAACCAGAAACGTTATTTCCGAACTTCAAAACAAAATCCAAACTTTAACAAAAACCAATCCTATGCAAATAATGGATTAGACTCAATAGACCATGATGCATGTCTAAACATAATTTGTCGACTATTTCAACGTACAATTGATATATTTTATGACTTTTTTTTTTTTCCATCAGTTATTAAAATACTTTTGGACTTTTTATATATTAAATTTATTTCATTGCTTTAATTTATAAACGTATGGTTATGATTACCAACCTATAAGCCACGCCATAATTTAAAATAATTAATGATACAATAATAATGCCCTAAAGTTAAAGGCTTCGTATAAATATGTTTTGGAGGATATTCAAGTTTCGATAATTTTTTATAATAATAAAAAGTTTAATACTCCCTCCGTTCCAAAAAGAAGTATCCATTTGTTTTTTGTATGTAATTTTAGAAATATTAGGATATAGTAGAAATAAAGTAGAAACCGCTAAAATAACCTTGTTAGTATATGTGATACAAAGGTAATGATATTTGTGTAATATATTGTAAGTTGTAAGGGTATTTGTAATGTTAGATAGATAGTACAATTACTAAAAAAAGGAAATTGATACTTTGTTATGGGGCGGACTAAAATAGAAAAATGGATACTTTGTTATGGGACGAATGGAGTATTTGATTTGATGTTTTATAAGACAAATAAATACTTATTTAATACTCCCTCCGTCCAGCTAGAAAATATACATATTTCTATTTTGGGACGTCCAATTACAAAATAAATATTTCATTAAATACCTTACTTTTTTTCACAAATACCCCTATTTTACATTACATCATTACTTTTACACCAAAAAGTAAAGACAAAAATATCATTACACTACTTTTAACTACTCACTGTAATTAAAATACTATTATTTCTGCGCCAAAAGTAATTGTATACTTTACGTATGAACAGAGGGAGTATGATATTTTTTTAAGTGCTAAAAGAACACAATCATAGGGTTTATTTGGTTTTAGTTAATTTCCACTGTTATATGTTAATTTTTTTTTAGATAAAATATCATATCAAATAATAATTTTATTTAAAAAAGAATTAAAAGCCAAATCACATAAACCTCTAACCAAACACAACTATATTACTTTCTTCATTCTCCAGAAATGTATATATAGTGTCATTTTAATTTGTCTAAACATAAGATATAAATTTAATTTCTATGGCAAATATAATCTTAAATTTTGGCAATGTAATTTTTTTTTATAAAAAATATTATATAAAAAAAATATTATACTATCAAATACCAATATTTTATTTTATTTTTTTATTTTATTTTCAAAATTTCAATATAAAAGGAACTTTAGATAAATAATTGTTGTCCCTGTTGTGGGACACAAGTGCACAATGACACACAAAGACATTTTGTGCCGATACACCATGTCTATGTCTCATCTATAAATAAATAAATAAAATTTAAAATTAAAACTAAAATTAAAATTAAAATCAAAATTGAAATTGAAATCTACGTATGGAGCATAATCAATGAGATAAGGTTCGGGCAGTGGTAATGAATATGCTCCATGCAAGAAGTGAAATTCCATTTTAATCCTTTAACAATTAGAAAATTCTTTTATTTTAATGACATGATAATTTATGCAATAATATCCCAATTTAATCATTAAAGTGCATAAATTCATACATCATTAAGTTCAAAGAGACTAACGTTACGTGTTTTTTCGATGTTATTTATTTATTTATTTTACGTTTAGATATTTTCTATTTAATTGTTAAAAACTTGATAATTACAGTATTACAGGTAGGGGTGAGCATCTGGGTTTTCGATTCGGATTTGGCATCCGAAAATCCGAAATTTTTGAAAAAATCAATCCGAATCGAACCGAAATCCGAAATCCGAAAATTCAAAATTCGAACTAAAAAATCTGAACCAAATCGAAAAATCCGAAATTTTAAATATTTTAAATTATTTTTTTAATTTGTAAATTTCTTTTATATTTTATTATTATTTTATAATATTAAATATATATAATACATAAAAGTAAATATATTTAAATATAATTAATAATTTTGAGTTTTTTATATTAAAATATAATATTTTCTAATAAAATATTAAATATATATAATAAAAAAATATATTAAAATATTATATTTCGAATTTCGAATTGGTTCGGATTTTAAGTATACTGATCCGATCCGATCCCAAAATTCGAAATTTTTCAAAAATTCAATTCGAACCAATCCGAAAATTCGAACCAAATTTTAAATTTCGATTTAGTTTGAATCGAATTTTCGAATTTTGATATTTTGTTCACCCCTAATTACAGGTCAATTTCTTGAGTCTTTTCTAAAACAGAACTATAATAATTATTATATGCATGTAGTTATAACTTGAATATGGATCAAATAAAGAATTGAACAACCCATGTTGGTTGTACATATAATATTTATATTATATACCAAAATAGAGAAAATAAAAATATTTAAAAATTGTTAACATATATTTTTGAAGAGAAATTGATAAAAAAAATATAAACAGAAAAAAATTATTTTTGGTATCCATAAGTTATAGAAATGTCAAAATATGTACATGCTATCTCTTTTTAATACTAGCTATAAATCATTAATAAAAAATAGTTCTCCCTCCGTCCACTTGCAATGTTTACATATTTTTATTTTGGAATGTCCAATTACAAAGTTAACATTTTATTAAATACCCTATTTTTTTCACAAATACCCTTACTTTACATCACATAATTATTTTTACACAAAAAAGTAAGGACAAAAATGTCATTACACTACTTTTAACTACTCACTATAATTAAAATACTATTATTTCTTAAACACCACGCCAAAAGTAAATGTAAACCTTGTAAATAGACGGAGGGAGTACTATTCTCTATCACCTAAAAATACATTCGTTTCTTTTGTATTTTAAAAAGAAAATGAATATATTTTTAGGCAGCGGGAAGTAATAGTGTTTAATTTGTTATAAATTGATATGAAATATTACTTTCCCTCAATTTCACATAAAATGTTTATATTTTATTATTTATATTCCATATAATTTATTTATTTTTAGATATATGATTATATATATATATACTTTAATCATATTTTAAATTTTACAATTTTATAATTTTTTAATCTTGTTATCTTAATTTTAATTTTAATTATTTTTATTATAAAATAATTATTTTTACTAATATATTTATTAATTATATTTTATCTAAATTCTTATATCTAGAGTAAGGTGGATAAAAAATCTCGAACGGAGAGAACATATTTTAAGTTTAATACTCCCTCCGTCCATTACCAATTTATCCATTTTGCCATTTTAATATGTCAATCACAAATGTATTGATTTCTTTTGTTTTAGTAGATGTACTTTCACTCAAATATAACAAACACAAATCCCATAAAAAAAAAAATAGCATAAATATTAAGGGTATAAAATTGAGAATTGTTGCAGATAATTAATTAGCTCAATTATGATGGTATATAATGATTAAGAAAATTTAAGTGCCGTATTGAATGAGGCAATTTGTAGGACGAATTCATTGTCATTATATTTTCACTCTTCAAGGATATATCTCATTTGTCTTTTATATATATATATATATATATACATATACTTTTATAATATGTCAACCCATAGTCTCTACTCGGTCGAATTTAATACCCTGCAAATTAAGCGAACCATGTATGACATGTAGATCTAGAGGCGTTGGAGTTTGAACCCATGACCTCACAGTTACAAGTTCATTGTCGATGCTACCAGCTCATTCCTTACTGGACTCATTTGTCATATTTTAAAAAAAAGTACATAAGGTACAAATTGATAACATAATGCATATACTCTTTTCATTTCAATCGAAAAATATATTTTTTTATTATTTTTATACTCATTTTTTATTATTATTATAATAAAAATAAATATTTGTACTATTAAATTTTATTTGAATTACAAACATACTATTATATATACAATTAATTTATATATAAATTATAAAAGACAAAAATTAAATGTCATAGTATAATAATACTTCATGTATTATAATATTAGATTGGGAGGAAGAAAGTATTAAATAATATAATTTTATCATATGAACCAACAACACGTGATAGTAGTTAACTAAATACATCATAATTAATTTCAATACAAAATATATATTAATAGTACAATACACCTATAAAATATAAACTAACACTCTACACCATATAGAAACAATTTACACCGTACATAATATATTAATTGAAGTTGTTGGGTAAAAAGAAAGACGTGTGTTGAAACATGTACACGTAAGAGATCAATTCCTTCGAGTTTAATGACAGCGGAAATAGAAAATTACGAGGGGTTTGCACTTCAAAAACACGTGGTATTGTTCCGTGGTTATAACTCTTGTGTGTATAATGGATGCTTGTCTATGGCTGCCCAAGATCAAATACAAAACAAACAACACACAAAATTTGTTAACCCAATTCGGTGTAACTACTTACATTTGGGGGATTCTAATCCAGAAGACATACACTAAACCTATCACAAGGTATACAAGGGACTCAAATGACTCAAATGATTTAACCGCAGTTCTAATCTTAGCATACTATCAGTATAACTGAGAGTAAGCGGATACAAGTTAATCTTTTTTTTCTATTGAAAATCCATTTCCTCCTTCTTCGGATGAGCTTCAAATCTCCATGAGAGCTCATATTCTTCTTCAGATCAAGGAGTAGTGAAAACGAAAAGATAGAAAGAAAATACGCTATTTTTCTCACTAGATTCAAACATTTTTTACTGTATTTTCACTCTACATACAAACAAACACACGGCCTCAGTGCAGTGTTTTTGACTAATTAACGTTGGGGTATTAAATGCGCCATTACAAACCTGCAATGTCCTGAATATTATCATATCTTTGACAATCTATATCAAAATAAAACCTATGCAAAATGGACACAAATAGCCTATACATAAGGTCTTCAGCAGCAATATAATTTCATATTTGAATCGTCCTTAAATTTTCATATTATGAAAAGTTAGTAACATATGTCAAAATAAGAAAAATGATATTTTTGTAAAAAAATTATGTACTGATATTTTATATTTTGCGTGTTGATTAAGACTAATCAATATCTATATTTGAATTCTCGAAATGCTTTTTGCAGTCTCGTTCGTATTTATTCACTATTTAGGACAAAGGTGATATCTTTACCAACCTTTTAACATACAAACATGAGCATATGTATGGTTCTTGCAACGTAAAATGTAATTTGATTTACAGATCTTAAAAACTTTTATTCTTACTATTATATAATTCACCAATATATTAATTTATACCCCATATTATTATTATTATTATTATTATTATAAATAGAATCACCGACCATTATCGTAACCGGCGGTTATGGAGTATATTATATTACCGCCAAAAGAGTTGCATGCAGTGAATCCACCCATTATCCGTAAACCCGTCGCTACATAATTATTATATTATACTCCCTCCGTTCCAGATACTATGTCCATGTTGCCGTTTCTCTCCGTCCCATATATCATATCACCTTTTTTTTTTTTTTGGAAAATGATTACACACTTTAATCTCATTTTAAATTTTTAATTTCTTTTTTAAATTTTAATTAAACTAATCAGTTATTTTAATCTTAATTTATAATTATTTATATTATAAAATAATTATTTTCACTAATATATTCTTAATTATCAACTAATTACACCCCTTCTAGAATACACTGTGTAGCAGAGAGTTTTATATTATTACCATTGTAAAATTAATAAGCAAATTAAACATTTTCCAATTATATATATACACATAATTACAAATACATGCATCGTACGTATGCGTGCTCGTGTGTAATAGATTAATTAATGATCATCTATATAGGACAGACAATCAGATCCAGAGACCTAAATAAATAAATATATATATATATACATATACATATATACGGGGGACCAAAATAAAGACCCATCAGACCCTACCCCCCACCCCATGTGTCCATTAATTCCTTGAAGACCTTCACATTATCAATCAATGATCATCTCCCACCTCACACACACAAATATACATACATAGATACATATATATATATATATGTATGTATCACCATCTTAATTAATTGTCAAGATTTTTATGTAGAAATGCCCTCCAATCACACTCACCATAATTCACCCCCTTCTGCTGTACCTACCTACACTTAACCATTACCACTATTTCTCTCACTATACATATATATATATATATATGATTGCCTTGCAACTGTGAGCTAATTAACCATTCTGATAATTCCGAAGAAATCAAAATATGGAGCTGAAACCGAGCGACGGCAGCAGGTCGTCGAGCAAGCACGATGACGAAGAATCCGCTAATAAAAGCACCACCAGCGGCGGGGGCGGCGGAAGCTACCCGCCGGCGGAGGATCTGAGCCTGAAGAGTCTCTCGAAGCTCATAGTGCCTCCGTTGGGCGTGTCCGCCGACGCCGCTGCGCCGGAGAACGATTCTCCCAATCGAAGAATCATATCTCCCATGGATTCCAGATACAGGTAATCAAATCAATTCAAAGCAAAATTAATTGATTTATTTGTAAACTTACCCTAACCCTAACATAAACCCTAATTAACACATTAATTTGGGGATTTTTGATATTGCGTAGATGGTGGGAGACGGTGATGGTGAGCCTGGTGACTTACTCGGTTTGGGTGTGCCCGTACGAGATCGCATTCCTGAACTCGAATCCGACGGCGGCGCTGTACATCGCCGACAACATCGTCGACGTCTTCTTCGCGGTGGATATCGTGCTCACGTTCTTCGTCGCCTACATTGATCCCACCACTCATTTACTTGTCACTAATTCATCCAAAATTGCTAAAAGGTCAGTTATTGTCGCTCACTACTGTACGTATTATATAACTTTCATGCTTTATTATTATTATTTTTGTCTTATATATTGTGTTATCTATTTCTTTATTTTGTTTTAATTTATAAATAGATAATAGAATTAATAATGAACTAGAATATACACACAATAAAAATATATAATTTTACGATCCTTTCCTTTGTCGGAATTAATGAATTTAAATTATGGCGCTTTCATTAATTATATATATATAAAATTAATGAATTGTCGTTTTGGTGTGACATTACTGGGAATAATTACGGGATAAGAATTATATGCCGTTCTAATTCCCATTCCCATTCCCATTCCCAGTGGTCGATTATTATATTCCATATATATATAAAGTTTTTTAAAAAAAAATAAAAAATAAATAAAAATTAATGTAATATTTTAAAATAAAATAAAAATTATTGTATTACGCAAAACTCAAATAGAACAAAGACACTATTTGATTGAGAAAGTGGGACAAAAAAGCGAGTTGTGGAGTGTTCAAAATGGGCCACCAATATCGATCGGATCATATCAGATCAGATCAGATCAGATCAGGTGCTGCTGATTGTTAAAAAATTAATTACATTAATTTAGTTTATTAATTAATAAATTGCATAGATTAATTTCTAAGCATATTGAAATTAAAATTTCAACACGTGATCTGGACCAATATAATAATAATAATAATAATAATAATAATAATAATAAAGTGAGGATTTGTTTTCTTATTTTTATTTTAATAGTGATTTAATACGATGCAATCTTACGCCAAAATAGTAGTATTATTTTTTATAAATATAATAATATTTTAGTTCATTGACTTTATAAATAAAATCATTATATTTGTAATTTAAATAAAAATTAAAAGCATTTTTTTATTAATGTATAATTACTTTTTACTAAAATAGTAAATATATTTTTGAATAAAATATACGAAAATGATAAAAATAATATTTTAAATTAATTAAGACCGAAAAGAGTATTTGAATAGAAAATATCTAATTTAATCCTATTATTTTGAGGATATTTTATGTAAATACATCTATATAAATATTTTTAAAAAGTTGTCTCATAACAATTATAGATTTAAACTCAAACGCCTCCCAGTCCACCTTGCCAATTTAACGTGGAGAAAAGGCGCATATTCAAATCAAAATTATTGCAATAAAATATATAAATTGTATAAGAAAGAATATAGAAAAATATACAAAATGGCCAGAACTTATCTAATCAAAATTATTGCAATAAAAAAGAGACGAGGGCCCTCCCATAGCTATTGTGCCTAGAGTAGGGTGGTTGATTAGATTTGAGAATTATGACTTAGTCTATAAGTGGTATATATATTTCTTTTTATTTTAGTATTTAATTGAATTTTAAATGTAAACAAATGATAACATACATTATTCTCCATGTTCAAATAGTTATGTGCATACGTGTGACATAACTACATTGAATGAATATTTGATATAATATTTTATTTTTTTATATAATATATTTATAGAGAAAAATAAACTATTATAAATAAATAATAAAAATAGATAAAAAAAATTGGAAAAAACACAAGTAAACAAATCCCCCGATTCAAACACACCCAATAATTTTTATTTAATTCAGCATAATATTTGAATACATAATATGTATATATAATTAAAAGCGGGAACAGATGTACATATTTTTTTAAAAAAATTTATATTATGGACTCCGATATCATATTAGAATACAATTTATATATATATATATCTAATTATGGACGGGGTGGATGTTACAAGGCATGCAGGTATTTGTCGACGTGGTTTATAATGGACGTGGCCTCTACTCTACCGTTTGAGACTATAGCCTTCTTTATTACTGGAAAACACCACGGCGGCGTCACCTACTCCCTCCTCGGAATGCTCCGTTTCTGGCGGCTCCGCCGCGTCAAGACTTTTTTCACCCGGTAATTAATTAATTAAGTAAATAATTCATTCACTACATCTTCTAATATTTCAATTTTCTTATTTATCGGTTAATTTAAATTTAATTACTCATCAGGCTTGAAAAGGACATCAGATTTAGCTATTTCTGGATCAGATGCGCCAGACTGCTCTTCGTAAGTTAACCATATATATATATATATATAATGGTGGTAACTTTTAGGGGTGTTCAATCGCTATAATTACCGCTTCAATTTGGAACAATCAAATCCGTGTTTTTTAATAAATATGTTAATAATTTTATTTCTTTTTTTTGTACCGGGTAAATATTTATATTTCCAAATTTGGTATCAAGTATATGAATCTATACTCAGTCAAGTATCCAATACCCAAACTTCGTTCTTTTTCAAAAAAGTCTATACTCGCTCCATCTAAAAATGGACTCAATTTTTTTAGCACTAAATTTTTACATGAGTGTATACTTCTCATTATTTTTGTTTTCTATAAAAATAAAAGTATAAAAATAATATAATTTTTTTTAATAAGAAAATGATAAACCTATTTGTGTGACAAAATAATATCATAATTTTTTAGTAGAATGGAAGAGTATAATATTATACTTTCCTCAGTCCCGGCTATGGTGTCTCCTTTACTGTAGACACGGGAATATGGGATAGGTATAACAATTAAATAATTAAGAATCTATTAGTGAAAATAATTATCGTATAATAAAAATAATTTTAAATTGAGATTAAAATAACTAATTAGTTTAATTAAAATTGAAAATATATAAATAATAAAATTTAAAATGAGATTAATCTAATATAAATATTATTACATATATATATTTAAAACATGCATTCAAATATTTTTTAAATTACATTTTGATAAAAGATTATTTAATATAAATATTATTATATAAAAAATAAAATTATATACAATGCAAATAAATCATATCTATATTATAATATTGGTAAGATGGGAATTTTAAAAGAATATAAATATATATTTATTTATAGGATATAAATAAAAGATATGAGTCAACTTAAAAAAGAAAAAAAAAACCTAAAATATACTATTAAAAGTAAAAATATAGAAATATAGTGAACTTAAACTAGAAAAGCCAAAGAAGCAGACCTGTGGTCCGGTAAGAGACAAGGGGTTACCCAGTGGTGTGAGAATTAATTGATGACCATGATGTCATGGATTCAAATCTCGATGTATCTAGATTTTGTTTGTCACATGTGGTTCATGTAGTGTGACCTAAGCCAATCTCCATCCCTAGTAATTTTTATTTTTTTACATATGATTGTTAAATCAAATGTAATTACAGGTAACGTTATTGCAAGTGCATTGCGCGGCGTGCTTGGCGTATCTGTTGGCCGACCGTTATCCGAACGGCGGGAACACATGGATAGTATCGGCCATACCGAATTTCAAGGAGACGACACTCCTCATACGCTACATCTCAGCCCTCTACTGGTCGGTGACCACCATGACCACCGTCGGCTACGGCGACATTCACGCCGTCAATGCCCTCGAGAAGGTCTTCATCATCTTCTACATGCTCTTCAACCTCGGCCTCACTGCCTACATCATCGGCAACATGACCAACCTCGTCGTCGAAGGCACCCGAAGGACCATGGAATTTGTAAGAAAAAAAATATATATTAATTTTACTGTTTTTTTATTATTTTTATTTTCAAATAGTCATATACTTTATTCATAGTCGCTCTAAGATTTTATACAAGCAGATATAAGACCATTAGAACGACTATGAGTAAAATATATGAATTTTATTGATAGCCGCTCTAATGATCCTATACATGTCAGATAGAGGACCATTAGAACAGCTATGGGTAAAATATATAACTATTTTTATGCATAGTATGCTAAAAAATATTGTTTACAAGATCAAATTTTATTTTTTTATTTTTCGAATGATGATAAATTGATCTATGATTTGTTGCTTGCAGAGGAATAGCATCGAGGCCGCGTCAAGCTTTGTGTCCCGAAATCATCTCCCTCCGAGGTTGAAAGAGCAAATTGTGGCCTACATGTGTTTAAGGTTCAAGGCCGAGTGTCTAAACCAACAACAACTCATCGAACAACTGCCGAAAACCATCTGTAAGAGTATCCAACAACACCTCTTTCTCCCAACGCTCGAGAAAGTTTATCTCTTCAAAGGCGTGTCGCGCGAAATCCTCCTTGTTCTGGTAAAAGCTTCATTTACTTTGAAATACTAATTCATTAACTTGCTCGTTGGAAATTTTTAAAGAGCTAGGATCGACTAGCCATAACTACTGAAAATGTATAGAAATAGTTTTATATATAATCTATAACCACCGAAAATGTTATCTAATACTATAATATTAAATATTGTCACATGTATTGACATACACTGTCAGAGCTGACATGGACTAGCCACAAAGTAATTTTCAATATCAAATGCCGATGTTGATTTAATTTTTTATATTTTGAATCTATATCAAAATTTGATATTATAAATTGCTACGGTGACGATTTCATGTTTTCACTAGTAATGTCATGTCAGCACACATAACAATACTCTACTTACAGAAAACTTCGTAAACAATTATGAGTTATATATATAACTATTTTTATGTATGCTTCATTTAAATGACTAAAATATATTTGCATACGACAAAAAAAAAATTATCCAAGTTTAAATTATTTATTAAATAGTATTTCGAAATAATGCATGATCTCAGGTTGCGGACATGAAGGCCGAGTACATTCCCCCGAGAGAGGATGTGATCATAGAGAATGAGGCCCCCGACGACATCTACATCATTGTGTCGGGGGAGATTGAAATGATCGAGTGCGAGAAGGAGAAGGAGAAGGTCATATGGGGTTTCCATTCCGGTGACATTTTTGGTGAAGTCGGAGCATTCTGTTCCACACCTCAAACGTATACATATCGTACCAAGACTTTGTCTCAGCTACTCCGCCTCAAAACCACAGCTTTAATTGAAGCCATGAAGCCGAGACAAGAAGACAACGTCACGATGCTTAAGAACTTCCTTCAGGTTAGCCGACACCCTAAAGCTTCGACATTCTTTACTCACATTAGTACAACGGAGAAAAATCATAAATTTAGTCATATATCTATAATCAGTTACCGGTTTTATCCTTTATATATTACTCATTCCGTTCCACTTAAATTGTCCACTTTAGATTAGGCACGGAGTTTTAAGTATTAGGTAATTAGTAAGTAATTAAGAAATATATTAGTAAAAATAATTATAGATTAAGATTAAGATAACTAAACAGTATAATTAAAATATTTTTTTTATAAATTACGAATTTTAAAATGTGATTAAAGTATATAATTATATTTCGAAAAAAAAGAAATGACAAATTATGTGGAATGGACGAAAATAGAAAGAGTGGACAAATTACGTGGGACGGAAGGAGTAATATTTTGCAAAGGTTCTTCTTGTGAACATATAAGGCCAAAATACAATCGAGAAAATAGACAAGATAAAAGAGATAACAATCATATACGATAAATTTTGTAATTTTTTCATACGACGAAAAAAAAATGCAGCATCATAAAAAGCTCAAGGATCTACGTCTGGGGGACTTGTTTCTCGAAGGAGGTGAGGAAGATGGGGATTCCAACATGTCGATCAATTTGCTAACAGTTGCCGGCACAGGCAATGCCGCATTTCTAAATGAGCTGCTAAAAGCGGGGCTCGACCCTGATGTTGGCGACGTGAGAGGAAAAACTCCATTGGTATATAAATATACGCTCTAACGAGTGTCTGATAATTATTTTACTTACCATATATATATTCATCATCTTGTAATAAGATATCATATATTGCTTTCGCAGCATATAGCCGCATCGAAGGGGCACGAGGATTGTGTCGTCGTCCTTCTAAAGCACGCATGTAGCTTGCACTTGAGAGGTAACGAAGGCTCTAATTATATATGTTCTCAAATCACCGATGGTTATTCATGGAGAATTTTATTATAAAAAATATAGTAGATCAAATGCTTATTTTTATCTAAAATATTAAATTTCAAATACATTTTCTATACAAAAAATATATACAATATATATTTAAATCACATTAAATACTTATTTTTATTTAATATTTCGAAATTCTTCTAAACTCTAAAACATATATTTAAATACAATGAACTATTTCTATACATAATTGACTAAATAATCAAAACTATTAATTACATGATCAAAATTCCATTCTCTCTGCTAGAAAACTTAAACTAATAGAAAAATGCATCATTTCGCCGTACTGATCTCTCAGATTCGCACGGCAACACGGCGCTATGGGATGCCCTCGCGGCGAAGCACCATTCGATCTTCAAAATCTTGTACCATTGGGCTTGCATCTCCGACCCCTACATCGCCGGCGACCTTTTGTGCACGGCAGCCAAGCGAAACGACCTCCAAATACTAAAAGAACTCTTGAAGCACGGCCTATACGTCGACTCCAAAGACAGGCACGGCCAGACCGCCATCCAAGTCGCCACAGCCGAAGCCCACATCGACGTCGTGAAATTTTTGCTCATGAACGGGTCCGAATGCAATGAAACGGTCCGCGACAACATCCCCGCTGCAAATCTAAATGAAATCCTGCAGAGGCGCGAAATCGGACACCAGATCGTCATTCCCGCCGAAGCGCCGAGCGAGGTTACCTACATTGGCGCCGCAAATGAAAACGGGCAACGGACGGGGAGTAGCGACGGCGGCAAACGGTCGACGTTTCTAAGGATTAGCATATATCGAGGACATCCGAGTAACCGGGCGCGGAGAAATTGTACGGAGCCTGGAAAGCTGATTAGGCTGCCGGATTCGGTGGCTGAGCTGAAGAGCATTGCCGGAGAGAAATTCGGTTTCGATGCGACGAATGCTGTGGTGACGAACGATGAAGGTTCGGAAATCGACTCTGTTGAAGTGATTAGAGACAATGATAAAGTGTTTATAGTCGAGAATTTAGATGAGATTCTGTAGATCTTCTCAACGTTGTTATATTTTGAATTCCAAAAAGATATATATATTGTGAAAAATCATTGTGATTCTTGACTTAATTGATTAAAATTTGGGTCTGTTTACTTCGAGAGTTTTTTATTTTGATTTTATTATTTAAAATTTTTTTTATTTAAAAATATCAAATTAACCACTTATTTCTATTACGTCAAATTAGTAAACATTTTATTAAATATTTTATTTTTTTCCAAGAATATTTTTATTTTACATTATATCATTATTTTTACATTAAAAAAAAAAAACAAGAGCAAATATATCATTTTATTACTTTTAACAATCCACTTTAAAAGTAAATATTTATTGTGTGTGTGGACTGTGGAGTATTATATTACATCAAAATTTTATTTGAAAAGATTATACAGAAGTTCGATCTTTTTTTCAGTTTTGAAATTTTAAAAATGAGAAAAAAAAAATAATAATCCTAATTGATGTAATATTTGTGGAAAAAGAAAAAAGAAATTATTATTTGAACGAACAAAGCAATGTAATAATGGTGGGAGTTTTTCAAACTGGCGTCCCCACGCACCTTCACTTCTTCGTCTTCCTTCTTCTACTCAGTCGCTTTCCACTGGACTGGACTTCTTCGCCAATCCTCTCAATTGAATCTTCAGATTCACGCCATTTATTGATTTCATCTGCACGACTGCATTGCACCACGGGGACGGCAACTTGTTTTCATTCTTCGCTTTCGATCTGCCAAGTTTCTGTTGATTAATTTCCATGGAGAGGCCACAGGCAATAGCCATGGAATTCCCAGCCAGCGACACCGCTCTTTCCTTCACGCCGCCCAAAATGCCGACATGGCTCAGGAGGCGGTTGTCGGGGACCAAATCGGCTCCAGTGTCTACGGTCGAGGAAATCCAAGCCAAGCTCCGTGATGCCGATCTTCGCCGTGAGGTCATTTCCAGTGATTATTATCACTTTTTATGTGCCAAGCTCGAAATTGAGTTAGAATATGTTAACTTTATCTGTTTATGGCTTCTAACACTCTTTTAATTAAGGTTTTGGAAATTTATAGAGTCTGCTCTACTTCCATTTTTGTTTCTGAACCTTAAATCCCTTCAAACTTTTGAGATTTACTAAATTAGGTGATTTTTTAGTAACATATCTGGCCGAAGTTTTGAGATCTGTTTGGTTAAATTTTCTTTCTTGTCTCTGATTGAACTCATCGAAAGTTTATCTTAGTGTATATGTCTACATCTCAATTTTTTGGTTAAGTTCTTCAATAATCTGCTTCTTCTGCCTAATCATGCTAATGTTTTTACTAATTCCACCAGATTTATTTTTATGTTAACGTACCAAACTACAGAAATTCCACGAGAATTTGACAAACAAAGCTAGGATGAAGCCCAGAGGACCTTCTCAGTCCTCATCTCAAGAAGATGATCAGGGACAGCGACTCAAGGCTAAGCTCCTGGCAGCTGAAGAGAAGAGGTTGAGTTTTATCACCATGACTTTGTCAAATTTCATTCTCTCGAATCTTGAGTTAAAATTGGCTAATATTCATGTTTCATACTGTTTCTCGTGTGATTAATCCTTTACATAATTGCTTGATTGTCTATTTATGCCAATCTTGGCTTTGCTCCACATGATATTTGCATTCACTTTTTGATTACTCTATTTGATTCCTAGGTTGAGCATTTTGAACAATGCTAGAATGAGACTGGCTAAGCTTGATGAATTAAGACAAACTGCTAAAGCAGAGTGTGAAATGCGATTCCATAAGGAATGTGCTGAGTTAGGAATGAAGGTTGGGATGAGGGCAGAACAAGCAGAGGCAAATCGATTGAATATCCTACGTGCTTATCGTCAACGGTTGGCTACAGTCAACGAGAGGACTTCTCAGCAGTTAATGCAGCATGTTGCTCGAGACAGAAGGTATAAGGAACAAGTGCGGAATGCAATGTATCAAAAGCGTACAGCTGCTCAGAAAAGGCGATCGGGTCTGCTGGAAGCAGAGAAGAATCGTGCACATGCTCGGGCCATGCAGGTGCATAAGGCTGCCAATGCCCTCACTCATCAACGAGAGATTAAGAAAAGTGAAATGGAAAAGAAACTAGAAGATCGGCTTAAAAAGGTAAAACACAAATTGTTGGCTAGTATGGTTTTTATCAATATTATTCTTCTGCTATCATCCCAGCTTGTGGCTTTTGTAACTATTAAAAAACTTTACTGTGAACAGGCAAGGCAAAAGAGAGCAGAAGGTTTAATGCTGAAGGGAAGACCATCTAATTCTGTTGGCAGCAATTGGAACACAATGCAGGAGCAGGCTGATAACCTTTCCCGAAAATTAGCTAGGTATAATTTCTAGATGTGGCTCCTGTGTATGATGAAGCCCAGTGAATTTCATAGAGAATTCTTGAATATATTTATAAAACATTTTAGCACATTTATTTACCCTGCAAGCTATCATATTATTTTCTTATATGGGAATATTGCATTGCAGGTGCTGGAGGAAGTTTAAAATTTTAAAAAAAACAACTGCACATCTTGTCAATACTTACAATGAGTTGAATATTAATGAGAGGTCTGTGAAGGCAATGCCATTTGAGCAGTTTGCGCTTCTTATGCAGTCAGCTGCCACCATTCGTCCGCTTAAAATGTTGCTTGATAGAATTGAAGAACGCTATGAATCATCGCCAGCTGTTGGATCTGCTACTTCTGATATTGAGCACCTCCTCAAGCAGGCAGCATCTTCAAAACAGAAACAATCTCATAGGAAAGATATCTCCAGGAGAGAGGAAAAGAAAACTGCCACTGTGAGACGAAGTTCTGAAAAAGCTACTGTTCAATTACCAAGGTACCAAGCAAAAATCGTGCTCTGTGCTTACATGATAACAGGGCATCCAGATACTGTCATCAACAAGAAATGGGAGCACGAGATGCCTTTAGTCAAAACTGCAGGGACATTTATTTATGAATTTGAGTTGCTGATTAAGATACTGTTAAACGGGCCAATGCTTGTTTCCAATGAGAATTCTCACCCCATATCAGTCTCGAGAAGGACCTTCAGGCTTCAGCTTGCTGCATTTGATGCAGCCTGGTGTGCCTTTTTGAATAGCTTCGTGGCGTGGAAAGCTAAGGATTCTACAGCTTTAGAAGAGGATTTGATTGGTGCTGCTTGTCGTCTTGAACTTTCTATGAGGCAGATGTGTAAAATGACCCCTGAAGGGATCACAAGCCAGCTCTCGTATGCTATGAGTACAGTCCAGAAACAGGTTCTTTGTTAACATTTATTTATTTCACCACTGCTAAATAAATATATAGCCAATTGTCCAGAATGTGTCGTAACTATTGTCATGTCATGGTTTCATTACCCGAACTTTGTTTCTTAGTAAAGAATACACCTGAACTTTCAAATGTAGCTGATAATGCACTTCCATTCATTTCTGCTGTCATCTATCTGTTTTCCTTCAAAGTGGTAATTCCCCATGAAACTAAGCTTCTGTAAGATATTGAATGATCTCCTAGCTTTGTGCGCATCTTTTGCGATTTGTGGTTTAATATGGTATTATGATAACCCTGCATGCAGGTATTTGAAGATCAGAAACTTTTGAGGGAGAAAATTCTACAGCTAAGTGGAGATGCGGGCATTAAACATCTGGAGAAAGCACTTTCCGAGACTCGCATGAAATTCTTTAATGCAAAGGAAACCAGAAGCTTAATCACACCACTGTCTGCATTTATCTCATCTGCTTCTTCCATTTCCCCTTCTTCCAGTAGCTCGGACAAGGAAGGTGAACCAACAGCTGTTGCTACAGAGAGAACACCTGCAGTCGAGTCCGTATCTAGGGATGGGACCAATACAAATGAAGTAAAAAACATCGCATCAAGCGGTAGTATTTTAAAATCTCCTGGGAATAGTTTGGACATGAAAAATGCAGTGATTGTTAATGAATATGTCCATGGAGAACACATTGTATTTTCTGATGATCCCAGTTTGCCTGGCAAATACCTAAATTACATGGTTAGTGAACTTTAATTTACTTGCATGCTTCTTTCTTTTATTTGCTAAGAAATGTGGTCTATTGTGTTATTTATTCTTTTTATATATTTATTAATTTTTTTGGTCTATTATCTAATGGTTCTTAAGTACGACATTTTAATCTCTTACACCATGAACAGGAAAAGTGGAAAGGGACAATGGAGAATGCCTACTGGGATTGGATTGTTGAATCAGTTAAACAGGATGATCCCGACTACAGTCATGTTCTGAAATTGATGACAAAGGTGCGGGACGAAATCTACGTAATGTCTCCTCAGAGCTGGAAGCAGGAAGTTCTTGAAGATATCAACCTGGAAAGTCTTTCTCGGGTGCCCAAATAATTCTCTTGCTTTACACATTGATCCAAGCTTTAGATTCCTATTTATTTTTGGATTCTAAAGCTAAATAACATTTGCTTTGGCTATTGTACTCATAGGTGCTGAATTCAGGCAGCATCGATTTTGAATATCTGAGAAAGATTCTCGAATCTGCTCTGTCCAGTTTGCAGAAGCTCTGCGCTCCAGTTGACGAGGATGAAATGAAGGAGAAACATCAGAAATATCTCGAAGAACTCGATCATACATGTTGCACAAATATGTCATATAGTTCACAAGTTGTGATGATAATGAAGGCCTTGCGCTATGTCCTACAAGAGATTCAGGTTTGTCTTTGTTTAAGATTACTGAACTTGTATTATCTATATTAATATATGTATGCACAAACACATTTCCGATTAGAAATTAAAGTGGCACGCCCTCGGCTTGTCTCAGCAACTCAAGCAAGAAATCACCAAAGCACGCATACGAATGGTGGAACCAATTTTGAAGGGACCAGAAGCTCTAAAGTATCTTCAAAAATCTTTCACTGATCAATATGGGGACCCTTCTAGAGCTGTCTTTTCTCTGCCATTGACAGCTGAGTGGCTCTCATCCGTTAGAGAGAAAAAAGATGTGGAATGGTTTGAACACAAAAAAGCTCTTTCAGAGCTGGCCAAGAAATTTGAGAACTCTTCAACTTTTCTTCCTTCTGCTCTCCAAAGTGGAGGAAATCTGTCCAACACATCTTACACCTCTAACGCCACAAAATATTTCGGTTTGTGATATCATATGCATTCATACACATATTCTGTGCTTTCTACAGCATCATTCAGCATACTTACCTGTTTTTAACACAAGATCTTGTCTGTTGCTGCAGAGACAGTTGGATCGGGTTTAGAATGCAAAGGCGACGAGATTGATGTATTGGTAAGGTTAGGCTTGACGAGGCTGGTAATGAAGGTAGATGGTTTGACCGAAGGACAAATACCCGAAACTATGAGCTTTAATCTTGCCAGACTTAGAAGTGTGCAATCCCGAATTCAGAAGATTAGTGTAATTGCAATCAGGCAAGAAATCTCATCTCTTTCATGAATTTTTCTTATTGTTATTATCCAATTCAATATTTTTCCGAATCTCTCATTCGATCACAGCCTGCTGGTCTTGCAACACACACTTTTCACCGAGAAAATGGCGCCAAGCCAATCGAAGATGGAGAGCATACTTTTGATCAGTTTCCAACGGCTGTCCGGTTGTCTGGACGAATCCCTTTCAGACGCGGGTCTCCAAGACATTGTCGATACACTCGGTGCTGTTGTGGAGGACGAATGCAAGTTCAGCGACGCAGAGGTTCGGTCGATGAAAGAAATCATGGCGAGAATGTTGTCCAAAAGCCTACAGGAAGAGAGTTGTGTGTTCGTCCGAGTTTCTGAGGCTGTGTATTTGGCTGTGAGAGGAGTGGTGCTCGGTGAAACCGGGATACAAGGGAGAAGGTTGGCTGAAATGGCACTGCAGAAAGTCGGGGGCGTGCTGCTCGCGGAGGCGGCAGTTGCGGCGGGGTCGGCGCTGGCAGGCATGGCAAAGGTGTCTGTTCTGGTTCATGGGGGTTGGTATGCAAATTTGATCAAAGAGGTCGCGGTAGAGGTCGAGGTCGAGGAGAGTGCGTAAGATTAACAAAAGAGGTATGTGTTTGTGTTGTATTAGAGATTGGCTAAAATGTGGAATATTTTGCTGCTGTTGGGTTGATGTTTGTTTGTGGCTTTCTGAGTGTGAAATGTGCTACAAAAATCAGGGCAGGGTAAGCAGAAATTTAAGTCAAATTTTATTTCTACGTAATGATATAAATGTTAAATGTGCTGACGGAGACGATCATCATGCTGCTAATAACTGTCTCACTTTTTATTTTGAGTTTAAGTAAAATATAATTAATAACTAAATTAAAAAATTCCATCTTATATGTCGAATTTACAAAAACTGTATAATTATATAATCTAAAAAAAAAAAAAAGGGGACAAATAAGATGTGAGGGACCAAAATAGAAATATTGGCCAAAAATAAAAGTGAGACAAGGATTATCAATCAATAAGCTATTATTATAACGTAGGTATAAACTTTTGCAATTAAACAATAATAACAACTACAACATCCAATTCACGTACATACATTCCAAAATGTATGTGGGTTTTCGAACATATAACACAACATAGTCTCTGCAGTTTCTTACTCAGAGGCCAATGCATGTACTACGTAGAAACTGAACTGAAAACCATAATATGTACAATACGCATCACTTTCCCATCGTTTCCAACTCATTCAGGAAGTATGGTTCAGCATTTAACACCACCACAGAATCTCCCAAAACTTTCAATCATGCCCCACCTCAACACCGGCCAGCTCTCGCACATTTCTTTGGCGCCTCCATCGCACATACAGCCCAACCAGATAGAATATAAATGAGAGGGCATAGGCTGAGTAGTCGAGCAAATTCATGATGTTATGACGACCTGTTTGAAATTGAGATAGTATGTTTTGTATGAGAGCAAGGAAACTTTAGACAGACGATGTCAAGGCAATACACAACCATTAATCCTCGAACATATAGATAAACTGATAAAGAAGAGGATAACTATACTCTCCTCCCCCCCCCCCCCCCTCTCTCTCTCTCTCTCTCTCTCTCTCTCTCTCTATATATATATATATATATAAGTAGATGAATCAAATTCGTGCATCCTACAAATGGAAAATTGCAAGACTTTATACAGCATCTTATGCTGACTAAAGATGGAAGTTTACGTATATGCATCTCACTGATCAACATCAAACAAGTGCCGGAGATTTAAGAGTGTACCTAATCGGAGGAAATCAAAGGGGATGAATGAGTAAAGGACTCCAAGGAACATCTGCAAATAAAATAATCGTTCAAAATTTATGTTAGCAAAGCCAATAATATGCAAGAAATTAAACAGTCTCCCCTCATAAAAGACACAGCAAGCAAAAGAACACATTTGTAACATACGTATATCACAAAAAATTTCAGAACTACATACATATAGCAAAGTGCTAATTCAATATAGAGAATAAGAATAAGTGATCTTCTTGTGCATATGTCTTAGATTACAGAGGTTTGTGGGGTAACAAGGAAACCGAGCACTCGAGTCGAGTCTTGATAACTGAAAAAGGACATGGAAAAACTGCAGCAAATTGAGTTTCTGTGGTAGGTACGAGTATTTATAAAAGCAGCCAGCAGTAGGTTGCATCGTAACTGCATTCCTTGGGATTAAGTAACACGAGGCTACACGGAGAGTGAGACCGTGAGCGGGGAGGCAGATATAGTATGTGGCTTTGTGCAAAAGGTTAACTTAGAATAGATTGGGGGGGAAAATGATTGGATGATAAAAAATCAGCAACTGAAATAAAACTTAATTATTGAAACTAAGAACAAATGAAGAAAAGCCACTATTTCTCGTAGATTTTAGTTTTTGAAGCTGTAATGAACTCAACTGCAATAAGTCGCATCTCATGGAGATAAGCACCAGGTCTGTCTGGATTCAACATCTCGCAGATCAACCTCTTTAGGGACAGTGGAATAGCAAGAACTTTCTGTTGAAACAGAAGAACAAAAGAATATAAGTTCTTGGAGAGTATTAGAAAACGATCAAAGGTGTGTGATTTCAATTCAATAGAGTTCAGGATGACACATAAAGAAATCTAAATAACACATAAGATGTTTTAATGATCATGTAACTAGAAGATTAACTTAATGTCAAATTTTGTAGAACTAAGTCAACAAATTTGAAGGTGAAATTTATTTACATATTCTTGACTGTGAAACTCAATATTCAGAATTACCATTAGCTTGTGACTGTCAACCACAAGCATACATTATTTATTTTTTATTGTTTCGTGATTTGTTTGCATCACGTTTAGACTTCTCTACTCATTACTGGAGAACATATATTGTTCAAGTTTAGTCGATCATTTTGCTTGGAATAATATAAACAAGAACTGAAGACCAAATGCATCAACTAACCAGCATAAATCCAGAAATGCCTCCTACAAATATGCGATTGTAGTTTCCAACACTCTTTAGAACTTTACTAATTTCTGCTTCATGTCCCCGATATAATGATGCTTCAGGCATCAATTTAGTTATGAACTGTGAGCACATTGGACACTTGCATGGCTGCAATGTAGCACTGAAGTTCCAATACTGCAAAATGCAACTTCCTGTGCACAGAAAATTACTTTGTGAGAAGCAGAAAGAGAATGTCAATAAACAGAAACCTGTAACAAAAAAGCAGGGGAAGCTCCATTTCTTAAATTATAGTAAAAAGCATCAGATATGATCAATTGTGGAGAAAACCAGAAGCTATGTAAAAACCATGATATTTCAAGAACATATATCATTATCGTTCTAACTTTTGACAGGAGCTCGAATCAGAACCAGTTTTGATGCGGCATAGCCACAATTTATTTTGAGGTTTTTCTATGATTCTCTAATCTGTCTAATTCTGTTAATTCTAATCGTAATTTTCACTTCTCTCATTACTGCAGTTCAACAAATGCAACTCGACCTTAACAAGTTTCAGCACTTGTCCAGTTTCCTCCACCATATATTCATGAGATCAAAATCATAGAAATCGAACACAAGGCTGATTGATAAAATCACAGCAAAGGAAAACCTCACCGCAGTACCAGTGACCGCAAGGCGCCCGACACGGAACTACAAAATTGCCGAAGCAAATAGGGCAAACGTCATCAACGGGAGGATGCTCCATTAATGAAGTTTTCCTCTTCTCCTCGGCAGATGTCGCTGGCGTTAGCGCATCGCTATCAGCAGCAGTTCCGGCGATAGATTCTCCCTGGCCAGTTGAGACTGGTCCACCGCCGATACTGTGCGGATCGGTGTCGGGACCGGGGTCTGGGTGGCAATAAGGGGTTTTGGAGAAGCGAGAGGTGAAGGATCGGCGCATGGTGCGTGAAGGGAGGGGTAAGGGGGCAGGAAGATTCACGAGTGCGGTTTAGACCTTTTATAAATTTTTACAGAAAATAATGAAATATATATATATATATATATATATATAGAGAAAGCAAAATAGATTCGATAAATTCAAATTAAATAATATAATATAGGAATAAATCAAATTCAAATATTAAATCTACTAAATCTAAAATTTAATATCTAAAATAGTTCAACCAAATTTAAATATTAAATCTACTAAATTTAAAATTTAATATCTAAAATATCTCAATACAATTTTTATAGGACATCAAACGCCATTTTTGTCTCTGCGAATGACACGATAGTTCACGCTTCCGTATCCACTTGCTACACATGATTAATCTAGTGTCGTTTATTTTGTAAAACTTATTTTGCAATGATTCGTTCCCACATTATAAAAATTAAAATAAAATAAAAATTTTATCCAATGAATAAAGATGAATTTGTAATAGTAAAATTTATCTAACTAAATCTAATTTACATATTATTAAATTTGACAAAAACATTTATTCAAAACGCAGCGATTACAAAGTTTTATATTATAAAAACAAAATAAAATAGAAGAAGTCGAGAAAAGAAAAATTATAGACCGAGATAAGGACAATTACTTTTACACCGTATAATCATTAGCCAATAAAAATAAATAAAATTATTACAAATCTAATAAAATACTAACAATAATAAATTACAAGTATGAATAATAGTATAATAAAATCTAAATATTAAGCTAAATAGGACGAAAATGAAATAATAATAATAATTCAATAGAAACAATAATTACAACAAAAGCTCACCTGCACAGGAAGAACTGTAACAACTTCAGCAACCAACACAATAGTAACAATTAATCTATAACAATAACTATGCCAACATATACCGATCCATCCATCCATCCATCACAATACAATGCAACACCACAATAACTGCAACAATATATCAGCTAATCTGCTCTTTACAAGAATCAAAAATGTCGAATAATCGAAGCTAATCCTCACCTACATTTCCGGCTCGAGAGACATAAAAAAAATAGCTACCCCTCGCCTACTCGTGTGCTCGCGCCCAATCCTCCGGGCCCGAGAAATGCCTCCTACGTCCCCGGAGGAGCCCTCTATGCCCAACACCGATCAAAAACAGAACCAAAACTGCCACGCTCGCGCCCACGTCAAACATTCTTTGAATTCCCAACCCGCCTGGAGTAATACAACGCCGAGAACTTAAAGTAACTATGCGTCGAAAAGATTTATAGCCGAGCAAACAAGGAATTCTTACCACTCGCCATAAACTCAAATTCCCCTTGCTCGTAGAGTAATGCCAGAAATAACTGCGGTTGAAAACAAATCCCCGAAATCAATATATAATCCCTTCAAATGCAATGTGAAAATAAATTATGAAAACTGAATGCATTACATTATCATCAAAATAAAAAGTTTATACATAGGTAACATGACTCGATAGATTCAAATTTAAATAATTGAATATATAAACTATCTCAACCTGAACAATTTTAGTCTCAACAAGACATTTCATCATTTACAATTGAATTTCACATCCTTTAGATTAAAAATTCAATTATAGGTTAAATGTAAATTATATAGACCATCAATCAGCTAAATGTTCAATGTTTTTTTACCCCAAGAAGGCGCATTATGTAGTAGATGCATCTCAGGCCGTCGGGATCTATGAGAACCTTCAAAATTCTTCCTATAAAAAGGGGCAGCGCCTTCATTCGCTGTCGGATTAAAATTCAAAAACAAAGTTAGAATTCCATGACAAGACGACGACAAGAGTATAAGCAAACGAATCTGTAAAAGACGATCATACATGGAAAGTGCCGAGCACTCCGCTGATGTAAAGGCCATTGTACTGATTCACCTTCTTAAGGATCTCAACGCTATCGTGCGCCGGCTCCGTCAGATCGGAAGATTCTGGCCTCAGGTTGACGATGAGGCTACAGCACAAAGGGCATTTGCAAGGCTGCATCGAAGATCTAAACATCCAGAACTGCAATATGCAGCTTGCTGTAGACACAAAACAGAGATTCAGACAATACTTTAACATTTCTAGCAAAATCTGTGTTCGTCAATTTGTTGATCTAAGAATTAATTGAGCTAGCAAACATGGAAAGGTTAATTTCACAATCTACAACGAAATTTCGAGCAAAATCGACTAAAAGTTCGTAATCAATGATTTCTCAACCCTCAAAAAATCGACTAAAAGTTCGTAATCAATGATTTCTCAACCCTCAAAACCCTAACAAAAAAAGTACGTACCGCAAAACCAGTGGCCGCAGTTCGATCTGCAGGGGACGGTGAATCTGTCGAAGCAAATTGGGCATACATCGTCTAGCGGAGGGATCTCCTGATGGTACATCCCCTCGGAAACGTCTTCAATTGCAGCTTCATTCGCAGCAACCTGCAGATCTTCTTCTTCTTCTTCTGCCCGTTGTAGTCCGTCGGTATCGGAATCTTCCTCCATGTTCATTTCCATTTGGTGCTTGGCTTCCCGGTGGAGAAGAGGTCGGGAGTCCATTGCTTCATTCTCAGGCGGAATCGAAAATGGAAATGGAAATGGAGATCGAAATCTGGTTTAATCCTCTGCTGTAATGGTTGTTGAGCTGGTTGGTGCTTGGATCTTATCCCGTAAGAGAGTTTGCAGCAGATTGAACAGCACGGGGTCAAAATTCGCTACGCATATTATATTGTATTATTTGTTTTGTCGTCGTCGTCGTCGTCGTCGGGTTTCGTTTGGTTGGTTCCATGTGAGAGAGTAAGGGCAAGGAGAGCGTATTTTGTCGGTTAGCGATTGAAGGCGGCAAATCACCGCATAATGAGTTCCACTAATGGACCAACGGTGGCGACACGTTGCAATCTAATCAATCCAATTTATTTAATAATTATTTAATAATAATAATTACTTCCAGCTCAATCCAATCCAATCGCCGCTTGTCCTTTTCAATTATATTTATCCGTTCGCGTCGCTGCCACGTCGATTGTGCCCAGAATTTTTTTTTTCCGTCGCTTTAAAACGCGTGTACTTTACTTTTATTTATTTATTTTAATGAAGTTTTTACTTTTAAATAAAATAATTAATACTCCTCCGTCCAATCTTTTTTCGTTTACTATTTTATTTCGGTTTATTTTACTTCATTGTTCCTGCACATGTATTGAATGCTAATTTTAATAAAAATAAGTAATACTTCTAAAGTTTACATATTTCTATATTTCTATCTTATGACTTCCAATTACAAGGTTTACATTTCATTAAATACTTTATTTTTTTTCACAAATACTTTTACTTTACATCAAATTATTATTTTTATACAAAAAGAAAAAGTAAGGGCAAAAATATCATTACACTACTTATAACTACTCGTTATAATTATATTTCTTAAACACCGCCCCAAAAAAATTAAATGTAACCTTTGTAAATGGACAGAGGGAGTAATAGTTATTTTTTATAGTAAAAAAAAAGTAATATAAGAGTAAAATAATTTTTTATTTAAAAAAAATAATATATTTTTTTTATAACAACATAAAGAGGAAAGTAAGTATAAATTATTTTTATGCATATAGTTTTTAATTATTTTATCGAAATTCATGCATCTAAAATAAATATAAATAAGCAAATTTTTTTGTGTAGTTTTTTTTATATAGTAAGAATAAAGTCTTGTGGTCCATTCTGTTTTGATCCTCTATATATTGCCATATTCTATTTCTCTTAGTTGAATAGAATGAATTCATCTCTATATTCTCCAAATTTCTACTGTCTGTTTGTTCGGGGGTTTGGATTTTGAGTTGGTATTTGAATAGTAAAAATTTTGAATTTGAATAGTTGTATGATGTGATATAAATAAGTTTGATGTAATATTTTAAATATAAAATTAATTTTTAGTATAATATAAAAAATAAAAAATATATTTTTGATTTTATATTTTTTTGAAAGAAAAATGAAATGAGCAGTGTATTTAAAATCCAATCCCCAAACAAACACACCCCAATGTATTAGAGCAGGTTCTCTTGATCTCATAAGATTTTTATACGTTGCTTGCTATTATATTTTTTGTTTCATTTTTTCTATTTTCTCATCAATTGTCACATGCATTTTACCACCTAAGAATGGTTGATTATTCTTTCAAATCATCTACTCTAACAAAGTTCGGTTCATCATTTAGCTCTATTGTTGTGAATGCAATTCATAGATTTCAATTATCCGTTGTAGAGTCGGAGAATCATAAAAACCTTGGCTGCAAAAGACAAAACCGGCTTCTTTACATGGAGCACTCCTAGACTTATGTTATTATTGTTGCTATATGAGACAATATTGATAGTATGATCCGTCGATGGATCATCAACTCTATCAATCAGTATAACGAGCTTTTGATTTATCAATTAAGAAGATAAATATTTAGTATAGTTCAGGTCAATATATTCATTGTTGTATATCTCATTAAATTGAAAAAAAAAAAAAATACATGATGAAATTCACTGATTGTCACAAAATTTTGAAAAAAAAATATAGAAGATTATATTGAGAAAGTTGAAATGATATAATATATTATGAGATTAAATCAAACATTTGATGTTGTGTTGAACTAATTTTTATGTATGATCTTTTATCTTCAATTAATAAGATACATAGTGTGCTCTAAGTGAAAAAAATAAAATAAAATAAAATTCATGACCTTATTCATGAAGTCACCCTTACTATACAATATATGAAGACAATTTTCAATATATTAGATGATATTGGAGCACCTTCAAGTTGCTTTACTTCGAATTCCGATATACTTGTTGAGTTTATTCAAAAGAAAATTTATAATGCTATTGGGAAGGTAAAAACTCCTTATGATCATCTCAATGTGCTGAAGATTGATCACTTTGAAAAAAAATATTTAAATAATTTAACTGATTTTAATCAACATCAATTATGAGTATTTGTCAATTATGAGTGGTAGGTTGAATCTTGGGTGGGTGGTGTTGGGTGAAATTGCTGCGATCAATTAGACTGTTTGAATTGGACGAATATAATAATAATTTTGAATTGAACAAATTAAAATAATAAAAAATAATATTATATTTAAAATTATATTTTAAAAAATTGAATCAAATTAAATAATTTAAAACTTATTCGGAATAAACATAAATATATTTTAAGATTGGAATAGAATGGTAGGATATTTTCAAGAATTGCCTAAGTTCAATTCGAATACAAGCCTACATTGCCCTTGGGATAGCAAATTTTAGTGTATGCTCCTAAAGCCTCCCTCAGTCGCATCTCAATGGGGTTTCACTTGTGTTCTCCGGGACTTCGTACTCCGCACCATTTGTCCCTACACCCACACCCAAATTCATCGCTGTTTTCTACGCCTAGGGTTTCCTCTCCTGCATCAATGCAGCGCCCACACGAGGATCACCAATCGGTTATACTGCGAGTTCCACACGTTCTCACCGTCGCCGGCTCCGATTCCGGTGCCGGCGCAGGTATCCAAGCTGACTTGAAGGCTTGTTCGGCGCGGGGAGTTTACTGCTCCACTGTTATTACTGCCGTTACCGCGCAGAACACCGTCGGCGTTCAGGTATCGTCTCCTTTCAAATCGGAGCAACTGGCCATCGGTTATTTTTGGAATTTCTATTTGCGTTTCTGAATTAGTTGTGTGCTTAAAGGATTGGAGGAACTGAATTGATGAATGAAAGTGTTGTGTATGCTTCCATTTGCTGTCTTTTAATCAATCAGCGTGTCGTCTTGTTTAGGGGGTGAATATTGTTCCGGATGATTTCGTTAAAGAGCAGTTGAAGTCCGTACTGTCTGACATGCGTCCTGACGTTGTAAGTTTATCTAAGTAGCTAGTTGTACTGGCATTATTTTACCTGCGATATTGCTAAGTATCTTGTAAATTGAATTGTTCGAGATTTTTGTCCTCTGCATGGTGTTCATGCGAGCAATTAAAACCAACAATTGAGAAAAAAAAATTATGATAGCAAAATATTATCAGACTAAAGTGGAAGTAGGGATAAACACAGGGCAAAAATTGCAATATCCTCTTATTTTGCTTAGCAAGTTATCATGCTGTTATTGGAAATGCTAGGTGAAAACAGGTATGCTGCCTACACCTGGCACTGTCAAGGTCCTTCGTGAATGCCTGAAGGAATTCCAAGTTAAAGGTGTCTAGTAAAGCCTTTTATTGGTTCGAATTATCACTTTTACACCCTGATTTTAATTGTATATTGGGTGTTATGTTGATTATTGTAATTTTGTGAAGAAAGCTTTGGTGGTTGATCCTGTTATGGTATCTACAAGCGGAGATGTTCTGGCTGGTCCTTCAATTCTGAGGAGCTTTAGGTAGGTTTTGTGTTAAAATGATTACACTGGAGTTTTATGACATCATTTGTTTAGCGAAAGATCGGAAGGAAAAAAATGATTCATTGAACTCACTTTTCATGTTTGTTCAGTTTAAGTAGCACTCTGAAGCACATTCTAAAATATGCATAAATAAAGGTATTATCGACATCTTTCTGAAGCTTTGCCTACTTGCTATAAGTAGCTTCCTTAGCCAAATGAAATGACCTATGAATTAAATCGTGCTCCCAATGAACTTTTGTAAGGACTGCACTTGTAGATTAGTGAAGTTGATTGTAGAAACTGGAGTTATATATTTTAGAAAATGGCTCGCGATATGTTACATAGCTTGAGGCAAGCTTTCACCTGGGTTTCTATATAAACTGTCTTATTTTTGGTAAGTCGATGCAGAGCTGATCTTTAGAAACTATTTTTATAATTCTAGTATCTTTATGCTTGATAAGTTTAATGGAACCCTGCTTTGGCATCTTTTTCCACCAACAGGGAGGAGCTTCTTCCCCTAGCTGATCTAGTAACTCCAAATTTAAAAGAGGCGTCTGCTTTACTTGGCGGCATATTACTGGAAACAATCGCTGACATGCGCTATGCTGCAAAAACAATACATGATATCGGCCCACGGTTAGCTCCTGAAAAGTTTATTATAAGTTAGAATGATAAACCGTAACTTTTTTGAGTGACTTACTTGAGGTTGTTTCTACAATTTTTCCTTGAAGTGTACTACTTTTGTATAGTAAGCTGAATCACATCTTCTATTCTTTCTATTTTGCATCAATTGAATGGGTTGATGAATCCTGGAATTCGTGATCATCAGATTCAGGATCATGTGGGTCTTTGGTAGGTTAGCATATATTGATTGGAAGCTCTGTTTCTTTATTATTCCAAAGGAATGGGTCGTCCAACAAAATGGAAAATAGATATTGTCAAATGGATGCATAGCTATATTAGGAATATATGACTTAGTGTTTTTACCCACGGATTTATTTTAAAGGGTACCCATGTTCGAATAATATGTTATACGCCAGGTTAACACTGGAGCAAACTATTTATATAGTACTTATTACTGGGGGAAACTGAAGTATTTTGGGATTTATTGTGGTTCAAAATATATTTAACTCAAGGATGACTATATATATATATATATATTCATTAAGACTGGGGTACACATTTATGAATTTTGATTGAGAGTTTTGTGCGTTGAAGTTTTAAGCATTCTGACATAAAACTAATAGTCAACATGCCATGGTGCCCTGGCAAGAGCATTTGTTGATTCCATCACAATTTGGGTTTAGAACACTTGAATCTTGCCTACTTTTCAATAAATTGAGAGTCATTACGTCGTAGTATAAATGTTTTATGATGTATTTATAGTGTGCCATGCATGACAGAAACAGTATTTTATGCCATGGTTGTGTGCGCTATTCTTAAAGGTGAAATATTTCAAGTTTGCTTGTTAAGGTTGTAATCACTAAACATTTACAAACAAGAATTCTGAAGCCTTTGACATACGTATATTAAATTGCCAAGTGCTGCTCTACGAATGCACTAACTAAAGTTTGAAGCCCATTTTATAATTCAGTTGAGTGTTGATGGGCTCTCATAATGGTTTTTGAGGGTTTATCTTTTCTAATTATCGGATTAGTAAGCTAATTCCACATAGCAGGGTAAACCAGTAAAGTTAGTTGATGATGATCTATTGGATTAATACCATGACTGGTGCAGGTTTTCTTTTATTTATAGAACCTGTTTACAGTTGGTATTGCAACAAAATTATGTGTTGTTTTAAAATTTTCTGTTTTCAGAAACGTGCTAGTTAAAGGAGGTGACCTATCCGCATCCTCTGATGCTGTTGATGTTCTATTTGATGGTATGGTTCAATAACATTTGCAATTATGAAGCAATGTATTACAGGCGTACTTCTTGTTAACAATAAATTTAACCTTTTAGGTAAGGACTTCTATGAGTTTTCCTCAGTTCGGATAAATTCTCGAAATACCCATGGAACTGGTTGTACCTTGGCAGCATCTATAGCTGCTGAGCTAGCTAGAGGTTCGTCAATGTACGCTGCTGTTAAGGTGATTCAGTTATCTTTTTACTTTCAAATTTTGTTTATCGATGATGCACAGAGGTTTCAGAATTGTCTCATGATCTCCTTGCACTAACTTTTCCTTTCGACATCCTGTTTGAAATAAAACAAAATTCCTTGGGTGAAATTATTGTCTGGCCTTCTCAAATGTGATTTTATGCAAAAAAAATGTACGATGTCTGAATTTCCCTTTGTGTCAATTACTGAAAATCCTTGCTTTGTTGAGAAGAAACTACAAGAGGAATTTTGGGTTGATTGTTGATGCCATTGAGGCCAATTCAATACATGGCTTTTGTGTTTTGGGGCTTTCAATATGCATTTCCTATATGCCGACATTTTCACGCTATCTCCTCTTTAACAAAGGATCATATATATGTATATATATATATATTCCAGATAGCTAAGCGATATGTTGAATCAGCATTAGGGTATAGTAAGGAAATCCTAATTGGAGGAGGACAACAAGGTCCCTTTGACCATTTTATGAAGCTTAAGAACAGTGCTGTGAACCTACACACATACCGACCATTTCATCCAAAAGATCTTCTCTTGTATGCTGTCACAGACTCAAGGATGAATCAAAAGTGGGGCCGTTCCTTGGTGGATGCCGTGAAAGCTGCTATAGAAGGAGGTGCAACCATAATTCAGCTCAGGTTCGATTAGTGCTAAACTAGTGTTCTAGATTTGTGAATTACATTAATTATAATTGTGTGATCTGTGTCTATCTATGTCAATCAAATTTCTCTTTCAATATCTTCAATCTAAACAACATCGTTACCTACATTTTTACCTTTGCTCATATGATAAATTGGCGATCATTTAACATGGTACATTGTAGGGAGAAAGATGCTGACACTCGCGACTTTCTGGAATCAGCCAAGACATGTCTGGAAATATGCCGGTCCCACAGTGTGCCTTTGGTGATAAACGACAGGATAGACATCGCCCTCGCTTGTGATGCCGATGGAGTCCATGTCGGGCAGTCGGACATGCCAGTCCATGTTGCTCGATCCATCTTGGGGCCCGATAAGATCATCGGCGTTTCTTGTAAAACACCAGAACAGGCTGAGAAAGCATGGGTCGATGGAGCTGATTACATTGGCTGTGGCGGCGTATATCCTACAAATACGAAAGAAAATAACGTCACCGTGGGATTGGAAGGGCTCAGAAACGTATGCATGGCGTCGAAGCTGCCGGTGGTAGCCATTGGTGGGATCGGAGCTGCAAATACGAGAGCCGTGATGGAATTAGGCATCCCCAATCTTGAAGGGGTTGCTGTTGTTTCAGCTCTTTTCGACCGCGAATCGGTTTCGACGGAGACCCGGAACTTACTGGCAGTTATAGAAGGTTCTATTCGAGCTAGGAGTGTGGAGGATCGAGTGTCGGAGTTCCCAGCCTTCTAATGGACGCTTCAAGGTTAGAATGTTTTCAAACCTTATTTATTTTTATAGTTAATGTTATGCTTATTTTGTATTATGAAATTGATTTTGTTGTTATATTTTATTTTATATTGTGAGCTCTGAATATATTTTCTTCTGGGGACGAGTAGGGGTGCTGATCAGAGTAAAATGGAAGTATATAAAAGATAGATAGACATCATTTTATTTTAATTTTAACACAATACGTGTGTGTATATAGTTTGGTAGAATAATATACATATAAATATATTAATATATTTAATCTGTAAATTAAGACATAAATTTTTTAGATTTTTTTTTTTTGACAAGTTAGGACTGTGACTGGTGAGCTGAGACACCTCAATTCACAGTCCAATCCCACACTAGGACAGTCTTTGATATTTAATTTCTTTTTGAAGCTAATAATAAAGTATTATTTCAAAATATTATGTAAACTAAAATTTAAATTAATATTACATTTAAAATTAATTTAAAATCACAGATATTTACAAACATTTGTGACAATTTTTGGATTTTAAAGGTTTAATTTGATTTTAATTTGAAATTTGAGTTTTTATTTAAAGTTTAGTTTAAATAAAAATCTTTAATATAATATTTTATAAAAAAAACTATATATATATTTTTATTTAAAATGTGTACAAATTACATAATAGTGATTTTAATTCGTATATATTTAAAATTTATTTATATTAACTATACAATTTCTTATATTTTATAATAAAAATAAATAAAAAAACTTCAAACATTTCACAAACAAACACACCCTAACTTGCCACATTTCATATGCACATCTACCTTCACACCTTATAATTGGATAGTAGCGTTGAAAGTTAGGGGGTAAAATGCAATTTAGCACATGAGGCGGTGAAGTGTAAGGGCCGGGCCCGGCCCGAAATCAATTTATGGTTGAAAACTGCATTGTCAAAACCCCTGATATGCCAAAACCCTAACCTTCTCCCTCACACTCTCAGCAGCAACCACCACCACCACCACTTACATCGACCATGGCCGTTCCCGCCCTTCGCCTCCGCCGTGCTCTATCTCTCTCATCTTCAGTTCTTCAAAAGTCTCTATATCGGCCAAAACCGTTCTCCTCAGCCACCGCTTCATTTCTTCTGATTCGCCCTCCCAGCTCCACTCCAGCTCGAGTTCCCTCCTTCACGCAATGTCCGCGGCTATTCACTTCAAATTCTGCCTTATTCCGCAAGGTTTATGATCCGGAGGTCGATGAAATCGGGCCCGATACTATCCTGTTTGAAGGTTGCGATTACAATCACTGGTTGATCACTGTGGATTTCCCCAAAGATTCCAATCTTACAAGAGAACAGATGATTGATACGTATGTCAATATAGCCGCCCAAGTATTCGGCAGGTGAGAATGAAAACAACCATCTTTTACTTGAAGATATGCTGTTGTCATTTAAAAAGGATTATGCATATTTTAGCTGGTTTCGTTGTGTGTTATATATGATTGCTGTTATGCTTTCTTCTATATAAAAAATTCTGACTGCAATATAACTTCTGTTCATTCATTTCTGCATTTCATGAATTGATAGATGTTTCTACCAGGCATAGTTTATATTTTCTTCATTGAAAATGTTGTTGTGGACAAATGAGATGTAAAAGTGGAAAAGGAAGCTTTGTTTGGCAACCTATGGTAATTTGACTTCTCTCTATTTAATCTGGGATGGAAAATTATGGTAGTTTTTTATGTAGGACAACAATCGATTTGTTATAAAGGTCAGTGCAAGTAGGAAAAGTTTACTTGTGAACAGACAAGGAACTAGCGAGGATTTGAAGTTCTAATATGGATATATATATATATATTTCTTTCAAATTGTTTATTGTGGGTCAACTTATTATTACTCCCCTGTTTTTCTTGGCCATCACAAGGTCTAATTTGAATTGAGGCATCATAGGATATTTGTCTCTTAATGAATATATAGTGTCCTCTATTTGTTATTTATTTATTTTTCTTAATGATTGTTTTGGTAGTATTTGGCATTTTTCCGATTGAATATTGTCAAATTATGCTGAACATGAAATGCAATCAGAAAGATATCTAGTTTGGAGATATCTTTGATATCAATCCTATAGAAAGGTTACATGAAATACTACTGTTAAAAGGCTTTACATAGCATGTGGTTCTGATGAAAGGTTGGTGTTGGCATTGTTGCACCCGATGTGTAGAATACAAAGTAACTGTGCTGATGAGTATAACAATTTAAATGAATTTTATGAGTTAATGGGCATACGCAAATATTATTTATCTATAGATTATGTTTGAATGGATTTCATTACATTTATTCTTGTTCTTGATATTTATGTACCTTCACCACCATCGGTAAGTATTTTCTCCAGGACTGCAGTTTCATCTGGGTTGGAGAATAAACACTGAGTTTTTTTTTTTTTAATAATTATTTTTGCCATTTGTTGTTCCTACTCCCTAATATGCTTCTATGATTTATGTTGGCATGGCTATCATTACTGCTGAAGTATTTCTTCTTTTGTGCTTTATTTAGACCTGTTAGGGTGATTAAGGCTGTTTCATATAAGATGTATGGATTTTGGAATAATTTAGGAGCCTGCCTTGCCTATCTTCGTATTTTTATCTTTTAAGGTATTTGTAAATCTTTTTATCATTGTCATTTTATCTGCGGCCGCAAAAGGATCTATGCTGATGAGCTGATCTCTCTACACTGCATGCTTTTCACTACTGATAAAGCTGGTTTTTGCAGACTTAATATTGTGGTTTTTAATGTTAAATCTGTGCATTCAATCATGTTTATTTATAATATTCTTCATTAAATATATTTCCACAGCGTGGAAGAGGCGAAAAAGAAGATATATGCACTCAGCACTACAACTTATCAGGGTTTTCAGGTTGAGTGCTCCGAGGAAACATCCGAAAAGTTTAAAAGTGAGTACTTTATTTTGCAATCGGGACAAGTACTTCAGAATTCGCTTTTGACTGATTATAACTTACGATCTGACTATACAATTTGATGTTATTAGATATAGAGGGGGTTGTATTTGTCTTGCCAGATTCATACATCGATCCAGTAAATAAGGAATACGGAGGTTTGATATTTTCACTCAGTTCTCACCACTGTTGATTTACTACACGAATACTCTTTCAGAGACATGATCTTCCTCTCCTCGGGCCTTTATTGCAGGAGACAAGTACGTCAACGGAGAAATTTTTCCGAGGCCACCTCCTGTACATTACGGGAGACGGGGCAACAGAGATAGGCGCCCGAGAGAACAGATGTCGTATCAGCAAGGAAATGATAGATATGATAACCAAGAAGCAAGGAATTACGGACCACCATCGAACTATGGGCCTCCTCGGCAGAACTATGGGCAGCAGTCCCCACCGCCACCTCGGCAAAACTATGGTCAGCAGCCACCTCCACCACCTCGACAAAACTACGGCCAGCAACCACCACTCCCTCCCTCACAGACCTACGGGCAACAGCCACCACCGCCCACTCAGAACTATGGACAACAGTCGCCACCACCACAGAACTACGGGCAGCCACCACCGCAACAAAATTACGGACAGCCAGCTCAGCAGAACTATGGACCTCCACCACCACGACAGAATTATGGGCCACCGCAGTGGCAGAACTATGGCTCGCCGCAACAGCAGAACTACAGGCCGCTTTCACAACCCAACTACGGGCAGCAATCCCATCAAGCTCCCGGAAGCATGCCAAATTTTCCACCTCAACAAGATTATGGTTCGAGGCTGCCGTTTAATAGTGATAGGAACCCCATGCCTTCTAATATCAATCAAGCTGAGCCGGGAAGTCACAATCCCCAGGGCCGCGATCAAGATGATGCTGCTGCTAATGGTGCAGCGGGGTTCGAACGGGCAAACGGCGCACCTTACGCCCAAAACTATTGACAAGGTAACAACATCAAACATATATTGTTCTTTCAATCTATGATGGTTTATGTGATTTAACAATGTTTGATTGATTGATGTGTTTTGTCTTAGAAAATGAATACATGAAGAGAATTAGCAGGAAGGAGAATTTAAGAAGGCCAGATGCCAAGAAGTTCTTGCTGCTTTTTGTAAAGTTGGGCGTTATAAAGGATCTTCACTATTTGCTAGCCTAGTAACTGAACATGCATTTTATTAACTCTACTCTATAATGAACTTTGTGTTTCGTTTCGTATGTTCCTTTGTCATGGATTTCAATTAGGGGGTGAGAATGGGTCGGGTTAGACCCATCCTAACCGGATTCAATTCAATTATTGGGCTATCGAATTGAGTTGGGTCGGGTTTAAGGGTGGTTTTGGTTGGGGTCCAGATGAATTTCTTTGGGGTTTGATTTATTTATTTGTGAGAGATTTTATTATAATTTTTTGAGATAAATGCATTATATCGGGTCGGGTCAGGGTCGGGACGAAACGAGTTAAATTTTATATTTGTTTTTTCAGAAAGCCAAATGAATGTCAAATGACCGCATAGCGCAGTGGATTAGCGCGTCTGACTTCGGATCAGAAGGTCGTGGGTTCGACTCCCACTGTGGTCGATTTTTCGTTTTTTTAGAAACGTATATCTACATTTAAGGGTGTAATTGTAATTTCATATGGTCAATCCACTTCTTCTCTGTCCTCCTCCTCTCGTGTCTTCTTCCCTCCTTTTTTTTTCTCCGATTCCGCCGCCTTCAATGGCCGCGGCCCCCACTCAGCATGCTCTTTTCTAGACATGGAGCTTGCGTTACTCTACCACTCCTCAACACGCAATTTTTTATTAATCGTTCTCGCGTCTCGGAAATCTGTGTATTCAACCTTGGTTTCTTTCGATCGATGTCTGCCACTTGTCGTTTTGGAAGGATCTGTTTTTGCTTTCAGTCTATTTCAACTGGATTTTCTCCTTAATATGAAGGTATGCAATTTGTTTCGTTTTGTTTATATGATGGTGAGGTGAGAGCCGAGCTGATGCGCAATGTGGATTTCGTAATCGTATAATAATGCATCTTCCGGTGTGACTCTATGACTTGCTTTTTTCAAAAAAGGATGGAAATCAGCTAGGAGCATTGTTTATGAGTGATTTGAGCTTTGATCCGTTGCACCAACATATTTCTCTTGGTACAATTTGATGTTCTTTTTCTTCACGAGTCTATTTGACAGATTTGAAAATTATTTTACTTTTCAGGTTTTACTTGAATTAAGGCGATTTTGTTTTTCCTTGATTCTTCGGTGATATTGAACCGTAGCTTCATGCTTAAGTGGATGAATTGATTTAAAAAATAAAAAATAATATTATTCACAAATGTATCTATTATAGGTATGTTTGTTTTAATGTAATTTGAAATTTGGTTTGGTGAGAAGAACATATATATATATTTTAAAAAAAATAAAATTGCAGAGTCGAAATAATAAAATTGTAAAATTTGAGGTTAAAGGAACAAACACTACATTAAAATTTGATGTTAGAGAAACAAACACTATATTAATGTGTGTATATTTGTATATTTTTAATAGTATTTATAAAATTATACCATTGAATAAAGCTGAATGAACAAAGTAATTGTGTATAATTATTTGTAAATATTATAATTTTTAATAATATTCATAAAAATTTGATCAAGTAAAATATAATTGGGTGCACATACGTCCCTTATTTTTATATAAATAATTTAAAAAATTTTATTTAAAATTTTTTATTTAGGAATAATAGAAAATCTACTAAATCCCCCCAAACAAACACAACCCTTCTCAATATATTGTAAAAATACCAAGTCTAAGGTCAGAAAATCATATAAAACCTAATTCAGTTTGAGCTCACAGTCCCCTAACAATATTTGATGCGGCAAATCAAATACTGATTCTTATACAAGAACAATGGATATAACCTTCTTATCAAATATTATCATAAAAGAAAAGCCAGAGAGACCTCTAACTGTCTGTCCCGGTCGAGCTGAAACCAAAGGCATTTGAAGATAGTCCATGTAAAATTCCGTAATCTATGTATGCCGGCGCCTCTTGAAACTGTCCTCATTATAAGACTCCCAGTTCCTGTGATCGAGGGTGCTCAGATCATCGAGCTCTGCTATCGCAAGTAAATATTGGGTCAGCTTCACCAGTTCTTGATCGCTGTTACGATTTGCATGAGCCTTCCGGAATGGCTTGATAGTCAACCCATTTTGGGGGTTCATAACGAAATTTCTCCGTAGATCATCGAACATGATAGTGTTTTTCGCACTATAGTACTGCACATATGTGAACACACATCGATTAAGTGAAGTCAATGATAATAAATTGAAATGTTAGTAAGATGATATATATCGTAGACCCTCTCTAGTTTGAATTTTTTTTATAATATCTTTACTATGCAATCCTCACCACCACCTATAAAAATAGACTAACCCCTCTCACAAAACATCACATTCGGGAAAAAAAAAATGGAGCAAAAAAAGAATGGGTTTTAACAAATATCGAACATCTAGAATGAGTAGTAATTGCACATTCTTAAGCTCAATTAACTTAATCCTTGGGGAATAACACAGTTTCAGTTAAATTGTATTTTAGATACATCTCAAGAAGGTTTGGATAATGTTGCAGCAAGTTTCAGTTAAACAAAGAATAGCAGAATGGTTAAAAGTGTAGAAGTTTTTGAACAACAACACCATTTAAGTTCCTTAAGATCACTACAAGCTGTTCTTGGTAGCCACCGAATGGATGCAGCTTCTAAATTTCAGTCTGTTCCGGCTATTTTCAACCCCCGTATTAAACCCCAAAGTGTAAGGTTACATATAGCATTAGAAAATAAGTAGCCACAGCCAAGAAAGCCATCAAACTGGCTCTAAAATCATCAAAATCAGATGTATGCAAGCTTCGCCAAAATATGATGTTTCTATTAGGTTATTCCCTGAGGATTAGATTAATGAAAAGTCAAATAGATCATATATTGATGTTTACCAGTGACAATCATCAGATTCCAGACTGAAAACGCGACCCAAGCGAAACTAGATCTGAGAATTCCAGCCAAACTTATACAAAATATATGTTTCTGTTCTCTATCCTTAAAGAAAATTCTAGCAAAATATATGGTTCATTATGCTGAGCTCCATAATTAACGAAGTTTGGATGGAGGCTAAATTGGGATGCAGGCAATACCATCCATAGAAAATAAACTAAGAACGAAATGTAAAATGTTCAAACCTCAGGAAAGTGTGCCCAAATCAGGCCAAGTGGTTTGCAATCAAAGACCCCGCGGTTATCGGATTGAACTGTAATCATTGCCAAATGATCAAGAAGAGCAGTAATTTTGTAATTAGGATTATTCAGTACCCCGAGCTGCCCCATCTTCAATTCAACCCACTTCATGCTGCATGAATAAGACATATATTAACTGCAGGCTAGTGTTACCTCAGAAACTCAGTTCTGTTTACTTATGTTTCAACCTTATTTTTGCATATTCATAAAAAAATAAATAAACAAATATCCACTGAAAGAAAATCACATCCGGCACTTATTTTTTCCATTCAATTTTTACCAATCCCAAAACAAATCAAATTACCAAAACACTTACAAAACATAACTAAACAAATCCTTGATCCAATGTCTGCCCGTGAAATCCAGCATAATTTTTACAGAACATAATAAATTATATTCTAATTTGAGTTTTAACATTGTTCAAGACATCATGCTGATGCTTGAAATTTTCGGTTCTTAAGGGAAGTAAGTCAAAACAGAAGCAGAAAACTTCAGCATATTTGGACGAACATAGTTATGGAGATATCTCTAACCTCCTACACCAAACAAATTACTTTTTCCTTAAAAATATTGAAAGCCTCATATGTAAAACAATAAGAGGATAGAAACTTTAAGTGTGCTGTAAATTATAATAAGAGTACCATGAAAGTAAACAATAAGATGATGAAGGATAGCAAATTTAACCTGGTAGCAGACCAAATAATGATATCGTACTCTGCATACACAGCCGAGAGAAATTCATGAAGATCTGTTCAAAGAAATCAGATAAATAACAAACCAAGATATGCAACGAGTAACAAAGTATCCAATTAACACATACACGGACGCATAAGCTCTAAAGGATTCTCTGCAGGAGACCGGTGATCAAAGAGTGTATAATCAATATCCAGAACCAGCAGCTTTTTCCCCTCCCGGCAGGGAGTTCGAAGTTCAATCTACCATGAAATCCAACAACATAACAAAGATCATAAAGTTTATTCAACTTTCCTGCAAAATAAACACTAACAGAAAGGGAAAAATCACTGACTTTGTACTGCTCAATTCGACGCCTCAATTTCTGTTTATTGACTTCTTTATCTTTAATATCCACAACTTCATCTTGCCCAAGCTCAAAATCATCAATAATTTCCGGGGACTCCACCGGATCAACAATTATATCATCTTCAACTGTACTGATATCCCAAAAACATATATGTATATATATATACATATACGTACATCAATCCTCAATTTATACATCAACTATCATTCAATGTATTCAAAGGACAGAGCTAATTTGAAGAAATATTCCATGAAGAAATACAGAAGACAGAAAGCATTCAGTTTCAGGAATTGCGTAAAAATCACCATCAAAGAGACTGTCCAACCAAATTTTGTGATCGCCAATAATGTGTCCAAAACGATGATAATGCAACGAAATTAAAGTGACATCAAATTGAAAATAAGACCAACAAGATTTCAGCAGGTGAGAAGGAACTTTAGAATTACAATTCTATCAACGACAATTAATCAAAACCCTAATTGAATGAATAATTAGGCGATAAAGCGATACCCAATCATAGTCATTTTGAGAGACGATTTGAGCGGGATCTGAGAAAGAAGTAAAGAATCATCGGAAAGTCTGGAGCCGACTTTAGGGTAGAGAAGTTTCTGTCGTTTGGGGAGCACCTTCGTGGCCTCGCAAATGCGCCGCTTGAGCTCCCCAACTGAATCGTCGCCGCACACCCTGACGATGTACTCCTTCCCGCTCCACTTTACAGTCAGAGTCAACTCCTCCTCCGTCAACGGCGATGCCGCCACCGCCGCCGCGGCCGTCGACGTTTCGGTCGCCATACGAATAAAGGCGGTTTGGAGAAATGAGCAATTAATTTTAAAACAAAATTACAAGGCAAAAAACTCTATATTCTATTGAACGCGTCTTGAAGAAATTCTCAGACACAATCTACTAGGATGCCACGTGTCATTTTCATAAACAAATTAAAAATTAATTATGTAATATCTGCGTTCATCTTATTATAAAAATTATAAAAAATACTCCCTCTATCACATACTCTGCAATATTTTTTATTTTGGTCTATTTTTACATATTTTGTAATATTTTCAAATAGAAAATAATATATCAAAATTTATATCTTACCCACTGAATTCTTACTTCATGTTTGTAATTGGAGTTGCATTTGGTTGGTAATGAATATGCATGACCTCACGGTTACAAATCAACTTTTATACCACTAGGTCATCCCTTACGGGACAAGAGATTTAAATTTTTACCCTCATTTATTGAGGTAAATGTAAAAAATAACAAGTTCAAACTTAAAGATGATAAAGATTAAAAAACTTCTAAAACTTTATAAAAACGTCAAATGTTATACACATTTATGATGAAGAATCTTTAGAAGTTAATGTGAAGAATATTGATGAAAGATTGAGGGTAAAGTTGAGTTTAAGCTTGGAGAAAAGTGGAGAAACATTCAATTAGTAGTTTTGATTTGAAAATTGAAACAGAGTTACAAAACGAAGTAGTTGATGTTTTGAACCAAAACCTCAAAAGTAAATACATATAACATTTAACCATCAAACTATATTCATCTATTAATACAATAAAATCAAATAATATGTATATATAAATACTTTATATATAACATAAATATATAATGAACCTCTATTTAGATTGGCCCTGGGCGGACGCCCCTCTCGCCCGGGCGGGCCCAGGACCGGCCCTAGGTTGGGGATGCGAAGTTGAAAATGAAAAATGACAATGAGTGATGGAATGAGAGAAAATGTCAATCAAAATATAAGAGATCTTGTTGGTGATGCAATGGAACATAAATGGAGTAGTGTTTAGGAACATGAGATTGACGAGAGAATGAATGCAATGTCCAATTCTACAATTAGGGCAGAAGTGTTAGAGATGAGTGCTCATAATCTTATGATTTTGAGTATAGTGACTTCGATGAGCGTGTCGAGAATTAGACGATCCTTCTTATGCATGATGAGTTTGAAAATTCAAATAATGATGACAGTTTTATAGAACAACCATATGATAAGCAAAGCATGATTTAACGCTTTTTTCGTAATTAAAAGGAGAAACAACATCACAATAAGTCAATCATGTAAGAAGAGGATGACGAGTGATAAGGTGATGGAAACTCGGATTATGATCTTAAAGGAGAAAGTATATCAGACGAGAAAGGTATGTTGTCTTAGTATGAAGAGTGTGATGAATTTATGGATACGGAGATCGCTGATAAACTCATATACTTTGTCTGGATTCCAAAATTTCAACCAACAAAAAAAAATCACATTATTCAAATTTACAATTGCAAATAATTTATCTTTAATATTGTTTGTTTATCCAACCACTTTTATAGCAATGAATCTCTCATATGACATACAGAATTCTTAATCTCAAATCAAACTTCTTGCTTATGTGTTTTGGCTTCGACAAACTATTTGAAAGTTCCATTTAAGTATTTTTACTTGCAACAATTATGACTTTCTATTAAAAAAATATGATCCTTTCATCCCACGAAGATATTATCATTTGCTTTTTGTGGGTGGATATTTAAATAATAATCATTATATTAATATAAAGTACAAATCAAGAAAAAAAAATGCAAAAGCATATCTGTTAGTATTGTATAGTATATAATAATATTTTTAATATTAAATACAATAACTAACAAAATAAATGACAATATTTTTATTGGATGAAGATAGTACTCCCTCCGTCCTACTTATCATATCCACATTGCGGTTTTTGTTCGTTTCATATCTCATGTCACTTTTGTTTTTTGAAAAATATTACACACTATAATGCCATTTTAAATTTCCTAATTTAATTTTTTTAAATTTTAATTAAACTAATTACTTATTTTAATTTTAATTTATAATTATTTATATTATAGGATAATTAATACATTCCTAATTATTTACTAATTATACCTATCCTAAATTCTCGTGTCCACGATAACACGGATATCTAATGTAGGACGGAGAGAGGATTATTTTTCTTTTACGAAATATTATATTCAAAATTTATTTAAATAAAAAAACAAACATTAAAAACAATGCTACACTCCAAAAAAACACACTAGTTTAGATTTTTTAAAAACTTAGGGTGTGTGTGGTTTGTATTTAAATCAAAATTCAAATAAATTTTTTAATGTCAAATCAAAATCAAACAAATTTATTAGATAATACTATCTTTGTTCCACTTAATTTAATTTGTTCACTATTTCTATTATAAAAATAATTATTAAATATTAATTGACAAAAAAATAATAGAATAAATAGAAAAATATTAATAAATTAATTATTATCTTTTAAAATAAAAATAATAAAATTGTAAGTAAATAAAATTGTTTACTACTTTACTATAAATATATTGTGCATTTTGCATAAATTTAATGTACACATAAACAAATAGAAACATATCCTATAAATTTTTAAAAATATCAAATAACACAACAACAACCACTACTTTAAATATATGTATATATATATATATAAGTCCCATAAGGGATGACGGGACATAGGAATGGATTCGTGATAATCAAACCTCAATTATATTATTACCTTAAGTATCCTGCTACAGACCAAAAATATTGATTAAAATTGGACAAAAAAGAGTATAAATTTGTATTAAATTTGATATTCTTAATAAAAAAAAAAAAAATCAAATTACATTATTCTAAATTAAAAACACATTGTCGTTCACATACCAATAACATTTTTTTTTTTTAAAAGTTGGACGCCGGTAAAATCATGGAATTGGAAAACACTAAAAAAACACAACCACAGCTTATAATTTATTTTTTTTCTGAAAAATAATACTATTAAATTTGATATTCTTACAATAAATATTTTAATTGTAAACTACATAATTAAAAATATAATTAAAACCACCTTGTCGTTCATCTACCAATAACATTTTTTAAAAAATAAAAAAAAATGCACACCCCTAAAATCATGGAATTGAAAATTAATAAATAAATAAATAAAAAATGATTGAAACTTCAACTCAAAGGAATTGAATTCTAAATTTTTGCTTTTGGTAAAGAGGCAAGTCCACATCCAAACTATTTGTTGCACCAATAGTTTATTTAATCATTAAAACATTATCACAATAACATTAATTCAATAAAAATTAGTAACACTTAATAATTTTCTATTGCTTTTTGTTGAATAAGAATCATCAATGACGATCTGTAAATTTGATTGGAGCAATAAATTAAATGCTTAACTATTGTAATAATGAGTTAAATGATTATGCAAAATAGTATAATTAAATAATTATATGCGGTGGTGATGATGTGACGTCGTTTTGGGTTAATTAATTCTGGCAGATATCAGAATAATTAAGGCTCATAATAAATCATTTATAAGAATAAGTATATAAGAATAATAAGTGGTGTTTGGCGTTATTACCCATTTTTATGTTTTCAAATAAATAAAGTGTTTCCTAACTTAATTCATTAAATTAAAGGGGTGGGTACACCCAAAACTTGTTAATATTTTCTAAGTATCCAAAATAATTATTTTAAAGGTATTACTCCCTCAGTTCCAAAATATATGGGACTATTACTGTATATATATAAAAAATATAATTAGTAAGTAATTAAAAAGTGTATTAGTACAAGTAATTATACATTAAGATTAAGATAAATAAATAGTTTAATTAAAATTAAAAAAATTATTAAATTTAAAATTTAAAATGCAATTAAAGTGTATAATTATATTTTCAAAAATAGAAATGATAAGTTATGTGGGACGGACGAAAATAAAAAATTAGAGACAAATTATGTGGACGGATGAAGTATAATTTAACAACATGCGTGGAAAGAGAGCATTATTTACTGGCATACATGAGATTTAAATAACGGACAATTGGTCTGCGCTCCCTACAGGTAGTGTTCAATTATAATTCAGTCCCTATTTTAAAATAATTGATCTGCACTCCCTCCTTTACATATTTAATTTAATATTAGTCCCTGTTTTAGATTTTCTCAAATAAAAATTGAATGTACCTCTAGAATATCTTTAAATGCTTCCAAATTTATTTTATATACTTACAACACATTCTGTTTAAATTTGTCCACGTAGCTCCGAATCTTCGGTTTACCAGTTTTCGAACCTCTTGTTACGGTTTATATATTTGTCAAAGTGCAAACTGCTAGTTCAAATCGCCGGTTTACGGTTTCAACCGACGGTTCGGCCATTATTTTTTTTTTTTTTTTAATTTTAAACTTGCACGCCGGCTGCGATTGTGGATTATAGAATGTTATGGGCGGGCGGCGACAGTGAAGAAGAAGCAGGAGGAAAAAAGAAAAAAAAAATGAAAAAGAAGAAAATACAAAAAAAAACAAGAAAACAAAAAACGTACCCTTGCAACTATAGCTGCGGTGGAATGTGGAGAATGGATGTTCAGAGCTAAAATTGTATATTATATACTTATAATTAAAATTACTATATATCATTAAATTGTTATAAAAATAAAGATAATATTAATATTAATAAAAATAAATAATTATTAATTATATAATAATAATATACATTATTTTGGTTATTTATATTTTAAATTTTGTATTTCTTATCATACAATTATATTTAATTGAAACTATCTTATTATCTAATACACGTCAATTTCTTAAAATTTAATTTTGTTTATTTCAATTTAAAATTTAATTTGTTTTAATTACTTAGTAAATTTATTATTTTAATTACTTTTATATTGTAACAATCTTAGCAATTATTATTTATATGATTTTACATAATAAATAAATAATAAATATATCTGAATGAAATTAAAATTGAAAATAATATTTTTGAATAAATTTTTAAATTTAGAAAAACTTAAAAAGGAAAAAAAATATTAAAAATAAATGTACATAAATCGGCGGTTCAAACCGTAACCGTCAATTTTTTAAACCGCAATCGAAACTGTCATTCAGAAGGTTCGGTTTCGGTTTGACATTTTCATAAACCGTAACCGACGGTTTGAACTGTTTTGGTGTACCTGATATAACCAGGTTGGAGGTACAACATAGCTGCTCTAGAATACTCACCTGCTTAGCCGAGTCATACCTTATGCTTAGATGCCCTTGACCAAAAATTGTTGTGTGCGCTACGGTGTGAATTAATGTGTAATAGATCTAAATATTTTCAATTTTTGATAGCAATCATGTACTCTAATGACCAATATAATTCAATTTAGTCGCTTATGACTTTATTAGACATCTACTAGTTGAGGTTGGACTATAATAGTACATATATCATTCAACCTATCCAAGTCATTTTTTACTTGGTTAACCATTCATAATAAATGTGTTGTTTACCTTTTTCTGACAATTTGAGGTGTCACAGGAAGACTATGATAATGAACGCATCCTTAGTTACCGTCAACAAATAAATATTTTGAACAAAAAATTATTGTTCTCCAACCACATGTTATTGGAGCATATATACTCTTTACTGAAGCATATGAGACTATTATTATAAGTAGTTAAGATCTGCGCTAGGGTATGTCGATATTTTATGTAGGTACATAAGAATGTGATCTGGGTACAAACACCTACATGCGAGGTATAAATAATAGTTTCTTAGGTATTATTTGTGTATTATCGGGTATCTTCAAGTGTAGTTAATTTCAGTCATTTCCATGGAAATGTGTCAATTCGCGTATTCGGTGAGAACACTTCCCCTCTCGGCCTTGGTGAACTAAATGTTGTTGTGTGTGCTATGCTGTGGATTACTACGTAATATGTCTAAAAAACAATCAATTTGTGAGAGTAGTGATGCATGAGTAACAACCAACAAACTTATCAACCTCATTTCTTACTTTTTTTAGCCATCTATAGTAAACATGTGTTCTTTTCTTTACTTACATGTCAGGGAGTCGTGAGAACACAATAATGATGAATTTATCTCAGGTTACTAAGAGCAATTGAATATGTTGAACCAAACACGGTCAATTTTTCCAACCATATATAACCAGAGCATATATACGCGTTAGCGGAGCATATGACTTTATATTACAAGTACATAAAAATTGGTATATGCATGAGTGTTTAGGATGTGTGTTTGAATGTTATAATTATAATTGTTGAATAAGAAAAAAAAAAATTTGACTCTATTTATTTTTATTAGTTCTTTTAAAAAATTAAATTTATTTTTTAATAAAATTATATTTATAGTTATTTTATTTTCACATTTTAAAATAAAAAACTAATAACATTAGTAAAGATTTAAAAAAAATTATACAAAATTGTGACATATATATTTAATATAAATATTTTGATAGAAAAAATTATTTAATTTTATTTTCTTGTAAATTTTATTTTCTATAGAATAAGGGTTTGTTTGTTTTTTTGTAAAAGATTTCAACATATTTTTCTACAAAAATAATATATTACACGCACTCATTATATTTATATTATCTACACATTTATATATATATATACATAGTAGGTATTTAAAATACATAGAATACTATACATAAATTTTATTACTAGTATTAATATTTTAAAAAATTGTATCTTATATATACGATTTTAAATATTTAATAGAATAATTATATATATATATAGATAAATAGATATTTTGCTAATATTATACTGAATCATATAATAAAGTTTATATTATGTATAATATTTACATAATATTTTATATTATATTAAATATAATTATGAATTTTGTATAAAAATAATATAAATTATTAATATCAAATTTTCTCATTTTATAAGTAGAATTAAAAGAGTAAGTAAACTAATATTGATAAAATGAAATATATAATTATGGTTGATTGTGCACCTTTTTTTTCTCGCCAACATTTTTATATCATTGTCTTTTTCGGAAGATATTAATTTATATACTCCATTTATTGACAAGATTAATTTATTTTTGTGCCAAATTTATTATGACTCTATTTATGCACGTAATATTTGTACGATATCTTCCATTTTAAGCAGATTTTTGCATTAATGGTTGATATTTATTACAAAAATTAACATATGTGCATAATTAAATACCGTATATTTATTTTATTGAGATTTTATTTTCTTTCAAAATACACGATATTTAATTTAATTTAGGCATTTAATTTTTAATGCCTATATCTACAAATATCCTATTCGTGTCCACCCCTGTGCCAAATTGATTGTTATTTCTTAAAGTGAGATAATAAAATTTTGAGTGAATAAAATTGTTTAGTATAAATGAATTATATATAAGTTTAACGAAAAAAAAAAAAAAAAAAGGCTGAAAGGAGTAATACTTCTAAAAAATTATACAATTTGATTTTAATGGATAATAAGATAATTTCTTAACTATTAATATGAAAAAAATATTAAAATATAAATAATCACATTTATAAATACTGATAAGAAATAATATATACTCATATAAAAATATAATAAATAAAATATAAACATAAATTATTCAGGAAAAATTTTAAATTTTAAATTATTAAAATTTGTTGAATAAAATAATTAATTTTTATGGAAAAAATAAAAAAGAGTAAAAAAACACTATAAAGAATACAAAAATAGAAGAAAAAATAAATATAAAATATAAATTGCATATAAAGTGTTTAATATAGAACAATTATCTGCACTCGTCAATCGTGACTAGAATGTAAAAAATATATAATATTTTATAATATACATAATATATTTTGTCAGTCAAATAAATAATAGACAAATTTGATAATTAAATATATAAAGAATATATTTTGCAATTTTTTTTTTATTTTCTACATCACCCCACAGTAAAATATGATTTTAATTATTATTTTTATTTATTTATTTTTTAAAGATACATAAGTAAATGTACGCATAATGTAAATAGAGGTATATAGGTGGAATAGTTAATAAAGTGAAAAATAATATAAGTAAAGCGAGACAATTATAAGTATATAAAATAACATTAAGAGTATTTAGATATACTATAGAAGTACATCAAATTTATACTATATAGATAAAAAGAAAAATATAAAATAATGACTAATATTAAATTAAATAAGTAAAGGAGGGAGTGAAAATCAATTTTTTTATAACAGGGACTGAATTATAACTTAATAGAACTGACAGGGTGGACAGACCAACTTTCCCTTTAAATAATTAGGGCAATTATCACCAATCAGCACCGTCATAAATTCAATCAATTAATTCCAAGTCAGTAAGTCAGTCAGTCACAGTCAGTCAGTATATCTGACTCTGGATCCGAATCCGAGTCCGAACCCGAACCCGAGCCCGAGCCCGCGTCCATCATATACGTCAGTAATGTGTTTGTGTGAAGCGATGTGTAATGACAAAAAAACGTAAATTAAAAAACTGAAAAAATAAAAATCACATAAATTTAAGAAATAAAAAAATAAAAACCAGAGAGAGAAGAGAGACAACACGTCACTCACTCAGTTGTCTGTGTCACTCACTCACTCACACACTGTATTATTATTTATTTATTTATTATTATTAGCAATCAAACAAACAAGAAAAAGGAAGGCAAGAAAATATGACCAAAGTTTGAGCCCCACTTCTAATCCCATGAATTTTTAGTATTTCTTAATTTCTTTCATGGACCAACACCTCCCTCATTCCACACAATCCCACCACCACTCCGCCACCACCGCCGCCGCTTCCACTTCTTCCGCCGCCGCGCAGTCCTACCACCTACTCCACCGCCTCCATGGAGCTTCTTCATTCCCATTCATCCCGCCCTCCTCCACCTACGCCGCCGGCGGGACTAGCAGCGGCGCTGGACCCGGACCTACTAATTCTCCGCCGCGACCGGGAGCCGTTTCCGCCGCCGTCCGGCCGCGGCCGGTCGACGCGTCGTTAGGAATCGGGACCGGTTCGGAAACCCTAATTGACCGCCAGGCCGGGTCCAAGAACCAGTCGCCGGGAGTACAACAGCCGCTGCAGGAGGTACAACCGTTGCAGCAGCAGCAGCCGGCGAAACGGTCGACGAAAGACCGCCACACCAAAGTCGACGGCCGCGGGCGGCGCATCCGTATGCCGGCGATTTGCGCCGCCAGGGTTTTCCAGCTCACCAGAGAATTGGGCCACAAGTCCGACGGCGAGACGATTGAGTGGCTGCTCCGGCAAGCCGAGCCGGCCATCATAGCCGCCACCGGCACCGGCACAATTCCGGCCAATTTCTCCACGCTCAACATCTCCCTCCGCAGCGGCGGCGGGGCCACCATGTCGGCTCCGCCGTCGAAGTCCCCGCCGGTATCGTTCCCCGCCGCGCTAGGGTTGCCCCACCACCACCATCAATACGAAGAGAATTTCTCCCAAATTTTAGGGTTTCAGCAGCATCAGCTGCCGGTTCAGCTCCTGCAACCATCCCAGCACATTTCCGACTCCTTACCCGGCGGCGACAGCGGCGGCGGACCGGAGGCGCCGGAGAATTACTTACAGAAGAGATACAGAGACGATTTGTTCAAAGAAGAGGATGCCCCAACTTCTCCTTCAACCAAACAAATAAAGTCAAACAACACTCTGCACCAAATGATGCAGAAATCGCCGCCGCGGCCGACGAACATGATGTGGGCGGTGGCGCCGGCGCCAACCAGCGGCGCCACGAGCAGCACATTCTGGATGCTTCCTGTGACGGCCCCCACCGGCGGGGGGGCGGCATCAACCGCCAGCGTGTCGGATCAGGCTGCAGGCCCATCGGAGTCCGCCCAGATGTGGCCTTTCGCCGCCGGATACGGCGGCGGCAACACCCTACAAACACCACTCCGTTTCATGCCCAGGGTTAATTTTCCGGGGAATCTCGAATTCCAAGGCGGCGGAAGGGCGGCGGCCGGTCAGCTGCAGTTGGGATCAATTCTGATGCAGCCACCGCCGCCGCCGCATGCTCAGCATTTGGGTTTGGGAGTATCGCCGGCGGAATCCAATTTAGGAATTTTGGCGGCGCTGAATTCTCTCTCTAGAGCCGGTTTGAATCCAAATTCTGACAATTTGCGGCATCATCAGCCGCCGCCTCAGCCGCCGGAAAATGCTGACAATGATGACGCCGACGAGGACGACGATGATCAAAACAGCTCTCAGTAATACGCGCACGTATGTATAAACATACACATACACAAAACAAGGTATTTACAACATATTAACATAAGAATTTTAATCTCACTGTAATATAATGTGATTTAAGATAATATATTTTTTAAAAATTGATAAGAATTGTAAATAAAAAATATGAAAATATCTTATAATTATATTAATCTGGAATTAAATTTTGGGACCGTTTGTATTATTGCAGGTAGCTAGCTCCACCACATGTGAAGGGTGAGCTGTTGAAGAAGGATTGATTTCAAGAAAGGAAAGACGACAGATGTGTTCATCACTTCTTCTTTAGGAACCTTTCTTTTTTTTTTTTTTTTTTTTTTTTTTTTTTTGTCATTGGTGTGGTTTTTTATTTTTAAATCACAATTATTAGTATTATTGATTTATTTTTTGGCCATTATTTTGGGGTGGAATTGATCTTGCCTAGTGCTTTGAAGAATTTGGATTTGAAATTTTGGTCCTAAATGAGTGTTTGCAAGAGAGATTATTGTATAGTTGAGTTGGCAGTATATATATTATTTACAGTCAACCTTTATTTAATGATTTATTTATGGTTTAATTTGTGTGACACAAAAAAATGATTGAATAGAATAGAATGATATTCCTACTACTACAACAACCTGTTACATGTGCTTTTAGTCATGTAATAATGTGCAGTGTGTGCTAAGTTTTGTTCCATTTTCTCTTCCATTTGGACCACTTATCTTTTAAAAATTGGGCTCCATTTATTTGTTACTAAGTTTGTGCATGATGATATATATATATATATATATATATATAGACAGCAGCTGTGGTTATGATTTTGATTAAAGTTATTAAATCAAAATACAAATTAATTATAAATCAATATATGATAATAATATACACGACACAATATATACTAATATGATTAATTTTATTGGAAAAGCTTCATTAATACAACACAATTCTAACATCGTAATATAATAGTTTACACAACATCTGTGAGACAATCTTTTATATCAGACGGCGATTACGATGTTGAATTTTATAGCACCATGCTGACAACACACAGTATTACTACAACTGTGTTTAGATGAACTAACAATAGGTACTATAGTCTCATACATCGCGTACAATCGTGGTTGATTTGATTTTGATTTTTACTGTAACTGCTCCCTTTTATATCAATGTAAGGGTTAAGTGTTATTTATTTGTATTTTCACTTATATTTTAGTAACGCTTATCAAAACATTACCAAAATACTAATGAATAGACTATTTATTATACTTTGTACAATATATCGAGATAAAATATAAATTTCATATAAATTTTCAATTGAAAATTAAATATACAAGGCATTATCAAACTTTATATCCCAACCTACACAACCCAATAGCTTGTTCAATGGGCAACATTTAAAATCGGCTGCCCCACTTGAAAGGCGGTGGCAATCTACCTATTATTTGGGGTGTGTTTACATGACTCAATTACTATAAATATATTGAATTAATTTTTTATTACCAAAAAATAAAAACTGAAAAAATAAAACCCAATATTGCAATCATATGTAAACGCCGATTGAATCGGAGAGTTTGTTTGTTTATTTATTTATTAATAAGATCTATACTCATATTTTTTATTATTATAATATTTATTTATTTTTTTGCTTTTATCATAAAGAAAGGTAAAATTGCTTATAACTCACGTGTGGTTTCGAATTTTAGTGTAAAATCTCCGTATATTTTAAAAATTGCATGGTACCTCTTATACTTTAAAAAACATTGCATTGCATGAAACCCCACCACTATGAAACTTTCGTCTGCAAGTACGTTGACTTGAGATTAGGTTAACTTACAAAGGTGTATACATTGTTGACATGAATAGTATATTTATTTTATTTTATCATATTTAACTCCAGAGTATCAATCATCCTCACCTTATATCTATTCAACTATAGGGGTATAACAATCGTTACAATAATTTTAATAAATATAACAAAATCAAGCATATCATTTTTTAACTTGAATTGAGATCAATATCATTAATTTGAGCTAATTAGAATTTGTTATATCAATCAAAACATCATATAGATGTCCTGTAAGGGATGTCTTGATAGTGTAGGGGTTGGACTTGTGACCGTGAGACCATGGGTTCAAACTCCCGACGCCTCAGGTCACCTAGGTTTGCAAAGTTTTAAATTCGGCCCGCTCAAATCGAATTAGATTATAGAATAGCAATATACATCATTTCTAGATAATATTCGCACCTACAATCATTAATTTTATTATATTTTCTCCTTTGCTCATTTTAATTACTAAGTATTTAAAAATACCCCTAGCTATCTTATACCACTTTTCTTATTTTCTGTAATAAAATCTTATTTATTTATTTTTATTATTTTTGTGTTCGATCCAAATATATATATATTTTTTTTTATAGTGGCTAGAGGGAGTTATATTTTATTAGATAAATTTTGAAAATAACAAAATTTTCAGGGAGCAATTTGAAATTAAATTATTCATCTACTTCCAATTAATTACGCAAACAAAAATCGAATGCTTTGTTGAATTTGGGCGAGGGAAGGAGTATGCCGTTGGGCAAATACTACTGCGACTACTGCGACAAACAATTTCAGGACACCCCGGCCGCGCGGCGGCGCCACCTCCAGGGCACCGTTCACCAGAGAGCCAAGGCTCTCTGGTACGACTCCGTTCGATCCGCCTCCCAAGGTCCGCTTCTCACAACATCCTTCTCACACACCACCACGAACACTTGGTGTGCGTTAATTGTGTTACACTGTTGTGAATTCTTAAGTCTTCCTCTTTAACCATCTTGTAGGCTTGCATCAAGGCTATGATCTTCCGCCGCCTGGGAAAGGACTATGCAATCGGTTTGTCCGTACGGTATAGTTTCTAAGTCACTGCAGCTATGCAGTTGGGAGTTCGTATTCGTGTGTATTTATTTTCCGAGAAGACATTGTGTGTAAGCATTTGATTTTGCACTTTATGACTCTATGAGCAATCCTTGGGGAAATTAGAGTCAGAATTTACATTTTGCATTTTGTTTTTCTTGAATGTAGGTTTACAAGTGTGGAATAGTGCAGATTTTAGCTAAGAACTGTATAATTTTAGTTGAATTAAACACTAGTAAGTTGTGAAAATATAACATGTACTTTATAGGTGATCAATTGCTATAAAGGTAGACCGTACTTGATGTTTAATTTGAACTGCTCAGGAACTGGAAGAAGAATACAGCAATTAGATTCACCAATTTAGGTTGATTTCACTATTGAATGATGCTACAAACATTAGTAAAACTATCAAAAGAATTATGTATTACAATTGTTCAATTTATGTATTCTAATTCCAGTTAAATATTTACTAGCTGTTGCCATCATCGACCTGATCAGTGGCTTCTTTCTTTCGTGCAAAGGGTTCATGTCAGTATGGAGATTCTTGCAAATATTATCACCCCAAAACGACGCTGCCAAACATGAGCACTCAAGGAAGGGAAGGTTGAGGAAGCCTAGCCCTATTCATTTACACATTTTCTTTGTTAGGTTCATTAGGATAATCTTATTGAGCGATTATCAAATATACTTTCCAGGAACAAGCGACGCCAACCATGCCAGGTCGCAGGGTATTGGCTTTCAGCAGGGAGAAGCATCCCTACCCAGTGGTAAGTCCATGACCCCTTTTGTATTGACATGCAGCTTCCTCTCCTTATTAGTTTGTTGTTGATCGGCTGTAAGATTTTTCTGGCAGTTGTTCTGTTTGAAAAGCACATGGGAACATCACTTCGAAATTTGCCTCCATCTCTGTGGCCTCCGCCGGAGGGTGGATATCCACCATTGCCCTTCATTGATTGGGGATAGATGAGCTGCAGGATTGGTCTAGGGAGCTTATACTTCTGGTCTGTTCATGTGCTTTTAGATGACTCTCTATTGCCTGAAATACATTCTTGCTTTCCTTACTGCCATTGCTTAAGTTTCATCCTGAGAATGATTGGCCTAAAACATGGGTTGATGTGCACTTATGCCAATCATCAATCTATGACTGTTTATTGGATTGAATGTAGAGAGAGGTCATTTATAGACCTTAGTGTTCTGTGCAACTGGGATTTCGACAAAAGAATAGAAATAAATAAATTAATAATGAGCCTGCAGTAATATCTAATCTTGTTTAGCTATTTTTCATCTGTTACGGGGCATACTTATCATCACAGTACATATCTAATTCTGTTATTAGCATACAGACCATGACGTGTGATATAATAAAAAGTATATTTGCTGTTTGGAAAGATTAAGATTTATAAGTTACATTTAATGAACTTATTTAGTTTGTAGGGTCGATGAGACATGAATTATATCATTCTAGGACATGACAGTCGAAACCAATCGATGCAGTGAACTCTTGGAAATAGTCGTAGTATATTCTACCATGTAAGTACGTGCCTTTCCCTCAGCTATATCACTTATTATTTGAGTTCTGCGATATATTATGCTACTGCATATTTCTTGATCCTCATGTTTATTTATACTCAATAAGGATAAATTAATTTCAATGTTATAATTTGCACTTGAAAATCAATTTAGCCTTAGAGTAAACAACCCCTACATGATTTGAAATATATAAACGTGGAAATGACAACTACCCGTATCACAATACGTAATAACATCGCACAATTTAGAGAGAATAAACATGAACCATCCACATATAAAAAACACGAAACAAAAACAATAAACATTACTCTTCGATCCTCAAATGAAAACACCCATAATCATAACGTGACATATGATCTAACTTTTGCTTGTCTCTCTAGTTCCACTGGAGATGCGAGGATGCATAAAGAGGGTTTTGCAAGGAGGTAGCTGATGCTCCCTTCTTCCTTGCAAACAGCTCGCCAACAAGTGGAATGATCGGTTTCTTCTTCTTTGCTGCTGCTGCTTTCCTCTCCTTCTTCTTCCCCACAAACAGCCCTTCATTTTCCCCAATGCTCAAAATCTGAGCCAAACGTGGCGAAGGATCACTGCTCTCCATCCTCAAATAGGCATCCCTTTTTTTCTCCTCCTCTCTTATTACATCCCCTGCAGCTTTCTTGGCCATGGCAGCCTCTGCCAGCGCCAGCTTGGACATGTTTTTGTGGAGCTCCGCATTGAGGGAGGCCAGCGCTACTTCAGTCTCCGATTCCCGTTCCTTGAGCAGCTTGAGCTCTGCCTTGGTGTCCTCCAGCTCAGCCTTAAGCTTCTTGACGGTGTCTGAAAGTTTTCCATCGAGGTTGATGCTGTAAGTCGAGCCCCTAGGGCTTGAATAGTTGGAATCGTGTCGATGATCCTTGTCATCTGTTCTTGGGCTTGGTGAGTAAAACGGGGTTTCTTTCTTTGGGAAAGTAAAGGGTTTGGGGTTGTGGATTTCGGGTAGCAAGATACGTTCCCCAAATATGGCGACTGCCTCCTTGACGGAGCGAAAAGGCCGCGACGTGTCCACATTGGAGTGGTAGTCGACCGCCGGCCTCTCCGGGAGATCATCATTGTCAGGAGGATTGGATTGTTGTTGTTCTTCCATAATAGGGGGTGGTTAAATTTCAGTATTGGAGGAAATGATATATGGGGACAATATGGGATAGGAGCATATGTATGTGTGTTTGTGTGGGGTTAGTTTTCTTTGCTTATAAGTCAAAATTTAGAGGATATATGAAAGGGGGTGGGGTGGGGTGGGGTGGGGGAATTAGATCATATATATCTTTTGTATATTGTTGGTATTCTACAGTAAGCAGCAGCAGTTTCTGCTGGTATAGTTAGGGTAGTGAGATACTGTGATTTGAAAGTTAAGCCAACATGGGATTTTGTAGGGGTTGTAAGAAGTGGACAATTCAACCACCACAAATATATGTGTTGTAAATGATTGTTATAATCATAACAATTATAGTAATCCTAGGAGAGATCAAAAGCTGAAGAACCAAAGGTATATAATTGGTCTCTTCATTGCAACCTACCATGCTTAATCAAATCTCAATTCTATCATGTAGAGGGTAAATGTACCCATAAGTGCTTCATCATCTGCTCCCAAGACGTTTACTTTTGGGATTTTGAAAATTTTTAGTAATGGTAAAAAATTAACATTCGACTTGTAAGAGAAATACGTATTTGATAGGATGTTATTGAAAAAAATTACTGTTCATGAACAGTACTAAAGTTTCAAAAATATTTTTAGGATCATTCAGATTATGAAATCATTTTGTGAAGCTACATTTATTAATTCTTTTTTCCTTTTTTTATAACATAGAAACATGCAGCTTTTACTCGACGAGTGCACTCTAGGTAAACTCCGGTCGAATCTAATATCTGCAAACTAGGTTCATACTAGGCAAACCATATGTGGCAGACAAGATCTGGAGGCGTCGGATATAATTTTATTATGACATTCTTAAAAATGTGAAATGCGGACAATAGGAAAATAAGACATTTTTCTTTAACAAGAAGCAAATTCATATCTTTCATATGCTAGATGCTATCAATGTTGATTATCCTACTTTGATGTAAGAATTTCCGAGGACGTCCAAACAAAAAACTTCTAGTGAAGCCAGAGCGAGCGGTCGTATTGAGCTCTAATTTTCCTGTTCATTTGACAAGCCTTTGTGTATGAAAATCCTACTTTCCACAAAATCTTTGTAGGGGTTTGGGTTTGGGTTTTCGCCATTCACTTTTGTGGCTTGAGGTTGAACGCCCGACGTTTACTTGTTGATTTGCTTCAGAAGGCTGGAGACAGAGGCGCAATGCGTTGATTTATATTCACATTGCTCGCAGCAATACTGCAGCAACTGAATGACTTTGACACACCTACAATACAATACAAATCACCTCAGAATCCTTAAAATCGTGATTACTGCTCAAGGAAAATGCAACCATCAGTTTTAGGTATTAACTACGAAGCTAACAAAATAGATGGATAGGATAAATATCTTAATGACGGCAAAAACATCTGTTACGACATGTTGATGGAGAACAATCCACAACAAAATCAATCTCTAATCTAACATTTAAGCGCAATGCTTTGTTCTTAAGTACCTTCCCGAATATTTAGTCAAACTCTTCTAGATCAAGTGATCAGATACCCTCAGCTTAATATTCTAGGGAGATTAAATAGTAAACATATGAACGAAAAATGGTTCAATATCACTAAATGCGATTGAAAACATTTATCCTCTATCATCTCGGGCAAAGTCCTAAAACTCCCTCCTAATATTTGATCATTGCATATATCTCCATTTTGATTCATCGAAAGAGACTGTGAAAAAGGCATTCACATGGCTTGTAATGAACATCGACATTGTAATGTTTAGCAATTGGAATCCGCAAACTCGAATCAACTAACCAATGTAGATTGGTTTTTGAATCTACCCCTGTATCAATTATCACCATGTTTCTCTTCATATATAAATCATAACCATGTATTTAGTCTACCTGTGTTTTCTATAGAATATTTTTCATTCAAAACATCAAGATTCAAGAACATCAAAATCCAAAACATACAAAAACCAAATCACATAATAAACAGCCTCACATTTCCCCTCTCTTCACACATGATTATAAATAGCATCAGTAGCATGTTCTAGATTGAGGCAGCCATGTTTTAACAGCTTGAGAGTTACATAACCTAATTAAACGAAACATCCAGAAGATGATTATAGAGCTGTAATTCCAAAACAAAAATGAACTCTAAGTTGAAATCAAACTAGCAGACAAGACGAGATAGAAGAAGACACTTTATATACTTACTTTTGTGGTAGGAAATTGTTCTTGGAGAGACAAGCTTGAATATCGCAAGCTTGTTTCTTACAGGGCTCTTTGCTGGCCTGCGCCATTCCTGATTTGTCTGGTTCCTTCGTTTTTTAAATCGATCGAGGTCTTGAAGATTGGGCGAAAATTCTTCAGTTCTTCCAATCGATTTGGAGATGGGAAGGATCACAAAGTCGGTTCGTATCGTTGCGTGGAGACGAAGCTCGTCGGCCGGCCAGTGTTCCGATTAGTTTGGCTGAAGATTCCCGTTGTTCAGAACCGACTTTGGGATTTATAGATATAGATGTTAAAACGGGTTAGCGGTGGGCTGGCCCATAATATTCCAAAATATAAGTGGGTCGAGATAAAATTTAATAAAAAAATACCGAAATATTGAAATACTCCATATAAACAAAATAGAACAAATATTAAAATTTTGGTACAGTAATAATATACAAGGCAAGGCATGTTTGGCAATTAGCTGATAACTGTTATATAATTGTTAGCTGATTCAATTAGCTTATAGTTGTTAGCTGATTTAACTAGTTGATTCGATTAGTTGTTTGTGTTAAAATGTTTGGTAAAATAACTGTTTGATATTAGTTGTTTATACTTAAAATGACAATTGATGACATTTCTATTTTATTTTTATTTCTAATATGTTTTTTTCAATTTAGAATATTTAAAATTTTTTGTTATTAGTTATTAAAAATTGTAAAAATGTTATAAAAGTATTTATTTTTATTACAGTTAGATTTTAAAAATAATATATTTTCATTAAAATATATAAATAGTTTTTCTATTGAAAATGATGTAAAATATAAAATAATAAATTTTTCGTGTATATATTTATTATGTTAGTTATAGATTAGTTCATTATTTTTATAATTTTCAATAAATTTAATTTATTTTTAGTATAAAATTTATATAATGTAATTTTAATATAAAAATAAATTATTAATATTTATATTTTCTATTTTATGTTGATTTTAATAAATTTATATATTTTACAATTAAAATAATTTTTATATAAAAATTAATTATTTTAAATTTATAAAAGTAAAACTATAATATAATAAAATATTATAATATAATTAATAAATAATCAAAATATATTTATTTGTGTAAAATGTATAATAAATTTTTAAAGGCATATAAGGAATAAAAATTTTTTTTACAGAAAAAGCTATTTCAAAACGTTGGGTAAGTTATAAATTAGCTTTTTGGGTCCAAAAAGTTATTCAAAAAACTAATTTACCAAACATCTAAATTAGTTTTTTGACTGGTCAAACAGCTCAATAAGCTAAAAGCTCTTCAAAAAGCTATTTGTCAAACACCCCCATAGTTTTGGTATATTTGGTATGCCAAAAATATGGCATGCCGTTATGATTTTTCGATATCTTATATATTGATATTTTTGGTATATTAATATCAAAATTATTAATTTTTAAAATTTTATTTTGTTGGAGACTCTCGTTTGCGGACATATGATTAATGGTTGTGTTTCCCTAAAAGTTCGCGCTTTTAGGTGAAACGGTTATTCAACACTCGACATGTTATCAGAGTCTGGCTAGGTCTCGAGTTATAGTATGGGTTGGGTTTGGCACAGAATTTAATAAATATTGGATAAAAAGTACGGTAAAAGACTTTTTTGCCTTGTGAGTGTATTAGTGTAAAAAGTAGTGGCAATTGCGTAATAATAATGAAAAAGTAAGGGTAGTTTTCTATGGTTATTTATGAAAATGAGACTATTGTTTTGAGACGGATAAAAATGATAAGCATGACTATTGTATTCGGACTGAGGGAGTATAAATTTTTATATAGGAGTTTTAACAAAAATAAACAACTAGTTTCACAATACGTCGGCCCTTTAACTATAATAAAAAAGAGTTTCACAATCAAACAATAATAGTGCATTTAAATATGTTTTTTCATGATTTATTAGTAGCAGTTTTGAAATTAATTTAAATAGGATGTTGATTTAAATTTATTTTATATTTTGATATAATATTTTATTGGTGGGCCAAAAAATTGAGGCATTCGCTTTCCTTCAATAGGCTAAGAGCACACACAGTGGCTCGATTGTAGAAGTCTTCTCCCAAAGCTTTCTCTCCTTCGGGCGAAAATAATAGTCCGCATCAACTTTTAAATCGACAGCCGAAAATGGATGTAAAATGGCAGCATGGTCTTCTTTCTCTCTCCCTCTCCTCCAAATCTAGTTCGGAAATTCACCTGTCTACCGACTTGTGGAGTTTTGAGGATTTCCGTCGGTGAATCGCCGATCGTCTCGCAGTCGAGATTTAAATTTGTCGAGTGTTGGGTCTTTAATAGAAGAGTCGATTCGGTTTGGAAATAGTGCATTTGTGCAAGAAAGCGTACTATCGAAAATATGAATAGATGGGAGAAATGTTCTCAATATATATATATCATTGTGTGGATTATGTGTTGTCGGTTTATATTTATAGATATATTGTATGAACATATTTTTTGTACTGAAAATCAAGAATGGTATATTTAAAATATGTTATATCAGTTCATACTTATAGATGTGTTGTATAAATATATATTTTTTTTTATTGAAAGTTAACGATGGTATATTTTGTCATTTTATGTATTATGTTTGTGTAATGTTAGTATAAATTATGTATTGTTTGTTATATACTTGTGTAAAGTTCATATATATATATATATATATAAAGAGAAATGATTTATTTATTTATTTTATTAATTTATATGTACTATATTATGTTATAATATTAATTGAAAATTATATAGAAAAATTTGGGGTGGATGAACACATTGTATTATTAAGCAAATGCATCTAATGGTGTAGCTCTCATACACAGCAAGTGATTCTTTTATATTTGATGCATTTCTCCCATTGGCCATTGAGGAATGATTATATGGGTGCAATTTCATATTTTAAATTTTATTTTATTGATATATTGAAAAGAAAAGAAAAGAAATAAAACACACAAACAAAACACATATATTGGTTTGGAGTTAGTGTCTCATATTTTAACTATATATATATATTTTTATAACATGAGAACTCGCAATCGCTACCCGAAAGTAAGGATTCAGCACTCGGCCGAGCTTAATACTCTGCAGACTAAACCCAACAAGGCAAGTCATATTAGGCGAATCATGTGTGGCAGATAAACCCAGAGCATCGGGGTTTGAATCCATGACCTTATAGTCACAAGTTCACTCCCCATCCAACTAGTTTTCTATTTTTCATTTTAGATAGTGTAGTATATAAATATTTTCATTTATTGAAAATGAACAATTTTTTTTTTATTATATTTAGAATAAGTGAATTTTTCTATGTTTGTAACTTGTTATCCACCATTTAATTATTAATCACAATCTAAAAATCTTCTATTTGAGATGGATGATTTAGAATCATTATTATAGCATATAAATGAAATTTAACATTTTAAAGAAATAGAACAAAATCAATATATATCTCTCTACTATATAAACCCATTTAACATTTCAAGTTTAATACCAAATTGTCCAAGAAATTACTTCAAGAAAGTGATTCCATTGCACACACACAAAAAAAAAAAAAAAAAAAAAAATCATCATGAAATTTAATCTCAATGCAATTATTTTGTTGTGTCTTTTAGGTTTTGTGTTTAGTTGCAATCAAGAAAGTGATGTGATTGTGGGAAAACAAAAAGTAAGTTTTTGTTTATATTTTTCATCAAATCGTCTTATAGTCATTTAAAAAATTTAACTTGTTGTATTATTACAGGCTAGAAATTATTGCATTGTGCGATTTGGCGCTTCGGTCGATAAGTTGCAGGGATTTATTGATTTCTCTTGTGGAGTCGTGGATTGTTCACCAATTCGATTGGGCGGTGCTTGCTTTAATCCGAACACCATAGCATCGCACGCAAACTATGCTTTAGATTTGTACTATAGATTTCGCGGCCAATGTGACCCTCAGATTGGAATAATCACAACCGTTGATCCATGTATGTTCTTCATTTTTCATTGATCTCACTATATTTTTTTGTCTAATGTACATGTTCTTGCTTGATGATTTAAATTTTGTGTATAATGTTAGCCTTTTTTTTTTTTTTTTTCAGCATATGCCGGGTGCACCTTTCCTTGAGCGCGAAAGTTGTCGATCACCGATACACATAGGAGGATGCTTATTAATAAGAATTTTGTATTTGTTGAAATGTCGAATGGTACACTCCTAGAGTCATGAAATTTGTATTTTTCTTTTGAAGTTCAAAAAAAGAAAAAAAGAAGTTATAATAACCTACAATTTAATATGGTTTCTATATTATTATTATTATTATTATTATTATTATTAAAGGCAGCTGACTTTTATTTAATATTTACTATATATGTGTATAAATATTATAATGAATATAGCCCAATTCATTTATAAGTATTTTATCTGTTCATAATAATAATATTAATAATAATAATATTAAATATAGCAATAATATTATTTTTTTTCATATACATTTTATAGTGAAATATATATGTGATATTAATTTGGAAAAAATATATTAACATATGTTAGATCATTCCGACTCAAGAATTGAAATTGTTATAATATTTATTTATAAATGTTAATACAAAAGAGAGAGAGAAAAAAAAAAAGAAATACGGCATTAAATCATCTCTTCCCAAAAATTTTATTCCTTCTATTCTAACAAACAAAATTGTGATACATGAAAATAGAAAAAAAAAAAAAAAAAAGAGAATATAAGTACGATTTAGAATTTATATATTTTCCAAATTATATTTTATTACTTATCAAAATTTCTTTTTATATAAAAAAATATATATTCAAAATTAATTTTTATTTTCATTATTATATTATTTTACCATCAAAATATACTTTTATTTTTTAGAATATCATATTCAAATACTATATACATAAAATCTCACCAATAATGTCATGTTATTTGCTAAAACAATCTCATTCTAATACCAAAATATATTTTAATTTTTATATAAATTATAAAAATATCAAAATTATTTTACATATTTTTATTATCTATTAAAATATTATTATTTTTTCAATTTACCATCAACTCTTAAATGATTCAATTGAGACGAAAAAAATATTATATAAACAATTAATTATTTTCTAATATTTTTTCATTCTAAAAGCTATCAAATTATTTGTGTCCCATTTAATTTATTATATAAAAAAAATATTAAATCAAACACGTAATTTATTTTATACAAAATCTTAGTTCAAATAGGATATGTTTTTTTTTATCAAATCTTTTACCAAATTTATGTTACAACATTTATTAAAAAATTTCTTTAAAAACACCCAATCAAATATTTATTTTTTTACTTTTTATATTATATTGGTGAAAATTAATTTTATATTAAAAAAACATCAAATCATTTTAATACAAAATTTTTAGTATCCAAATTCCCAGATAAAAAGTTTTACTCATATCTAACCCCAAACTGAAATGACTAACCTTAAATAACATTTCCAAATTTCCACAAACCCTAAATATTTATCTCTCTGGGTTTTTTCACATCGCTTGTTCTTCCTTCCAAATTCTTTTAGGACAACAAAGGTTCGTTTATGACTCTTTCTCTCCATTGTATTTTATGTGATATAAATAAAGTTAACAAATACTCCATAAACATTATATTGCAGTCAAAGTGTTTGATGAATTGCCTAAATAAAATGCTTATTTGTTTAACTATATATCCATCATGTTATGTTTCTGTTTACATCATCTTTAACTGTTTAGTACTCATTTAGTTTCATCGAATTTGGAGTCTGCAATGGTCTGGCTTTATATATATATAGCATATAGTAACACTACTGATTGCATTGCATGCCAAAGAAACCAAAAACCAAACTCAAAAGTGATCAAGGTCATGTTTTTATTATAATTTGGAGTTTTTATTTAGATTTTTTGAATAGTTCTTTTTATTTGAAGAAACAAAATAAATAATATTATTTTGATTGAAAGCTGAAACCTAATAATATAATATACAATAATATAGAATAAAAAAAATAATTTCATGTAGAAAAGAAAAAAGGAATATTATTTTGTATCAAAAATTGATTAAACTATACTCCAAAACAAGCAATCATCAATCATCAATCATACACTTATATATATATATATATATATATAGAGAACTAAATTCAAAACTTAAACTTTGCAGCAATACTAAAATCACAAACAAACAACCAAATCATAAAAATGATGTCTAATGCAGCAATCAAAGTGCCAAACCAAACCACAGTTAATCCAATCCAAACACAACAACAAAAAGCAATAAGTATACAGTTCTTCGATGCTCCAAACATTACACATAAATTCAAGGATGATAAGTAGTAATCATATTCTTGTAAGGTTTCAAGCAACACATAACTCAATTCAATCGATCCTCCTTCCTTAATTCGACGATTTCTTGTACGAGATAACCGCGACATTGTTTTCCCCGAACGACACACGGCGCGCCTGTAAGAAACACAGAAACAAATCAGTCCCCAGCGCAACAATTTTCAAATGTATATGAACACAAACAAGATAGTAACCTCGACTGCGCGTTGCGCTGACTCCTCGGATTCAAACTCGACGAATCCATAGCAAAAGCCATTCTGCCAATGAATTGTGTTACATTTTGCAGAATTTCAAAGTTGCATTTGATTAATAATGAAACCAAGAACTTAATAACAATAATACTATAAACTAATAAATATAACTGAATAATATCGACTTAATCACTAGATGATAGAAATTTAATCTAAACCATAAACTAAATATGTAAAATACATCAAAAAATTTGTTAGGGACGAAGTAATCGAAATAAATAGAGCGCAAACTGAACCTAACCTTGGCACGGCAGATGAGTACGCTATCGAGACCATTTTTAACTTGTCCAAACTGTTTAACAACCTCCAGAACGCTTTCTTTATCGATGTGAAGCGGCAATCCTCCCACATGTATACTCTTATCTACAAAACAAAAAAACTAAAAATTTTCATACGATAACACATGGATATTTGAACATAAAAGAAGCAAACAAACGTGAGCATTCGCAATCGAACCATTTGAAAACTTGAAAGACTTATAATTGCTTGGGCGCGATACTGATTTCGATAAAGGGGTCCATTCTTTATCATTAACATCACTAGCTCCATCCGAATTTTCGACTCTTGGGGAAGTAACTGCTTGAAAATAATTATTTGGAACTATTCTACGAGTTTGGCCAGCGCTCGAAGCTTTCCCTCTCGACAGCTGCAGAGAAACAATAAATATTTTTCGCGAGAGAGGACTCAACATAATAATAGTAAAAAAAAAAGAAAAAAAAAGTGGAGTTTAAAGCTCCTGTTAGATGACTCACAATCGAAGCGTAGCTAACCACAGGTTCCTCGACTTTTTTTGTATCTTCAACCGCAATTTTTGGAGATTCCTTCGAAATAGGAAGATTGAATTTGTTCTCATTAGAGTCTTCAGCAGGAGCTACCGAAATATTGATTGCTACTTGAAAAGTAACGTTATTGTCCGGAGAGACATGAACAGCTGCCATTTTTTTGCTTTTAGCCGCAAAATTATTGTCTACCTCTTCCGTAGAAAGAGAAACAATGTCTTCTTCCTTTGTGTCGACATTTTTAGTTGTCGAAATATCAACATTGTCCATCAAATTATTACTGTTTAGCACCGCGAGATGGCTAATTTCTTCGGCAACATTTTCATCTTCGATTTGGGGAAGTCCTTCCCCTTTTTCAGCCATCAAAAGATTAGTTTCTTCCTCGGACCCTTTGTTGATTTCATCGTTATTAGTTTTGATTAGATTGACATGGTCGCCGAAAGCCGGATCAGAATTAACATTGTCATCATTGATCACATCGTCAACTTCAGCTGCATAAAATGTACCTAATAAGAACAAGATGAACATCGAATCGAAACATATGTGCATATGATGATAAGATTTTTACCAGAATTCTCTGCAATAGTTTCAACTTGATCTATTATTGAATTGTTTCCATTCACAGTCATATCAGTCTTGAGCTCACAAGGAGTGATAAACCGAAGAACGTCGTTTAGAATAAAATAGCCACTTGGTTGAGTAGCTAGAAAAATCGTCTGGCTAAAAATTCTCTCTACTTCATCTTCCCCGGTCGACACTCCGATCACCACAACAAGAACACCTCCATCGGCAGAGTCTTGCGCAACGACGGACGTGATCTTGACAGATGATTTCACAAAGTTCGATGAAATAATCCTGTCATTGATCTCCTGAACCAAAGTAAGAGAAGTATTGACATGAGTCATAAATGTTAAAAGCTAAACATCAATGTCGATGTTCCGAAAACCCTTTTTATGGAATGATCATAATACTTTTTGGATATTGAAATTTTTTATCACGTAGAAAAACCATTTTTGTTCGATAAGATACCAAAGTGAATTATACAAGTAGTAAAGCCTCTATAATGAGTGGTCATTTAACTTAAACTTTACTCATATTTTCCTTTTTCAAAGAAGTCGCCAAATGCGTGTAGATAAAAACAAACGAAAAAATTTAATCGCAATGAATTAATAAACTTGGATTATCACACTAATAATAAATACTCATATCTCAAAACGTTATTTCACAATCAAGACAATTGGTGTAGTCGACATAAATGTTGCTTGTACCTTTTCCCAAAAAAGTTACTAAAGTGCATAAATAACAACAAACAAAACCATTTAATCGTGATGAATTAATAAACTTCGATCTTAAAACTAATAATAAAAATCCATATTTCTTAACAAATTCCACAATAAAAACAATTGGCTTACTTGACATAAATATTGCTCGTATTTTTTCCAATAATATTACCTAAAGGGCATATATAACGACAAACAAATCATTTAATAATCAATATATCCGACAAAACATAAATTAGTAAACTTCACTCATTAAACTAAAGGTTTGCCCTCTCGATATTTCAGCTTTCCTCCAAGAGGGTTACATCCAACATCAAATATTCATACATGACATAACATCCAATAACAAATTAACCTAAAAAAACATCAAACCTCCAAAGCGCATATATAACATAAAAGGCGAAAAAAACACAAATCTTACGACAAACACATTAAAAATACTTGTATGAGATATCGTATATATTCGCGAAGTCCTTACCCTCAAAGTCGTGACCGGTGTCACAATCCCACCGGTGTGAGGCCAGCCGAGGGTGCTGCAATCCTTATAGAACCTATAAAGCTCGTCCGGTAATCTTTCAAGTGTTTGATAATATTGTTTCACAAAGAAATTGGACACAGTTTCTGCATAATTCTTTGAGATTTGGTCCTCCATGGATTTTCTGCAACATTTAACACACAAAAAAATGTCTAATCCAACCATAAAATAAAACGCTAATAACATAAAACTTCAAATAATAATATTCTTTTGTTTTAAAAAGAGAAGAAAGCGATTGGATATTTACAGGATCAAACTTAAAGGGGAAACAATATCCAAAAAATCAAAAATCAAAAATCAAATCAAAAACATAAAATCAAAACCGCTAAAACCCTAATCTAAATATTTTAATCCTAAATCCATCCCAAAACCTAATCTGCAGAAATTGCTGCACGATAATAAACTTACCAAACAAAAGATTCGAAACCAAATTTGATTCTTCAAATCTGAACGAGAAATATAATATCATCAATCAAAATTCCAATGAAAAATAAAAAGAAAATCAGAAGGGATTAATGTTATATAAAACGATGATCTTGCAGAAGAACACGAGAAAAATACCTTAGAGCGAGAAAGAGGAATGAGAAGTGATTTTGTGATGATTACTATATATCACTCCAAAGGGTTTATTAGACAGTAAATATTATTGTGAATTCTATGGAAAAAAAAAAAAAAAAAACAAAAAACAAAAACAAAAACGTAGTCTTTTGCTCAATAGAAATCGTCAGGCGGGAATGAATTGGGGTTTGCTGTTACACTTGGCAGCATGAAGGGATAGGTTGGAAATTAATTTGAGGGTATTTATTGATTTAATTATTTTTAATTTTAATAATTATTTGAATCAATAAAGATGTGATTAATTATTGATCCGATGTGTATGTACATGGATAGATTTTTAAATTTAAATAGTGATATGAGATTTTATAATCTTTTTCATAAAAAGATTAAGCAAAAAGCTCAACATATTATTTTGTTATATTTCATTTAAAATAAATAAAAATCAATATTATATGAAATATATATATATTTTTTAAGAAATAAATCAATTTAAATACGCCAATATTATAAATTTTGTATATGAGATTTTTTGCATCATGTGGATTACGAGTGATATGTATATTATATATATATATATATATATATTGAAATACTTATATTATAAATATAATTTACCTTAAATATTAATATAACTTTCTGTTGTGATTCCTTTTCTGGGTATATTTATTGTTATGTTTTAATTAATTATTCAATTAATTCACCTAAATTTATTGTAATTAATTATAGTAATTAATAGATGAATAACAATAAATAGGAATACGGAGTCAATAAAGGAAAATTAATAACCTCTAACCTAATATAGTTGAACAAAATAATTATGGTTGAAATATGCTCTTTGTTACTATAAATTTTATACTTTAATATTTATCGTTTTACAAAAATATAATAATTTATTTTTCAAAAATACGTTATCTATATAACAAATATATATATATATAATACCACATAAAATTTTATTGTATAATACCTCATTATGTTATGTAAAATAGAATAGAGTTTTATTTTTATATAAAAAATTCAAAGAATAGGATTAATTATATGCTTCTATATACTCGTGAAAAAATACTCCCTCCGTCCCAGATACCATGTTCACGTGTTATCGTTTTTATCCGTCCCACATGCCATATTTTTTTTAAAAATGATTACACACTTTAATCTCATTTTAAATTTTTTAATTTTAATTAAACTAATTAGTTATCTTAATTTTAATTTATAATTATTTATATTATAAGATAATTATTTTCAGTAATATATTCTTAATTATCTACTAATTACACCCTTCCCAAAATACCGTGCCTACAGTGTAGCAGACAAAGTATAATAATAATAATAATAAAGAACATTGTTAAAATTATCCATTAAAATTAGCTCCAAATCAATTAACGAGTAGACTATAGCCTAATTCTCAAATTAGATATCTTTTATTTATGGTAAATTACTTATTGATTGGAGCAGATCATAACAATATTAATTTATCTCACTCGTCACATATAAAATACATATAATATATAAATTTGTTAGTTTATATTTTTAGGTATGATATTTTAATATATTTATCGTGTCGAAATTAATGATAATATTTATCGTATAAGACTATATTATGTGATACAAATATTCATATGATGCATTTGTATTACAAGTAATTAAAATATTAATATTAATAAAATTAAATTTTTAATTGAATATTGTTTTAAATTGCTCAAATTGTAATTAAGTAGTCACTCATGTGTGTATTAATTTTTCTAAATAATATAATTTTTTATATGTGTATATACACACGAATAGAATAAATATAAAAAAATTTTGATATACCGCATTTATCATACCAAAATAAAATTATTAAAAAATTTTTTGATATGATATCAATATGCATTTTTAAAAGTTTTTCGATTTATGCAATACTAAAATTTTATTAGATAATATAAATTTTCAAAATTACTATTTAGTTGGGTGAGTTGCTACTAGTTCTTGTATTGTGTGGTTGGATGGATAATTTGGGACTTCTTTTTTGTTCCCATTTTATGAATTTATGCTCCCATACTCATCGAGTTGTGATATTAATATATGTTTTGCTTAATAACAAAAGTAAATATTTTTATAATTTTTAACAACTAATAATAAAAATTCTAGCCATAAAAAACACAATTAAATATTTTTAAAATAAAATATAAAATATTTTTAATTATCATAGTTAATTTACCAAAAAGTTTGGCACAAATAGCTAATATATATTCAGCTAATCAAACATAAATAATCGAATCAACTAAATGTCAAATACGTCGTAATTCTAACCGATGTCTAAACACACCAAAAAATTCTTTAAAGAATGTAAATGTGTAATCATATACATATCCGGTTTGGTTGGTCGGACTTAAAACGCTAACAAAATTTAGTTAGGTCGCCTTATATCAATCTGATCCGATTGATAAAAAAATCTTCAGAGTCGGCGCTCGCCATTATCAATAAAAATTTTGCATGGAGACAAATTGAAATATATATATATATATATACAAGCAAACAAAAATGATCTTTTTCCAAGACATATTGCAGCTAAATATCATATTAAAATACTATTTAAACAAAAAGGTTAAATCAATCGATCGTTTTAAATCAATTTCAAACGACGATTATGAACACAAATCAGCAAACCTTTGTCTTAAAGTCGAGGCGAGCTCTGCCTCGCCAATGGCAACCAGCCCCTCGACTACTCTTTGCCGTACCGCGATGTACGGGATGAATCCTCTTCCAGCCATTCTTACAGCAACCTTTCCTGCCAAAACACATCGTCGATCCTCCAAACATCCCTCGAGGGCCAATTCATAGGCCTCGAAATCGACATGCACTCCTTCACTTTCTAAATACTCGATCAATTCTGCCGCTCTCCATATCTCTCTATTGGTGCGCATTGCGCCTAGCACTTTCAAAACCATTTCCTTCCTCGGGCTCAGACCGTGCCCGCCCACCATTTCCATCACCATCTCTACAACCTCGCGGATCTTCCTAGCCTCAGACAGTTCGCCGATCAAGATACCGTAGCTGTCCACATCGGGAATACACGCCTTGCCCATCCCGCGCAGGACATCGACTGCTTCCTGAAATTGATCAATCCTGCACAGAGATAGAATTAGGTAATTGCAAGTCCCGCAGTCGGGAGTGTACCCGATCAACTCCATTTCTAGTAGGAGAGCTGAAACGCTCGTGGATTTCTGGCGACGACGCTCAGCCCATGCTTTGGAAAGCAAGAGATGCGTCTGCGGGACAGGTAGACAGCCGGATCGGAGGATTCGTTGTATGATGGCTAGTGCAAGAGGGAGGGAATTTTGAATTTCAAGAACATATGAAAGAAGAGAGGAATAAACTGCAAGAGGTCGAGATCGAGGTCGAATATGTATAAGAGACTGTAGGATTTCGTCAACCACATTGATTTGTTCGGTGTCTGAGACTCTGGAGAGAAACGAGAAAGGATTTGGATTTCGGCCAACCTCTTTTGAGTCGTTAAAAAGCTCCGGTAGCTTCTGATAGTTCTTGACTTTGATTGCCGCTTGTACAGACTCTTCGAGACACTTTTGTGAAGCGCTATGAACCACCGAAAACTGAAAAAATGAAACAGAAGAGTGAGTAAAAGTTCAAACCTAATAATAGTTTAGATTTATACATTCGAATCGGCATAAATAAGTAAAAGGACACAAATGATGATCACCAAGTAATATTAACGAGCAAAACAAACACCTCGATTCAGTCCATCAACGACTTCTACGTAACTTTTAAATGGAACTAACCTGCAGGAGGGGTCTAGGGATTTAGTTTATGGGAGTCTTAAGTATTTTTCTAGCAGCAAATCAATATTGCAGAAACTTGCTAAACCTACGGAAACAAAAAAAAAAGGTAAGAGTGTGAAGCTCACTCAACGTAGTTCATGAATCTTATGCGAGTAAACGGAAATTTCAAGACTGCATTTAAGTTCATCCTCTTTTCTGCTGGAAACAAGTTTAGAAATGAAACCTTCAAGTAGCTCATAAGTTCCAGAAAGGGTTTGTGCTCAAGAGGCTAGCATCAGGTCTTATAAGATTAGAACGTGTAGATCAAGTGCTAATGATAATATTGTGCAGACAAAGCTTTACAATGCGTCGATTTTGAGATATATCAAGGGTTGAGATATATCAAGGGCTGGTTCACAATGCTCCAATAAGAATTTGAACCTAATTTATCTGTTGCATTCCAAAACATCAGTATGAACAAAAGAAGATATATCTCATCATGAACTGTTTACCAGAGGACTAAAAGTAAGACGAAGTACATTTTAACTGGCTAGATCTCTGATTACAAAGAACTAAAATCTAATTCTAAGTTGACAAAACGATTTTTTTTTTTTTTTTTATATGACGTGGGAACCTGCAGCCGCTACGCGAAAGTGCATACTGGATAAACCCCCGGCCGAACCTAATACCCTACAAATTAGGCCCGACAGGCAAGTCACACTGGGCGAACCATGCGTGGCAGATAACCTGAGGTGTCGGGGGTTTGAACCATGACCTCACGGTCAATTGTGATACAGAATGCTCTCTACACTCTTTACTGAAGTAAAAACAATTGAGTTTGTTCATCCAACAATTTTTTGCTGATACGATTTCCGATGAATATTACTAAAAAAAACACATAATTAGACAATATATATAATATATATACTCTGCCAATTTACAAAAATTAACAATTTAACACAAAATATTATTTTTTATATTACCGACACGATTTCCCACACCTAATATAAGAAATACATAAATCCAAAATCACAAAGCGAACACGAACACACCGTTATGAATGACTAATGAGGTTCCCAGATTACAGAATATGTTACCATTGATTACTTATTGGAGAGGTTAACCACATTTGTCTTTGGATATGAAGCCATAGTAGCAATGTTGATGAGAATGGCAGGAATTATAGAGTCAATATGCAAAATACACATTATTGAAATAAAAATAATTTAAAAGAAAAATAACAACATACTAGAGAAAAGAAAATATAATCACAGCTTCAGCGGGCAACACTGGTAGAGCAATAAATCATAAATGTTGATCAAATTTAGGGTACATATCACCAACACATTTTATATGCCACAGAAGAGTTTAATGACAGCCTAAATTCATCATTCCACTAGCTCAGAAGTATATATGTCGGTTTAATTTCCATCAAACTATACCAGCAATATTGAAGTAGTCATGACTCCATATCCATTTGTTTATTTTATAGTCCTTGTTTTCACACTATTCATTGTAAATTGAAATATTCTTTTCCCCAAAAAACATCTCAGGCAACACCTAATTTTTCATTTAAAACATTACATCTAAGACCTATTTTCCATTCAAATAACGACACCCAACACCTGGTATTCACTTAAACATTGCATCCACTGTCCAACACTCAATTTCTATTAATATATACATTTACATATTAAATCCAAAACATCTCAAAACACAACCAAACACAAGTGAACTCAGATCCAAGATCGTATTTGATTAACACTTCTGAAAAAGGATTGCCCTAATGAATTCCAGAGTTTGAAATCAAAGGATTCTGTGGCAACTGAAGTGGCTAAAGTTTACAGTGCTAATTCAATGAAAACCAACCCAACATTCCATAGTTTCAAAGACCTCAAAAAGTAAGTAAATTAATAAAGATTGAGGAACTCAGGAAACAAGCCAATACCTTGGAGGGTGTGGTCGGTCTTCTAACTCTCTCAAGGTCGGCTAATTCCACGGCTCGTTCTAGTTGAATGGAAGCACCAGGCTTGTGCCGTAGATTATCCACAAGTTTGGTCTGTCCTTGTCCCTTTCGAACCAATACAGCAGAATTTGGACTCCTTCTGGAATCCACAGAGCTGCTGGAAGCATCTGCACCTATAGGAAATGCGGCCGGGGCTGCCTCCAAGAAGTAGAAACTATCAAACACCTTGAGATGAGAAAATACACGGCGCTTCAAATAACGGGAAGATGCAACTACAGCAGTGACAGTAGAGCAGTGAGAATGGCGGAGTGAGCGCAGCATACCCAGGGAAGCAACACAGCAGCAATACCTGTGCTTTCGACATGTGGAAAAGGTTTCGGATCAAAGATCACAACTTAAATACAACAAACTCATCAAAATGAATTAGCAAGTTAGCAAACAAATATGAAGCTATTGGCAAAACAGCAACTGCATTCTAAACAACACCAAAGTTTTACTTTTTTTTTCATTAATATTGAAATAGCAGCACGTCAAAATTGGGCATAAATCAGTATAGAAAACCAGAGTGAAGTAATAGAACAGAAAACACTCCACAAAATGAATACATATATATATATGGAATTAACACAACAACAAACAGTTTGCAATTGCCCATGAATATAAATAGAAACACCGTAACAGCATAGGCAACAGAAACAATCAGCCAGAACTGATACCCATATGTTAAAAATGAAGTATCAAAGTTGTGTGACAGCAAACGCTCGGCGTAGAAATTGAGTAACATAAAACAATTCAAAACTAGTGCAAGAATTGAACTTACAAAGCCTCCGGCAAACGCAAACAAGAAGACGACGAACAATCGGTTCCAATATTCCTCGAACCGGCGGTTCAGCGTTTTCTTTATTCCCTTACTTTTTGAGGAGGCAGATCCCTTCTGCGGAGGAAGAAGGAAGAGAATGATGGGAAGAAAAAAGAAAAAAAAATTATAAAGAAGCATATCATTATTCAAACGGTTAAGGGTGTGTTTGTTTGGAGTTTGGATTTTGAGTTGGGATTTGAATAGTAAAAGTTTTGAATTTGAATAGTTGTATGATGTAATATACATAGGTGTTGATGTGATGTTGTGATGTTTTGAATGTAAAATTAATTTTTAGTATAATATAAAAATTAAAAAATAGGTGTTTGATTTGATGTTTTTGAGGAAAAAAAATTTAGATGAACAGTAGAATTTTAACAAAATCCTATAAATGAAAACACCCTAAAAAGAAAAACGGGTCCGGATTACCGGATTTGAGCGGCGGATCGGGTCATAGATCGGTTCGGTGGATCAAAAAGCCAAACATATCAACATATATGCTAATTATTTACAAAGTTTAATTATCTTATTTTTTGCCCTTGTAAGTAAGTGTATTAGGTAAAAAGTAATAGTAATTGTGTAATAATATTTTATAAAGATATGATTATTTATGAAAATAATACTATTTATTTTGAAACGAACAAAAATGATAAATAAAACTATTGTATCGAGAGACAAAGAGTAATATAAGTATCAATAAAACAAAACACATTCTCCATTTAATATTTTAAACATCTCAAGCAAACACGACAAATACTTCGGGTGTGTTTGAATGCGTTTAAGGCTTATGTTTAGTTTTGCTAAGATTACAAATAATTTTAATTGTATTTTTATTTAAAAAGTCAATACTAATTAAAAAGGGATTGCTCGCATAGTCAATTAAATAATTAATTTTTATTTACAATCACAAAATTAATGTAATTCAGTGAATGAATGCGCTGTATAATAATTGGTATTCAACAAATTTTAAGAATGAAAATTTTGAATTTAAACTAACCTAATCCTAAGAAATAATAAAAATTCAAGAACAAAATAAAATATCAGAACAAACAAGAAATAAGCTTATATAATCTAAGGGCATAGTCCAAGAAATAATTCCAATATGAGATTTGCATTGGATCATTGATTTAATTAAAAATAATTATCATGATGTTAATAAACGAGTTAGATAAATAAGTTATGATATCCAATTTTTTTCTTATTGTATAAATAAGTAAGGTATGTTTCTTAATTGTCTTAATTAGGCTAACAATTTTAGGTACGAACCGTAAAAATTTAGTTGTTTAATTGCATTATGATCTATAAAACTATTTTGAATTACATTATTTCGATTGCATAATTCAGCGGATGTAACTACTCAACCCCGTGTATTACTTATTCAAATAAAAGTACAATTACAAATACCCTATTCAAATGATTGAATCAACTAAAATATCGGATCTAAAACATCTATTCAAATCAACAATCATAAGCTCTAAATTCAAGAATTATGCAAATATTGTTCCGTAAGGGATGGCCCGGTGGTGTAGGGGTTAAATTTGTGACCATGAGGTCATGGGTTCAAACCCCCAACGCCTCGGGTCATGGGTGTGTTGGTTTGGGGATTGACCTATTTACATGACATCGTACCACTATTCACATCCAAACCCTAAAAATTATTTATTTTTTAATATTAGTATTATATTAATTTATAATAAAAATAACAAAAATATTTTATTAAATTGTGTGATATAAAAATAATAATATTTTTGTAATATGTCAAAAATTATAAAGATATTAATTATGTTAGTTAGACGATAAATTATTAAATTAGAAAATAATACCCATATTTTAGGACAAATAAAAATGAAAAATAATATTTTTCTTATGAAAAAAATAGAATATTATGTTTTATAAAACTAATTAAATATAATTTAAGTATAAATATATAAAAGTAATATTGGAAAAAATATATATACTTTGGGTGTATTACTGTATATAAGAAAATTTAAATAAAGTATAATTAGTAACTAATTAAAAATGTATTAATAAAATAATTATAATTTAGTAAAAATTATTATAAATTAAAATAACTAAATAGTTTAATTAAAATTAAAAAATTTAAATTTTAAAATATAATTAAAATATATAATTAATTTTTTAAAAAAATAATAATAAATTATGTTGAACGGACATAAATAAAAATTATGGACAAATTATATGAAACCGGAATGACGTGATATGCTTAAATAACATAGCATCAATATCATAATAACTTGTATACAACATACGTCTGACATAAATGATATCCTTGAATTAATTATTCGCCGACTTAGCTTATTAATTAATCATTGACGTGGCATTGACTAGGTGAATTATTCAAAGTCAATGGTTTAACAAGAAACCCGTTGCCTGTGCCCAAAATATATATATATATATATATATATATTCACATGTCGCCACCCTGCCTAATGACTTTATTACAACGTTATATAATTATAATATTAAAAACATGTATATGTAAATATATTTTTTATTTTATTTTTATTTCGGCGCAGTTATTATTTATTTATTAGTATTAAATATATTTGGTCACCAAACGCAAAGAATCTATTGCGGCATGTGTGAGTTAAATAATCAATTATTTCACGTAATTCAAAAATAACAGCAAATTTAATTTATTTGCAAAGTTTGAAGAATAATTATGAAGAAATATGTGCAAAGTAAGCCTCACAAACTTCCAAAATACATAAAATTATTCAAATATAATAAACTCGGAATATTTAAATATATTAGTAAAAAATGTAATTTTTACTCATCTGTAATTTACTTTTAGTTACGTATTGTTGTAATTTGTGTGAATACGGCGTTCTTTCATTCCTTCATCCATGGTACAACACAGCGAAAGCGCTGCAATGACAGTTGTACCTCCCCGATGATGCAATCACAGCCGTTCAATATCTGCAGATGGGAGCTCATCGTGGCCGCACGATTGGACCCTTCTCGACGACCGTTGATCTCCGCTAAGCATCCTTCTAAACGAGCTCAATCTCGAACCCGGACCCAAACTAGGCCCGGTTATTTTGGCCGCCGACGAGCCGTCCGACGGGCCTTCGGACGGCGGAGCCGATGGAGCGGCGGTGGAGACCACCATCGCCTCCCTCGACTCCGCCACGAGCCGCGGCTCGGCGGCGGTCCGGCAAATCGGGCATGTCGAGTTCGTGGCTAACCACCGGTCCACGCAGTCGACGTGGAAAGTGTGTTTACAGTTTGGGAGAGTCCGGGCGATCTCGCCGTCGTCGATGGAGCTCAGGCAGACGGAGCACTCAACTCCGGCGGCGGCTTGCTTGAAAACGAAGACGGGCAAGGCGGCAATGACGGAAGGATCGAGGCCGGTCTTAGGGCGGTCGGCGGCGGCGGCGGCGGAGCTGGGGAGTATGAAGCCCAGGCGGCGGAGGGCGGCCTGCCGCCGCGCCTGGCGGCGGAGCACGCACCTGGCGTAGATATGCAGAAGCGTGACGAGGAGGACGACGAAGGAGAGCGAAATAATGGCGGAGAGCATGATCTTGCCGTTGACGTCGTAGCTTCGTCCATGATCCCGATGGGAGACCCAATCGTCGCCGTCGCCGCCGCCCATGGCGGAGTTAGGGTTTTGTTTCCTTTGTATATGTAAATTTTCCGGTAGGGAGTATTTGGGCGTGAAAGAGAGAAATTCAGATTGAAATCGAAATTGAAAAATTGAGATTAAAATGAAATTGAAATTGAAATTGAAATTGAAATTGAAATGGAAATGGAAATGGAAGGGATTATAATAATTAAAGGGTTATGTAAGAACGGGTTTAAGCGTGGGAGGAGGGTTTCTGTCCATCTCTATTGATAAGGGTGTTGACCGTTGACTCTTTACATAGTATGATTTTATTTAGTTTGGTTATGGTTTTTTTTTTTTTTTTTTTTTTTTTTTTTAGATTACTTTACTTTTTAAATAAGAAATACTCTTGGGCTTGTTTGGATAGAGATTTTTGGAGATTTTTTAAATTTTAAAAATTAAAAAAAATAAAAAATTAATATTTAATTTAATATTTTGTAAGAAAAAAAATATATTTAATGTGATCTATTTTAAAAAATAAATAGTATCTCAAAAGTAAAAATATGTTATGTAAACAGAGAGTCTATTAGTCTAAATCCAAATAGGCCATTTAAATTTTTTCTTTTACATTTTATAGAAGAAGTAGTCTCTCCATATACCTATTTTCTTTTTATATAGTAATTATAGCTCCTAAAAAATAATTATTCTTATAGTTCAATTATTATAATAATAATTTTATCACATCTTTAACTTGCTCATTATAGAATTGTCCATTTATTCGTCAATTATATTACAAATATATAACATTAATATTTAAAAAGCTATATGGAAATATATATATATATATATATATATTATTAGTGATGGAGAATAGTCATTAAATAATCAAACATCATCCCCAAACAACCCTCGCTTTGTTGGTGATACTTGGACTAAAAGTTAATTAGTTTAATGTCTTCATTAATTACCATTGAATAAGAAAGCAATGCTCTCGACTTCTTCCATGTTATGTTTAAATGTAAATCGATAAATAATAGTGAAAGTTGTTGTACCATTAAATGTTGTATTTTTTGGTATCATGTAATTTCTAATTAATATGATATCATATACTATACATATTTTATATCGTAATTGTTCGTCTCAAAATCGCTTAATCGATCAACAACAAACAAATAACAACATCAAAACTTTTACTCAAATAGATTCAGTCACGGGCAAGTAGTTCACGGATTGATCGAATAACTCATGCACGCTGAAAATAATAAAAATACAAATACAAAACACAAAGCAACTATTAATTAATAAATGATTTAGATCTTCACTTGATTGATTAATTTTTGGGTCATTGCAATGTGGATATCCTTTTTGGCTAGGCTCATATTAAATGGGTCGCGTTTATCTATCGTAGTTCATTTGTTGATCGGACCACCCGCAGACAACATCAAGTAAACACACTAAAATAAAATACAATCCAATATTATCAATAGTAATGATATAAAATTTTTTTGTATATTGTTATCATATCAAAATTTAGTATATATTGTACCAACGTTCACTAAATATTAGTATTAATGTATTTATAGTATTATTTTTAATTTTGGTAACTTGATATCTTTAATATAGCATTAATTTCATTGTTTTGATATATTAATTTGCGGTACATATGGTATTCGATATATTAAAAATATAATACACTATGCTGAAAATCAATACAATATTGGTATGAAAATTCTTATATCGTGATTTTTAGTAAGTCGAATGGTTCAATATAATAGCAATATAAAAATGTGTATACTTTACTTTTCAGTATACCAAAACTCATGATACTGAATAGTTCAATCAATATCGGTATTTTGATAAGGGTATATATTGTATAATTGTGAAAATCAAAACAAAGAGACACATACGAGAAAACAATAATTTGGTGACTCAGCTCGATCAAATTGATCTATTGGAGGTGGCCAAACCAAATATTTTTACTAGTATTTTTTGTGCTGATTTAATTTGAAAAATATTACATTAAATATTTATAGATATCATCAAAGACAACTCTAACTAACACACAACTATGTAAACTCTATGAACCGAATGTACAATACTTTTCCAAACTTCAACAAAGTTTTAAAATACTTCGTTTTGTCATTTTAATTAATTAAGAATTTATATACTACAAGTTTTTTAACTTTGGTTTTAAATTTTATTTTAAATAATAGTTTGCAGGCAATATTTGTAAAAAAAATAATATATTTTAATATGATAAAAATAAATAAAATTAAAGTTCAATATAAAATATGTAGCGTAAGGTGCTCACAACACATTCAATATGGGCCCGTAGCATAAGAATCATAAGTCAGGAACATATAATTCTTATTACTACTGCTTCGTTATCAAAATTTATGCTCATTTGATCGGACACATTATTTAAAAAATAATTTTAAATAGAAATTTTTTTCTTTTATAATTAAAAAAAGTAACACATAATTTTTTATAATTAAAAATATATACTTTTTTTATAACCAAAAAAAAAAAAAAACGAGCATAAATTTTGATGACATAATAAGTAATATATATTCATCGGCATACTTATAAAGCATTAATTGTCAACATATGTTGTATTAGTTGAAATATCGATCTATTTATTTTTTATGTAATAAAGATAATACTAATTAACCATAATTTGCATTCTAATACTTATCAAACACTTAACAGTGTGTATTTATGTAGTCATCCTTGAATTTTCTGTTGAATGAATACATTAGACTAATGTGAACTCTAATTTTATTTTTTTTAGTAATAAAATTGTGTATATATAATATATATATATATATATGCATGCCGTGGAAGAAAAGTTTGTTTGTAAATGTTTTCACACGGTATTTACCTATATGAAATTTTACTTTTTTTATTGAAAAAAAAAATGAATTCAAAAAATTGAAAATTACATTCATGGAGAAATAATAATTGAGTATGACTTTTAAGTAAAAGATAATATATTTTTATAAGAAATAGTGAGAAATGAATAGTAAATAATTTTTAAAAATAAAAATTAAAGAGAACATTGGTCTTATTGTCCTTGGAAATTTTTAATTTGTTATCGATATTTTTATAGTAAGAATTCTTGATACAATATGAAATGATGACTTTTACTTTCAGTATTTTGAGGCATGGCGTTATTTATAAATGTTGATGATCATTTCATTTTTATTTTCACAAATTATATCATAGTTATGTCATAATCATTAATTAGTTGAAATTTTAATTCAATTGTAAGGGTTTGTTTCTTTTCTTTTTTTTTTTTTTCAAATTTTACTATTTGAACTCTGTTTTTTTAAAAAATATATATATATTTTCTTTAAAAAAATATATATGTTGAATATTGATTTTTTGTAAAATATATACTATTATATATATTGTAAAAAATAAAAACAAATACTAAGTTAAACAAATATCAGAAAATTATTGAACCAATGATATCTTATATTGAAAATGAATTCAAGAACTATCAAATAATAATTCTTTTATTATTATTATTATTATTATTAAAGATCAAAACACCAAAACACACACACACACAAAAAGAAGCCAAACAAATCCGTTAACAAGAAGTAAAATTAATTAAAGACTAATGCAATTATTAAGTCACTTTCATTAATAAATGATGAAGAAAAAATAATTGGTTAATTAATTAAATTAGTGATTGTATAAGTTAGACATAAGGGCGTAGTTGATTCAGACTGGCACTCGATCACTTATTAATAATGTCCAAACATGTGTGTTTGCCTTAGATTTTTAAGGTTTTGTTTCTACACGGCAGTCTCTCCAAATTTTAGTATTTGAACTCTGCGGAAAAAAAAAAAAAATAAAAATAAAAATTACTAAATATCATTTTCATATCAAATTCAAACAAATAAATATCTTAAAAGTACTATTCAATTCATACAATTTCATAAAAAGTTCAAATTCAAACAAAAAATAAAACAAACTACTGCAATATTTATGAAAAATCTTATTTTCTAACAAATGATATTTATTATAATATTTTAATTTTAAAGAATTTAAATTCATATTCTAGGTTTTAATTGTATATTAAATTTATTTTAAAATTAACAATATTATTAATTATATAAAAAATAATATTTTAATTTATTATTATTAATTAATTAAAATTTATTCTTCATCTCATTTAATTTATCCATTGTTTTAATTTTCCGTGTCCTACTTAATTTATCATTTATTTTTCTGAGAATATAATTATACACTTTGATTCCATTTTAAAATTACTAATTTATATATTTTTATTTTAATTAAATTATTCCATTATTTTAATCATAATTTATAATTATTTTTACTAATATATTTTTTAAACTATTTACTACTTAACTAATAACTAAAACTTATTGTCTAAGCAAAATATGGGAAAATTTAAGTGAAACTGAAGTAATATTATCTTAAATATGCCACAATCAATTGAACTGGGTAGAAGGGTATTAATAATACTATATTTTATATAATTTGTTATTTTTTCTGTGGTTGTTTATTTTATTTTGGTATATATAATTATATACTTTAATTATATTTTAAAATTAATTATTTATAATTTTATTTTTTATCTTAATTAACTATTTAATTATTTTAATTTTAATTTATAATTATTTTTATAATATCATATTTATTTTTGGATAAGTTATTAATCAATTTAAAATTTTTATAATAATCACGAACGAACACTGCAAATCCTTCCTTCTGGATTTGTTAACGGCATTGAAAGAAAAGTGAACAGACTCTCCATTTCAATACAACCAGCATTATTTAACTGCTTTCACCCCCAACACCAATCTCTCTTCCAAGTTCCGATGATGCAGCAACTCATTTTCCGACCACTTCTCTCCGTAGCCAACCGTCGATTCACCGCCTTTCCGACGCCACACTCTCATCCACCTCCAGACCTCCGCCGTCGCTTCTCTTGTTCCGCTTCAATCCAGTACCCGCCGCTCCGCCACCATCGTCAGTGGTCCGGCCTTAATCGATGGCGGCGGAGCACGGTGAACCACGACCGCTATTGGGGCCCCGATGGACCAATCCCAGATTCTAGTGAAAGTGTAACTATCTCTCCTCTCGTTCTCGCCTCTTGCACCTCACTGGCGGAGATGGGACGCGCTGTTCTCTCCACTGCGGATCCAATTGCGAAGGCGAAGCTTTCCCATGCGGCTTATACGAAATGGTGCGTCGAAGGTTTACCGATTGGAGTTTCCGACGCCCCTTCCAGGCCCACTCGCCCTCCTAAACCCCAATTGGTATGGTATCTCACTGTCTCAACTTAATTTTGCATTCTCTGTCTGGATTTCGCGTTGCTTTCTTACCCTTTTCGGCTTTTTAGGGTTAATTGATATTTGATTTGCTTCCTAAGAATCAGCAGCCTCAAATGGTTGGGTCCTTTTAAATTTTATATATTGTTGGGGAGTTTTAGAATGCAGAACAGAGAATCAAGATTGAACAAACTGAAAACTCTGTTGGATTGTGTATAATAAGTACTTTCTTAAAGTTTTAATTCGACCCCATTTCGTTTAACTCTAGGCTAATCTGAAATTATACTCGAGAATTCTAATGAAATTCTACTCCAAAACCGGTAGTTTGATTTGCTGCTTATGTTGTAAATGGTTAGGATATCAATTTAGTAATAGGGTGGTTGCTGTTGGGGTTAATAATGCGACAATCTATGAATGGATGCACATTTTCGTTTAAAACGTGTCCTTAGGAGTCCATTTTGCTTCTGGTGCTGCCCCCTCAAACCCCACCAAAATTCGGGTTTGATATTGTTTCAATATATTAAGAACATGCATTCTGCACATCCTAATTCGTATTGTAGCTCAATACTATATACATTCAGTCACATTAAAATTAATGACAATATAGAGGCTTATGTTATGCTTCATATTCTTTAGTGAATCTTTGGGGCTCTGATCTGTGTAATTTTTGGCTTGTAATTACTCTCCTGTTTGAATTGTATATGTTTTGTCTTCTGAAATTGTGTGGATTTCTTTCACAGGGAAAGAAAGATGCTTTGTTGTATGTTTAATTTGTCAATCAATTAATGGTATATAAACTAGTTGTTTTACAAGACATGATTATTTCATTCATTATATGAATGGGCATCTCATTGGTTCAGGTTTCCCCTAAAGAAATCCCATCTCCGAAAAGCTCTGGTTTACCTCTCAATGCATACATGCTTCATAATCTTGCTCACGTGGAGCTAAATGCTATCGATCTTGCCTGGGATACGGTTGTTCGGTTTTCTCCATATGTTGACTTGCTTGGTGAAGGATTCTTTGCTGATTTTGCTCATGTGGCTGATGATGAAAGTCGGCATTTCACTTGGTGTTCGCAGAGACTGGCAGAGCTTCAATTCAGGTATGTTTAGACTTTAGGTTGAGCTTAGCATTTAGCATTCCGGTTATTGTTCTCCTGACCACTGACCTCATTCGTATTAATAGCTATGGAGACATGCCTGCTCATAATTTTCTGTGGAGGGAATGTGAGAAATCATCTGATAATGTTGCTGCTCGGCTTGCAGTAATCCCATTAGTTCAGGTGCTTGTTTCCATTTCACAACTATAAATGTGCTTATTCTACTAGTTCCACACTATTTAATCGTTATAACAAAACTTAAAAGTTGGAGATACCACTTTTCATGTTGTCATATTGATGTAAAAAACTGTTTATTATTGCCAATGAGTGAAGTAAAAATGTGCTGAAAATTGATGACGACAAAGAAAAGAAGGATTTTATATTTAACTAGTAACAAACACATTTCTCCTCTTTACGTCGTCCGTGTAGGAGGCCAGGGGTCTGGATGCTGGGCCTCGCCTAGTGAATAAACTGGTTGGCTTTGGAGATCATAGGACTGCAAGCATCGTAGAAAAGATAGCCGATGAAGAAGTTGCACATGTAGCTGTTGGAGTTTATTGGTTTGTATCGGTCTGCCAGAAAATGGGCCGCACCCCAGATGCTACTTTCACAGGTTATGTATATGTATTTTTTTTTTTCAGGTTCAATACTATGAATATATGATGGAATCTCAAGTTCTGTTTGTTTATTTATGAATTCTTGTTTGGCAGATATTCTAGATGAGTACAATGTGGAGCTAAAGGGCCCTTTCAACTATTCAGCTCGAGAAGAAGCTGGAATTCCTCGAGATTGGTAAGTTGTTATACATACGTGAGTTCTTACGATGGTAGATATGCAATTATGGTATTGAAACATTTTATATTCTTTTATAGGTACGATCCATTACCCAAGGAAGATGAAAGCAAGCTCTCTGGGGTATGCTGATTCTTGATACTGAAGCTGCGATATATGCTCTATTGTGAACTTTAGTCGTCTTTATAGTTGGTCGCTCTGTTGGTGAGATTCGCCTATTCTGGTCTCATTGCAGGTACACGACAGGCTTGCTTGCATAATTTCGATGGAACAAGAAAATTCAAGTTTGGGAAAGCTATCTAAATGACTGTTTTGCAAATGCAGCATACCAAAGATTTCGTTAAGAGCAATTTTGGGTAAGCAGCATTAGTCTCTCTTACTCTTTATTATTGTTAATATTTTATCGCTTAAAAATTTCTTATTATAGAGTTACATTGTGGAGGGAAGGTTAAATCAAATTATGTAGAATAGTATAATCTGCGGCAATACGCATAATTGAGTGTCAATTCAGCTAAAATGAGTGCAGTACAAGTTAAATATCATTCGGATAAATGATCACTTTGCCTTTACCAAGTTATGTACCTTGTATCTATAGCTTCCTTTGATGTTTTGCCATCTTTTAAAATGGTAAAGTTTGATTCTTTCATTTAGTCGTGGCTGTTAATAGCATTGAAATAGGGTATTGCAGTTTATGTACAGAGTGCCCATAATGGCATTGCAGTCGATAAGTTCGGGTTGAGTGTGAAAATTAGCTTCATCATTGTGCAATTTACCATGATATCTTTAGAAGAAATACTTCTGCAAGTTTGTTTGAAAAAAACAGTTACTGTGTGGATTGCTAAATAGCAATGAAATAGTAGTTTTTATTTGTGTTTTTCGATTGTTTTGGATTTGAATTTGTTCTGAACTAAAAATAGGCATTTGACGAGATCTTTGAAAAGAAAATAGGTTTTGGATGTGAAAGTGTTAAGCCTAAGTTCACTTGTTCTGAAGATAGGGGCGAAAACACTAGTGAACACATCCGCTATAGTCTGTCGAAAATTTTGAATCAAGATGGTTGGAAGAAATTTACGAAATAGTTAGAAAGTACAAGAATAACTATATGTAGTCCATCTTATTTTTGTTCTTTGATGGGATTCGAAATCAAAGTACTTAAGAATTCATCAACAACCTTTACCCACCTGCAACAGGAAATGACTACTGAAATGAACATCAATGTAAATACATTTAGGGCATGTCGGAACAGCAGCGATTAACGTACCAGATGCTTGTTGCAGTGGACCCTTCGAAGAACGGTAGGTGCCCTCCATGTTGAGTGGTGGCCAATATTACATTTCTGTTTAACCTGTCAGAGTTTTATTGCATGATCTACGGCTAAAACGAAAATGTCTGATTTGTTCGTTTTGATAGAGACTGAGTGATATATATATATGCACATACCTGCACTCATCCCATGGAATTGCTTCACTTGTGCAGACAGGATCATCCATGGAGCTAATGCAGAGAAGCGGTACTTCAACTCTTTCTACATAGTTAGCACTGCTGCACTGTCGATAATATGCATCGACCGTCTTGAAAAAAAAAAATGCATGGAGGAATTGGGGATGAATTTTCGCAGATAATATAAAGAATTACAGCTGCGTATTATTATTACCTTACACTTTGCAAGAATACGTGTTGCAGCATCATCGAACTCCCGAGCACATCGTGCCTGTGAAACTTCGAGGTAACCCATCGTTTTCTTGATCTTCTATTCGAAAATGTAGATTAAAGGTAAGGGAGATTGATTGATTACCTTTTTGATACCTTCCCAGTTTGAAACTCTAGAAAGGGTGTCGGCGTGCCTGGAAATAGATCCCCGATTATATATTAACATGATTAAATCGTCGGCAAATATTTTCATGAAAGAAGATGCAATCAAGACGTACAGATTTGCGTAATCTTTCAAGCTCGCCGTCAAGCTTATGCTATACAACCGTTGGACAAGTCTACGCCTCAGAAACCTATCGCATAGCTGGAAAAAAGAAGATCGAGAATATCTATTAGCAGCTGAACCTTAAAACAATCAGCCGTGCAACGACAACATCGACAGGATCCGGGTTGTAGAAGTGGCAACCAAAGAGTCCCAAGGATTGCAAATTGCTGCAGCACCAACAAGTGGAACATTGCTCCCATCTTCCCCGAGATACTTCACCTGGAAATTTTTGAGTTAATTCGAAAAAGTTGCACAAAACACGGGACAATCGATCAACAGGGGAGATGTATCGAACCAGGATATTAGCGCCCACGCTCGCGCCGACAGCAAACAATGGAGCTTCGGGGTACTTCCCGTGAATGTGGTCGATAACTGCTCGTATGTCGTCTGTCCATGCAGCGGTGTAGAAGCGATCCGACTGCCGGTAATAGAGTTTATATAAGATGGTCGGTTGGTCGGTCGTGTTTTAGAACATGAGATGTCGATGAGACTCACGGTTACTGGCGCGCCGCCTAGTCCGCGGTGATTGCTCACGACAACTCGACAGCTGCTCTTCGCCATCCGGAAAGACAAGTGCTTGACATACTGTAGGAGATCGAAATCGAGAAAATAGTTTTAACTTGAAAGATTGGGCCTTTCGACACATTGGAAATGGTAGGGAGCTAGAACTCACCGCGGAATCGGCTGCATTGCCTAGTCCGGGAATGACGATGATGATAGGGCTTTTATCGTCGGCGATGGCGGATTTCAAATCTACGACTACAAGTCACATATATATACGCATTATGTATATGTACACAGTGTTTTAGACGGGTTTGGATGAGGCTGAATTAGCATTCAGCTTGACGTTGTCGATTCTGGTTTAATCGAATCAGCATACGTTATAAAGATAATTTAATATATATATATTTCTATATAATACTAACATATAAGATATTATAAGTGTTTATAATATAGCATATATTATAATATACTCTTTTGGTCCCAAAATAACAGAGATATTTGGGTGAACACTATTGTTTTAAGACTGTATATCATGAAAGCTGATTATTTTTATCAGCATCATCCGATCCATATCCATAATTAATATATATATATATTATATTAAAGAATTGCTTCTTATTACCGCAGGGAGAATTGCCGACCCAATCCAAAGCTATTGTTCCTCCATCGGAGGCTACAAACAGCTGTCTGATAATATAGGTGGAAAAAAAGAATTATTAAAATACTTCTATAAAATAAAATAAATTCAATAAAAATATTTTATTTCTACCATATATTTCTTAATATATATTTATATATTCAAAATTTTCTTTAAAATTGAATTATGTTATGCACACATATATATATTTATTTGGATTACATATAATTATTTCTATATAAAATAACAATAAACTTCGAATTACTTCAAATTCAATATCGATTGATATTAATTACCTTGTGTAGTCGACAAAAGGTGGATTACCAAAATAATGTACAAATGCTGTCTGAAGATGAGGACTACTCAACCATGGAGTCGAACAATACCTATACACATTCGATATAGTATGATACGATACGATACGATAAATTAAATAACTGCACATATATATATATTTACACTTGTTCATATACATGACTAATAATTTGATCATGCCTATGTATATATATATATATATATATATATACCTTCCGTGGAGAAGTTTGCACTTGGAGACGACGCGGTGGTAGAGTTGAGACGAAGGGTCGAATGTAAGAGTGACAGGCTGTCCTCTAAATCCGGTGATCATTTCGCCGAAGAAATGACATTCCAGAATATTATACAAGAGCGCTGCGCATATAAAGCAGAGGCCTAATGCATAATGCCAAGCCGGAATCAGCAGCGCGGCGCGCAACAACAGATGGTATGGAGATTCTGGCGGCTGCGGCGGCGGCGATGAGTTTAAGGAGTTCATTGAGATAGCAAGAAAGTCGTAAGTATTTTTTGGATGTAGGAAGATGTTCTTACGTAGGAGATGTATTATATATATATATATATATAATATGCATATGTGATGTATGAATGGGAATAATTAAATTAATTATTTCAAGTTGGAATTTGTCTTCATATGTTATGTTAAAAGTTGAACCTAAATTATTGACTTATTGATTGTCCTTTTAGTTGTGAAATTTGAATATAGACTAAATTAAATTGAACAATGAAAAATGCTGAAAGTTGACTTTGTAAAAAATTGTCAACCAACCTTTATATTTGTATATAGAATGGAAGCCGGCCTAGACAATAATAATAATAATAATAATAATAATAATAATAAAATCTCGTAGGGATGTCTGGTATGGTAGGAATAAACTCATGATCGTGAAGTTATGGATTTAAATATTCAACTCTTTCAGCTCTCATTTGCTGCACATAGTTCATCTAGTGTGACTCTAGTGTGATTTCACTTTATAAAAATAATAATAATAATTAGTACACTCTCACATTATTAGTATTTTTTTTTTTTGGCCTTTGGCTTTTATTTTGTTTGCATTTAATTTTTTTTAATATTAACCCATTCATACACTAGTTTTCAATATAAATATATAGATTTATTTCATAAAAGGTAAATCAAAATATTATTTATATCAAAATCCAACAAATAAAAAGAAATTCAAGCAAAATGCTGATTTAAATATACTTCGATGTAATATTTTGAAGATAAAATAGTCTATTTAATGAAAAAATGTGTGTAAAAAAAAAAAAAAATAGAAATAACGGCTAAATGAACACACTAAATTTTCTACAAACGTAATAAAATAAGTTTATTAATCTTATTATTATTTTTCGTTGATTGCAACATTATCGAATTGTAAAATTATTTTGGGACGCATAGTTGGAATAATAAACATATAATTAAGCATCATTATATCCAAACACTAGACAATAACTTTCGGATAACACCATTGCTATTGCTGTTTGAAGCTGCAATTTTTGTCGACTGACTTAGTTTTTCCGGTGGATCACTCCGACACCGTTGTTGCTTTTCACAACTTCGGGTGTAGTTGTGTTTTGGACTTGGAGGACCCGGTGATTTTCGGGGGTTATCGGGGGAAAGGGCCGGGTAGCTAATCGATGCGCCATTGGTCGACGTACACAAAAAAATGATGAATATTGCAAGCACAAATAGTAACAGAGTTCTTTCCATATTTTTAGTTAATCACAGAATTAATTTTATAATAATATTGTTAAGAATAGATATCTACTATTTATAATTGATGTATGATGGCCTAATATTGACTAAATTATCAAAAATAAGATATTTTTACTAGCTTTATTACAAAAATCGCAAAAATATTAAAATTATTACATATGAAAAAGAATTTAATTACAAAATTGCTGTAAGAATATTAAATCTTTACAAATATTATAGATAAAATCAGTGAGCTTACTGTATATATATATATATATATATAATACTCCCTCCGTCCACAAATTAATATCCTACTTTTCTATTTGGAACGTCCAACAATTATTGCCCTATTTTTTTTTTTTAAACACAAATTTTACATTTTTACCTTTCATTCATTTATTACTTTTCATCTCTACCATACAATTAAGGGCAAATTTGTCAATTCATAACAAAAAGACAAATCACCTAAAAAAATCGTGTAAATATACTCTAGGATAATATAAATTGGACGGAAGGAGTACATGGATATATATAGGTAGGCATGGAATATGACAATTTAGTTTAAAAATAAAAATAAAAATAAATTTTCACATGTGGCGCCTACGTGGCAGATACGTGTGCCGACATGACACGCTGGTGCTACATTCGCATATCCGGCGTCGAAACATTCTCAAATAACCACAAACATATATACAATAACAATAATTTTATTGCTTCCCTATATAATTATTGTTTTTATTCTAAATCATCGATAAAAACCTTATCGAATTAATTAGGAAATTACTATGGTACATGCATATATAGTCGGGAAACTAATTAAGACATGTATCGGCAAGCTAAGCCTCGACCATTAACTATATTGGAATATCGACAACAGCTTTCGGACAGCACCATTGCCATTATTGTTTGAAGGTGTGTTAATTCTTACTAGCCGGACATGGGTTGATTTTTCGGGCGGGCCGCCCCTGCACCGATCCTCCGGGTTGCAACCTCGGGTATAGTTGTGTTTTGGATCATGCGTTGCATTGTGGGGCGGGGGGTTATCACCCCCGACGGCCGGGTAGCTAATTTTTCTGCCATCGATAACCTGTAAGAAAAAAATGATGAATATTATTGTCAAAACAACAGTTGTTACACTTCTTTCCATTTTCTTAATATACATTCAATTGTAAAATTATATATTTATCTGATGATAATAATAATACATTGTAATTCAATAAGTGAAGGATATTTATACTTAAGTATGAGTATGGACTAACAAAAACTAGATTATTAAGATAAGTGTTTTAACTGTTTTATTTCCAAAATATTGTAATAGAATATGATATGACAAATATTGTAGATGAAATGTGTCATATTTTAGTTTTTTCTAATTTTTTTTTATTTAAATAGAAATTTAATATAATATTTCGTTTTATGAGATAAAATAATACTCATTCTGTTTCATATATATTATGGTATGATTATCTGTTTGTTTGTTGTCATTTTTCTTTTTCGAATAAGATTACATATTTTGATCATATTTTAAATGTTATAATTTATAATTTTGTAATCTTAATTAGAGTAATAAGTTATTTTGATCTTAGTATATAATTATTTGTATTGTACTATAATTAATTTTGCTAATATATTTTTATTTATTTATTAATCCTATACTTTCTAAATTCTTGTATTTACGGTAATTGCGATATTATACTTAAGACGAAAAGAATATATTTTTATGAATAAAAAATTGTGAAAATTGCATATATGTATATATAGAAATTTATAAAAAATATATGGGAAAAAATTGTTTTTGTCTTAATATAACAAAAATTCATCAATTTTGGTCCCAATATAAAAATATTATCAATTTTGGTCTCAATATAACCAAAGCTCATCGTTTTTGTCTCAATATAAAATTTTTATCAATTTTAGTCTCAATATAATCAAAACTCATCATTTTTTGTAACAATATAAAATTTTATCAATTTTAGTCCCAATATAACCAAAACTCATCATTTTTGGTCCCAATATAATCAAAACTTATCTTTTTTTTTCCCACCGTCAACAAACCGACGGAAAATGCTAACGTGATCTTGCAAGATTGTGCAATTTCTTCAAATATAAATATAAGATTTGTGCAATTTCTTCAAATATAAATATAAGATTTGATTTATTTTCACGTCAGCATTTCCGTCGGTTTATTAACGGTGGGAAAAAAAAGATAAGGTTTGACTAAAATTGATAAAAAATTTACATTGAGACAAAAAAATGATGAGATTTGGTTATATTATAACAAAAATGATAGTTTTGGTTATATTATGACAAAAATGATGAGTTTTGGTTACATTGTAATCAAAATTGATAGATTTTTATATTGAGACGATGAATTTTGATTATATTGGACAAAAATGATTTTTTCCCAAAAATTATTTTATTTTATTAAAAAAAATATAAAAACCCTAATCAATCACCCACCACCGCTCCTCCCCATTCCCTCTTCAAACCCCATTCTTCTTTCTTCTTCTCCTTCCTCTCTCTTCCCCCCTTTCTACTTCTGAGCCCTCAGTCGTCTCTGTCGTTCCCTTAGTCCTCTCCGGCACGGCTACAGCGCTGAACTCCGGTCTCGGAAAACGCTGCCGTCGGTGTCCGAGGAGAAAAGAAAGGTAAGCCGGTCGCTTTAATTTCCCTCTTATTCTTCAGTGACATCTTCTTCACCGCGTCGCCAGGGAGCTAAGCCGCCGGAGGCACAAGGAGTCCGGCAGACTTTCTCTGTCCGTTAATTTAGGTGATTTTGTAATTTGATAATAGTGAAAATCTTACTCGGTAATTGTATATATAGGTGGAAAAAACATGTTTGATTGTTGATAGGTGTCGAATTGGTTGGTTTTGGTGCAGACGGTTGGCCTTCAGCGCCGATGAGATCGATTCTGTGAGGCGGTGTGGAGAGGGCAGGATTTGTGACACTGTTCTGAGTGGAGATAAAAAAATCAAATTATTTACGAAAAAAGGAAAAAATTCAGAGAAGTATTGCTTCAGCTAATTGAATCGACATAAGCTACCGAAGCGACAACGAAGAATCAATCTCAAGCATGAAAACACACGTACCGTGGGGCACAGCCAAGAATCCCGTCAAATTCCGCATGTAAATTCTCCCTTTCTTGCATACATGAGTTTCCACTTTCCGTTTTTCGATTGTTTGATGTTCAGATATCTGATCTTCAGACCGACGGCAGACAATCTAGTTCCAATGCGTGTGGACGTTGAGATTGATGGGCAGAGACATAGAGATGCTTTTGTCTGGAATCCATCCGGTAGTTTTAAGGCTTCTTCGTTGCTATACCGTGTTTTGGAACTTTTATTGTCTTGATGATGTTACGACATTGGGATTGTATATGATATGTTGCTTTGATTGACGAATCTTCCTGCTATGATGATTTATACTTGTATTAATAGAATGGGGAATTGGGGCCTTAGTGCTTATCTGTTATTGAGGAAGATTAATTCAGTTGCTCTTTCAGTTTTCGAAATGCATGACTTGCTTAGTATTCCTTTTCGCTGTGGTAATTATTCAAGACATTATTTTCAAGGGATTAAATTTATTGTGCGAGTAATCTACCATGAATATTAACATGATTTGTTTGTTTGGATGCCAGCGGTTAGCTAAGTTTGTGTTTTTTTATAATGTAGATCCTGACTCTGAAGTGGTGTTATTTGCAAAAAGAACAGTCAAAGATTTGAAGCTGCCTCCTGCCTTTGTAACGCAAATTGCACAATCGATACAAGTATAGTATAGTTGATCATTCTTTAAGACAGTACATATTCCCGATATCAATTTTTTATGTCTTGCCATGTTGATTGTCCCAGCTGCATAATGATATGCACTTGTGGTAAATGTGATGTCGCAGTTTTATCCACTGCTACGTTTGTTTTTTTCTGAGTTTTCTGGTAACTCAACTGCACCATTTCCGAAGAAGATAGCTCAATGTTTAGTGTAGGATTGAATATGTCATGTAGCCAATCGAGATATCTTGGATGTTCTAGCGGTTTTGATTGAATAGTAGAATGCTTCAAGTTCATTTGATATCTTAATCTTTATAGAGTCCAAAATGCTGTACCCAAAGATTTTGATCTTTTGCTTATGTAGACTTGTAATTCTCGTGCTAAATTTTGTAGGCACAGCTTACTGAATTTCGATCATACGAAGGACAAGATATGTATACTGGCGAGAAGGTTGTTCCTATTAAGGTTCGTGGTGTTAGATTGTGGTTTCAGTTAGTAACGTTCCACTTTTTACTTTTTTAGAAAGTTAAAAATCCTGCGCACCTATATCATGTGATGATTTTATATCTAAGTTTCTCATTCTTGTTGACGCAGCTTGATCTCCGGGTTAACCATACGCTTATCAAGGACCACTTTTTATGGGTAGGATGGAAATTTCTTTTACCTTTCTCTAGGAAATACAAAAACTTTTTCTCCGATTCTGTCACTGTAGAGAAATAAATTATTTAATTTTCACCTGTCATTATCTATAAGTAGGTTCTTGACTTCTTTTCAAAAGCTTATGATATTCACATGAAATGTTTCTTACCATTTTATTGACAAAATTTAAATATAAAAACTTCAGGACTTAAACAACTTTGAGAGTGATCCTGAAGAATTTGCGAAGACATTTTGCAAGGACTTGGGAATTGAAGATCCTGAAGTTGGAGTAAGAGTTTGCAATTTATGTTGTATAGAATTTTACAATAGTGTGGTGATAAGTGTGCATTATATAAATTTTTTTTTATGAAACCTCTTAATAATACCATCTGTAGTCTTATTTTAATCATTTAGATACTGTGAGAGATATTTAATATTAAATATGTATTTGAACAACCTTTGACAGTGACAACTGTCCACGCACTTTGCTCTTTTCATTACGAAAATAATTTGACTTATAGAGTCATGTTATTGAGTCTACCTGTGTTCTGTAATTTTGTGATATAGTTGTCGGGCCACTGTCATTGATTTTCAACCAATTTCCCTTTTTAAATTTGAATATATTGTTGCTTCTCGAACCTTGTGAATTACCATTATGGTAGAGCTTATATACAAATTAGCAACAAGGGTGTTATAAGTATTCCTCAGGCTCATGATTGTAGGATAATAAAATAGTTGTTTTTGCTATTGGATTCAGGCAGAACTTATATGCAAATTGCTTAATAAGTAATCGCATTTACGTAAGCAATTAAACATTTTTCGTTACATTATAAACACCACATATATGTTGAATGATGCAAACAGCACTAATATGTCAAGCATTAAAGTCACAAGATGGTAACTAACTGATAGATATTATGAATGAACGGTATACTTAGTCGTGGATTGTGAAAAGGCAAAATAGGAGATTTCTTCCTTTAATAAACTATCTTGGCTTCCGTAGGCCACATATTTATCAATTGAATGATATTTGAGTTACGATCCAACTTCTTCCTATTCTTATGGTGAATCTAAAATCCGAAATTATAAAATTGAATATTCTATTAAGCCCTCTCTATGTGTATGTTTCATCTGTGTTATACGTGAAGATGCATGTTTAAAAATAAAAAAAAAAAAACATTCCAGCTCTGGGGGTTGACACATCTCTTTGAAAAATGGGTTTGATCCTAAATCAGTATCCGGTTCACGGATGTATTTATGAAGTTTTGCTGTTTAAGACATGCTTGTTCATGCAGTTTTCTTCTACAGATCAAACAATTACACCTAAATATGTAAAATCTGTATTGCATTTAGGCTGTTTCTAGTAGCTTTCTCACCAATATATTTTTTCCCCTTTGCAAATTTTGTTCCTTGATCTCCTTCTGTTTATTGCACAATAAGTACGCAATCTGTGTTTATATACTGATCTGGCATGACTTTGCAGCCGGCCATTGGAATTGCCATCAGAGAACAACTTTACGAGGTGAGTTTTCAGGACACAGATGTTCATGCCTTTGCACCCCATCCTGTTGATGGGATGATTTCTCGATCATCCGCATCTATTACAACGTTTCTCCCTTTTTCTTTTAGATTGCTGTACAGAATGTGACTTCAGCCCGCGAAAGTAGATTAAACAAGAAAGGACGTAGAGCGCTGGAACATATCCATGCCAGGTCTTCTATGATTAAATCTTAAATCCTTTCTTAACACTCCTCCAAATTGAAAGCTAATAATTCCATGGAAGGATGAAATCCAAAAATTACTTAACTTGGCTATAGATTTTTGCGTACTTTTAGTAATAAAATCTTGCTTCTGTTGCCTCCTTTTTCCATTTTCTCAGCAAAAACAGTGGGAATGCCGTGGACCTGTTCAAGCTATTTGGAAACAAATCTAGTGTCGTAAGGTAAGTGTTACTGCCTTTTGCCTTCAGCATAAACATGTACAGAGAAAAAGGTTGTTCTTCAATCACTGCATATGCTTAACACCACAGATTGCTTTCTTCAATAATTTATGTAATTCTCGAAAACCTTTCAATTGGACTCCCGTTTCTAACAGCATATAGTAAAAGCCCGAATGTGTCCTGTACATGTTTTTTTACGCAACGAAATTCCTAAGCTCTGATTTTAATGCTACTTGTAGGAAGAGGAAGGAGTGGGATGCATATGAGCCCATCGTGGATCTGTTATCTAATGAGGAGGTGGATGCCCTTGAAGCTAAGGAAGAAAGGAGTGCTCGGTAACTATGTACTTGTGCACAATTTGTATGTGTAATACTTTGTTATCATCTTTTCCCTAAAGGAGAAGTTGTATTTGCTTGTTAGTTAGTAGCATCATACTCTTTTTTTGTGTGGATATTCTCCTATAAATTGGGAATCTTTTAACCTTATCATTTATGTTGACATCCTCTTGAGGTGGTATTTTCTACGTACTTGAAAAGGTTTTAGGGGTTTTACTATAGCTCTTCTTACTTTTACCACTTACAGGTCTAGTATTTACATTTTGAGCTAAAGCTATCTTTTTGTCTCATTTTATATCACAATTATCAATTTTGGTCGTATTTAAACTAAAATTAATCATTTTAGTCTCACGATAGCTGACAAGGACTGAATACAACAGGTCATGTTAATTTTAACATGGCCCTGCGGGATAATTCACAATCAATACAACACAAACATGACGGTTGATGTTTTGTTTATGATTGTATTCTGAATTCGGTCATATTTTTTATTTTGGGGATAATATTTTTGAAGTATAAGGATGTCTGGTAGCATAAGATTGGACTTATTAAATCAAAGTTCAGTCATTTGTCACACATGGGAAGGGGAATATTATATTTTATATTAATAACATACAACCACCTTCGACGAGAAATGCACCAGTGTATTTTACATGAATTAAAAAAAAAAAAGAACAAAACTTGGATTTGTTTATTATGAGTTGGTTTGAATTTTTTATTATTTAATATATTATTGTTGAATTTTTATTATGATTTTGTTTATATATTGTTAATAATTATATATATATATATATTATATTCTTTAAAATAAAACCGTATTAGTAAAAAATAATTAAATAAAAATACTCGCTATTTCTTCCATTAACTCAAATACATGATATGCGTATCATATTCATTTAAAAAAAAAAAAAAACTAAATCGCCAACAACTGAACGGAGCAAAATTATCTGACGGCTTTGTCTCGACTGTTTAACACCTCTTGCTTCTTCTTCTTTCAAATTCATGTGAGTTTTCTTCATCCACTGAATCTTTACAACCCGCGAAGGACAACAACGGAATGTAACGATTCTCCCCTCTCTCTCTCTCTATATATATATATATATGTATATATATATACAGGAATGTTAGCAAACTAACAAAAACACATTGCAGTTAAAGTGTTTGATGAATTGCCTAAATAAAACGTTTATATGTTAAACTGTAAAGTGTACTCATTTACAACATCGTTTGGGCTTAGAAGAATCACAGTTAAAAAATATGTGGATTAGTTCTAGAAGCGTGACTGGCGAATGGTAGCTTGAGTTCAGTTTAAAGTGCCAAGTTTGAGAGCTTGAGAAAATTCTGTAATACGGTTTGCTGCTCTTGTGGGTTATCTATTATCATGATTATGTTTTCTTCGATTTAGAATTTATCCACATTTGAGTTTCAACGCTAATGATTGAAGTTGAGTTGTTACAGAATTCAATTTGTTATTTGGACAGTACAAAGAAAACTGCATTTTAGTAATGTTCATGGCTTTTTTGCAGAACCATTGTCGAATAATGGAGGCCCTAAGCAGCAGCTACTTCACCATTAAACCTCAGCCTAACTTACCTCATTCTTTCCATCAAAGGCTTGTGAAATCTCCATACAAGATAAGCTTCAATGGAAGTGGCAATTTGATTGTGAAAGCATTAGCAGCACCACTTCCTCCTTTCGAACCTCAGAGTCGAAAACCGAAAAAATTCCATGAAAATGATGCATTCCCAAACTCTATACCGATTCACAGAAAAAATCCACATGCTATTTACAAAGACATCCGGAAGTTTGCCCGCGAGAACAAACTCAAAGAAGCTCTTGCTATATTAGACTACATGGATCGCTTTGGCATTCCGACTAATGTTACGACATTTTCATCGCTCATTGCTGCTTGCGTGAGAGCCAAATCCATCGATGCGGCAAAACAAGTACATGTGCATATAAGGATAAATGGTCTCGAGAAGAATGTATTCCTCCAAACGAAGCTCGTTAACATGTACGCGAGCTGCGGGTCCATCGAGGATGCGAAGAGGTTGTTCGAAAGTATGAGTGTCACAAGTATCTATCCTTGGAATGCACTGCTTAGAGGTAATGTAGTTTTGGGTCACCGAAATTACCGAGAAGTGTTAAGCTCGTTCTTGGAAATGCGTTATGCTGGCGTTGAGCTGAATGTTTACACCTTTTCTTGTTTGATCAAGAGCCTGGCGGGGGCACGTGCGTTGAATCAAGGTTTGAAAACTCACGGCATTCTGGTAAAGAACGGTTTGTTGGGAAGCTGTATAACAAGGACTAGTTTGGTCGACATGTATTTCAAGTGTGGGAAGATTAATTTGGCGTGTAGAGTGTTCGAGGAAGTCGAGGAGAGGGATGTAGTTGTATGGGGAGCAATGATTGCAGGTTTTGCTCACAATAGATTGCAATGGGAGGCATTGGCGTACACGAGAAGGATGGTGAATGAAGGAATAGAAGTTAATTCGGTTGTATTGACGAGCATTCTTCCCGTTATTGGAGAAATCCTTGCACCGAAAATTGGGAAGGAGGTTCATGCATACGTGATCAAGACGAAAGGGTACTCGAAGCAGTTGTTCATTCAATCTGGTTTGATTGATATGTATTGCAAGTGTGGTGATCTGGCTTCGGGTCGAAAGGTATTCTATGGATCAATGGAGAGAAACACTATTTCTTGGACCACACTTTTATCGGGATATGTTGCAAATGGGAGGCTTGATCAGGCATTAAGATCCATCATTTGGATGCAACAAGAAGGATTTAAACCTGATGCCGTGACCGTCACCACAGTTCTTCCTGTCTGCGGGAAGCTGAGGGCATTGAAACAGGGGAAGGAAATTCATTCTTTTGCTGTCAAGAACGGTTTTTTGCCAGCTGTGTCGATTGCTACTGCCCTAATGATGATGTACACCAAGTGTGGTAGATTCGACTATTGCCTGAAAGTTTTCGATAGCATGGAGAGGAGGAATGTTATATCATGGACAGCGATGATAGAATGCTACATAGAATGTAAACTGTTTCACGAAGCGCTTTCTGTTTTCCGGTTGATGCAATTGTCGAAACACAGGCCGGACTCTGTTACAATGGCGAGGATATTAAGTGTCTGTGGGGAACTTAAAGTAGAAAAATTCGGGAAGGAAATACATGGACAGGTTTTGAAGAAAAATCTGCAGTCTGTCCCTTCTGTGTCTTCAGAGATCGTGAGAATGTACGGGAGCTGGGGAAAACTTGATACAGCAAAATCAGCATTTGAAGCCATTCCAGTTAAGGGATCGATGACATGGACTGCCATTATTGAGGCTTACGGGTGCAATGGTCAATATCAAGAAGCTATACATGTCTTTGAGCAAATGATGTCGGGTGGTTTTTCTCCAAACCAATTCACTTTCAAAGTGTTGCTATCTATTTGTGAGAAGGGGAGTTTTGTCGATGATGCACAGAGGTTCTTCAGTTTGATGACTCGAAAATATAAGATTAAGGCATCTGAAGAACACTACTCTAGCATTATTAACCTTCTTATTCATTCGGGTCGGATAGAGGAGGCTGGGAAATTTATGGAGCTTAGATCATCGTCGGTTAGGCCATAAGAGAAAAGCCTCTTGTATTGGTTATTTGTGTTACAAAAATTTGGAATAGACCGTGATAACCATATGGAACTAGATAGTGATTCTTCGCCTTATAAGGGAGAAAGATCCATGGTGGCTACAAGTTTCTTGAAGCAGATTCTTCTCGACGTCTAAATTTATGTATATATAGACCATCAGTGCCAGGTTTGTCATCCTTCTCTTTATTTCTCCCTTTCTTCAAATAAAATTATGCAGGCAGAAAGACTGAAGTTTCGATCATATCAACGGGCGCGTGTGTGTGAATGTAGATTATTTTTAACACTGGAAATGACATCAGGTCGGGGTGTCAAAATGGCTTACAGAAGGCACCAAATCTTCCTTAAACAGAAGCTTCTTCGGATTCTGGTAAGTGTCTTCAACTCTTGTCATAGCATTTCAAATCTGATTATTTTGTGTGCAAGAAATTGTTACAATGTTGTGTGAATTTGAACTCTAATTTTTGAAGTGATTGATGCTCATTTTCGGGTCGATTTTACTGTTCTTTTCGCTCATCTGAGATTTATAAAGACATTCAAATGGTACTACAGCAACACATGGTTTTGAGTTTTTTTTTTTTCATTGCATATATTTGTTCCTCCTTTGCGTATGTGCTTTTATGCATCTATATTTTTTGGTTAAATTTTTTCTTCGAAGGACTTTACCGAAACTTTCCTGGGCTGCTGCTGGACTATTTATTAACATTTGCGCGAAAATTTAATATGTAGAAATATGTGAGCTTCTTTTGCAACACAGATCCATTTTCCCTTGTGATCATGGATTCTACAATTATAAATCTGTCTCTGATCAAATTGAAGTTTCATATCATGTTCTTGAGCTTTCTTGAACTTGTCGACTTCCTCGTCTTCTTCCCTGTGGTAAATTTGTATTGCCTATGAATGCGAATAATCGATTATGCCGGAACCAGAACAATACTAAGGAGATTCCGGGTTGCTGTATGTTGAGCCGTTGAAATGCCTAAGTGTTGGCAATGACAGATGCAGATTTTACCGTGAAGTTGCCACCGCAGGTAACATATGTCATGTAAAATTTTATCTTTTTTTTTTTTTTTACTTGAATGATGTTTTTGTTACGGTCTTTTTGTTGGAGGGTTTAAGTAAAACGATGTGAAAGGAGTAACAAATGTATGTTTATGGTACCATTTTAAGTGTTGATATGAATTACACATGATAAATGTTCAAACAATACATACTATTATGGTACCATTTTAAGTGTCAATGTGAATTATACATGATAAATGTTCAAACAATACATACTATTATTAATTTTATCGCATATACATTACATTAGTTTTTTTCCAATACGACTTTTTTAAAAAAATACTCCCTCCGTCCATCCAAATAGAAAGTATACATGTTTCTATTTTGGGACGTCCAATTACAAAGTAACCATTTCATTAAATACCCTATTTTTTTTTACAAATACCCTTACTTTACATCAAATCGTTACTTTTATAAAAAAAAATAAAGGCAAAAATATCATTTCACTATTTTTATCTGTCCACTATAATTAAAATACTATTATTCCTTAATCTCTGCGCCAAAAGTAAATGTATACTTATTTAGTGGACGGAAGGAGTATTAATATATCATGTTGTTATATTCTCTACGTACTTCTTTCTCCATATCTTACATAAAAAAAATATTTATTCAAATTATCTTAAAAGTAAACACACCCATTGTATTCCATCAGCTTTCATCCAAAAAATATTATGTTTATTTATTAATAATTCATTCATTAAAAATTTACAAAATATTTTACAATCAATCAACATGATATTATAGTATTAGTTAAAACCGCCTAATGAGTAAAGGAATTAATATAAATTTATTTGAAATAATAAAAATTAAATAGTAAACATATTTATGAAAATAAATAGAGATAGACATGGAGATCAAATGTATTTAAGAATTTTTGAAATTTTGTAATGACAATAAAGAAACCAAGTCAAAGTTTGTAGTTAATTGGGTGATGACAGCATCAAATTGGCATTTTGGAGTCGAGTCAATTGCGACCAAATCATCATGATTCTTCTTTAATGGATTCCCCAATTTGAGTCAAGAATCCATCAACATCCAATCTCCACTCTCCACACACATCAATCTGCACTACCAAAATCAACCCATTCCCTCACTTACTATTTGATTCGCATCGATTTTCGTTTACTCATCCATAAATGGAGTTGTTTGTATCATGCCCAAGACGAAAAGGAAAACAAAAGCTTCGTTCTCGTGTCCTCTAGATCTGAGCTCCACTTCAAATACGGCTACGAAAATCTAGGGTTTCGAGGTCCGGTTAAATCCTGTGTATAAGTACATAATTTAGAGGCCGCAGCCGTTCAAGGTTTGGATTGTCGAAATCTGTGAAGCAGCAGTTTTTTCGAGTGTGGAGAGGCTTATGGAAGCTGGAGAGAGTGGGAAACCGTGATTAATGTCTCTTATGTTTCTGTAGTCGAAAATTTTGGGGGAATTTTGGTTGTGGTTGAAAATCCCCATGTTTGATGTTGAGATTGTTTAAGCCTTTTTGAGGGAGAAATCTGTGTGTTACTTTTAGTTGTTCTTGTGCTTTCCTTTTGTAGCCCATAAGTTTAGTTGGAATTATTGAACATTTTGTTACCTTTCTCAAGTGTGACAATTTTCTATTGGATTGAAATTTAGGAGCTGGTTTAATTGTATGCATTTCTAGAAGTAGTAATAGACTGAGGTTGTCAGGGAAATGGCGCTTAAGCTCCCCCCTGCTGATGCAGCTATGGTTGCCATTCAGGCTATTGGTCGAGGGTATGATATTTCTTTGGATCTTAGACTGAAATATTGTAAGGGTGATTCGAGGTTGATTGAAATCGATGAAGATCAGGGTCGGGAGATTGTCATTCCCGGGGGGATATCTGTTCCTAATGTGTCGAAGTCAATCAAGTGTGATAAGGGAGAGCGAACACGTTTTCGATCTGATGTTCTAACTTTCCAGCAGGTTAAGCTATTTCTGGTTCCACTTGGTTTGGTTTAATAAATTTCCTTTAGCTTGTTGGGATTACTTCAGTTTATGGATGCACCTTTTTCGAATGTAACTTTATTCTTTTATATGCTCAAAGTATGAATTGATCAATTTAATGAAGTTTTGAATCATATATATGCTAAAAATAGCCTAGATACTTCTCTGGTTTGTTTCTATGTCTATTTTCTCTGGTCCATTGTGTTTTTTTAATTTAAGCATGCTTGATTTTTGAGGTTTAGATGGGATGAATAAATTTTTATTTGTTGGATCTTTAGGAGGAAGAAAATTCCACAATTGCTAATGAGAATATATTGATAATTTAAAATTGACTGCAGTTAGTCACAATATATTTTAAATGCTAGTTTACAGATTTTAAATGCATCATCAACTAAAGTTTCCGCCTCATTTAGATAATGTCATGTTTGCTAATTCTTCAATCCAAATGTCTCTGAATGATTATCACATTGCCTCTATAGTAGATGATTTGAGATTTATAAAAAATAGTTCTCTACTTTGCAGATGTCAGAGCAAGTTAATCAAGAGCTGTCGTTGACTGGAAAAATTCCTTCAGGGCTCTTCAATGCGATGTTTGAGTTTTCTAGTTGTTGGCAAAAGGATGCGGCATACACAAAAACCCTTGCTTTTGATGGAATGTTTATAACATTGTACACGGTTGCGCTTGAAAAGTCTCAGATGGTGCTTAAGGATTATGTGAAGAAAGAAGTTCCATCTTCTTGGGAGCCTGCGGCATTAGCAAGGTATGCTTACAGTTGCCTGCCTTCTCTGGAACAATTGGTTTGCATCTACTTGAGGATAGAGTCCGACGATCTAGCTTTCCTTGCAATTTTCATATTATCCCAGAAGAGTTTTTTTCTCATCTGTGACCACCTACCTTAATAAATAAATAGGAGCTTCAGATTCTCGCAATCGCGTAGAGCATGTCAATCTTATTTTCCCCTGTTTCTTGAGAAATCATTTGCTGGAAATGAAGTCTTTGAAATGGAGAACCAAGTGTGTTGAATTAATTAATTAGTTTGTGTTATTAAACTGTGGCTTGTAATGTATTGAACATTTGGGGTAAGTAGGGGTGTGTTTGTTTCGGGGTTTGGTTTCTGAATGGTAAGATTTTGAATTTGAATAGTTGTTTGATATAAGTAGCTATGATGTGATATTGTAAATGTAAAATCGATTTTTAGTGTATAAAAAAATGAAAAATCGATGTTCGGTTTGGTGTTTCGTAGGAAAATTTTTTCATGAATAGTAAAAAACTTGTAGAAAATCCCAAACAAACACACCCAAATGTTTCTCAAACTGTTGCAAGTTTTGCATTTTTGTTTCTTGAATTGCCTTTATACGCTTAGACAGTGGAGCTTATATTACCACTCACCTTCAGGTTTATTAACAAGTTCGGCACTCATGTTGTTGTTGGTGTAAAGATGGGTGGGAAGGATGTAATTTACATGAAACAGCAGCATTCTTCATCTCTTCAACCTGCTGATGTGCAGAAAAGATTGAAAGTGATGGCCGATAAACGATTTCTAGATGCAAATGGACAAAATGAGCATGATTCTGGCCATATATACCAGAGCGAAAAGGTTGGGTTTGTAATAGTTGTTTTATTTTTAATTAATGCCATTGTGCAACAATAATAGTTCAAGCTGTTCGTTCATATTTTTATATGAAGTCGATGATGTCCTTCATGCTAAAACTGAAGTACTAAGGATGCCTTCTCAAGTTTGGGATTTCCATTTCTTGCGTAATCAGTGTAGTAGAAAATTGAATGATATGTGTCGCCACTATTGACAAAAAAATGTATCCAGCGCTCATCAGTTCTTTAGAGAAATTGTAAGAAAGAAGACAAATCCCAATTCTAACTTTCTGTCTACAAGTAGATTATCAATTTGAAATTGTTGGAGTGACTGTCATGTCATAGGAAACTGGAATTTTCTGCTCTCTAATTCACTTTTAAATCGTGATGCTCGAGTAGAATGGATGGAGTTTATTATTTCTGTATAAGATAACGAATCTGTAGGTTTTTTTAATATGGTATAAATAAATCTCAGATTTATGTTCTGGAGATTATGATTCACAGATATCAACTTCTGGTTATGTTCAAAGTTACCGTTCGTGATCTGTCTCTTTTCTGTAAATTTGCTTCGTGAAGTAGAGATTATAGAGCTTGATTGATTTCTTTGTTTGGCATGATTTTTATTATGATATCCCTTTGCACTTATTGCTTAGGAGATAAGATGATTTCTTATTGGATGATTCTCTGAACAATCAGATTTTTATATTTGATATATCGATTTTTGAATTCTTCAGTTTGAAATGAAGGAGACACGACTCAGGTTTGCCGATGCTGGCACATCAAGTTCGTATTCGCACAAAGATGTATGTCTTCCATCTTGCACGGCTACAATGTAGTTCATGTTTTTACACTATGACACTTACAACGATATTTTCTACACTTATTAAACATTTGAACAAATAGGATATTGTTAGCATCTGCAAAAGGAGAGGTGGAAGCGACGGCGCAAATTTAACCCATAATGAGTGGCTACAAACAGTTTTGTCAGAGCCTGATGTAATCTCAATGTCCTTTATCCCAATAACATCGCTGCTAAATGGTATTTCTGGAAGCGGCTATCTGAGTCACGCCATAAATCTGTATTTGCGCTGTGAGTGATCCAATCTATATTAGCTTCGTCTTAAATCTACACTTTGGAAATGAAGAGGGACATTTAGGATAAGATCATTTCCGATGATATATTCATGTTTGTGAATTTGTTGCAGATAAGCCGCCAATTGAAGAGCTTCATCAATTTCTTGAGTTTCAGCTTCCTAGGCAGTGGGCGCCTGTGTTCAACGATCTTCCCCTTGGTCCTCAACGAAGACAACAAAATACAGCATCGCTACAGTTCAGTTTTATGGGACCCCGACTTTTCATCAACACATCTATGGTAAAGCTTCTCTGTCTTTATTTTTGTCCTCCATTTTTGAAGTTCTGAAATTTGTAATTAGCAAGTAGAATTTAATAATTTTTCTGTAGTGACAATCTCCATTTTATTTACTTTTGACGTATGTAATCTTCTGTTAAGGAATGTGAGGATATTGTCATACGACATTAAATTGTTGGAACAACACAATCAAAAGTATTGATATTCTTCTCACCACATTGCCCTTTATTACCTTAATGCATCTTCGATTATTTCAGGTTGATGTCGGCAAGAGACCTGTCACTGGTCTGAGATTATATCTTGAAGGGAAACGAAGCAATCGGTTGGCTATCCACATACAACACCTCTCCTCTCTTCCAAATATCTTCCAACTTGTTGATGATCCAAGCGGCAATTTCTGCCAGGAGTCATACGATCGCCGGTATTATGAGAAGGTTCAATGGAAAAATTTCTCCCATGTGTGCACTGCACCTGTTGAATCCGAAGACGAACTCTCCATTGTCACGGGGGCACAATTACAAGTTGGAGATTATGGATTTAAGAAGGTCCTTTTCCTTCGCCTCCGTTTCTCAAATGTTATAGGAGCTGTTTCCGTAAAGTATCCAGAATGGGATGGATCTCCCGGCTTGGCGCGCAAATCCGGACTCATCTCGACTCTGATTAGCCATCACTTCACAGCTGTTCAAAAACCACCCCCCCAACCATCTGATGTGAATATAAATTCAGCCGTGTACCCCGGGGGTCCTCCTGTTCCGACCCAAACCTCTAAACTCTTGAAGTTTGTTGATACAATGGAGATGACTAGAGGCCCACAAGACCCCCCCGGGTATTGGGTTGTTTCGGGTGCAAGACTTCTCGTCGAAAAGGGGAGGATCTCGCTCAAGGTCAAGTATTCGTTACTTACAGTAATTCAGCCTGATGATGATATGTCGGATTAAGATCTCATCAAGAATTTTGTTTACTTAGAAGTTGCAAGTAATTTCCGATTGGATTTTATAGCATTAAGTCGCTGGAAGCGCCGTCAAGGTTACTGTCACCAGAGTGTTTTGGCTGAATATTCGATTTCACATTAAAGAACAGCCGTACAGACACTTGGCGCAGCTGTGAATTATATTTGAAGAATGAAACACATTCTCCTCCTCCCGTGGCAAGTTTTTGTTTATTAAACATAGCTTGTGCTTCATTGTCTGTAATATAGCTAGTATCCAGTGCGAAAACCGTTACTTAGTTGATGTTTTCCATAAATACGGTCATTGTGATATGATCGTAAGGAATCAGAATTCGACACGGCTATTGAACCTATTTGTCGCGAAGTATTTTTTTTGCAGAAGCATTTCTATGACAGGATCTCTTTTAGCTTCTTCAGGTATCCCATCGATGATCTTTCACGGTATGATCCATTCTAAGTAAGTTTTCAAATTTGGATGTCGGAAAGGGTGAACTTTTTCTTGCATTTCGAATTCGATGCATCCTCTATTCGTAGCTTCTTTGTTGTTGATTCGGTTATATATACTTAGTCTCTAGCAGCCGACGATCGTTGGAGGGTGAGGCGTTCGGAATAATCGATCATCTAGACGAAGGTTACGGCGCGACGATCGTGAGAGGGCCAACGCACTCCTTCCCTAGGACACGGCAGAGGCGCCGGCTGCGCGAGGAATGTAGGATGGCGTTGTCCCGGCATCACTACTGAGAATGCGGATGGCTGCGGCGACATTTGCATCTGCGACGAGAATGAATAGGTTAGTCGGGGCTACCATAGCTGTAAAACATGGAAAGATCGATAACTCTTGACAATAGTTATGTCACTGATTTGACAAGGGAGCACACTAATCTCAACAATCAGGCTATATTGATACATATGTTTATTGTGTTGAAAATTAATAATATATTTATTTTGTCCGGCTCTAAGGGCTACATTTATTTTTTTGTGTGTTACATTTATTTTTTGTGTGTTAGGTCTTTGAATTTTAATTATTATAACACCAATATAATAACATTTTTTAAAAAAAATATACAAATATAAGAATATTTTTAATATTAAATATAATGAGGGAAATGTAATCCGGGCGAAAGGAAGTATTATTTTGTATATTGTATTATCATATGGAATAAGATGTTAACACTGTCAAATCAGCACTATATTGACTTAACTCAATCAGCACAAAAATCAGATCAGACAGTAAAATCGTTACTATATTGATTTAAACCGGACAAGATGATCAAATCAGCATTATATTGATTTCACTCAGTTAGCACAAAAACCAGACTATAGGAACACTCACTGCGGATGGAGTAGTTCCGAGCTTGTGAATTTGGCTCGATCCCATTGCGTTGTGATCGGGCGCATTTGGGCGGAACAGATGCTCGAAGATGGCCATTATAAGGAACATGGAGATCAAGATTGCCGTGGCGACGAAGCCGAAGGAGATGGCATTGACTGAGGAGCCGAAGTCTTTCCATGGGCCTTGGGCCTTGTTGACGGCGGCCTGAGAAGGGCTCGGGTTTAAGTTGTTGTACACGACGTTCCACGCCTTGGCTCTTCCACCGTCGAACTCGCTCATGCCTACGGATCGATGCCGGTGTCGATGCCGATGCCGATATTGGTATGACAGGATTGTCAGAACAACATTTATGGGTGTAAGGAGCAACAATGGCTGATTACTTGCACAGAAGCTTCTGTTTTATTACCTGTCTGTAAATGTAAGAGAGAGAGAGGAATGTGTATGTGAAATGAATAGGTAGGAAGAAGAAGAGAGTGAGGTTGATCCATGGCATCATCATCATCATCATCTTCAATATATGGCAATGCCCACACTGCACGTGCTACGCACTCACTCTTACTGTCCAAATATCTATATATGTATATATTTGTATATGTTTATATTTGTTGCATGGACACTTTATTTGATGATATTTTATAATTCTAATTCAAAAGGTTAAGAAAAAATATTTATACAAATCAAATTTATATATAACAATGACTACATAGATGTTTTAACTTTTAATAAAATAAGAAAAAATTTAAGAAAATTATTACATTAAATGTTTTTTCATTCTACAAATTTAAATAGAGCAATATTACGGATGATTGCTCTAAAGTCTTATGTGAACAATTATCGTATGCTTCAGTTTATGTGTTGTATTTGTTTTATATTAATATAAATTATGTATATATATATATATGGTGTGTGTTGTATTATTTTTATTATTTCTTCTCCTCCGTCTCATAAGTAAATATCCATTTGTTTCTACACGTAGTTTTAGAAATATTAGTATTATATTAAGATATAGTAGGAATAAAGTAGAAATGATTAAAATAACCTTATTAGTACGTGTGATATAAAGATAATTACATTTGTGTAATATATTGTAACTTGTAAGGTATTTGTAATGTTAGACATTGAGCTAAATATTATTGAATTTTTATATTTCATAAGTATTAAATACTTTTTCTATTATTATTATTTTAAGATTTTATTCAAAACTCTAAAATTTTAATATTTAAACCGAGTTATTAATTGGATTTTCTAATGTGAATATGATCATTGCAAATAGTCGGCAATTACGGTGCTAAATTTATCATCATATTGATAGCATATGATATTAATTTAGAAGCACACTATATATTTTTATATCGGAAATGACATACTTTCATATAGCAGATTACATATTTCTATAAAGGCGCTTACCTTAAATATGAATAGATAACACATTTCTTATTTCACTACAAATGCTATTTGCACTAAGAGCATATACTATGGCCACAATTTTATTTCTATTGTTTGAAAAAATCAGTACCGTTATTTTTTATTTATTTTTTTTCATATCAACGTGGTAATCAAAACGTTGAAATAATAATAATCATAATACCTCAAAATGATGTTTGGTTGTTAGAGCTGTGGAAATGTGAATAAATAAATAATAATAATAATAAGGGTAAATTATTTTTTAGTCTCGTAATTAAATTCTCATATTATTTTAGTCTCGTAAGTGGAGGCTATCGCAAACTAGTTTTATAAGTAAAAAATTTTCATTGTTTTAGTCCTCCAGCGCCGGAGATGCCCGCGTGGCTCGCCGGAGGCTAGACACCCGGCGGACACGTGGATTTTATTATTTTTTATTTTCATTTTTTTTAATTATTTAAAAATTGATTTAATTTTTTTTTTTAACTTTTTTTATTTGGTCCAATTAAAAAAATTAAAAAAATGAAATAAAATCCACGTGTCCGTCAGGTGTTGCTGACCTAGCGGACAAGTGGTTTCCAGCGAACTACGCGGGCGTCTTTAGCGCCAGAGAACTAAAACAACGAAAATTTTTCACTTATTAAACTCATTTGCGACATGCTCCACTTATGGAACTAAAATAATAAAAAGATCCAATTACGGGACTAAAAGAATAGATCACCCTACTAATAATAATAATAATAATAATAATAATAATAATAATAGTTGAAGAATATGATCATAATTGGTGGCAGAACAAATATGGGTAATGGGGACACACACCACACACCAAACCTACATGCTGGCATACATACATATATATATATTAACATATTATTATTATTATTAATAAGGTGAAAAGCAACAAGTTAAAGCTGCCAAATTTCCAGCAGCACAAAGCATTATATTTCAAACTAAGGCTGCACACAACAATATATCATTCCTTAGCTTCTTCAACTATATATATATATATATATATACATACATATTGCAAATAGATTTTATTTTATTTGTGAGTTAGAGACAAAGTTCTGATAGGAGAAATTAAAAACAATAAATAAATAATATATATATATATATGTATAATTAAGTGATGAATGAAATGAGGATATGGTGAATATGATTGCAGAATGACAAAAGAGGGACAACAAAGATGATGCAACTTTTGCTTTATTTATTTATTTATTTATTTATTTATTATTATTATTATTATTATGTTATAATTTGAGAATTCCTAGTGCGTACTGGATAAATAGCCACCGAATATGAGTTTTTTAACGATATAAAATGTAAAAAGTTTGAACTCTTGACGTCAAGTTACAAATTCACCTTGAATCAGTCGATCATTTCTTAACAATGAATATTTAGTGAATGGAAGACTTAGCATCACATAACTTAGCTCCCTTTATATATGATTTTTTTTTAAATTTTGAATATTTTAAAATTAGTAAATTTTGAATATTTAATAAAATATATTGTGAAAACTTGGGATAATTATTTTAATACGAAAAGTCATTTTTGAATATATATATATATATATATGCTAACAAAGGGTTATAAGATCACATAGCATAACATGCATACATTCCTTTTTTCAACAACACAATCAAAGCTTCTTTGAAAGTTATATAACAATAATAATAATAATAATAATAATAATAATAATAATAAAGATTGGCTTTTCAAACTTAATCATATATATATATATATATACACAAAATGTTTGAGAGAGATACTGGGGTGTCTTTCTTTTACCATTTCTAAAAGATATATTTTTCAAAAAAATTAATATATTAAAATCATTCATTATTTTTATATTATTTACACAATTCGTTCATGTTAGCATTTCAAATTAAAATTAAAATTATTTATTTTATACAGTTTTTAATAAAATATATTATTTTTTTACAAAATATAATATCAAAATACTATTTAAATTAAAACTTAAATAATACACTACATTTCAAATCATTTTAAACTACAACGAAACAAATCTTACAAATTCAAATTGTTTTAAATATATTTTGCAAATATTTTAAAGTATAGAGTTTTTCAAGGTTGAATTTGGATCAAGAAATTGAGAATAGTACAAATATAAAAAATAATTAAAATAATGTTTTATGTGAAATTTGACAATTGTGTAACATGATTTCAAATACGAATTAAATTAAATAAAAAATAGATTTGATTTAATGATTTGATTTGTATATAAGTAAATAAATAGTAGTATTTTAAATAACGTACATCTCTTCGTCTAGTTAAAATGTATACATATTTAAATCGTTAAATTATAAAGTAAATATTTTTATTAAATAATTTATTTTTTTTACAAATATTTTTACTTTATATCACATCTTTACTTTTACACCAAAAAAACAAAGACAAAAATATTATTACACTATTTTTAAGTATCCACTATTTCTTTTTTATTATTTAAATGAAACTTTCAATACATAGTCAAGAGAGACAATATTTTGGACCAAAATTTGACATGAAATCAATATCATAACTTTTAAGTATTGGAGTCACCTCAATAAAAAAGAATATTAGTATGAGACAATTTACTAAAGAAAATAGAATATATATTATTATATATATATATATATATTGCATGGCCCATTCAAATCAAGTATTCTTTTGAATTTTCCCAAATAATAATAATAAAAATAAATAAATCAAATCATGCTTTTTTTTTTTCATCTTTCTTTTTTGCTTTTGTACCTTTTTCTTTTATCATTTTTTAAATAAATAAATAAAATTATAGGGTGTTACTTTTTGAGCATGTTTAAAACATCACCCTTTATTCCGAGATTGAAATCCAAAAATTCAAAATCAAATTTCTAAGTAAACAAAATTTAATAAAAATAAATGTTGGATCATTATGTAAATATCTATTGGATATAATGTTTTAAATTATTTTTTTTTTAACATAACTGAAAAATAAATATTAAATGTAATAGTAATACTTAGGGAAAAAAAAAATAGATATAATTTTAAATAATTGAAAACATAAGTAAGCAAAACCTATACGTACACCGATAATTGGATATAAGTCCCCAATTATATATATTAAAGATGGCATCTAGGAGCATTTTTTTAAAGCTCATTCAAAAGAATTTGTGTATGTGTTGATCCCTAAGATTAGTTTATGATCGATCATATAAATAAAGCGAGAGGGAATATATTAGATGTCATATTGGACGTGTTCACCGGACGCTGTCTCACTTATTTTTTTTTTGCAATTTATTTTCATTTCTATGGTTTATTCGTTTTAATCTATCGATGAATTTTTTATGGTGGTTTTGTAATAGGGCCTAAACCATGCAAGATTGACTTAATTTGTTTGAGTTTGGTTCTATTTATTGATTTATGTTTGAATAGTGATTTCGATATGATATATTGTAAGAATAAATAATATAATTTTATAGGAAATAACGATAATTTAAAGAAAAAATAAAAAAGAATAGGAGCTTTTATACCCTTTTTTTTTAATGTTTAAATTGCATATATAATTTTAGAGAATTAAGGGATTCAATCTGAATTTAATTTTTATAATTATATTGTTAGATGATAAAATACTATTACAGAAAATTAATTAATTGTTTTTAGGTTCAATCTGAAAATAATTCAAGATATAGTTTTATGAATGTGTTGTACCTACACTTGCAAATTTTAATTATTTTTTTATATAATTTGATTGTGACATTCATTATACTTTTAAGATTATTATGTTAAACAACATCAAATTTGAGTTGAATCATATACGAATTATGTGTAATCATTTTAAATTTTTATTTATTGAAAGATACACAATTTTGAGCAAACATATTTTTTTAAAAGTTTTTTTTTTGTTACTAAAATGGGTGTTAATTTTTCTTTTTAACAACACCTATTCCTTCAATTTGATATAGCGTAGCTGAATTTAGTATCCGATCCATTTTATTTCTTCCTTTTCTTGTAAGTATTTATTTCGTCACGAGTCTATTAATATTTTTTTGTAATAAAAAAAAAAAAACACCGACATATCCCTTTCGTAGCTCTTATCAATGTCTTTTATTTCTGTATGTGCCACTTATTATATTAATTTCTTTTTTGAAAAAGTATTATACATTTTGAATTTATTTTAAAAATTTTAATTTATTTTTTTTAATTTTAATTATACTAATTAGTTATTTCAATTTTAATTTAAAATTATTGTTATTAAATAATAATTATTTTTGGTAATATATTTTTAATTATATACTAATTATACACTGTATCTGGAACAGAGTAATACATTAATTAAAACCCCTGCTAAATATACTAAAGAAACTGATATTTTTGTTTCTAATTTTTTACCATTAATTTGAATTGACAAAACTTAAAATTTTAAAGTTAATCCAAACTGAAAACAAACAAACCACGCGGTGATGGTGAGTAGTCATCCATCATCTTCGACAGAAAACCCTAATTATTTAATTATTTATTTATTATATTATTATTATTATTATTTTCAAAGAAAGGAAACCCTAATTTTGAATTGTGATAAGTGGTGGATTAGTGGTCCTCACTCACACGTGAATCAACACTGATTTCACACAAGCCTCTCACACACACAGCAAAAAATAAATATAAATAAGTTCCGTAAGGATGGCAGGGTGGTGTAGGGATTAGACCTCTAATCGAGGTGATGGGTTCAAACTAAAATTCACATATAATAAATGTGTTATATTTAATTATGCACATATGTTAATTTTTGTCAATAAATATCAACTATTAACTTAAATAAATTGGTCGTAAATAAGAGAGGAATATCGTTTTTCATTATTGAAGAATTTGATTTGTGCGTCCTAAGATATTTAAATACTTCCTTTATTTTTTTAACTATGCAATTCTTAATTTTTTGTCAAAATGTTCTTTTTTTTTGGTAAAGATATCAAATTGTAATAATATATGTATACACAAAATACAAACACACATGTCAACAACAAATCTACCATTAAAAAAAAAAAGTTCAAATAGGTCCAAAATCTCTAATAAGCTTGGGCTTTGACCCATCTCAATTATGGAGGATTTAAAAGTAATTTTTTTATTTTTTATGTTATTGAATTAATTTAGTAAGAAATAGTGGTTGATTTGTAACATATGTAAAAACTTTGAGTGCTTAAAATAATGTTCCAAAATTCTTTCATGTTTTACTTTTAGTTTAAATAATGCTCAATCTATCTCATATCATTTGCAATAATTTTATATATATATATATATATATTAAATATTCTGTAATATTTCTAAAATAATAAATAATTGATCTTATTTTATTACATCATTCAAATAAAAATTATATATATTTTTTCTATCATTACATAATTTAACTTAAATTCTTCTACTAAATACAATTTACAGTTACCTAAGTTCTCACAGTACAAATCAAATATTGCACTGAATATAATTTTGATCATTTTTTTCCTCTACATTTCGTATGAAATAATAGTATAAATTGTATTTATAGAATATAGAAAAAGTAAGTAAAATAAATATATATAAAAATAAAAAATAAAACAATTAATATAATTAGAAATAATAGAAAACATTTAAAACAAGTATATTTTTTATGAAAAAAAAAACAACTATTTACAACACAAAAGCAACAGATATGTTTGCTTGTAGATTTTGGAGTTAGATTTGAAATTTTGGAGTAATAATTATTTTAAGTAATATAAATAAATATTGATGTAATTTTTTTAATTTAAATTAACTTTTACCGTAATATAAAAAAATTATTTGAATTCACACATAAAACAAGCATAACCAACATTAGTGCTATTGTAGAGTCTTATAGCTTTCAAAATTTTATTTAATTTAATTTTTTGTATTGTTATTATACTTCATAAATTAATAAAAATAATTATTGAATACAATATTTCGATCATAAAATATATATTAAACTCGATAAAATTGTAACTATAAATTAGTTAGAAATTGAAGCTATTAGAAAAAAAAAAAAATAATGTGTTTTGTTTGAAGAGTTAGTAGTTCATCGTCCATCGGATTTCTTCGATTGCTACTTGTAGTAGTTTGAAAATACCTTCTCCGATATTATTTATATCAAAAATATTTTTCATTTAAAAAAAACAAATAAATAAATAAAATTCTATTCATTTAAATCAGTAGTTTTTTTCAATGTATTGTATGTATTGAAGATCATTTTACAAATTTTTTTTATGTATCTTTATTCTTACGGAAAATTCGTTAGTACGAGAGCATATATATCAAAAATAATAATTGAAAAAATCCCCAAAGAAATTAAATCTAAGATCTCTCCAATTGAAAACATCTACAAAAAAATTTTTAAAGAGAGTTCAAATAACTATATAATATTCTTCATTATATTTTCATTATTTTTATATATTTCAATAACCTTAAATGAGATCAATTTTTTTTATCACAATTTCAGTATTGAACAACATGCTATTAAAAGTACATGCAAATGTTCTAAATTTCAAAATTTTAAGTGACAAGATAACTAGACAGTAGAAGAATAGTAAACTGAAAAAATAAAACATAGTTAAAATTTGTCAAAAAAAAAAAAAAAACAATAAATACATGTGAACTATGAAATCATAAACTTAAATAATATAAATGTTTATATAAATTTATAATAGAATTATTTTTAAAATTTTAATTTAAGTTAACTTGTCTTATAGGGTGTATTTCTTTGTGTTTGGCTAGAACAAATTTAATTTAAATAATATTAATACTTTATATATATATATAAACAGTGTGTTTTTTATCCCAAAAGTTAACTTTATAAGTTTTAATATTTAAACTCTATTTTTTAAAAAAAAAAAATTATTTCACAAAATATGTGATTATACATTATTTTAATATCCCTAATAATCCTCGCAATAACAAATAATCCTCGCAATAACAAATAAACACACCCGTCACGTGAGTATGCCATATAACAAGTACAAAAATAAAACAATAAAAAATAAAAAATCCCTCCTACACCATATAGTTCACACTTCACACCCTAATTCTGACAAATTCCTTTTCGATTTAATGATTCTTGACGAAGATAAGGTAAGCAGTAGTTAATTCGAGATAATCTAATTAAGGATCGTCGAAGCAAAATTAAGCCCCAAATTGCAGTACTATATACTGTGCGCAAACAACGACTATCTCTTCACTTCTAGTCAAGAAAGCGAAAGCAGGGGAGGAGGGGTCGCATCCGATCGAGGGTTTGGCGGTGCCGTTAAGGGGTACAGACGCCACGCCCCCATCGTGTCAGTTCTACTTATCTCCCTTTACTATTCTTTCATTTTCTCTACTGGTAATCCACCCCACCCCGCATTTCATGTATATATATGTGTGTGTGCAGTTTTCAGAATCGCCCGGGAAAAGACACAAGAAGTAAGATGTGAAAATCTGCTCTGCCTATGTAGAATTCTATCATGTTTTCAATTCGTTGTTGGGGTTTCCTGCATGATTAGTTTTGTGTACAACAATGGCATTTGGTACTCACATTCATTCCTATGGTTCTATTCTGTTATGTTCTGTTTGTTTTTATTAAATTAAATTAATGGATGGATATATGGGGATTCATCGGAATTGCATTTTCCTGAATATTTATTTTCTTTTTAATTTTGAACTTTTGTGTTCCTCGGCCTTAGTGTGTGTATTTTTGTGGATTGGATCATCCATCAAATGTGCTGTAGAACTATTTGAACCATCTCTTGTTTTAAGAAACTTTAATGTGTTATTTTATGGGATGATAGGGACAATCTTGCAGGAGGATCTCTCCCTCCCTGTTTTTTAATGGAGTTTTGGCTCCTCCTTTGTTTCGAAACTTTAAGCACTCATTCTTGATTGATTCAGTAGATGATGCGGTTTTAAAAATGACTGTTTGAATTGGCGCAGAATGATTCTTGATTGATTCAGTAGATGATGTGGTTTTAAAATGACTGTTTGCATTGGCTCAGATTGATGCGTAGCCTATTGCTGTTTAAGCCCATTTAAGCACGCTTTTTAGGTCATATCTGTGTGTATACATACATATATATATATAGCAAATTCGTAATTGAAAAGTCGCATTCGGGGCCTTCCGATTTAAAACTCAGCATTGCTCTAGAAGCCACTAGAAACTGGTTGAAGCAGATTTAATCATTGTCATTGTTCATTTGCTATCACATCTATCTCACTCACAATCACTTGGTTGCTCTCATATAACCTATTTCCGGAGGGTTGGTGATTAGCCGAGAGGTGGATCAGGTATTGTCGAACTCCGGTGGGTGGATTCATCACCCGATTTTGTTTTTTGGATTGTGTTGAAGAATTGACGCCTTGCAACCTTAATCCTTTTTAGAATTAATTTGAAATTGGCCATCTACTTGTGGTTTGAGGTGTCAATTGATGGTTTCTCTTTGGATATTAATGGTGTTATGCAATTATTCGGGGAAATCTTTTATGATTAGGGTTTAGGATTTGGTATTATATTCAGAAAGAATCATTTGTATTTGTAAGTTGATTTTCGTGGTGGAAGTAATCCAGGTGTTATACAAGGGTTTTTAGTTCCTTTTATCTTCTCGATCTTTCATTTTATGTATTTTCCTTCTTTTGGGGTTTTCTTGTAGGTTGAAACCTTGACGTTGGGCAAAAAGAATGACTGACGGAGAGAATGTTGAATCACGTATGCTGGTTTGGCTTTAAATGATCCATGTTATATTGTCGATGAAATTACCTCCTAGCATCTCCTGCTAATCGAATCTACCGTCTAAATTCTGTGGCACATTAATAGGATATCATATTCGGTAGATTCAACATATAAATTCTGTAGTTAATTTGCATCATTTCCCAAGTCTATAGAGTTGATGTTTATATTTACGAATGCATTTCATTGATGAAAGAAAAAAGGACTATATGTAATGTTGGTGAACACCATTATATTGCAGCTGAGCTTCTGGGATCGGATCCGACTTCTGAAACCCCTCCTGAACTTTTTGATGAAGTTAAGGTACCAGCTCATCGTTTTGATTGGATTTAGGATCATATATTTCCGTTTGTCCCATATTGCGAAGGTGTATTATTCTGAGTTCTGTTACTATGTTCGAGTGAGTCTGAATTGTTGTCTTTCAGTGTAGTCCAATTGTCTGCAAAAATATTTGAAAAAAAGAAGTATTGATTATTCAGAAGTTTTAAAAGCCAAGTGAGAATGAAAACCCCTTTTTCTATTTGCATATCGATCAATGATGGTTGCATTGTTTTTTCACAGATGCTTTTGGTTTTCTGTTACTATTGCAAAATGTAATCCCTTCCTCGTAGCATAAGAAGCATGAAATAGTCTATCTTATCACCATTTATATGATGTCAAATGGTGGATGACACTCGATTGGAATCTGTTTCTATGAATTAGAAACAGTTGTTTTCTACCACTAGAGTGTGTTTTTTTTATTGCCCCTTTCATTTTTCTTTTGAGCCAATTGTAGTAAAAGTTCAATCCTCAATAATTTTCGCTGTTCTGTTCCTCACAGAATGCTCGATTTTAAGGTTCAATAATTACTAGTTTTTTTTTTCAGGGGAAGGACGATGTTCCATCTGAGCCAATTTCTGCTGCATCACCTGTGAGTGATAATGCATCGCGAGATCAACATGTTGATCACTCATCAGCTTTGAAACAGGTTATTCGTCCTTCCACTAACCGAGGTAATTATTATTTTCTATCAAGGTGAACTTTGGAGTATATCGAACTTTAAATTGGTTTTCTTTTTCATAGTATGCAACTAGGAAGTGCCGGAAAAACCTGGAGTTTACATGTGTTTTGGTTTTCCCGACAATTATAATGCATTCGCGACCCTGTTTTTTGTGGTTTTGGCATTCGACTCATCATGAACTGTGTCCCGTTGTTCATTAGTTCTTTGTGGTATTCTCCTGTGTGTAGTATTAATCCCTTTTCTCTGTAGGATACAATGGGCCATTTGCGCATCCGAGGTCCACTCATATTTTTAGCAGGCCAGCCGGTACCAGGAAGCCAAGTGGATATTCCTTTGTTAGAACAAACAACAATCAATTTGACCGAACCCTGGATTTTCCATCAAATCCTAACTTAAAACAATCTTCTGATTCTCCAAAAACTGTTCATCAAAGTATGCCCGAGAAGCCACCGAGCAAGGTATATATGAATGGAATGCTTTAAGTGAGTTCAAGAAAAATATCGTATGTTTGAATCGTATCAAAATTCATATTGGAAAACTCTTGATTGATCGTTCCTTTTACATTGCAGACTTAACCGAATGTTTTTTATTTTCAACGTTGCAGATTGGTTCTAATGCCCGATCAAGTAGCCCTGTGGATTACCAATCAAACCATAGAGCCGGTTATGACAGAGGCCGGTACAATTCACATGAAAGTGATGGCCGAAATGGATCACTAACCAATTTTACATGCGGCCGTGGCCCGAGGTTTTACAGTGGTAGGAATAATTTATCAAAGTCTGGTGAGGCTGCACGACTGGTGCTAGAACCAGGAAGGTATAACTATAACTCAGAAGATTTTCCAGTAGAGTACGAGGATGCGATCTTTTTCATGATAAAGCCTGTCAACGAGGACGACGTTCACAAAGCCATCAAATACAATGTTTGGTCGAGCACCCCGAACGGTAATAAGAAACTCGATGCTGCTTTCGAGGAATACGAAGCTAAAAGCATTGAGACGGGGAAAGAGTGTCCGGTATTGCTATTTTTTTCAGTAAGCTCGTTGCTCTTCTTTTCCTTTCTTTTCTCCGCCATTACATGGTAAAAGTTATCGCCATCTTTATAAATTCCTTACCCTTACCTTCAGGTGAACAAGAGCGGACAGACGGTGGGGGTTGCCGAGATGATCGGGCCAGTAGACTTCGCCAAAGATTTGAACTTCTGGCTAACCAAAGACTGGCAAGGGTTCTTTCCCATTACATGGCATATAATTAAAGATGTCCCGAATGCAGTTTTTCGGCACATTGACCCCGACAACAGCGAGAATAAGATCATCACTCACAGATGGGACACGGGCAAGGTACTGCTGTTTTAGTTTTCTGCTAAGATTAGAAAAAAAGTCGACGCTAAATGTGACATGAGAATTCGTACTTTTTTGACAGATTGGATTCAAACAAGGGCTCGAAATGCTGAGAATAATGAAGAGCTACTCTTCGACAACGTCCATACTCGACGACTTTGGTTACTATGAGAATCGAGAAAAGGGCCTCAGAGCGAGGAGGATAGCCGAAACTCGAGGAGAAGCTAGATCAGCAGAAGGAGATAATGGTAGCCGGTAGGTGTCTCTTTCTTTCGGCATTTGATCGATCGGGTTTGGTTTTAAACAACGGATATTGATGATCGTGAAATGGCTGCTACTTTGTCTTCTTCGAATTCTTTTGATATTTATTCGATGTTAGAGCAGCAGCAACAGCAACCTGCAGAGTGAAGGTACGAACTCAAATTGAGTACTCTTCGAACAATTTCTTAGTTTCTTTTTGTTTAAGTTCGGTTCAGTTTGGTTCGATTAGTTCATATTGAACACCCAAGTTTGATTTATAAAAAAAACTATTCTTTTAATTATTTTCAGCTATTTTTCATTTTAGTAAATATTACTCTATCCGTTCCATTTAAATTGTATATTTTAGCTTAGGCATAGAAAATAATTTGCCGAAAATAATTATAGATTAAAATACTACTAACCAATTTTTTCCAATATTACTAAGTAATAATGCATGCTATAGAATATATAGAGAATACTTTACTAGCAGTTTATTTTCAAGGCTTTTACTTGTTAAATAAAATATTTATGCATTCATATACGGGGGGTTTTACTTATAAAATAAATAAAGAAATTATTTTTGTCTCATTGTAAATCATAATAATTAATTAAAAACTAATAATATATATATTCATAGAACTTATCAAGATTTTACTATTTTAACTTTATTTTTTCTAAAAAAAAAAATCAAATCAGATACTTAATTTTCATTTATTTTATTATACTAAAATTTAATTTTACATTCAAAATATCACATTAATACACATTTATATCACATCAAATAACTATTTTAATTCAAAATTTTACTATTCAAAAGTCAAAACCTCAAGTAAATGCCCCAGAATTTTAACATTTGCGAGATTTCTAATCAGATGGTGAGCATCAAGCAATACAAGCATAAACTATATAGTTAATTAGAATATAGACGTTATGGAATGAATTATACAATGGAATGATATGTTTTTTTGAAATAAAATTATTTGATTTCGTTATTTAAATAAAATTTAATTGTGTGATTGATATTAAAGTGTTATATTTGGTATTGAGTGAAACATGTTTTGGAATTTTGGTATTCAAATACCAAAATTAATTTTGGGCACTGAAATTGAAATTGGCAAGGGAAGTAATAAGAGGTTTAATTCTCTACCCAAAAATAAGATATATTAGACCGTCTCTTTTCAAATTTCAAAATAAATATGTATATTACTATATTTGGTTTTATGTAAAATTGGTATTTTTATTCAAAATTTACTGTAGATAATACTTTAATATAATATTTTATGTGAATAAATATTTTTTTTTTTATCGTAAATTGAATAGTAATAGTAATTTAAATTTAAAACTTAAACTAAACATAACCCACTAGAACCACAATACAAAATTTTAAATACATTGTCTGGCAATGAATAATCTGGTGGTGGTGGCAAACCCAGCGTCCAAATTTACCTATCACATTATCAAAAATATATATATATATATTACTTCAATTATATTTGTTAAATTTTAATAAATACACTCTTTAAAAAAATTTAAGTAAGATAAACTTCACTAATAAAAATACAGCTTGTTTAGTTTTTATTTAAAACTAAAATAATAGTTTGAATTTTAGTCTAAATGATACATTGATTTGATGTTGGGTAAAAAATAAAATAATATTTTTTATTAAAATTTAAAAAAAAAAAAAATTAGAATAAAAAAACAAACACACCCATCACCGTTAATCTACCATAATAATAATAATAATAATAAGTCAAGAACAAAATCAAGGTAGTCAAAATGTAAGGGATATATTTTTAGTCATTAAAATAATATTTTTCAACGGACCGTTGAAAGACAGCTCAGAGTGGGCTGGGCTGAAGAACAAGAAGAAGAACAATTGACGAATATATATATATATATATTATATAAATAGAAATACGAAGCCGAAGCCGAAGCCGAAGCCGAAGGGAAGGGAAGGAAAGGGGAAAACTGAACCTGAAACTGAGAGACTCATCACTGAAGGCGGTGCTGCTGCTGCTTGCTTCATTGATTTGATGGCGAGGAGACTCGATGAGGACTACGATTACCTATTCAAGATCGTCTTGATCGGAGATTCCGGCGTCGGCAAGTCCAACTTGCTCTCCCGCTTCACGCGCAACGAGTTCTGTTTGGAATCCAAATCCACCATCGGCGTCGAGTTCGCCACTCGTACTCTTCAGGTGATTTGATTTTAGACCGCATCTATTTTTGGCATGATTTGATTTGATTTGATTGTTGAGGAAAAGAGGATCGAGGACAAAAGGATCGGCGTTCTTCGCTGATATATATATATATATGTTTGTGTATTTTCCTTCACTGTTGTTGGTGGGAGAAGAAATGTGTTTTATTTAGTTGGAATTCAGCGAGATTTGGTGCTTTGATGTGATCTCTGATCGGCGATTATCGATTCCTGGATCTGATCTCGTAGGGTTGAAGTACTACTGCCTGGAGTAGTTAATGAATTTTTCAGTTCGTCTTTCTCTTGTGTGTTGAGGAGATTCTTAATTGCACTCTGATTTTGCATTTGTAGCTTACTAGCTTCGGTATCAAAATGTTAGGTTATGATCATATAATGTCGGTTGGATTTCTGAGGAGTGGTAAATCCCTGTGTTGATTTAGGAACTATCTGCTTAATTACGTAATTTCAAGTGGAACAATTACCAGATGCATTTCTTTCCGCCATGAATGCCGATTGGAAAAGCTTGAATACAGCACACAGAGATCTTCATTGCCCTTTCTTTGTACATGGAATGAAGCCTCCATGTGTTCTTAATAATTTGATCTTCGAGCAATATTTGATGTGCTTCTTGGTGGTTAACTCAATAATATTTAAATAAATAAATAGTGTGTATTTCTTTAAGCCTAAGTTTTTAAGTGAGATAGTTATTTTTAACATAGTATCAAAGCCGGGAAGCTCTGAATTCGAGTCACACAACAACCTATTCTTCATCGTCCACATACAATATTCGTATTTTTCATAAATTCACCTTGTACATTTGGGAGTGTTAATTGTTTTTTCATAGTAATTTGAGTTTTAGGTTAAATAGTATTCTAATGTGAGGTTTTGACAGGTTTTGATTGGAAATTTTTGTAGTAATTTGAGTTTTAGGCTAAATAGTATTCTAATGTGATGTTTTGTCAGGTACTAATATTTTTTTTATTGGGAACAGTGCTGATTGAATAGTAAAATCTTTTATTTGAAAAAAAAAACATACTCTTAGTTTTTAGGTGATATTGTCATTTTGGTATCAGAGTCCAGATGTTTTGTATTGTCTACATGTAAGATTTGTACGAGGGAACTTGTTGGTTAACTCTATAATATATAAACAAGTAGTTATTATTTTTTTGCAACTTAAGTTTGTAAGTGAAATGGTCGTTTAATATTTGTTTTTGAGTGAATTTTTTTGGGTTAATCCGCAGGTCGATGGGAAAACAATAAAAGCTCAGATATGGGACACGGCGGGGCAAGAGAGATACCGCGCAATAACAAGCGCATACTACCGCGGCGCGCTCGGAGCAATTCTTGTGTACGACGTTACAAAGCCAATCACATTCGAGAACGTGAGCCGGTGGTTGAAGGAGCTGAGGGATCACGCGGACGCCAACATCGTTATAATGCTGATCGGAAACAAGACCGATCTGAAACACCTCAGAGCAGTGTCGACCGAGGACGCTCAAGGCTATGCTGAAAGGGAGGGGCTCTCGTACATCGAAACGTCCGCCCTCGACGCCACCAACGTCGAGAGCGCTTTCCACCTCATCCTTTCGGAGATTCACAGGATCATCAGCAAGAAGTCGCTTCCCTCGAGCGAATCTGCGACGAGCGTCAAAGAAGGGACGACCCTCGTCGTCGGGCCTCAAGACGGCGCCGGAAAGAGGGCTTGCTGCTCTGGTTCCTGATTCTCAGGTCAGCCGGACTAACTTCTTCCTTCTTCCATAGCTGTCTTACCTTTTGGTGTTTTTTGATTGTTTTGAATCTTGTGTTTTTATGGTTTTAAGATTATTTCAGTTGTTTGATTCTTAAATGTTATTTTAAGATTTTGGCGATTTGTTATATTGGATTGGATGGATCATTCAAAATTTTTTATTCATGGATTTGTGCTTAAAATCGTTTCTTTTGCAATGCTGTATGAAAATTTATTTGTAAGATCTTAAGATTGGTTATATATATATATAGATATGCTTTTCTTTTCTTTTCTTTTTCTTTCTATATTTATATATATATATATATATATATATATATATTATGGGTGTTTCTTTTGTACTTTGATTTGGGCTTTAAACATTAGTTTTGGGTAATTTTAACAATGGGTTTGAATGTAATATTTTGCACGACAAAATGTTGTACACTTGCAGGAAATTAAGGGATTACATTTGCATAGGAACCAGAGTATCCAAAACTTCATTTTACTATCAAATTGGGGATTAATATGGGTAAGTGTCTCTGGATTGGATTTGAATTTTGAATTTAAATAATAATAATAATAAAAAAAAAAAAAGAATTGAAATAATACTTTTTTTAATATTTTAAAATGTTACAGCATTTTTTAAATACAATTGGATGAAATTACTGTGCAATCTGACCGGAAGAAAGGAGTTAGGTTGTGACACGTTGGAAAAAATGTGTGTATCGAAGCTTTTTTTTTTTTTTTTTTTTTTTTTCTCTTGTATCATTGTATCTGTTCTTTTTACCCCCTCCACCTGATTTTTCAAATTTTAAATATATATAAATATTAAAAGTAAATTCATTAATTCTAACATTTTAAAATATTTTTAGTTAAATTACAAATATATTATTATACATATAATTACTTCATATTAAAAGACAAAAATATAAAAAAAATTTACTCCATTCTATTAATTAATAAAATATTAGTATTATCTTTTAATTTATTATAAAATCCCAAAAAATCACATTGAACTTGAACAAGGGAGTATTTTAGAACAAACGCACAAAAAGAAAAGCTTAAATTATACCCACGGCCACGGCCTATTTTTACAAAATATCAATTTTTTTTTATTTTAGTCAGTTCTATAACAAAATATCTATTTTATTTTTTAGTAATTGTACTATCTAACTTAATATTACAAATACCCTAACAACTTGCAATATTTTACACAAATGTCATTACATTTATATCACACAATACTAATAAGATTATTTTAGTCATTTTTACTTTATTTTTACTACATCCTAATATAATATTAATATTTCTAAAATTACATATAAAAAAACAAACAGATATTTAGTTATGAGACGAAAGCAGTAGTTGGAGTTCAAACCCCAACTTAATCTTAAGCCCAATTGATCTATTTACACTTATTCAAATCAAATAATATTAAACAGTTATTTATATACATTAATTTACTATTTACCTTTATATAATCTCAACCACACAATTTAAATTAAATTTATGTTTTGTTGTAGGTAAATCCAACACTCTTTCAATGATTTACATAATAAAATTCTTTTTACATAGAAGTAAGGAGATAAGACACTTATATTTTACATAAAATGTAACTTTCTCAATTTTAAATGTAAAGTCAAACTAAATAATATTCCCTCCATCCCAAATAAGATGCAACATTTATTTTTGGCACCCGTTTTTAGGTGGGTAGTATTAAGTAGGATAATTTAGAAATTAGGTGATACGATGGAGAGAGAAATATATATTTTATTTGGATGATGTGAGTGAATAAAGTGTGGGGTAGGGATTAAGTATAATTAATTATTTTCTATTTTGGAAATATTGTCGGGTGTTTGAGACACACCAAAAAAATGAAATGTTGCATGTGTTTGAGGCGGAGAAAGTAGTATACAACATCTTTTTAATTATTATTCAATATCTTTGATTATTATTACAGTAATAATAATAATAATAATAATAATAATAATAATAATCATATCTTATTCTATATTTCTCTAATTTACATCTATAATCAACATACATTAAATTATATTAATTTACTATTTATTCATACTATAATCTAAATCGCACACTTTAAATTAAAATTTCATTTTATTTTATGAGGTAAATCCAATATTGTATTTCAATAATAAAATATTTCTAATCAAAGCAAAGAAATAAAATTCTTATATTATATATATATATATATATTGTAACATTAATGTAACATCTAACTAAATAATACGTGAAACCTTTTTATTTAATAATTTTTCAATATCTCTGATAATAATAATAATAACAATATCTTATTGTATATTTATCTAATTTACAATATCTATAATCAACATATATTATATTATTAATTTACTAATTTTCCAAATATAATCTCAACTACGCATCTTAAATTGAAATTAAATTTTATTGTATGAGGTAAATCTGACATTTTATTTCAATAATTGACCTAATAAAATTCTTTCTATATAAAAGTAAAGAAAGAAAACTCGTATACTTTACATATATTATAATTTTTTTCAATTTCAAATGTAACGCCTTACTATATAATTATATGATACCTTTTAAAATAGTTATTACTTAATATATTTTTTTTATTATGATGATAATAATTATAAAATTATCAAAATTCTAAAAGAAATTCCGACTAAAATGACAAAAATAGAGTTGACAAATTCAAAAGAAGTAAAAATTTATTTGGTTGTGATTTAAAATTAAATTATTAATTTAAATTTTTATTTAAATAATATTTTAAAGAATATTTTATAAAAAATAATATATTTTTATTGAAAATATTGTCAAATAAATAATGTTAAATTTTGATTTCAAACAATAAAAGAACAAATTATATATTGTTATTTTCTCTAAAAACAAATGTACTGTCCTTTTTAAGCTTGTATTTATCTTTTATGAAATATAATTATTTTATATACTCTATTTAGTTACAATTTTTATTTGGTATTATATAATTTTCAATTTCAAATATATAAGTATAAATATATTTATTCTTTTTTAGTAAATATTATAAATATCATTTAATTTATATTTATTTACGTGATTATTATTAAATCAAACTAAAATATAATGATAAAACTATCTATTAATTATCATTTAAATACAATATTTTAAAAATTTCGGCCAAAATAAATATACATCCAACAAATAAAGAAAGTAATTAATACTACATTCGTCATTAAAATGTAATACAAATTAATAAAAAATTATAAAAATACATCAATATAATACTAATAAAAGAATATTTATATAAAAAAATTATATAAATATAAAAATATTTTTAATGTTAAGTATATATAATTGTGACTTTTAGAAGTGGACTGAGATAGCTCCGTTTCATTCAATTTTATTTGATTTTTTTATTTTCACGCTGTCTATATATTTTACCCCCTCCGTCCCAGATACCATGTCCAAGTTGCCGTTTTTGTCGGTCCCACGTACAGTGTCACTTTCTTTTTTGGAAAATGATTACACACTTTAATTTCATTTTAAATTTTTAAATTTTATTTTTTTTAATTTTAATTAAACTAATTAGTTATCAATCTTAATTTATAATTATTTATATTATATGATAATTATTTTTACTAATACATTCTTAATCATCTATTAATTATACAGACAGGGTATCAGACACGGTATCTGGGACTAAGGGAGTATTTTGATTCTACCTTTAAATTTACAATAATTTTATAAATTTCATTTAAAAGTATACGATAAATAAGAGAATTATATAAATTTTTAAAATCTTATTTTAAGAAATAGCAAAAAAGATTTTGATTAAGAAAATGTGACATAATTTATTAATTTTTGAGGGGTGAACATGAAAAAGGAAAATTTCTCCTGAAATTTGGATTTATTGGCTGGCGACAGGCTGTCAGCAGCAAACACTTTCTCTCTCTCTTGAAGACTACTCCGCTCTACATCCATTGTTTTGTTTCCATTGTTGGTCCTCTATTTGCTTTCTCTCTTGCTGCCTACTGCTTTGCTTTACCCCTTCATTTTGCTCTGCGCTTTCTCTGTGGCTAGGGTTTGCTTGACATTTTCCTGCTGGATTTCAGATTCACCGCTCGGATCGTTGTTTCGCAGGTTATTTTTGGTGGTTTCCGATTTGGTGCTTTTTGTATTTTTGGAAATTTGAAGTTCTGGTTGGTGTTGTTGAGTTGTTTTTGAGTTGGAGTGTTGGTTTTTAAGTTGCATTTTGGTTCAAATGCGTGGATTTCGCTGTTTCTTAATCTGTGGGTGTTCCGGTTGTTGCATGTCAATTGTCACCGCTTAGGAGCTTTTTGATGGAATTTGTCGCGTTGTGGTTTGATTGATGTCTTGTTGAATGAAATTGGAGTTTTTTGTTGAACCGACACGGTGATTAGGTTGTTGCTGGCGTGTTGGCGGTGGTGTTTGTTAGTGAAAGAAAGGAAATTTTTAAGTGGATTGGATGAACTAGATTGAATTAGGTGACTTGAGATATATGAAGACTATAGAGTATTTACTTACTGATCATTCGTAATTTCGAAATTTGTTGTATTTTTTGGTGGTGGAACTATTTTGAGCACTGCCGAATTATTCCTTTCTTTACAAATTGTTGATTTAACTATTTCAGAAGTTTTTAGAAATGCTAAGAACAATGGAAGTTCTTAGTTTGGTTGTATGACATTATTCCCTTAGATTGTGGTCTGTGTCTGTACTTTTGTCGTTCTTAGGTAATGTGATTTGCATAAATTATAACTAGGGAAAACAGTGGCATAGTTGCTTGAATATAGGCTAATGAAATTCAGTTGCGAAATGCTTGCTTTGGTGTGTATAAATTTTGAATGAAGAATGGATGTTGGATGCAGCTTTCGGAATTATGAAGGATATTTGCATGTAAATCAGTTAGGTTCGTTATTGAGTCGTTACTGTCTTGCCACGTTGAATGTTTGTGGAGCTTCGGAATGAAATCTTTTCGTGGTATAGTGACAGCTAGATGGAAAATTCGAAAGTTAGATCATAATAGTGATCGAGATATCTATAATTTCGGAAACAACATCTTTTGTCGTGACTCGTATTTTTGGGTAATTTTTTACCACGTGGATCCTCTTCTTAATCTATTTACCAATTAGATGTGGCCTATGGCGCAACCACATGTAAATATTATTTATGTTACCTTTTTTGCTGAGTCGTCCGTTGTAATATGCCGAGATCATTTATCCTACTTTAACACAAACTGTTTAGTGTTGAGATAGAAAAGGTTTGGCTAAGAAGATTTCTTGCTTTCTTTCTGACTTTCACACCTTTTACGCTTCTCGACATTATGTATGGATTACTATTGTGACATGGCAGCCTGCCACTCTATTTCATCCGTGCATATGTCCAATTTCAGATAACAAAAATCATTAATAACGATTCCATTTAGTCAATAGTTCCGTACAATTGCTTTCTCATTCTCCTTTTTCTTAATTTATGATGATCTTAATACATGACTATGTAATATATTTTATAATATACTTGATGAAATAAATATACATTGTTGAATATCATATTCACTGGATTTTACGGAGGAAGAATTGTCTTTTTAACTTCTCACAACACATATTGTTATTATGAATATACAAAGGGAACGGATTCTTCTTTTTCTATAAGAACACGAGTATGTATACGTCATTTCTCATGAATTGTAACCTTGCGCGGTAAATTGTTATTTTCTACATCCTCACATTACTGGTTTTCACGCAGGATTTGGTTGGTTAGTCGCGCACTTCAAGTGGTTGGAAAGTTATTTCACTTCTTTGCTAGAGGAGCACCAGATAATCGGTTTCTCTGTGGCTTTACATGATATTTTGAAGTTGATTGTCGGCTGGCCTTCTCTTTCGAAGGTATCTTGTCGTTTGTGGAGGGTTTTCTTGTGTCCATGCTGGCGGAGAGCATGCGTGGAACCCGTAATTTGGGTAATGCCCCTGACAAGAGTCGTTGCTGATGCACTCGGTGTGGTAACCGTTTGTCTTGTTGCCATATTGGTACTTCTCGGCGTCCTATGCATTTTGTATTCATTATACCTCCGCAGTCTGATCCATGGACAAGCTCTGGCTCCGCTTACTTACTTCAGCGGTCCGTGGATCATCAAAATCTTATTCATCATTCTCGCCATGTGGTGGGGGGCCTGTGAAATTGCTCGGTTGAGTCTATTGAGGCATAAAGGGAAGTTCTTGGGCAAGCTCACTCATCAATGGCAGCAAAATGTTTGCAAAGGGTACATAATCTCGAACCTAGGATTTTCCGAGCCTTGTTTGTTTATTACTCTCACGTTTCTCCTCCGCGCATCTCTGCAAATTCCCGGAGCGTTAAGTCGGATGTGGAACAGGAAAACTACCGGCTTTGTTCTTCTTTATTGCTTGCCGATGTGCATTCTTCAGATTACGGTTATTTCCGTTGTCCCGAAATATAAGGAGGAGCTTCGTCCAAGAATCCCGTCTTATTTCTTTGAAGCGGCATCGTCCCCGAGATCTGCCGACGATATCGTCCACTGCACTTACCCGCTGTTGAGTACAATCTTGACCGGTCTTTTCGCTACGGTATTGACGGCTTACTTCTTCTGGCTCGGGCGGCGAATCCTTCATTTGGTCATCAGTATGCGTTTGCGTAAAAGGGTTTACGCATTGATCGTCTCGATTTCGGGCCTTTTCCCGTTGAGAGCTATTCTGCTCGGCTTATCCATCCTCGCGGATCCGGGAGACGTCTTGTTCGACGCCATTTCGTTCTTGTCTTTTCTATTGTTTTTTTGCAGCATGGGTATGATTATCTGCATAGTTATATACCTACCGATTGCCGATTCTTTATCCTTGAGGCGTCTGCAAATAGATTCGGAGGCGGGAAGACAAGCCTGCGGCGGGTATGATGAGTCGAGCTCTTTGATTGGCGGTCGGAGCCCGGTCGAAGGAAGCGCAAGAAACTCAGCCGGACAGGGTTCGATATCATTTCATCATGCCGGGGATGACGATGGAGTAGAACCTCCTCTGCCGGTCTCGGATGCAGGTTTTGTGGAGCTGAACCTGTTTAATTCTAGCATGCATTCGAGCCCGCCTGGCTCGCCGAGTCTCGACGGTTGGCCTGCCACCGGAGGCCGCCGCAGTGGCGGCGGCGGCTAGCTAGCTAACATTTTTGTGACGACCTGGAAACTTTGTTGTAAAGGATCTTTAGCTTTGAAATAATCTGATTTCTAATTTTGGTTTTGAAGATGATCCTTATGGGTATACCCAAATATCATATCGAATTTCGGTACGATAAAAGTACGCAGAAACTAAAGTTTCGATAATGTATATGCAGTTATATGGAAATCTAATGAAGATAATATGCTGAAGAGATTTAATGAATAAAAAAAATATATAAATAAAAATAATAATTATATATAATATATTATTTTTTTAAAAAAAATATATAAAAATATATTATGTAAAAGAAGATCTCCATCTTTACACAATAAAAAAGAAATGTTCAAAAGGGCAGAAGACGACGACCGTTGACCAATAGAGGGGCAAAGTTGTAAAATGACAGGTGGGAACGACCGTGGCCGCCGCCAGCTCCCCACAGTTTCTAGTCTCTTCTTTTCATCTGACTGCCAAACTCAAAGCAAAGTCCCCTTCTTCCCTTCTCTTGCAACGCCAGATTCAGATTCTTCCTTCTTCTTGAGCTTGCTTGCTACTTCTTGGTGATTCAATGGCGTCGTTCAATGAAGCTCCCCCCGGCGATGCCAAGTCCGGCGAGAAGATCTTCAAGACTAAGTGCGCGCAGTGCCACACCGTCGATAAAGGCGCCGGCCACAAACAAGGTTTTCTCCTGAACGCTCTTCTTCAATCGCTTGCTGGACTTTGATTTCCTCTTCTCTATATTGATCTATGCGTGCGTCGAAATTTGTTGTGCTTATATGTATCTTTGTTTGATTGGATCCAGGAGCCTTAGATAGAATTCAAAGATTTATTATTCGGCGATTTATATTTTTTTGAAGTTTTAGGAACTGTGTTGTTTCGATTTTCTGATGTTCCTCTATGAATTATTGCAAATTCGTAGTCGCATCATCTGGAATTCGGAATGCATTCTTTATTTGATTGGAAATATTAGGAGAACTATCAAACAATTTGGCAAAATAAATCCATGTTTTGATTGTATTGATTTGTTGAGTCTTAAGAGAATATTCTCATTATGTGAACCTGCAGGTCCAAACTTGAATGGCCTCTTTGGAAGGCAATCTGGGACTACTCCTGGTTATTCTTACTCGGCGGCAAATAAGAACATGGCTGTAATCTGGGAAGAAAAGACACTTTACGACTACTTGTTGAATCCTAAGAAGGTAATCATGCTAGTGATAGTGTGTAATTAATTGGATGACCTCTCGATATCTGAGACATTGTTTCTCCATAGTGTCTCTGGCTTCTATCGATCATTGTATTCTAGATTATGAATATACATACACCTATTTGTATATTTCCATGTTTATAGTGTTTTACAGTATATTTGTCTTCATGGACTTGATTTCTATTGCCCCGGAATTTGTGTTCTAGTGATTTTGTTTATGAAATTATTTATCGTATTCTCTTTTTCGATAAACCTATTGAATCTGCATAGCTATTTAATTTACACATTCCCATTTTTCCGTTGATCCGAGATGATCCTGATAAAAGCAATCTCTATTTAATATTTGGTGCACATACATACTCATGACATCGATATGAAATTATTCTCACAGTAAATGTATCCCACAACACAAGTGCATTTTTGTGAATACCTTGTAAAGTAAGTAGTGCTACTATACCCTGCTGTTTATATTGAAGGTGTGCGATCATTTTATAGGAACATGCTCTTTGGTTATCTTAGATTTTTGTTGTACAAATTTTACATGTCATCTCTCACTTCCACGAGATGAGAGGTGGAAGATAGAGCTTTTAGAGATCAGATTTTCGTGTTACTAAACAGACCTTTCCTTTCTGAGCTATTGGCATCACAAATATGCAAATATGGACAGATAGATATACAAAATTTTGTGATCCTATTATCTATGTTAGTTCTTTATTTACTCTAGCTTTACATGTGTTGATGCCTCTTCTTTTGTGAAATTTCTTGCGTAGTAATGATAATCGGGATGGTTTCTCAAGTGGACACTATTTTTTTGGTGCAGTACATTCCTGGAACCAAGATGGTCTTCCCTGGATTGAAAAAACCTCAAGATCGTGCTGATTTAATTGCTTATCTCAAGGATTCTACTGCTTGATCACATTTATCTGAAGAGAGCATGTCACATTTTTCTACCTTTTGAAGGTATACTTACTCATTTGTTTGTCCCGTAGGGAAGTTTCTTCAGGCAAACAATAGCAACTAGTACTTGAAGAAATAAGATTGCCGTATTCATTTACATGCCCCGCTGTTTATTAATACCAGCAGCTAGTAATTTTGCTGCATAAGATGGCTCTGATTTTCCCCTCATTTATTGAATACATGTTACAACAATTTAATAAATCTCACCTTTTTCATTGATAACTTCTTTGTATGAATGATAATAATGCTGTTCGATTCTCTTGTTACATACACTATTTGGGATTGGGTGAGCTGAAAACTCTGTGATTTCTGTGTTATTAAAGAGCTGTAGCAGTATGTTTACTAGTTTGTTTTCATCTATCACGGCTTCCAAATCTAGAGGGACACTTAGAGTTATAATGTTCGATAAAGGATGTTCTTGGAACACTAGAATGGTGTAGAGATCTGTAATAGAGTTTACAGATTTCTAACATGATCTATAGGATTGAGTGAATCTCTAACATTCATGAGATGCGACGGTTTAGATATTAGCCATGATAAAAGGGCGAGGCGTTGTAGGAAAAGGACTTACAAGTGCAATTTCATGACAATATGCTAAATGAGAGTGTGCGGATAGCAATTAAGACATGATCATACGTTGAATTATTACTGCTATGATAAGTTTTGTCATCATGATGTTGATAACAAGATGGTCGTGCTACTTAACAAAATTGTAGTCGTGCTAAATGAGATGACAATCTTATTGTTGGATTAGACAGTTTTTTTGTTGATTCATAGAACGATTTTGTTGTTGGAAAGAAATGATTCATCATAAGACATCAAAACACATAAGGCTTCAACGACACGAAGAAATTGGAGTGATATTAAACGATTTGCTTATCACAATAGGATATATGTGTGATACCCCGGACATAATAGAGATAGTAGAATTTAAGTAGATCGATTAGATTGTTGGGTAAGTATGAAAGAGGAAGAAAAGGAACGCGAAGGATTGTGTCCATATGGGAAACACAAACAAGGCCACCCCTCTCTATTAATGATTTGGTTCCAATAATAATAAATGGACCATTTGAAATATGGATTGGATAGGAATGATCGATGAGGTGAATTTCAGTGAGTCTCACACTTCTTCTGTTCCACCATCTCAGCCACCACAATTCAAATATGTAGTGGATCAAAAGAAATCAAGCTTAAATTTTAAAAGTAAGTTTTTGTTGTAACGGTTTTAAAGGAGATCAAAAGGGCCTATAATTCAAGAAGATCATCATGGGCAATGGAAAAAACAATTACAAGGTGGTTACAATGATTAAGTGATGTAGTATAAAATATGGATTTATTGACCACTACTTTCATTCTTACGAAAATAATATTAAATGGCCGTTAGTCTATCAGTTAAAGGCAAGACAAGACAGTGATCGTGAGACTATGGGTTCAAATTTCGATTCCTCCAAGTCACATATGGTTTGTTTAACTTGATTTGTCGGGCTTACTTTACGGGCTATTAGATTTTCCGTCTTTTCTTTGATTGATTTATCTTATATTTTCTCAAATATATCATATACTACTGGAGATTTGCATCGAATTGCCCGAGAATCTAAAAATCCTCCCGACGAGATGTTTAAGGCCAAAAATCGAATTTTTCAGGCCAACACTAGTCAAGCATTCTAATATATACATATACATACATACAAAAAAATTCTCTCCTCTAAAACACCTATTTCTTATCTCCTACTATTTCAAAAACAGGATCAGACACCTTGGCGCCGTTGGTTTGCTTCTCTCTGGCGGCGGCGGCGGCATCTGACCAATGTTCCGGCGATGTAAATTTAAGGTCAATGCTGGTTTTTCTATTGAAGTGTAGCGGAGGGCTGCCGCCGTCCATGTCCATAATTGAATAAGGGAATGCAGACAATCCCGGCCCCGAGGCTGTCGCCTGAGGATCGCTCATTCCCCCGAACTTCAACTCAATGTACTCAGATGGATCCGACGGTGATGGCGAATCAAGATCACGCCTTTTGTCGTGTTCAGATGGCTCGGGCTCGTTGTTTTGCATGTACCCTTTTGGAAGTTCGATCGTGTAACAAGAATCGTCGTCCTCAGGATTGTATTCGTCGAGGTTGCACATCGACTGCCGGCTCCATTTCTGAACACAAGTAAACTTCAATTTTTAACTGAGATGATCATTTTTCATGATATCAGATACGGAAATCCCGTGTTCGAATCCCACTATCCGTAACAAAATATCGTTCTAGGAGATGGTTATTTAACATGAAGAGTCGAAAGATAGATACACCTTCATGAATGCTTTAAACTCAGCATCAGAGTCGAGTGTCGCGACATCTCTCGATTCGTCGGCGCTGTTTCCCATAGATTCAAGCCCGCTCGCCTTTCCGGCAATGGCTTTTCGTCTGCGAGGGGAGGTTCTAACAATCAGGATCTTGTCCGAACACAAAGAACGATCGTGTAAACTCAATGAGTATAATTCACATACCTTTGTGTCGCCCCCTCACATCGCGCCTTGGCGTTAATCTCTTTGCTAGGCAGATATTTTGGCAAAGTCGACGCCTCACAAGGCAAAGGCTCTCTAAAGAAGAACTATACGAAGATCGATCATTAGTATAACACGACTTGAAGGCATCCATACGGCAACAATTTTAGTGAATCCGGAAGAAAATAAACTTCACCTCACTTTGGAGCGCAGCAGCGGCCGATACTCTTTGCTCGGGTTCGAAAGCAAGGAGAGATTCGAGAAGGGCTAAAGGTGAAGCCGGGAAGTCCTTGAACGCCTCAGCAAGACATCGTCTGTAAGGGTGTGGAGGTTTGAAGATCATTGCACGGGGCGATTTTAAATTTTTCCAGTAATCCTCCGAGGGCGAACCGCAAAGCTTGAAGATCTTGTGCAGCTGCTCAACCTGCAAACAAAGATAAAGACGAATTCTTGATCCAAATCGGTTCGATCCAACAGCTTAAAGCTCGATTATCCGAGAATTTTTACCTCAGTCCTTCCCGGCATTATCGGTTTCCCTTTAAAAAGTTCAGCAAGAATGCAACCCGAACTCCACAAATCTACTGCTGTTCCATAATCTGCAACGCCGAGCAGAAGCTCAGGCGGTCGATACCATAGGGTTACAACACAAGTAGTTCGAAGCTGTTTCTCTCCGGGGCGAAACCTAGATGCAAGTCCGAAATCACCAATCTTCAGATTCCCATTGTCGTTGATCAAAAGATTTGAGCACTTAATGTCGCGGTGTAGCACTCCTCGGCTATGGCAGTGTTCGAGCCCGTGGAATAGCTGTTGCATATAGCATTTGATCTGCATGTTGACGAACGGATATCTACGGTATCATTAACCAAGAGATATCTCCGACGACTCTAGAGAAAGTGTCGCGAGTAATCGTCGATGTTGCATACCTGAGGTTCGGTGAAGTCGTGTAAAGCTCCGAGCCCGCCGAGGTCGTGCTCCATGTACTCGAATACGAGGTACAAGCTGCCTGAAAATCGAGAAGTGATCAGACCTTCGAGTTTCATCACGTTCGGGTGGTCGAGCATCCGTAGGATTACGATTTCGCGAGCCATGAATCGAACACTGCCGCGGCTCTTGTTCTGAAAATGCACCTTCTTCAGCGCAACGATTTTTCCGGTTTCGAGATCACGAGCTCTGTACACGTTGCTGTACGTCCCTTGACCGATCTGCGAAAGATATTTGTCGGGTAGTCTAAATGCACTGTAAAGGTATTATTCAAGATCGAGCGATGAATTACGATAATTTTCGACATATATATATATGTATGTATATGTATACCTTGTCTAACTTCTCGAACGATTCTAGCTTTCGCGGTAGCCATCCTCTGATGGCGTCGCCTGCCACGGCGCTGAGCCACGTCGGCCATCCAGCTGCGACTTGCGCCTCGTCGATTCCGTTCCGGACATTCAATGCCGTGCAAATCCTCGGCTGCTCCCCCTGCAATCCGCATTTCGGCGTTTCGATTCTTACGAATCCTTGCTCAGCTGGTTTGTCAATTGCATCAACTCTCTCATCCTCTTCCTCAATCGTGGCCAAATTCGGTCTTTCGCCTCCTTCCTCAAACGGAGCTAGCGTCGAGCTGCTGCATTCTTCACCACCGCCTTCCTTGGCGCCATTTTCGGCAGAATTCACCTCTATCCTCTCCTTGCAAGAGGAATTTCGAAAACTGATTATCTGTGGAGAAATTCCCTCCTTCCTTGATGATGATACTCTTTTCGAACGTCTCTCCGATCGCTTGCTGCTACCGATTCTTCCCTCCGATTTGGCTCCTTTTGCACAAATGCAGCCCATATTCGAATTCGATCTTTGTTTTTCTTAACAGGAATTCTGATATGCCAAGCAAAATGCTAATTCTAAATCCGTATCCTCTCAACATCAACATCACGGCCGGGCATTCTATTTTTTTCGGCACAGAGGCATTTGATCGAGCAGTTGGCGTGCACTAGGTATCGTTCGAATAGAGAAGAGCGTGTTGATGAAAGAACGATGAGATAGAGTAAATGGGGAATCAAATGAGCGACGGAGAAACTTTTTGTAGGGAAAGGGAGAATAGAATTCCCAGAAATTTTAGGTGCCATTGAATTGAATCAATCAAGATCAAGATTCAACACCCAATTACGTCCTACCATAAACTCCTCCTTAATCTATTATGATCATATTCAAGTATCAAAAGAAACATACGACTTGAAACTATTTCTAAATTTTCTTAAAAGAAAATGATATCTTAATATTAGTTTAAAATTATTATTATTTTTTTTAATAAGATGTGTTCAATTAATACTTTTATTTTTTTTATTTTTTATATTAAAAATTTAATTATATATTTTGTTTATATTAGATAAAACAATTAATTCAATTTAAAATATAATTATTCAAAATCTCACATTTAACCTTCAAACTTACTATCGAATAAAAGCACCCTAAAATTCTTCTAAATTTGAAGTAGTTTATTAATAAAGTTATTAATTTCTTACTAATTATACTATACTTAAAATTCTTAAATTAAATAAGACAATTTAATTAGAACATAAAGTATATTTTAGTATTAAATACTCCTAATATGATACTCCCTTCATTCTGCATACATGTCCATATTATCGTTTCTATCTAACGTACCACGTAATTTTACTTTTTTTCGAAAATAATTATACACCTCAATTTCATTTTAAATTTTTTAATTTATTTTTTTTTAATTTTAATTAAATTAATTAATTATCTTAATTTTAATTTATAATTATTTATATTATATAATAATTATTTTTACTAATATATTTTTAATTATCTACTAATTACATTTCTCGTAAAATATTGTAGTTATAGTTTAGCAGAGGGACGGAGAGAGAGTAACATTAATTAACATCAACAAACAATATCTAATAATTTATTTAAATATAGTATAAAAAAAATATAATAGAAACCATTACGTAAGCCTGCCAACGCTCACGCTAGCGTCGTGGCTCGTCTCTATTGGTCAGTCGCATCAAATTAATTAATTATTTATTATTTATAACATCCAATAATAATGTGTCGGGTCCCTGACAAGGAAAGCTAAGAGTGGAGGGACTATAATGTAAATATCCCCATCCTGACAATTGCATTTCCGCTCTCCACGACCACGAAACGAGAGATTTACCTTAACAACTGAACAACAGTACATATATTAATAGCAGAGCGCTCCCAAAGGCCAAATTCCAATTTCCAATCAATCATCCAACCAGGCAAGGCAACGCGAATCGCTCTGGCAATTGGCACCAATCACTCTGCGTGGCGCCCGCCATTGATATTCCGATTCTCATTTCCAGTCAGGCGGAATCCATCTTCTCCTTTCTCCGAGCTGCGTGCTTGCGCCGTTTCATTCACTGTTTGCTTGCGTTGCGTCGACATTCCGTCGCCGTCTGATCGTTGCGGCAATTCGTGTCGTAGGCTGCTATCATTTATTGCGATCTCGAGGTATGGATTTGGAGTGTGTTCTTTTGGAAGTTTTTGTTGTAGTTGCTCTGCTTTTTTTTGGTTCAACGTGGAAGTTGTTGAGGCCTTCCGTTTATTGCTCGAGATTTCGTTTTTATTTGAAATTTCCGAAAGTCTACGCCGTGTTGGTCAACGCCGGAACTTTTTATTTGAAGTTTACTCGCAGGGCATGTCGCTGAATGGGTATGATGGCGAAGACGACGACTTGGGTTTGCATAGAGATAAGGTAAGTCCAAAGGTGCAGCGACAGTGTTTTTTTACACTTCTAAACCACTTTGGAACCCGTGTTGAATTTCATCAGTTACCAATATTCAATTTTTCTGTTTAAATAGGCGCAAATGTGGTTCAATATTTACATAGTTCAACCGGTATGTGGTTCAACACGTAGAATTTTTTATTTTTTTATATAGTTAAACAGTAACTACATTATTTGATCAGTGTTATATTAAGAAAAACCAATCATTTAACGATTGAGAGATTGCTATCAACGCCAAGCCTACATTGTTCAATATTTTTAAAATGAAAAACTCAATTAATTAACGGTTGATTAAGCAACATGCTTATGTTTATAGTTTTATATTGTCAAGCGGATTTTTTTATGGGGTCAACGGAACAATTTTGGGATCAGTTTAGCACATGATCCCCTCTCCTTGTAAACACTACTGTTGGTTAGGTAATGGAATCCCACGATTGTTTTCTAGAATATTTGTTTTTTAGTGTGCATGCGTGTAGAGGATAGAATGTTATTATGTCGCATATTATACCATAGAAACTTGGTGTTAAGTAATCTCAACATGTAGTGATCTCAATAAGAGAAATCTAGAAGGATTATTGATGTCACTGCGTAATCTTTATCAGCCTGCAGTAGCTTGTCATGCTGGTTGATTTAAACAGTCCGTGTATTTTTTGCCTATCCATTCCTACCCACTTCATTGTTTTCTGTTCTTTTTATAATCCATGTATTTTGAACCTTCCAGGCTAAAGTTGATCCTGGGATTGCTCCATCTTTGGCTTGGAAACGAAAACTGACTACCGAGGAGAATGGCCTTTCTGAGTTCGGTCTAACATTGAGAGAAAAGATCACTTTGGTATTCTTTTGAACTTGTTTCTTAGTTGCACTTTTCCAACCAATTTAGTTGTTAGCCATGAAAATCAGCTTTTCTTATTTTTGGTTTTGATGTGGCTTTGGATGTATGGTGGTTCCCAGATAATATACCTACAGTTAACATCTTAGTGACTGAGATCATATTGTTCAAATACATATTTCATTTAAACCTCTTTTTTTCCTTCTATGGTCTTTTATGTGGTAGGCACCTATAGGTTATAGGATCTGGCGGCAACTTCGAGCACAGAAAAACAGGCAGAATGTAAGTTTTCTTCACTATTGAACTGGAATTCCACAGTTTGATACCGATTGTAAAGAGTGTGTTTTGTTTCTGTTTTGGCAGAAGCTATTTCTGGATCCTTTCACAAAGCGCTACACATCATCGTGCCATGGAGTTCCTCTTGGGGGTATCGGGTATGTCTGATGGCCCTTTCTGCTTTTGCAATTCAAGTAGTAGATTGGTTATTATTCAGCAGTCTGATATGCATATTCAGGAATAGGTTTTGTAGTTTATACTTTAATAACCCATCCTATCTTGAAGCCCTTCAGATTTGAAAAAATAGCTCTTTTGTGTTTTATAAAGCAGGAAGGCTTCATAGTTCATGGATAATTGGTATTGTTCAAGATCTTTTCCTTGTTTTTATGACCTTTTCCAGAAAATAGGGAAACAAGCAATTTCATTCCATGAGTCAAGTTGTTGCAAGGCAGGTTTACTTGTTATTGATGTGAGGATCATGGTCCTTCATCTTTGTTTTCAGAGGATCTTCTATATTATGCTGTGTTATCCTATTTTGGAAATTTTAAGTGAGGGGAAGTATAGATAAAATTTAGTTTTGTTGAGATATATTTTAGATAGATATATTGATTAATATTATTTTTAAATTTGGCGATTATTATTAAGGCATATCTACTATGTTAGATTAATATTATTGGAATTTATCATTATTAATAAACAACTCATAAATTCTCTCATTATGTAACAAGTTTAAATGGTACTACAAGTTTAACTACGGGTGTGTTTGTTTGGGGGTTTGGATTTTGAGTTGGGATTTGAATAGTAAAAGTTTTGAATTAAAATAGTTGTATGATGTGATATAAATAAGTGTTGATGTGATGTTTTGAATGAAAAATTGATATTTAGTATGATATAAAAAATGAAAAATAGGTGTTTGATTTGATGTTTTTTGGGGGAAAAATGGAATGAATAGTGGAAATTAAATCCAATCCCCCAAACAAACACACCCTACATCGATCCAATTATTTATAAGCATGAAAACTCAGGTGTGGAAGCATTGGCAGAAGCTGCAGAGGTGAATTTATGCGTTGGCATCTATTTTCTAGGATTTGTGAGGAGAAACCAGTTTTAGCAAATCAATTTTCAGTAAGTCTGGCAGTTTGAGTTGCTTATACTTCATATTGATATCATATCAAACTCATGTTACATGATGAATCATTTCCTCCTATACTATATATATGTGACATCTCATCTTTCTCTATTCTTTCATTGGGGTGATGCATCTTCTATTTGAATGTTGTTTGTGGGTTCAATAGTTGCTGTGTACTTTGCACTATAGAAAATGGAACATAAAAAATAGCTGCTTGTCCATCTTGAAATTTTACTGGGTTGTGTAGGTTGCACTTGGTTGTATATTGATGGTGGGAAGTAGTGTAAGGTTTTGGTACCAATAATAAGGAATGTCATTTATGTTTTCAGTTTAGTATGAAATTTTATGCTCACTTTATTACTGACATAATGTCTATATTAGGTTATTCAGTGAGTTGATGATATAGTACTATAGAAGTTTAGTAAATTTCTGTGGAGTATGATGGTGTAGAAAATGAGGATATATTTTTGTGTAGCTAATTAATTATACCACTGTAGTTTGGTGAATATTACCCTACTAAGATATTGTGAGTAAATACAAAATCTTAATAGCTCTTTTTAACTAATTGCTCATAAAAGACTGGGGATCAATGGTCTGTCTGAACAGGTTCTCACTCTAGTCACAATCTGTAGTTAAACAGAAAAATATAAGGGAAAACATGTCAGCATAAAAGAATGAATATGCATTGTTTCTGCCAAATTTCCTCAGCTCAAGATCTTTTCTTGCTCCATGCAAAATGGTATCTTGTACAATCTGCTGCTAGTCTATAAGTGTACCTTTTATTTATAATTATCTATGATAGTCTATGTTAGGTATCAAGAATTATAAGGACCTACGTCGTAAATACTCTAGTTTTGGCCTGTAAAAGGTAGTATTTTAATTGCAGTACACCGGCCTGCTCTTGTCTGTCGACAATGACACAGCGTGCTCTATCCTTTCAGGTATTTATTTCTCGAAAAAACGGCGAAAAGTATTCTAGTGTACTGTGCCCAAGGAACCCTGATATTTTAAAGTAAGCCATTGTATATAAATATATATCCCTTTTGTACCAATTTATATTCTATTCTGTATGTAATATTAAATGAAGAAAGTAAGAATCTTGATTCTATTCTATTCTCTATTGGTGACCTGTTTTTCTTAGAAGTTGTTCATTGCCTCTAAATGATATGAATATACAGTGGGGATTCAGCTAGTGGGATAGGATCTTGGGATTGGGACCTGGATGGACACAAATCCACGTACCATGCATTGTATCCAAGGGCTTGGACTGTATATGATGGTAAACTTCTGACCATCTTAGGATTTCTTGGTTTTATTCCTGAGTTCACAGATCTAGTTTCTCATTGGATCAACTTTTCTTATTCAATGAAGGTGAACCTGATCCAGCTCTAAAAATTGTGTGTCGGCAAGTTTCACCCTTCATCCCACACAATTATAAGGAGAGTAGCTTCCCTGTGTCAGTCTTCACTTATACGGTAACTAGACTTTGTCAACTCTTTATGTTTTCTTGCCCCCTTCATTTCCCATACCACCCAACATGAGAGTAAATAAAATGGGTGCTGAATCCTTCATGTTAAGATATTTGTAATGATTTTCAGTTGTCTAATTTGGGGAAGACAGAAGCAGATGTCACCTTGCTGTTTACATGGGCAGTAAGTTCTCTTTCCTCAGATTCCCTACAACAGCCCCCATTCATTTTGATTAATTAACCATGTACTGACAATGTTGTGCTGTATTACATCTGTATCTGCTACTAATGTGCACGGATATGCAAAAGATATTTCTCATAGTTCATTGTTTAATACTGTTAGAATTCTGTTGGTGGGGATTCTGGACTCTCTGGCCATCATTTCAATTCAAAATTTCGGTAAACTACTTCTGAAGTCTTGTTAGTTTCTTTCATCCCATGATCATATCTTGTGTCTAAAATGGCCTTGTTTTGCAGGACGGAGGATAACGTAAAAGGTGTTCTCCTGCATCATATGTAAGTGGCTGCACTTGTCACTGATTATGATTCTCTGAAATATATTTCCTACATTTTACATGTAATTCCTTTTGGTTTTCTGTATTCCTTCTAAACTGATATAGGACTGAGAAGGAACTTCCCTCAGTTACTTTTGCAATTGCAGCAGCTGAGACTGATGAAGTTCATATATCTCAGTGCCCATGTTTTGTGATATCTGGAAACTCCCAGGGCATCACAGCCACAGAAATGTGGAACGAAATTAAGGAGGTAGGCACACATTGCTTTTCGAACTTTTATCACTGTAGAACCAAGTGTGAAAATGATTAAATGTTTTATTATGTCATCGTGTATGTTTTGATTTTCTTTCTGAGCTCCTCTGGCAAGTTAGACAAGTTTGTGACATATTGCATTCCCTAAAAAACAAACAAACAATTTGGTGTTTTCCTAGCAGAGAAGATATGGTTGGTATAGAAGTGGTCAAAAGTATCATATTATAAATCATTCAAATACTACAAAATAGCCTCCATTTGGAATTTTATTGCGCTATTTAAATGCCAGATATAGAAGCTCTTGGAAGTCCAACGATCTCTATGTAATATTTGCTTATGTTTTAACTTTTAAGCATGACATTAGGCTTTTCCTTGGCCGATTTGTTTGTTCTTGTTTTTATCTATCATCATTCTTGACAGTCTAAGTGGTTCCCTTTTAAGTAGCATGGATCATTTGACCACCTAAGTGCCGAAGAGATGTCAATGCCTTCTGAACCTGGTTCACTTATTGGGGCAGCCATTGCTGCTACTCTAACCGTACCTTCAGAATCCGTTAGAACTGTAAGCTTCTCGCTGGCATGGGCTTGCCCCGAAGTAAGCTTTCAGGGGGGACGGACATACCACAGGTCAGTAACCGATTGCCTACACCCTTCGTATTGATAACCAACATAATTGGTGCTCTTCCCAACTGATTGAATCATTTTCGATCAGGCGTTATACCCACTTCTATGGCACTCAGAGCACGGTGGCTTCAAATATTGCACGTGATGCAATTTTTGGTAAGATCTCAAAAGCTTCTTCATTACTAAAGTGCAATATAATGCATTTCTAATCTTGTTTTCTTTTTTTGACTTTCATTTCCAAACTAAGATCATCAGCGTTGGGAGTCTGAAATTGAAGCATGGCAAAGGCCTATTCTTGAAGACAAGAGGCTTCCCGAGTGGTAAGTTCTTTTTACTACAATCCTGTTCTGGCTTAGACCGTTTATATCTTTGGTGATTTGCTGCAGGTACCCTCCCACCCTCTTCAACGAGCTTTACTATCTAAATGCAGGGGGATCAATTTGGACGGGTAATTAAAAAATGTTACCTGAATTTTGAGGGTGATTGAGTTAACATGATATATTGAGATTGATTTGGATCATTCTAAACTTTCCAGATGGTTCTCCACCAATACATAATATGATTACTATCGGAAAGAAAAGGTTTTCTCTCGACCGATCTAATTCAGTTATTAGAAACGACGAAGTGCCCGAGCAAAACGACACTGCAGTGAACATCCTTGATAGGATGACTTCGCTACTTCATGAGATTCATACTCCCGTGTCGATGACTTCTGCTCTGGGAACAAACTTGCTTCAGAAAGGAGAGCAAAACGTAGGTCGGTTCCTCTACCTTGAAGGGACTGAATACCATATGTGCAATACGTACGATGTCCATTTCTATGCATCATTTGCATTAGCTATGTTGTTCCCCGAACTCGAACTAAGTATACAGAGGGATTTCGCTGCTGCGGTGATGATGCATGATCCTAGCAAAATGGCACTTTTACACGACGGAACATGGGTCCAGCGAAAGGTTCTTGGCGCTGTTCCTCACGATATCGGGATGTATGATCCGTGGTTTGAAGTGAACTTCTACAATCTATTCGATACGGATAGGTGGAAGGACTTGAATCCAAAATTTGTGCTTCAAGTTTACAGAGATGTCGTCGTCACAGGCAATGAAGCATTCGCTCAAGCTGTATGGCCAGCAGTGTATGTCGCCATGGCTTACATGGAGCAGTTCGACAAGGATGGAGATGGAATGATCGAAAACGAAGGGTTTCCAGACCAGACGTATGATACGTGGTCCGTGTCTGGTATCAGTGCATACTGCGGCGGCCTATGGCTGGCTGCCCTTCAGGCGACCTCGGCTCTTGCTCGTGTGGTCGGAGACAAGGGCTCCGAGGACTACTTTTGGTATCGGTTTCTTAAGGCGAAGAAAGTGTACGAGAAGCTGTGGAACGGTTCGTATTTTAACTATGACAACAGCGGCAGCAGCACGAGCTCTTCGATTCAAGCTGACCAATTAGCCGGACAATGGTATGAACTTCTGTCTATTCACTTCACAAACGTCTGGATGGAGTAGTAACAGGTGAAAGTTTTTTGCAGGTATGCCCGGGCTTCGGGTCTTCTTCCCATTGTCGACGAAGAGAAGGCGCGAAAAGCACTGGAGACAGTTTACGATTTCAACGTGTTGAAGGTGAAAAACGGGAGGATGGGAGCAGTAAACGGGATGCTTCCGAACGGAGAGCTCGACACATGCAGCATGCAGTCGAGGGAAGTCTGGAGCGGAGTTACATACGCAGTCGCCGCAAACATGATTCAGGAGGGGATGATGGATGCGGCCTTCAGAACAGCAGAAGGCGTTCATCAAGTGGTTTGGTCCGAAGAAGGTCATGGGTGCGTACCTAATGATCGATACTTTTCGTACTTTGTATACAGTTGTTCGGAGATATTCTGTAATGCGCAATGTGTGTGGTTCAGATACGCTTTCCAGACGCCGGAAGGTTGGGATGTTGAGGGGCGCTACCGAGCTCTGGCTTACATGCGGCCATTGGCGATCTGGGCGATGCAGTGGGCGCTGACGACGCAGAAAAGCATTGTTCCGAAGCAGGAGGAGAAGGGGGAGATGAAGGGGGACTCAGTGGCGCGGCAACATGCCGGTTACATGAGGGTGGCGCGGCTGCTGAAGCTGTCGGACGAGGCGGATTCGAGGAGCCTGTTCCAGCTTGTGTTTGATTTCACCTGTAAAAGGATGCTGGGATGAAGTGAGAGTTGCTCGTGTAACTCAACAGACACACAACACAAACAAACAAACAAACAGGTACGTATAGTATGTCTTGATTTTTATTGGGGAGGATATGCAGAAATGAGCCCCAAAACTTGCTGTGTGATAATTGGAAGGATATAGTAATTATTGTTGTGTAGCTTGCTTGCTTGTTTGATTGTGTGACTACTATTCTTTTGTTACGTTTTATATCTCTACTCTACAGAACAAATAAATAAATAAATCGAGCTTGAATCAAAACATGCATGTACTAGATGGATTGTTTTTATTTGTTGACATTCAAATTTATTGTTATATAGTGACAATGGCATATGAAATATAATCCCACAGCATATGATATCATTGTAAGGGGAATTCAAAGCCCATATAAAATGTTCCAACAAATAAAATGAAAACCCCAACACATTAAAATTTACTTATCACAATTCTTCTTCATGAGGTGGTCGAAAGAGACTAATAAAGGCACCAAATTTGTATGTGGATTAAAACGAAGGAAAGAGAAAGGCCAGTCAGTCCGAGAAGCTAAGAACAAGATGTCCGGTAGATTATCATCCAGTCTGTTAGATTACCAGAGAAAGTTCTACAGAGTAACTATGAAAGAACAGACCAGGCAGCATTACAAGGGGAAAAAAACAAAGCCTAAAAACTTCAAAATATGCAAAGGAGGTCGAATTGAAAGGACAATGACATTACAAACCCGTGTGCCAATCAAACGCAGTCAGTGTCAACGTTAGATTGCAAAACTATCAACAAGTTGATTGAGATCAGAATCAGAATAAACTCTGCAGTTGCATCTCTACTAACTACTGCATTGAAGAAAAGTCGAACAAATTACAACAACTTCAGACCACTGTCTTTGTTGTACTCAACAATCGGAAATAAGGGCATGAATTTCATATAACATAGGGTATATGCTCATACAAAATAAATCTGTTACCAATATAATAATCATCTCAACATCTATCCTTGTAGCCACAATAATGTCAGAGAAGGGAAAACTTTCAGCCATATGCTGTAAAATATGGTAGGAAACAAATAAAAAGAAAAAGAAAAAATTAAGCTGAGACGAATAGATTACCCTTCACTGGCTATTGAATGTGTTGTGTAAGCTCCTATACAGTGTCACAATTCACCCGAGTCTTCCGAGCATCTGACATGGAGGAACTTTAATTCATGTGGCGTTTCTAATAAGTGCATCATTTTCTTTACATCAATATTGTGCACTATTTTTCTCCGGTCTGGGCGTCTTCTAATCTTTGTTGCCTCAATCGCTCCTTCAATATCTTGCTCTCTTCAAAATTCGCCTTTCGCTTCACAGCTTTCTGACAGCAGAATGTATCATAATGAACTTAAAACGCTTTAACTGCTAAACAATAAATATTATGCACCACAAAAATAATAAAAACTTACTTCTTGGCGGAAACACTTATCGAGCTTAATTTTTAAATCCGTGCATTGGCCAAAAAACTTCCCAATAGGATGGTCTATATGACATTTCTGAAATTCTTCAATAATCTGCATTAGTATACAGTAACATGAGACTTTCTGCTACCTAGCAACTGAAAAGGAAAACAACAAGCTGATAATAGAAGTATTTCCATATACAACTAGTTGACAGCATCAAGGATATGGCTTCACATTCAAGATCACTAAAAACAAAACAAATTAAGATTTCAGCCATAAGTTAATGAGATCAATACATAGATTACATCATTGTGCCAATGAAACAAAAGAAGGGGATTATCCTACTCCGGAAACCATCAATCAAAAGCTATTCGAGGCGTAACAAGTCCTCCCCATGTTTGATTAATTGCAAAGTTTTAACTCATATCACTGTATCAGAAGGTTAACAATGCTGTATAACTTATAAAACAAGGTAGTTTATAGTCTTCAGAATATCCAATCAGTTGGTATAATACCCAAACTATTCTCAAAACTTGATGCACCAAGAGAGAATTGTGTTATCAGATAAAGAAATTAATTTTGGATAGGTAATAATAAATCTAAGCAACATTATTACTTACTTCAGCGCACATTGGGTGCCTGTGGAGTGTAAGAGGAGGATGCATTCTGCTCGTTGCTAATTACTAACAGAACGCAGAAGACCTACAAAAATTGCACAATTTTTTAATCAAACAAAAGGGAACAGCCAATCGCGATACGATGTCAAGAACCAAATCAATTCAATGATAATTTTGTGTATATATCGGTGTAACTCGGCCACTATTAAACGATTCACACTGAAATTTTCTGAACCTAGAAAAAAAAGAAAAGCTATGTCTTCCGAATCATCTCTGATATCGAATAAAAATGACAAAACAGTAACACACCAAAATTGGTGCAAATGCTTTACAGATATTCCCACGGTTGCTTCGCTTTTTAGCATATAAGAGGAAAAATGAACTTACAATTCTCTGCGCTGTAGGAGGAGACAAAGATGGCTGACGAACTAGTGGACGACGAACTGGTTTGCTACGAAACCAACTGAAGATGACGACGATGAATATTTTAGGGCTGGATTGGATTGATTGTGAATTATTGGGCTTGGACCGTTTTGTAATTAACGAAAGTTAGCGTAGATCGAATTTCTTTTTACAAAAATTTATTTCAATGAAATCTCGAAAATTATTTAAAAAATATTTAAAATTTGAGAATTTTTTTTTTCTAACATTAGTTTAAATATTTTGAAATAAAGTAAAATATGCAAAAATAAATAAATTATTATTTAATTAATAAATATTGTCTAAAATAATTATTTAACTTTAACGGATAATATTGCAATACAATTTATATATACACTTTTTCATTAAATACTATTCCCTCCGTCCAGAACTATAGTTGTTTGGCATAAAAAGTAAGGTTAGTTTTACAGTAATACGATGATTTATGAAAATAAAACTATTGTTTTGAAACAAACAGATAAAGAAGACTATTGGGAGAGAGAGAATACAATATTCATAACTTTTACGTGAGAATTAATATAAAATTATAAAATTATGAAAACAATATACAGTGTGTGTGGTTTTTTTTATTTATTTATTTAGATTTCAATTTAAATAATATTTTAATAAAAAATAATACGAAAATTTAAATAATATTAAAAAATTAAAAATAAATTAAAGAGAAGACAGCAACCAACCAAAACTGAGATTGTATTTGGTCTTCAAAATTACCCAAAGGCCAAAACTATTACTCTATGAAAATATATTACCCTCCCTATTTCATTGGGCTTTTATTTAACTTTTAAATATCCAGTCCACCCTTGCCCCACCCATTCCTCCCTATTCCATTTCCATTGGATTTTTATTTAACTTTTAAATATATATATATATGTATAATATATAATTTTTTTTTGAAATTAATAAAAAACAAATAATAGAAATATAAATATATAAAAAAGTGTGAATTTTTTTAACTAGTAATTATATTAATTTTTATTTTTAAAAATTACAAAAGTAAATATTTACAATATATAGTTATTGATATAGTTTTAGTTTGTTATTTTGTAATAAAATAAAAATAAAATTATTATTTTATAAATTAAAAATATTTTATTTATTTTAAAAATAAAATGTCTCCCCTCAAATTTGATCCTACTTCCGCCACAGGTATGTATCTTTATATATAACATGACGATCCAGCCTCCAAAACATATATAGACAACACAGGCGTGTATATATATATATATATGTATGTATAAAACTTGACTGTACTCTACAAGTTTACCTTGTGCTAGGAGGCTAGGCCTAAGGGGGGCCGGGGGGGCTCAACTCAACTCAACCCTCTCTGTGTCGAAGGCAGCTCTCTCAGGCCGATGCTCGCGACGGGCTGTTCGCGGATCCGAGACAGAAGTATCGATATCTGCTCGCTCGCCAAATCCAGCCGCTCCTTCGACTTGGCAGATTCCGTCACCAGCGTCGACACCATGCTCTGCAGCATCTGAATCCTTTCCGTGTGATCGCTGCGCATCGTCGCCTGTAGGTGTCTGCTGGGGGGAACGTTGATCCTGCGCCATCGCAGGGGCAGATACCTTTCGGGAATTTGGAAGCAGTTTCCGGTGGAGAGGACGCGCAGGGCGTGGCGGCAGAGGATTCCCGAGAACTCGAACAGGTGGCAGCTGCAGCTGAGGATGCCTTCGCGCGGCGCCCAGTAGACTTTCCGGCCGCCGTCGATCTTGGTGTGATGTCTGATGAGATAGCTGTTGTCTATTTGATACGACGCGTAGTGGGCGGCCAGGACGAGCTGTTCTTGGAGCTTCGAGAAAGCGAACGGCGTCAGGACGGAGGCGGCGTGGGATTCCATGGGAGCACCTGTTTTTAGGCTGATGTTTTGGATGTTTTGCTGCATCGTCTGTTGCTCGCCAGTCTGATCCTTGAAATCCACTGTCACGGCGACCTGATCGGAAAAAAATTGTTACGAACAGGAAGGGCGAAACGACGAGGAATTAAACTCGGGGAAGTTTACCTGTTCCAGGAAATGTGCGAGACGGGTTTGGGCGCTGAGAAACCGTTGGATGAATGCATTGATTGATTTAGAATGGCCAGGAGTCGTCATCCCTGCGAAGAAATTGCTTCTCAAGTAGGGTAGTGCCCAAAGGGTTCGTAGGGCGTACAAGCTAGCTAAGTGTCGATTTGCATGGAGGCCAAAAGAATTCACCATATCCCTCCAGCTCAATTCGAAATCCTCGATGCTTTCCATGTTGTACAGTCGATAGAACTCGGCCTTCCATTCGTTGTAGCGTTCCCCCAACACAGCATTGAACCACGACGGAAATTTCGCCACAATTAGCCATATGCAGAGGGTGTGTTTGGTGGTTGGCATCTCGATTCCCACGGCTTCTTTGAGGCACATGTTTTGGTCGGTCAATAATGTTTGAGGAGCCTTCCCATTCATGAACCCTAAGAAAACCTTAGGATTCGAAACGTTTTAAATTAGCAAGATACATGTAACTAAAGTGTAAACAATATCAAGACAAGTCATGCCGAACTTTTGTAAAATGATCAACGGATTAGTGGAGTGCTCGATTTCTAACTAGGACTGTAAAGATAAGATTGGAATTCTTAGACAACAGCAAAATATGAAATAAATGAGTTGCAAGAAGTGTATCGAAAAAAATGATGTATAACACTATTTTTACCTTCAAAGCCCAGCAGAATGACTTCAAGTTTTCTTCGCGAAGAAGAGCACATCCAAAGAAGCAGGGCATCCCATAGTTATTAACTCCGACCCATATTCCAAGAGGCATGTCGAAAGCAGTCAATCTGTGTGTCGTATCAAAGACAACTGCATCACCAAAAATCTCGTAAGCCTGGATGGATGAGGCGTATGACCATGCTATGTTTTCCAATCTACCAGTCGAATCAAGAGAAAACTCGAATTTAAAACTGGGATCTTTGTCCTTGATATTTCTGCACATTCTGAGTAAATCTATGCTCTCGTCCTCAGGGTCAGCTTTTCTGAAGGATTGGAGCAAATTCCGAACATCTTTCTCAGTGAATGGCAGATATCCAGGTTCCACACACTTCTCAAGCTCCAGTAGCCTCATCATCTGTTGCACCGAAATCCCAGTCTTGGCAAACATGAGGATCCGGTTCTTGTCAGATTCTGATATAGTTCGGTAGGCAGGAAGGAATCTCACTTGATCTTGCTCCAGAAGCTCATGATTGTGGTGATTTGCAAAGCCAGTGACTCGCCATTCAAGCACGCCCAATTCATTGTTCTTGCTTATTCGCATGTACGCTTGGCATCCACAACGTGAAGATTTTCTGTTCCTTTGTGGTTTGTTTTCATTCGATGATTTCATGGGAGTGTTTCCTGCTCGGTGGCAGACAAAGTACCTCCTTGTAAGACCTTTCCCAACGCCATCTTTACCCTCAGTTCGATGGCGCCTGATTGAGAACCCGCAACGTTTTGCAAATTCACTGTAGTATTCATAAGCAGCATCGTGAGTTGGAAACCTTTGCCCGATATATGGAATCGAATCATTTACAGTCTCTAAGGAGAGTCTTGTCTCATCTGGCGATTCCTCTGTGCTGCTTGTACCATCAAAGGAGACAGATCTACGATCCGAAGGATCATCATAAACCAACATCAGGTGCCCAGCCTCTTCGGACATCATATCAAAGCCTTCGAAAGGTTGCTTTAAAATTTTGCTACAGTCCGTCCATCTCTAAAGAGAAATTGTTATGCAACACAGAATCAGCTATAAGAAAACTAAAATTATTGATACCTTTATATCAAATTGAAATGCTACACATAAACAACATACAAAAACACATTTAACTCAATCAGTATCTATCTCATAGCAAAAAGCCATGACATTGCCTTCAGAAAATCCACAATGAACTCAAAACTTGAGTTCCAGTATCAGGAAGCAGAAATAACAAACAGCTAAAAACACAAAAAAACAGAATAAAATAAAAACATTATTTTAGGAATGCAGTAAAGGAAACAGCGTTTATATGATGAGAATTCACGCAGAGAAATGCAATTCCCAGCCTATTTAAATCCAACTCACACACGACTAGCAACGAACTACATATGCTGAGAAAACGAAAGGTATTATTCAGCAAAATGTCCCAATTAGAACGGATTTCAGTCAATCCAATAAAAAAATTGCCTACAATTAACAACATTTGATAGAAACAATAACAAAGAAAAAACGAACAATAGAGGAAAAGATAGAATAAAATAATTGAGGCACCTCGTTTCGAATAACAGCGGCGTCAATCGAATCCTCGGGAGAAAGATTACATTGAAATAACACATGCAAATATGAGAATCCGAGAGAATAGGAGAATTAAAATTTGAGCCTCTGCACAGAATTGATCCGTCGGTAAGAAGAACGAGGGAAGTTGGACTTGGCAGCGAAACGGAACCCTAAATTGCGCAGGCCTGTAATTACCCTAATTTATACGGGTGGCGCACGCTGCTATCTTGCGCTTCTTGAACGGACACTAATTACGTTTTCTTTTTTCTCCTTTTATTATATATTATTTTCAAAATAAAATAGTGGATAAATATTATATATAATTGCTATATTTAATTAAAAATAACATAATTATAATATTAAAAATGGCAAAACCTAAAAATGAAACAAAACATTTTAGGCTTGTTCATTTTAATATATATATATATATATATTTAAATATTGCAATGATATTTCTTTATAATTTTTAATAATTAACCATAAAATTACAAAATTGTTCAATATTAAGGCTATTTGTCCATAAGTGATTTGGTAATTTATAAAAATAAATAATGTATTTTTATTGTTATGTACAAATTATTTGATCGAGAACAACATAAATTATAACTAAACACAATCTAAATGTATGAAAAATAGGTGTTTGATGTATAATGTAACTACAAAAACTCGCGCATTGTTATAGAATAATTCTGTCACAACTCAGCAATTTTTTTCTCATAATTTTACATTACAACAAATTATACGTTTAAGTAAAAGTTGTCATAAAAAACATGTCATAATAGCAAAACAACAATGCTAATTTTCCGGCCTAGCTTTAGGTTCAACCGGAATTTACCTAAAGTGCACTCAAAAGGTAACGGATTTTCACGTCACAACAAAAAAATGTTGATTTTGCACAAAAAATTGGGACGGGACGGACATTCCCTCATGTTTGCGGCATAATTTTGCTACGGAAAATTACTAACCAAACAAAAAAATTTGAGAAAATCTATCTATTGTTAATTTCGTTGCAATATCTCCACGAGAGAACTTTACTATGAAAAGTAACTAATGACACAACAAATTGCGAGGGAATATATTATTAATATTAGTTCAATTCTTCACACCCAATTCAATTTATTAACTCAGATTAATAATTTTCATCAAAGATGCAAAAACTAAATAAAAATATGTACAAATTTAAAATCTTAACTAGTCTAATGAATCATATACTCCCTCCGTCCCGTTGGAAGGGTGGCGTTTGTTTTTTGCACGTAGATTTTTTAATATTAGTATTATATTGGATTGTAGTAGAAAAAGACAAAAATACCCCTATTAGTATGGTGTAATATAAAAGTAATGGCATTATGTAATATTGTAAGTTGAAAGGGTATTTATTATGTTAAGTAGGTAGTACAATAACCTTATTTTGGGACGAAGAAAAATGAAAAATGGTAATCTTTCAATGGGACGGAGGGAGTACGTTAATATAATATGAACAAAACACATTTAATATTAGTAATTTCATTACCAAATCCCAAACAAATGTATAAGGTTACTATTAGCCGATATTATACAAAAAAATCATAAAATCATAACTAATAAATCGGATAATGATCGAAATATGCTAATATCGGAGGACTACCACCATTTAAATTGAAGTGGTGCATGTGGAATAAATGATATTCTTATATGGCGTAACTGTTCTATAATATTTAAGTTCAAAATATCAATACGAAAGATAATGGTTACGATGGTTAGTCTAACGATTTGAACCAATAATAAAAAAAACATACTAACATTATTAGGGTGCATGTTCATGCTTTTTTTTACTATTTGAATTTAAATATTTTAAAATTAAATAATTATAAATATAATATTTTTAATGTGATCCTTTTTAAAAAAAATATTAAATAATAAAAATTTGAGCAAGATTATCCATATATAAATGGTGTGCACACAACAAAATTAATATATACATATTTTTTCAATTAATTTTATAAAAATATGATATACATATAGTCAATATATAATACTCCCTCAGTAAGTGTTTTTTATTGTAGATACGGAAATTTAGAAAACATATAATTATAAATTAATGAAAATAATTATAAATTAAAATTAAGATAATTAATTAGTTTAATTAAAATTAAAAAATTAAAATAATATTAAAATGTACAATTTTTTTTCAAAAAATAAAAATGACAAAACAAGTAAGACGAACAAAAATAAAAAAATATATTGGGATAAAAAAATATATTTTTGTCTATTCATATAATAACTTTATTTAATAATTTTTAGATAGTATGATTCCCACGAATATTACAATATATATATTATAGTAATATATTTTTTATTATTTGTAAAAGTTAATAATTTAATATAAAATATTATCGTATTTTTATATTGCCGACCTGATTTTTATATTTAATATTAAAAACGTATTTATCTTAAAAATACAAAATAAACACATAATACAATGTAAATTATTCTTTTTATGTTAATCACATAATATTTTTCATATTTAATACAAAAAATACATGTAAATTAAAGACACTAAACAAACACAGCTCAAACTTTCAATTACCATCTAATTTTCTTAATCAAGAAAATCTTATTATCATAGTAATAAACAAATATAAATGAGGGTAAGCCAAAACTAGAGTCACATGTAATATAATTTAAAATTTTAAAATGATAAGTAAATTTATTCTGTAAATTTGAAATATTTATTTTCTTTTTAATTTTTATTATATAATCTCTTAATATATGATTACTTGTCCGATAGTAAATTAATACGATCATATTACAATATTATTAGATTTAATATTATGATTGAAATCCTTGATATATTTATACATCCAAAAATAAACACACTATATGCCAGCCATATCATATATCATATATTCATATCATATCATATATTATATATTTGATAAAAAAATTTAAATTTTCGCATCCTCATAATTTTAGAGTTTTATGTTATTTTTTAAATATTAAAGTTGGATAATTAATTAAAATTTGTTATAATAACAAAAAAATCCAATATAATTAGGATTTGTTGAGATAATAAATAACAAAAATACTACTCATAAAATTGGAGTTTCGTATGTCTATATATACTTACTTTTAATTTTATAATTTGGTTAATCGTCTTATCAAGTTGAAATTTCATAGAGTGTTTGTGATTCGTTGATCTTTCCATCAAACTGTAAGTGATTGAATATAATGTGACAGAATTTTTTATTCGTAATTTTCATCTTAATTTTTCTTAAATTTATGATTTTCATCGATTGATACAATATTTATGGAGACGTGTTTACACATATGACTGTTATATACAATTTGATAATAATAGATTTTCTTTTTTATATTCAGTTGACCATTCATTCCATTATTCTTTGTTATTATATTTTTTTTTTAGTTTCTGCTAATCTATTTATAATATTCATGCAGAAAAAAAAAAAAATCCGCAAAAAGGAGAAGTGTACTATTTTTAAAATTATTTATTATATATATTTTTTACTTTTTTGTATTGTTATTGTATATGTCTTTTTTTGATTTATTTGAAATTTTAAACAATTCGATTTAATATTTATTAAATCCGCAAAGGCAATAACGGCAATTGGATTATTCAGCGATATTATTTACTTAACTAATTAAGGATTCCCTTAGTAATTACGACAACTAATCCCACGTCAGTCCACGACTACCAGAGTGGGGCCCAGTGTCCACGTGGCGCAACCCTATAGGTCTGTTACGAGCGCGCTCCGCCGCCACGTCGGGGCACGAACAGAATATTTACAACAGACGGTCGTATGGTACATTTATTCTCCGAAATGTTCTTCGAATCCGCAGTAAAGTCAACTTCGAAATTCCTAGTATTCCTTATCGGAACGATTAGTAAATGCGCTGTGTTTCCATTATTGCTGCTTCCTACGTTATATGTAGTAATAATGCAATGCTTTTCTATATATATGTGTGTAAAAGGATGGAAGGTTGCTGTCGGAGAAGGAAAAATATTGAGACGTTTTGTTGCGTCTGGAAGGGTTTTTGATTTATTTGTCGGATTATCGGACAGAGGTCGGGTGTTAGAACTGGACGTTGTTTGTTGTCGGCGAGATATCGGTGCTGTTGTTCTGAGATTTTTCGTTCATGCACTTCCATGAAGCCGTGGAAAGCTGTAAGTTTATTTCTCTGATTTGATTTTCTGGTAAACTATGGTTGAGTGTTTGTGTTTTCATTAGCTGTGTTGGATTTCTTATACAATCGGGAATTGAAGTTAAGATTAGGACATCCTGTTCGATTCAATTTTTGTAGAATTGATTCTTAGGTTATCTAATCCTTTTGGTATCGTATGGTTTTTAGCATCTTTTTTTTAATGTGGACTTTGATTTGAGTAATTGTGGACTATGTTATCTTCTTCATCCATGATGTCTGAATGAGGTTAATTGTGCTCTGTCTGAATCGTGAATCTATGTTCTGTTTATCTTCATGGTCAATCACGGAATTAATTAAATATAACCTTCATTAATCAATTAACGTTGTGTGTTTTCAGGTTTCTGTATTATCAGATCCTAACAACAGATCATGTCTGTTTAGTCTCGTTGTCGCCATTTCTTTGTTCTGCGGCTCATTCTTTGTCCGCAGCGCTTGGCTCGGCAAAGAATTTTCCATTAAGGTATTCGACTGTGTCCTGTTATTGCTTCATGGTTTCCTGACTTAATTTTGATCTTATTCTCAGTTTTGTCGAAAGTAAAATGTTGCAAGTTGTTATTACCATGGTGAAGCTTCTTACAGGAATTTATCATCATCTCTTGTTATTACAGCTATCACAAGAACTCGGAATCGGCGCATTGCAGCGAAATACTAACTCTACTATATGCAGCATACAGGTTTCGATAGTTAGCCTTAAGTTTTAAATTTCGATCGAAGTATTTGAGTTTACATATTCTATTTTCTTACAGGCAATGCTTCTAACATACCAAGGTTGTTTATGCTTATGTAGTTATGTTTCCTTTTAGGACAAATGCAGGTCTGCTGGGATTGAATCTTTGCCTAAAGGGATCATATCCCCGACTTCGAACTTGGAAATGAGCCCTTTATGGGGTCCTCTATCCGACGATGTATGAATAGTTAATCTCACAATCCTATCTAGATTTTTACACTGCATGACGATATTTACTATATTAAGTATTGTGTCAGAAAATTGCAAGGAACAAGAGTTTGTTGGCTGTTGCTGTCGGGATCAAACAAAAACAATTGGTCGACAAAATTGTTAACAAGGTATACGTATATGCCATTTACGCGATTATCCTTTCTTTAGTTGTTCTTACATAGATGCATCAGCCTTTGCTTTGTCCGTGCGCAGTTTCTGGCTGATGATTTTGCAGTAATGCTCTTCCATTACGACGGCGTTGTGGATAAGTGGCATGATCTTGAATGGAGCAATAGAGTCATCCATGTCTCCGCAAGAAACCAAACAAAATGGTACCTATCGAAAAAGAGCATCCTCGAATGAATTCATTTATGTGTTCTTCTTACATCCTTTGTGCAATAAAACAGGTGGTTTGCGAAGCGTTTTCTACATCCGGACATAGTCGCAGAGTATGAGTACATTTTTCTGTGGGACGAGGATTTGGGAGTCGAAAACTTCAATTCGGGAAGGTATAATAAAGAAAATGGTTATTGTGCTGATTTATCTCAGTTAGTATATACTACCTCCGTCTGGTTTGAGGATTAAGGATTCCATTTATTTTTTGTGGGTTGATATTTGAATATTAATTATTATATCAAAACGAGATATAAATTAAGAAAAAATTATAAAAATACTTCAATTAGTCTTTGTATAAAAAATTATACAAGCTCAAATGTGACCCTCAGAGGCGGACTGGCGCAAACAACACATGTTTTTATATATCACGGATGAATATGCATTTTGTAGTTAGATTAATATTAAATAACCCCGTAAGTTGTACCTTGATCCTCTCGTCTGTAGGTACATTTCGATAGTGAAGGAAGAAAGCCTCGAAATATCACAGCCGGCGCTCGATTCCAGACAGTCCGAGGTGCATCATCTTGTCACTGTCCGCAACCGGAGATCAAGGGTGCACAGGTTTGCAAGATTACGACAACAAAAATGTCGAATAGGTCTCATTTACTCATATCCGAACTTGACTAGAGTATTGTTTCTTCCGTCGATAGGAGGTACATTTGGTTCAAAGGCAACGGTCCTAAGTGCAGCGCCAGCAGCATCGCTCCCCCCTGCGTCGGGTACGCAAAAAAACTTTTTTTTTTTCGACTCTACAATCTTCCATCGACAAAACGACTAACAAACTAAAATTCCGTGCAGTTGGGTCGAAGTGATGGCTCCCGTGTTCTCGAGGGCAGCGTGGCGATGCGTTTGGCATATGGTTCAGGTATTCGATCGATAATCCTAACTTTTTTATCGTAAAAAAAAAAAGAGGGTATTGATTTGACGTAACTAATGGCCTTTGTAGAACGATTTGATCCACGCATGGGGCCTCGACATGAAGCTTGGGTATTGCGCGCAGGGCGATCGCTCGATTAAAGTTGGCGTAGTCGACGAGGAGTATCTAGTACACTACGGTCTACCTACTCTCGGCGAAAAACCCGACCAAGATAAGGTAAGCGTGATATCGCCACAATGGTTATGGATAATCGGCAAAAATCTAATCTTCCAGTCCTTTGTTGCAGGCCAAATCGGCGTTGAGCTACAGACTGCCGGTAAGTTTGGTGATTTTTGTTGGTTCCTGTAAAAATATACTTATATTTACCTTACCTTTTGCGCCATTGTACTTTGATATAACAATTGATATTCAAATATCACATCTAATTTTTAAAAAATTACTAAGTAAATAGACACGAATGACTTCATTGTCCGGACATTTGTCTGATTTTGGTATAATTTTTGTGACTTTTTTCATGCAGATTCGCCTACGATCAGTCAAAGAAATGAAGGAGTTCCAGCGGAGATGGGACAAGGCGGTTAAGGAAGACGAGTGCTGGGTCGACCCCTATCGAGAATGATCTTTCGGCGGCGGAGATTGCTCCGGCAACGGTAGCGGTAACTGTACACAAAAGCAGGATACATCACAGCAGAGAATGGACAGTAGAGAACACAGTAGCTATTTACCTCAAAATTCAAGGTTGTTCTTTGTACTGATTTGATTCTTCTTTCTATTCTTAATTCAAATAGTTATCATATCTGTGTATAAATCACTCTCTATGAACTCAAAGAAAAAAAAATTTATTCGATTTGTGAATAAAGAGGATTGGTTTTGAATTGGTTTGAATAGTAATTTAAATATAATATTGAAAAAATGTATATATTACATGTATTTTTAAATTTACAAGTGCTTATACCGCAATTTTTCGCTAAACGGCCGAACCTACTATAAATAACTATTTATTTGTTAAAATGTATGACGTACAAACTTGTATAGTGCTGATAACATAGTCAATATGGATACAAGCATATTGAAAGCATCTGTTATGTGTCTATCTTTTATATAATAATTAACATTAATTAGCATCCTAATTCTTTTGAAATTTAAAATACCTTGACTATATTTATTATCAGTCAAAATTGAAAATTAACTAAAAAACAAAACAAAAAAAAATGTGTAAGCCAAAAACCCAATGTTAAAACGTACATTTAATTGTTTTTATCATATAATCCATGGAAATAATACTACATACTGCCACAAAATCAAAAATTTAGTTTGTTGGAATGTACCTAGGTTCATCGGCAATGTTATACTTCTCATTGGAAGCCTCTTCGATCATCCATCAAAGTGCCGATACATAAAATGTCTGTCCGATCTTTCCTACTACAGATCGAACACATAAGAAACGTTAACATCTCCATCATTATCATAGTAAATTTAAGGCCTCATCTGGAATCGAGGGAGGAATTGCTTGTCCGTCCAGGCCGTTCATCACCAACAGTGGGATCGCCAGAATCTGTGCCGCTGTTCGATTGCTGGTTAAGGCAAGCTTCCATTTCATCCATTCGACGTTGCATCTATTGTCGAAAGGAAAAAAATACTTTCACATTTAATGGACACAAACAAGGGAAGTAAATAAAGAATTGCGCTAATGTTCAAGATGTACCTGCTCGATTTTTGCCTCGTACGCCTCAAGCTTTTCCTGCTGCTCGGCGATCAAGTGTTGCGAGTACACATCGGGCGTAGCATACAAGGAAGTGGATACACGCATTTGTGCTCGTGCAGCTCTCGACTCCGAGCCAAAACCGGCAATCAGACCCCTTTTGTTGAATCCACCGAGCTTTTTAACTAGAGACTCGTTACTAGCAAGAGGGGTGCAAATGGCTTCTTGTGTTGGCGCTTCCGACTGAAATTCCAGTAATTTATCCTACATTTGCAACAAAGATCGATTTCAAACAAGGTTCCAAAACCAACACATAAGGTGAGAACAATCGTTTATAAACATTGACAACTCACGGCGACGCCCCGCAACTTCTTGTTTGGAAAAGAACCATCTTTGTTCGCCCAGCATCGTTGATATACATCAAGAGGAGACGGGGTGCGCCCTAATTTCATTTCCTACATATGGAATATTTACCTATGAATATACACTAAAGTTTCCGGGTCATAGTTATTCGTAAGTAAAACGTTTTTCTTACCAATAAGTGTGTGTGCCGCGATACAGAAGTAGAACCCACCTCAATAAACATAGGTATTGCCTGCTCTGTTGTTAGTATTCTGCTCTTGAAGTTTACGGTATGCATCGCTATTCCACTTAGCCAACATCACGGACCAGGCTCTTTCGTCCACCCAATCCGGTTTCTCATTGTTTTTCCGGGCGAGAATGAAGGCCTTTCTTAACAATTCACTGGCCTTCCTAAAGAACAAAGTTCGAATCATTTTGCCGTGCACGGCATCCCACTTGTAATAACACTACAACAAAGAAAGGTGTTATTGTACAAAATCGAAGGAAATGAAATGATCTACCATAACAAAGATAATATTCGTTACCCAAAACAAATCGAACCAAAGTTCTTTATGTTCCGGAGGGATTTGATGCATCTGGATCCAGTCTCCCGGATAGTTTGAAGTTATGATCGACTTAATCCGGTCTGGAATGTTCTTTATAATGCTAGTTCGGACAACAGAATAATTCGTTATAATATGATGTCATTGTTGTTATGATTAGAACTGATATATAGAAGAATTAAACATCCTCACAAGAATTTGCTCGGATCAATATGCACGCGGTTATCATTTTCATGCTCGTCCTCATCCTGATTCTGATTGTTGTTGCAACTGTGCTGCAATATAACAGGGAACCCCGGTGGCACGTTGAGCTCAGCTTCATAGGGCCCTGCCGGAGATGGACCTCCCGTTGTAGGCTCGATTTCTCGAGACATTATTTGTATTCCTATGTCATGAAACAGTGTTTCCTGTGATAATATATTCACTTGTTTCATCTAATAGAAATTCAATTTTAGTTTCACACTATTTATAGGAAAAAAAGTCATCTAAAATTTCATACAACATATTTTTTCATTCAGAATATTGATCTATTTCCTATCCAAGGTAGTTTTTACTCACATTTTTATCATATTCAAAACATGTGTAAATGTAGCCCTAACAATTCTGAAAAGCCCTAATTATGCCTGTAAATTCAATCAACCACCACAACAGTGACCTAAAACATTTGGGGAATCAAGCATCATTCCGCAATTCAAAAGAATCCTTAAACTTTTCTATAATCGTAACAAACTACATTAACAACAAATAGTGTGGAATCAACACCTTGAACTTAAATCATGTAAATATAGTCGAAATTTATGCGTAAAAGGAACCAGATACGATTTGAGTAGCTCAAAATTCTAAATATACCAATCGGAAACCGATCACAATCATTATGCCTCATAAAAATTAAATCATATATGTATGTGAACTTTTTGCTCGTCAAATGCAAACTTACTCAGAATTAGGTGAACGGAGAGTGACGACGGCGGCAACAACAGCAGCAGCAACAACTATGGCGGAGGAAGCAACGAACATACGCACTTTCACAATTCAATTAAAAATATAAAAAAGTAATTGATCGCCGGAGATGAACGACGGTGCGGCGGAGGCGCAAGCGGCAGATCGAGATCGAAAAAAGAAAATGGATTGGCACGGCCCCTCCGCGGCAAATGAGGTCTGTTGATGTGAGGTGACGCTCATTAATTGACATTTATCTTCCCGTGCCAAATGACTTTTACCTGTACTTGAAAATCCGATACTATTGTTAAGAAATGTATGTTCGTAAATAAAGAAAAAAATTAATACTATATTTAATTCGATATATTTTATATAAAAACGTATATCTATTTACCATATATATCTATTTACCATATTGAAAAAAAAGAACTGTAGTAATAATACTCATTTCACTTCCCGCATATCATATTCATCTTATAGGAAAACAAGAAAATTTAAAAGAGATATAATTAAAAATATATTAGTAAAAATAATTATCGTATAAAAAAAAAAGATTAAAATTAAGATATATATTATTTTAATTAAAATTAAAAGAATTATAAATTAAAAAATTTAAAATATATTTAAAGTTTATAATTTTTTTTCAAAAAAGAAAAATAATGAAATAAGTAAGACAGGACAAAAATAAAATAAATAAATATGATAAGTAAGAAGGAGGGAGTATAATTTAATAAAATGAATATAGATTCTTTGGATCTTCTTCCATGTTGATCCCACTTAACTTGATGTTTATAGGTTTTTTTTTTTTTTAAAGAATTTGAAAAAAATTTGATATTCAAACTGACTCCTTATCATTTTAGTCTACTAAGTGGAGCATGTCGCAAACTAGTATCATACAACAAAAATTTGTGTTGTTTTAGTCCTTTAGCGCCGGAGACGCCTGCGTGGCTCTCCGGAGGCTACGTGTCCGCCAAATTAGCTACACCGGACGGACACGTGGATTTTATTATTTTATTTTATTTTTATTTTTTTAAAAATTTATTTAAAAATTATTTTTAATTTTATTTGTCTTTTTATTTTTTTTTATTTGATCCAATTGAAAAAAATTAAAAAAAAATTAAAAATAAAATACAATTCACATGTCCGGCAGGTGTCGCTGACCTGGCAGGACACGTGGCTTCCTGCTAACCACGCGGGCATCTCCGGCGCCGGAGGATTAAAACAACGAAAAATTTTCACTTATAAGATTAGTTTGTGACAGGCTTCATTTACGAACTAAAATGATAAGAGAGTTGGTTATGGACAGTTTACTTTGAACAAATTTGAAGAGTTATGATTTTTATTTTTTTAATCCTTGGATTGAAGAAGACATGTTTGATTTTAACAAGAATGTGAAGATTTTTTTTGAAGTTTTAACATAAAATTGAAAAACTTCATATTGACTTAAAGAATAATTTGATGTTTGTTCCCACGAACTTGAATATCCACTGAAGAATGAAAATTCATTGATTTATTAATAATTTGTTGGATTATTTGTCTAAATTAATGATAATTTCAGGAAAAAAAACACGTGATAACATTATTTAAATTGATATGGTTAACATTTTAGTCAAAGCCCCCTATGGGTTAAGTTCAATCGTCATTTGGAAGGATGTCAAAAGTGTACTATATTGAATAGTAAAAAAAAGATGTTTATTAAAATTAAATAAAAATTAATCACATTAATGATAATATTGATATATTGTTTTATTTCATGTGGTATCTTCACTAACCACATTAATTTATCATGCTGACAAATTTACCAATATTTTTTTATTTTATTTTATTTTTATTTTATTTATACATACCATGTTGGTACAGTATTTTTTTTATTTCGAGTCTATTTCACATTAATTATTATTTAGTAAATTAAAATATTGAAATCAAAATTATTAGTAATAAGTCAATGTGGTTCTAAAAATATGTATTAATTTTCTCCTAAATATGTGTCAAAATATTATTTAAATTATTTTTTAAAAAAATTAAAATAAAATCAAAACCAAATAAACATGAGTTTATTTATAGTTTCTTTCAAAATAAATGAATATAATTCTATATTTAACCCGCAGTTTCTGATAATGTGTCACCTATTTTGACGTGGTACCACCAATATTGTTACGGACTAAGTTGTAATTTTAGTACAAAATATTGGCACATATAACAGAATGATTATTTTTTAATGTCTACAAGACAGAATTTAACCGCTATACCAATTTTTTTTTTTTTTAAATATCATGTGGTTGTCATACCAAAATCTTTGATAAAATATTGTCATGAACTTAAAAATGAATTTTGACATAGCATATGACATGCTTCAGTATTTTCAATAAACCGTAAAAATCTACCTATAATCTATATAATTTATATTTACTCCGTCTACTTACAATGTTTATATATTTTTATTTTGAGACGTCCAATTACAAAGTAAACATTTCATTAAATACCCTATTTTTTTTCACAAATACCCTTACTTTACGTCACATCATTACTTTTACACAAAAACGTAAGGGCAAAATATCATTACACTACTTTTAACTACTCACTGTAATTAAAATACTATTATTTTTTAAATTGAAAGCGGAGAAAGATAGTATAATACATCACTGTGAGTCCTATTACATGTAATTTTTTTCCCTCACTTTTTTCAAAATTTTAATCAAAATAATTATATTTATTACTTATAATTAATGCATTCCAATTTTTTTATTCATTAATATACTGTTAATCTATATAATTATTGTTGTAAAATTGATGGGAAAAATATGACAAAATTTTTAATTAAAAAAATATGTGAAATATTAAATAGATTAGGTTCAAAATAAATCCTTAAATTCACATGCAACTTTGATATGTATTCACTAATAAAAAAAAATTTCAAATATAATATGCCCTCGACAAGTTGGCATCAATAACTAAAATTCAAATAAATACTTGTAACACCAAAAAACAGAACAGACGAGCAAATTGGCGTGGACATTATCAGCAACACCGGGGCTGTGTTTTCGACGTCAAATATGATTTTATTGAATTTTATCTACGTATCTGCAGCGCCGGGACTGTGTGTTCTTTCTTGGGCAACCCGATGCCTTATTGACCATTCATAGCTACTCAATTTGTGTGTAGTTCCGATCAACTAGCTCATCTATTCACTAAGGCTTTAGGCGCTCGTAAACTTTCTCATCTCTTATCGGAGTTGGGCTTTTGGAATCTCCATGCACTAATTTGAGGTGTATGATTTTGAAAATATCTTGAAATATTTTATAGAATTTATGATAATTTTTTAGAATATTTTGTACAATATGTTACGACCTTTGAGAATATTTTATAGAATATGTTGTATATTTTTCTATATTATATTTTATGTAGGATATTTATATTTTTTTTAGGATTTAATATGTAATGATAGAAGGATATAGATATATTTGGCCTTTTTAACATTCTCTATATATATATGTATGGGTTTTTTACTATAATATGAGATAAAATTTCAGTTTACAAATTGGTTATTTTCGTTACTCTTTTTGCAAATTATTATTGTTGTTGGTGTCGTCGCGGTGTTTCTAGAAAGGAGTTTTTATTTTTATTTTTTAAATCACCAAAATTAAAGTGATTATATATATTATTATTAAAAAGCTATATATCTAATTTATTATATCAAAAAATTATTAGTTCAAATTAATATTATTTTTAATATTTTAAAACTTTTACATTCAATTTACTTATTAACAAACAGCTGTATTATTATTATTATTATTATTATTATTATTATTATTATTATTACTTTCTCTCAAGTGTAAAATTATGTCAATTTGATCGGACACGGATTTTAAAAAAGTGAATAAAAATAATTTTTTTTATCGTAAAAAAATATAATATTTGTTTACTAAAAAAGAAAATAAGAAAAAATTTAAATTACGAAAATTAAAAAAAGAAATTGTATAGATGAATATGAAATTGCACTATACACACTAGACTACAGTAAACATTTTGTATGCGGATCCTATATTATGGCCTATACAAACACCTACTTTCTAAAAATTCATGACTATACACAAATACAGTTATATATAGTTTTGAATACATAAATCACGGTTATTTCAGATTATATGAGTAATTCTCATACGGAAAAAGAAAAAGTCGATATTTAATTCTATGACATGATATTGTATTCTTTCAATTTTTATTTTTATTTTGCAATTATAAAATAAGTTCCTCCAGTTGCTGTACTTATTAATAAATGAATTTATTTTTAAAAATAATTATTTAACATTAAGAAAATCAATTAAATAAAATATTTTTCATTATTTTCATTGTAACAGCTAGCTCAATTGTTCTATCGTGATTATTATAGATTTGTTTTTGGGATTTTTCATGTTTTACATGACTATTATTGATGTGTTCATTTTAAACTTTTTATTATTTATTTATTTTTAAATTTAAATTTGGATTTAAAAAGTATTTTGATACAATATTATAATTTCCCAAATAGATCAATTAATTCGTCAATCAGAGTGGATTGCAGTTTAGATCAAATTATAATTTTAATATTTACAATTTAGTCTAATTGGATCGAAAAACAAATATTTTCTATTTCTTCGAATTCAATCCATTTTCTAGCACAATACAACCAGCAACTTATGCACTCATAATTTACTTTAATACTATATTTTTTTAAAAATGGTAATTTACATATTTTAATATAAATAGTTAAATAACAAAAATTTGAAATTACATTATTAATTTCCTTCTCAATCCCTATGAAATTAAAACACAAACAATTATTTAATTAAAAATATTATTCAACCCAAAATGTTTATATGCTGATATTGCATTGAATGGCTGAACAATGAAGTTCAATAATACTATTACATTAGAATCCAACAATATATGCATTGTTCTACAATTTAGGTGTTTTTCTTGAAATATTTCTACAAAATGTACTATCCGCAATCAAATTCTACGATGAATTCCGAATCAAATGCGCATATCTAACAACAAAAAAATACCAATTGAGTATATTCCATACTGAAAAAATTATTGGGAACTCTCCTAATTCATAAAAGTGAATGACAACGTATTTATCACCAGTTTATTTTAAATTGAAGTCTTGAATTCCTTTTTACATTAAATTTATTTTTATTTTAACTATCTATTATGATTATATCGAATATAATTTTAATTTTTATTATTTTTAAAAATTAAGAAGACTAACATACAAAAACGACACTTAAAGATGAAAAGGTGTATTGATGCATGCAAATAATTTGAAGTAAAAAAATGCACAAGAAATTAAAGTGGTGGATGAGTAACTTAAAAAGAAGAGATTAAAGAGAATGAGCACTTTCTTTAAAGGCAAAGCATGCAAGATTGATTGAGGGGTGTTTTATACTTTATTTTGGATTTTTTATATTTTATTTTTAATTTGAGTTTTATTTTATTTTATATAGTATTTTTGATATATTTTACAAGAAAAATCAATATTATTTAATGAAAAACATGCAAAGTTTAAATTAAAAAAAAAAAAAAAGAAAAAAAGAAAAGAAATGAACAAACCCTAATATTGCAACTATTAAGAAAAAGCCATTATAAAATAAATAGATTTATTTATAGAGGCAAAGTGGTGTGGATTTGAGATTTGTTTACTTAAAAGCTTTAATTATTTCTTACTTTTATTATTTATATTTATTTTTTCTAAAAAATTATTATAGTTACTATTTATGTTTTATTTAAAAAATTATATTTAACTACTATTATTCTACTTTTTATATATTTAAATAAAAATAAAAGAAAAAAACCTTAAATAAATTCTTTACTAATAGTTTATTTATATATTTGATTTGTATTTGTAAATTTTTTATATTTATATTTTTTAGATAACATAATAATTATATATATATATACTACATATTATATTTTGTATGTAAAAATGAGTGTTTTTGCTTATGAGATTTTGATGTTGGTTTTAATATTTCATTTTTTTTAATAAAATATCAAATCAAATATTTTTTTTATTATATTGCACTAAAATTTATTTTTATATTCAAAATATCATATTAATATATATTTACGATCAAACTGATCAGACAAATCATACCAGGAGAATGAATTTGAACCCATGACCTCATGGTTATAAGTTCACTCTCGATACCATCGCTCTCTTTTACGGGACAATATTATATAATGGTTACAAATTAAATTTAACAAACCTATAAAAATAAAAATAAATTTGATAGAAAAGAAATAATAATAATTATATTTTTATAGGAATAGTTTCTTTCATAACCCATAATACATTTTGTTAGGTCATTTGTTCCTCGACAACAAAGCAACAAACCATGACCACTAACCCTCTCTTCTACTTGCAACTCCTCCTCTTTCTAATAAATCTCCGGCCGTCGTCTTCCTCGCCGGAATCCTTCGTCTACGTCGGCTGCTCCCAGCTCAAGTACAGCTCCGGCAGTCCGTACGAATCGAACCTCAACTCCATCCTAGCTTCCTTCGTAAACTCCGCCTCCATTGCCGCCTTCAATTCCTTCAAAATCTCCTCGCCGGGATCTACCGCCGCCGTCTACGGCCTCTACCAGTGCCGCGGCGACCTCGCCGCCGCCGACTGCCACCGCTGCGTCGCCAGCGCCGTCTCTAGAATCGGCGCCTTCTGCGCCGGCACCTCCGGCGGCGCGCTGCAGCTCGACGGCTGCTTCATTAAGTACGACAACGAGTCGTTCGTCGGCACCGTCGACAAGGCTGTGGTGTCGGAGAAGTGCGGGGCGGCGACGGCGGCGGGGTACGGCGGCTCCGACGACGTGCTGACGCGGCGGGACGCGGTGCTGGCATACCTGAAGGACGGCGGCGGGCAGTACTTTCGGGTAGGGGGGTCCGGGAAGGTCCAGGGGATGGTGCAGTGCGTGCAGGATCTGAGCTTGGGGGAGTGCCAGGAGTGTCTGTCGGAGGCCGTACAGCGCCTGAAAAGCGACTGCGCGGCGGCGCCGTCGGGGGATATGTTTTTGGGTAAGTGCTACGCCCGCTACTCCGACCATGGGTACTCGTCGGAGGGCGGCGGGCGGCGGCGGGGCTGGCCGGGGAAGATCGCCGTCGTGGCGGGTTTGGGGTGGTTAATTTGGGTGTTGAGACAATAATAATGTTTTAAATGTTAGTTTAATTTGTTAAGTGCTTTTGGAATGTATTATTGTGAAAATATTTTGTTATTGAAAAATATTTTATTTTTACTTAATTTTTATCAGTATTTCAAAGTCTCTCTTTAAATATACTACTAATCAACAATAAAAATATTTTTGATTATTATTTAAATTATTAATTCCTCACTATCTAATTGTATACTTAAATATTTAGACATGAATTTGAATAAAATAAGTAATAATATTATTTTTCACTTTTTATAATAAGAAAATAAGGTTTTTTTTTGCTTAAAAAAAAAAATATATTTTTAATTACAATTAAAAAAAATATAAATTTGATTGACGAAAAACAATATATAAAAAATTTATTTTACATATCAAACATAATCATATTTATTTATATTACATCAAATAGATTTTTTTATTGCTCTAAAATATTTCCAAAAATTTTCAAGACATTTGTGTTTAATTGATGATATATATATATATATATATATATTTGGGTAATAGTAGAAAAAAGAATACTCCTACTAAGGGTGTGTTTGTTTGGGGGTTTGGATTTTGAGTTGGTATTTAAATAGTAAAAATTTTTAATTTGAATAGTTATATGATGTGATGTTTTGAATGTAAAATTAATTTTTAATATAATTTTTTTTTAAAAAATAGATATTTGATTTGATATATTTTTAGGGAAAAAATAAGATGAATAGTTAATTTGAACTCCAATCCCCCAAACAAACACATCCTAAAGGTGCACTATTTTTTTAATTTTTCTTATGTTTTCTAATTTACAAAATAAATGAACATATCTTTTTTTTCTTTTTGGTCAAAGAATATTAAATGAGCACATTCAAATTTCCAAATCTGTTTTCAAAACTGTATAAGTTTCAATGCTGATTGTAATCATTGAAAATTAAAAAATAATAGTACCTCGGTCCATAGCAGGTGTCTTGTTACTATTTTGGAACTCTAGACACCAGAATTTAATTTATGATAATTATAATAAGTAAATAATTAAAAATTATATTAATAAAAATAATTAACATATAATATAAATTATTATAAATTAAGATTAAAATAACTAATTAATTTAATTAAAATTAAAAAAATTTAAAATTATTCCATGAGACGTGAGGCCGAGGCTAACAGAAACGGCATGATAAGTGGGACGGAGGAAGTAGTATTTAATACTAAATAATAAAATTTAAAAATTTAAAATAAATTATTTAAAAAATTAATAAAAATAAAATAGATATATAAAACAATATCAAATTAATTATTATTTATTAAATAAAAATAATAAAAGTATAAGTAGATAAAAAATTTGCACCGTTGAAAAAAAATAAAATAACAGTGACATAACTTAATGATAGGACAAAAAACCATATTATTTTATTATCTATTGAAATCCTAATTAATATTGAACTGGATATTGCAATTACTTAAATGCTAAGATACAGCAATTCAGTGATAAAACCAAAGTCCATAGTGTCCCTAAAATCCATTCAGATGCTCAGCTCAAATGAATTGTCTAAACAAGACAACCAAATAAATTGTGCCATAATAAGTAACAAAAAGTGTGTCTATATCTAATAAATAGCACAAAAACATAGATATAGATAGAAACCCTTCCATCCATACATATCAAACTCTGTATAAACAAACATCAAACACAACACACAACCAACAAAATTTCGTTTCAACTCCCCCCTGGGATTCAAACAAGTATCATCATCATATTCATAGGATTCTCCTCGTAACTAAAATTATAAACACAAACATAAATTCACAACACAATTATTGCATTGCGCCATACCGACATACATATATAATCAAGTGAGTTCCTTGATTCACTCACCGGCTACATAACAAACTCGTACTGGAACCATGGCAGCTGGAGGTCCTTGAATAACACAAACACCAAGTTCATCGACTGTCTGCTGGATCACTTTTAACCATTTTGCAGCTTAGAAATAGTATCAGCTGCCCGATCCCACAGTCGAAGAGTGTTCTTCAGAGCCAACGGCTGCATCCGCAAGGAGCTTGCTTGATTTGGCCTCTGCTGGTGGGAGCTTCACCTTGGGCAAAAGCTTCTTAGCTTCCTCGGTTGTATAGATATATATCTTCTTTGCCATGGAGCAAAATTCGCTGAAAATATCCGCACAAAAGCAACCTCAGATATTTGAAGGATAACGAATATCCAATGAAAGTAGCAAAATTAATACGACCACGCTTTTGACACAAAGAAATAGTGCCCGGGTTGGAGCAATTAGGTCAATAAATATCAGAAACCATCTGAAACATTCAATGTAATGCTCACAAGCATACGTGTACTAGGAGCTAGAGAAACATATATAGGAAGCAAAGGCGGATGCGTAGATATAAAGGAGAAACCGGTAAGTTTTGACTTAACTGCCATGGATCGTCTCCAACCATCATCATGTCATCCTCATCATCTGTGTATACAACCTGCCATTTCTTTGTCGATCCAGAGAGTTCCCCTGCAATCTCAAACATTTCTTCAAACATTTTGAGCAGATCCTCATAGCAATCAAACCTAGTAAGATCCACTGCCCTCCCAACAGCTGTGCCTTGCATGTGAACCTAATCGAATCATGAAAGTCATCATTCACATAGCCAACAGTAAACATATTTTAGAAAGAGAAGCTACAATTGACAAAATAATTAGAAGCAACCATTAGAGGAAGGACACATGAGCCAATAAGCTCGAATTACAAGAGCCTATATTAAGCTAGGTGTAGGTTGTTTTGATACGATCTGAGCAATTTTAGCTTTCTACATTATCATGTTCTAATTGCTTTATCCCTTTCTCACACACACTTCTAAGAAAGAGATATGAAACCTAAATCACCTTGATGCAGCTTCGGATTTGCCTGTTGTGTGTCACATGGGAGGATCTCAGACAAGACTTATCCGGGAAGCAACCGGATGAAGGAGCATCAGATGCGTTGTGGGTTTCTGGTTCAGACTGTAGTTCTGATTCGGCATCAACACGAACGAGAGATTCCCCAATACCTGCTTTGAATTGGACTGCAAGTGATGTATCTTCAACTGTTGAATGATCAAGCAATTCAATTCCAAAGAGCCTGCAACGATTCAGCTGTTTCTTTTCACTGACAGGGGTAACTGAATCAGCAGCAGCTTCAGTTTGATTAGGCAGGTTCTCATTGCAACTTGTAGGGCTGACTCTGGCCCCTGAACTAAGTTTTGGCGATTGATATATGTCCCGACCACATGGTGGATCACAATAGGGGAGAACTGATGAGGAGTCAGCAGACGGCTTCCACATGGCTATCAAACAATAAATAATTCCTGATGAATAGCACTACTTCATTGATTGTGTATAAACATCATCAGAGGTTGAGATAATACCATGGGGAGTAATATTCTGCATCGGTGGCGGCAAAACAGGGGGGCGTGCGCGCTTGTTTCTTTGTTGAGTATGTGGGTTAGGAGGATTTGATGCTGCAAGTGGTTCTATTTCCCAGGGAGACACCCTATCAGGGCACAGTATTGTAGAAGGTTCATCCCATTGGACCTGGAAGCACTCGCATTGAGTGAGTGATATAACTAAGATTTTGAAGTCCATGTAACAGTTAGAAATAAAACATACAAATTAAGGCATGCATCTGTTCACGGTTTTATATACAATTGATATAGATTTCCAAACAATCTATGGTAACAGGTTGTACCTTCAAGGATCTCCATTCCGAATCTGGCCACTGTGATGCAGCATCATCATTCCCAACACCAATGATGGTCCCACTTAACCTGTATTGTATATGTTAGGAATGGCCATTACAGAAATCAATTCCAGAAAGTATGTGCTTGTAATCACTTTTTTTACCGCAGGGAAAAAATCAACATGGCTAGTACCTTCTTTCAGGAACCTCTTCACTTTCAAATCTCATCTTGAATCTCATCCCAACAGAGAGCTTATGATTTTTAGCTTCAAGATACTTGTTTAGGCTTACTATGAACTCTGATCGACTAGTCCTAAATTGACAACGAGAGTGTAGAGATATTAAAACATCGGTCCAAACACACAGTGAAGTGCACAAGTAGAACAAGGAAAAAAGAACTCTTTCAGATTTCACCAAGCATGTTGTGGATAAAAGAATATCTCTAACACCACAATCTTCTTTAAATGTTCCCTTCATAAGGCAACCCTAACAAGGCTAATCACCTTAACTCCATACAAAATAGAAAGCAGAAAACAGAACCTGATATGTGAGCTGTAAGAGTTATTTTTTTTAAGATTTTTAATGGACACACATCAATACTCCAATTTTAATGTTCTAGTTACCTGACACAGAAAATGCTAGGCATTGATGTAAAAAAATAAAAGAGACCAGTATGAACATAGCCTACGAAATTAATAAGGTGGAAGAGCAAACAACCTAGGTTTATAATAAACAGAAAATAGGGTCCTCGTGGAGATTGCATGTGATGCAGTAGCAAGAACCCCCAGATGCATGCTGTGACTTGAAATAACTGAAGATGGCACGTTACTTAGTTGTCTCAGGAGTCTTCTCACCCCAACTCGAAGGTTCCCATTTTCACCTCTGCCAAGTTAATAGAATACTGTGACCTTACTAAAATTATAATATAAAAATACTAAGAAACTGCATTTATATAAATTTACCGTAAAAAGATAAAAGCATCTCCTGCAACTAGCTTTTTTGCACTTACAAATACACTCCACCCAGTGGTTAGTAAGTGGCGCCTTGGTTGACCTGAAAAGACAATCAAAATATTGTGAACCCTTCTTCAATATACAGACGCTGAAAGCAATGAATGCACCACTATGATCAGGGCAGTAAACATAAAAATATTAGTCTTTAACATAGTAGTCAACAGGTTGTTGAATCACTCGCTTTCACCACCATTTTGTACCCACCTGTCTTCAGAAAATGCATATGTGGTGTACATCTTGATTGTCTGTTGCAATTTCTTAGCAAAATCCATGTTAAAAATTATTTGTATTATGTATATATGATATAAAATGCTTTATTAATTTTAATAAAGATTTGTTGTTACAGATACAACTCTGTTGAAATTTAATATGTCACCCATAGTGCTTTACTGAACAAAAAAACAAAGGATTGTGTCATAGAGTAGCAAGGAGGGTCTTTAGAGTTACTGTCAACACAAGGAGTCTCAAACAAATATGAAACCAAACAGCTGAACACCAAGAGCTATACTAATAGTGAGCTACAGAATGGCCAGGGGTGATCCAGAGGGAACGGATCAGGATTACCATGCATTCTCTAAAGTAAAATGAGTTCTCTTATTATAATTCATGATTGCATCATCATGGTGCTAGAAATGTCCTAGCTGCGAGCTGCAGGGGTAAAACTCATCAAGTACTAACATCATATCTTCAATGAGAAACTTTATAAAAAGAAAAAGAAAAAGCTCCTGACTAGTTCATACTAACCTCGAAAAATGTGACGGAAATGCCACTGATTTCCATGAAGATCAGAAGCTACCAATTCCTGCATAGGAGGTTGCTGAGACATATCCTGCAATAACAATAAAGTTGTGATATCTTCGAAGTTGGGAGAAAAAGAGTTAGTATACCACATTGAAATCCTTAATTCCTACCAAAGGGGGTAAACAATCATCTGCATGCCTTCTTAGAACGGAGAAACCACCATGGGTGCTGGTGTCAGATGCAGTAAGTGTCTTGCAAAATGAATGGACACTGCACCTTTCAGGCTCTGGTGGAGGAGGATCTCGAGTTGTTATCTCACCTTGCTGAGCCACGAATCAAAATTTTTTTAATGTAACTTAGCAGGCGTAATGGAAATTAATGCAAAGTATACAGCCTAGAAGAAACTGGCTTGCCCAACATGCTTTTACTAAATAAAATGTAACAAAACAGTTGAATGTGGCTTTCTGTCACTAGATTCAACATTTTAGAATAGTGAAGAAGTTCTAATGTGACTTATACCTAACCTCAAATAACAATAAAAATGCAGGACGGATATTCAAATAGTGATTGATAAAATATAATTTTCGGATCAGGGGAAACTGAGGATAAAGAAAGAATACAGCAAAAAACCTTCACTCAACATCTGGAAACTATTTAACCATAATTAATGCTGTTCTGACTTCTGCCTCAACAGAACTCATGCAAAGAGAAATTAATATTGAGCCAGCACTTGTTTCGAAGTTACTGGCACAGATCTAAGATCTGTTTATTCCCCACCGAATCCAGAGTTATACTCTCTCCAGAAAACTAACCAGCAATATCACTTAGGAAATATAAAAAAATCTGAATATCCACGTAGGTACTGATTGTCCAGGTACCACTAGCATCTACACAGTCAAAGTAGGGATCTACGAATGGAATTACATCTTGTTCTGGAATCAAGGTTATGTGCGCATACACCTCATCTGTGTCTGGTTCAGCCTGCGATTTAAGATGAACAATTCAGCTACAAAGGATGACTCAGGTGCATATAAAAATCAAATTCCAAATGCTCAAATATAATATTATATCAAGCCTTACCCGAAGTTCAACATTCATCACTTTGCAAAGAATTTTACTGGGTAAGTTGAATGAAGGCAGTTGATGATCTAAACCCTGATGTGTAGATGCTTCAAGCTAAACAGAAGGCCAGAAAAAAAGGGTTAGTAAATAGCTTTGTACACACTGGCAGGATACAATCAGGGCATAACAAAGATGATTTCAGAGAGAGTAAGTTTATCTAATTTGACAAAGAAACCAAACATATGCATGAAAATCCATTAAAATACGGCAAAGAATGAAGCCTAAACAAAATACAGAGCCAAATAATGTCAAATCAATACATATAGTTTCTCTGCAAATGCTTTAAGTTTTAAGTCAAATAAAGAATACACAAAAAGTATATTTATAATAAAAAGAATCCAAAAGGAAAAGAAAGTGTTTTGAAACACCATTTATAGGTAACAGATATGGATAACAAGAATAAGCAATCACAAACCTGTTCCATGTGACCTTGAGGAAAGTAATAAACTCGTTCGCCTTTATTTGGAACAGTGACAAGGGGCCCAGCACAAGCATGCCAAAGTTCTTTATACAGGGCTTCATTTGAGGCTCCTAAACCAAAAACAAGGCTGTGGATTAACTCCAGGACAGGGGGAAATGAAAGAAACACACAAATCTAATAGCATGTCCCTGGAAATATATTGCGACACTTTCAGTGATTTTTATCTCCCAACCTTCTAACCAACATAGCTTCCGGAACAACAGGCAACTCAGATATATAACACAAAGCTGGAGTCTTCACTGATATCATAACAAACTATATTTCGCACTGAAAAATCCACAGACATGCACCCCCTCTACACCAAAACACTATAGCAGCAACGGTAAAACTGATTATAGAACAGAGTAACATTGGGAAATGACTCAGATTCGATCTCAAGATGAAGTTGCATGCATCTCTATCAATTGAAGCAATGAAAAAAAGCAACTGAAACATGTAGGCATTTCCATTAAGCAGACAGTCTAAACATAAATAGCTCGCACCTGGGGAAGGACCACCAACAAAGCCATTTGCAGTAATGTTTTCCATGACAGACTAATTCAAGACAACGACACAAATCTTCGACGCCCCTGGTGATTTCTCTTGTTCAGTGACTGATGCTAAATTTGCTTGCACTGAAGTTCATTTAAAAAAAAAAAAAAAAAAGAGCAATGAACTTTCCAGTCTCCCTAGTGGTGAAAAGTAATAAAAAAATCAATAACAATCCACACTAAAATAACCAAAGCCCATAACAATGCTTTAAGCCACACAATTCCTGCCCAAATAATGTAAAAGATTAGCTGCAGCAATGCTCCCTTACAAACAAATCACATGTATGGTGTGAATCTCAAGGTTAGCGCAGGGATTCTCTTTACTCCGTAAGCTCTGGATAACTTTCTTTGCTTTGTAATAACAAGTTAAAATTATCTCAACACTCCCAAAACCCTTGATTTCATCCCTGCATCAACAAATCACATAACATACATAACCAGAAAGCAACTCACACAGAACACAGAGCACAAGAAAAGTAACAATTCTCAACCACCATATGCATATCCATCAATTTAGAGAAAAACAAAAAAATAAATTGAACAAAAACACAGGTACAAGACCCAAAACTAAACAGGTTCAGTATTTAATCCAGGATAATGATTGCTTCTTTCCAGCAGCACAAATAAGAAGATATATTACCAAAAACTACTGGATCAAAACAGAGCTGCAAAATCAAACCATCAAGACATAAAATCGAATAATTCGAACCAATACCAAATCAGCAACTGCGTTCTCCACCGCGATTCGGATACCCATCATGGAAACCCTAGAAAAAATAATATCCCGTTCCTTCACCAACTCCCCCACTGCATCCACGAACTTGTGCTCCACCAAACCTTACTCAATACCGAATCCCAGCTCTGATTATCAGCTCCCCGACTATCACACAGTTCCTCGATTTCCAACAAAAATAGAAAGGGGTATATTCGAACAAGAGAGAGAAATATGGGGTGGATTGTGCTTGGGTTGCCTGGTAGAAGCCGACAGCGTTTTACTATTTTATCCGTGGACAAGAATTACATGTAATTGAGAGATGTGAATTATTTCCAGAAAAGAAATGCTTATTTTAATGGGACACGGGCATAGTTGGATCTACAGAGAGGGAACTGCTAGATTGTTGGACTAGTGTTCAAAACATTGAATGCGGGCAAGAGGAACAGGATAATGTGGGACGACCTGAGCTGACCTGACCTGACCTGACCACCATTGCCATTACCATCACCACTATTAGTACAATTACCCTTAAAGTCTTAACCTTTGGCTTTGAATCCATCCAATTCTAACGCAAGTGGTGTGCTGCCGTTGACCGCACTGCACATCCACACTTTAGATTTAAAAGCGTGCCTGCAAATGTGCGACATTAAATTCACCAATATTATCAAAATATTTATTTTTATTTATAATTAATGTATAAAATTAATTTTAGAAAATAATTTGAATATATATTGTTTCAGTCTGTCAATTTTATGTCTATTTTGTAAAATAATATAGAAATAATTTTTTTTTTCAACTAGTTCCATTTAATGTAATATTTGAAAACAAAATATAGAAACATAATCCCAAACTAATTTGATATCACAAAGTAATCTCACATTTCATGTCTCATTCATTTTTTTCCTGAAAAAGGATTGCATATTTTAGTTTTTTATTTTATATAAATTAATTAGTTATTTTAATTTATAATTATTTATACTGTGTAATAATTATTTATTAATTATGTCACTTTATTGTTAATGCATAAATCCTCGCCGAAACTAAACCATATCTGACAGGCAATTTGAAGACATGAAAATTTCAACACATAATTCACGATGATCGGTCAATCTCTATACCATCAAACATCTTATTTATGTCAATGTTTATGTTGTTAGTAAATATACATCTAAATATGCAAGCATTATATAAATTAATTAAATGAAAGGTTTTAAATATCTTTCTTTGAATAGAATAAATAAAAAAATATATTAATTTATTTTCACAATTTGTAGAATAAAAATCAATAGTAAAAAAGATTAGTTAATTATTTATTTATTTAATTAATTTGAATAATAATATTTAAATATTTCACTTAAGGGTGCGTTTGTTTGGGGGTTTGGATTTTGAGTTGAGATTTGAATAGTAAAAATTTTGAATTTGAATAGTTGTATGATGTGATATAAATAGGTGATAATGTGATATTTTGAATGTAAAATTAATTTTTAGTATAATATAAAAAATAAAAAATAGATATTTAATTTGATGTTTTCGGGGAGAAAAAAATGGGATGAACGGTGGATTGAAAATCCAATCTCCCAAACAAACACACCCTAATAATAATTGTACACGTCACGGGGATGCAATGAATTGCGACACAAGGTGGAAAGTTAATGTCTGCTTATTGCGGAAGCAGTAATACAATTTGTAATTGGATTCATAATATATAGACATATATATATATATATTCAAATGGTTGGACCACATCGTTCAACTATTCAAGATTATTGTAATGCTTCCCAACAATAATTAATATCCGAATTTGAGCATCAGTTCCTGTGGTTGTAATTTTATGACCGATTTATTATTATTATCATTATTATTATTACTATTATTTATGTTCCATCGAAATAATACATTATTATTATTTTTTTAATAGATTAAAAATGATACTGATACTTATTAAGGAAATTTTGATAAATTTGCTATTTGCAAGTACACATCTAGTATTAAGAATTTGTTTAAATACTAATGTTATGTTCATGATTTATATAAAAATTAAAATACTGTAATATTAACATAAGAACAACAATATAAAAAATATATAAAATTGTACGGAACAAATGAAAATGATAAAAAAATAAATAAATTCATTTGAATAGTAAAAAGTAATTACTTTCTCTATCCGACTTTAAGGGTCATATTTATATTGTATTTAATATTAAAAATATATTTATATTTGTATAATTTTTTTGTACAAATGTTCTTCTATTCGTATTATAAGACATTAATTGAAATATTTTTGATATTTTTTCTTAATTTGTATTACGTTTTGATATAATAATAAATATTTAAATATCAACACGCTAAAAATAAATGAGACTTTTAGAACCGGACGAATGTAATATTATTTATTGATAGATTTTTGTTTGGATATATGTATTCGCAAGCTTGTTAAATAACCATCAAATTTAGCGGCCATTTCAAATTCGTTAAAATTGGAAAAAAATTTTTATCCGTATAAACACTAACTTCATTCCCATTAGTTTCTTTACGAAATATAGTATCAATTTATGGGATGACTTGTAGTATGGGGACAGTGAGATTCGAATTTGATACTTATAGCTTTAATATCATATTAAATGATTTATTTGGTAAAACGATCATTCAGATCATATTATACACACCACATATTTACATATACATCCTAATTAGGGCCGGTCCTAAGAGCAACCTTAATAGCGCTTTTGAAAAACGTATGCAAAAATCATATATCTAGACATATTTTGAATTGTCAATGAATGAAAAATTAAAATTGTACTATATTCGTTTTTAACATAGTATTTTTTTTCTAAGTATAATATTATTTGTATGAAGAGAGAGAAGTTGTCAATCTTTCAAACCAAACTTCTTCTCTTCTTCGCCAATTTCTTTCTCGCAAGAAAATTCATTGCGATCTCTCAACAATTTCTTCGCATTCTTGCATAAACCACGACTTGAGACAGTAGAGAGAAGGAAAAATAAATCACAAATTGGAAAGAATAAGTGAATTTTTTTTAAAAAAAATAAAAAATAAAAATGAAACCAATGTTGCTTTAACTACACTAGACAACAATAATTTTACCTCGGAAAAGTTGCCTCCAGATGAAAAATGCTTCTAAAATGATAATTTTGGTCTCCAAAATTGAGCCATTATTGTTTTTATAAGAACGCTCGTTCAGAGTTTAATATAAATAAAAGTGTATTTTATACTATACAATTTATACATATTAATATATATCCCTAAAAATAGAATTATTTTTAAATTTGTAAAAAATATTTTATTAATACGAGAGGATATATTATATTTGTGTAGTAAATATATAAATTAATTTATAAGATTAAATAGTTATTGATGTTATTTTTAAGATTAATTGTGAAGATTAAAATGAAGTTAGTAGGAAAATTAAAAACAAATAGAAATTTTATATATTTATGTTACTCAAAATATTTTATACTATAAAACATAATTCTTTATACTTCTATCTTAAAAAAATCTCAAACTAAAATACTAAACAATTAAATTTTATTTCTTCTCAGAAAATATTATCAAACAAATTGTGTGTTTTATTATTTTTAAATCTTGAAAAACAACTACATAAATGGAGCCTAAACTTAGTATTTATATTTAAGTGTTTTAAAAATTATACCTCAACAATAATATATATATATATAATATAAATATTATTTTATAAAGACTTAAAATTTTATATAATACAAATAAAAAAAAAATATTTACATATTATTAATATAAATTAATTTAATAAAAAATCTAGAATTTTATATGTATATAAATATATTTATTTATTGAAGTGGGATAACTATAAGATTTCATATGATATAAATTTGAAAAAAATAATAATAATTAAAAACACACCATATGATGTTTGTTAAAGTTTAATATTTTTAGAATTAAATAAATATTCATGTTAAATAAAGTGGAAAGCGGACAACAAAATTTTGTGTTGGGCCGACATGAATAAATATAGAAACTTCTATGTCATTTCGGATACCTTTGAGTGAAATGCAATAAAATCAATTTTAGGGGCTAAAAGTATGATTATGTACTTTCTATATATTTCTTTTATTGATCATATTTAAAATGGTAATTTATAAATTTATAGAAGCTAAAAAAAGATATGACTAAATTGTTGTTTATTTTAATTACAGGTTTTATACTTATTCTGTTCAGACATGATAAATTCAATATAATTGGGCCCATTTCAAATATTCAATACATTAGTGAGTTGGAGATTTGACGAAAAATTAACAAATTTTTTAATAATATTTAAAAAATATTTTTAAGTGTATTTATAAATATTAAAGAAATAAAATTACCAAATTTGTCAAGAGAACTGATGCAACAAAGTTGGTTGGGGACAAAATCAAAGGAAGAAACATAATTATAGACCTGATAACGATCCGAGTCGAGTCGAGTCAAATTTTAAGTTTTCGTTAACGTTCGCGAACAAGATTCGTGTTCTTTCGTTAAGCTTTCGAGCTCGTTCATAGTGTTCGAGCCGGCTCGTTAAGAATTTTTGTTGTTTGAGCTCGTGTTCGTGATCGGCTCGTTTAGGCTTGTTCGAATTCGTTTGTCTTATTTTTTTAAATTTATATATAAATTACAAAGAAAATTTAAAATTATTTTATTTATATATTTTAAATTAATATTTTATTTATTTATAAATTATAATTTTATATGTATATATAATATTTATAATAAATATATTATTTAAACGAATCGTTTGTGAAAGATCGTGAACAAAGTTCAGGCTCGTTAACGAACGAGCCTGTTTATATTGTTCGACTTGACTTATTAACGTTTGCGAACGAGCTTTAACCGAGCCAAGTTCACGAACGGCTCGGTTCGTTTAACATCTCTACATAATTATAAGTGTTTTGTTTTGTTTTGTTTTTTTTTTTTTTTAAATTTAAATTAAAATCAATACTATTAACTTTATTATTTTATGTTATAAAATATAATATTAAATTACTATTTAAATAAAAACTCAAATCATACTTTTTAAAATCAATTTCAAATTACAATTAAACAAATCCTATGTATATTAATAAAGAAGGAATATGAGATGCCCTTAATTTGATATTTCTTTTTTACAAATTTTTAATTTAAACAGTAATTTGTTAAATATTATAATAAAAAACTTGAAGATCGAATAGTAAAAAAAAAAAAAAAAAAAAATCCAAAATGAACAAATCTCATGCCTATGCTTTCTTTTACCATATTTCTAAGTCTTCAATGATTGAATATAAAGCTTGAGGCCAAATAGTAAAATTAAAAGAAAAAAAAAAATTATATTGTTGTGTATACTATAACTGTACATTAAGTCATTAATCAACACATCAAGATAAATAATTTCTTACAAGTTATCCCTCAAAAAGAAAGATGCATTTTATTGAT